ATTCCTGTCGAGTGGTTAACGCATTGGACTTAAGATCGAAAGGTTGCAAGTTCAATTCCCGGTGATTGCAATCAAAAATGCGCACTCTCTAGATTCACGTATTATTTGTGAAGAAGACATCATCCTTCTGAGGGACATGAGAGCACCTATTTTTTGCGATTTTTTTAAACTTCTTTTTGTAGTTTTTGGAGATTATTTAAAAGTGTGATACCTGGCTAGTGGGCAGAATGGGCAGAAGGTGAGCTAGCCCAAAAATGATCATTTTTCAGAAATGGTCGATTTTTGATATGTTAAGCATGATTTTTGGTGATTTTGTGCATTAAAATAATGAAAAAGTGCGATAATTGAATTTGGGCAAAAAAGTGCACTAGTGACAACTTTTTACATACTACTCTCAAGATCAAGATCTGCTGTGCTCTTTGAAGTTGGAGCAGCTCAAGAAAGACAGCTGTCTTCAGTTCAAATAGTTGCCTCCGTTCTGTTTGGGACAGAACGGTCTTCTTTTCTTCCTTTCATTGTCCCCTATTCAGAGATTTGGAGCTTTCGATTTTGGTTCAGGAAAAAGTTTCAGACATCAAAGTTCATTTCTCATATTCTTTGTATATTCTCGTTCAAACTTCAATATATCGCACTTGACTCATTGTTGCTCATATTAAAGACGTATTTTCGGTCAAAATTTGATAAATTCCGCTTATTTTTTCTGACATCTTAGTTGTGACTAATAACTTGAGAAGATTACGTTTTATTATCTTTTTGGAGCTCATTCCTTCAAATAAAAGCAATTAATTGTATGAATTTCCACATGTACTCCACACTTTCACTACGACAAGGCCACTGGACTAATGGCACCGCCCGAAAAAAAGAAAAACTAGCTTTTTGTGCAATTATACGGCTGTCCGTCGGTGTTAGTTCACTCATTTTCTCACTTTCTCTCAGATTGTCTCATAAATCTTTAATTTTCGTTTGGTTCCATCAACTTCTGAGTTTGAGCATGACTTCAATAATCGAGAAAATTCCGAGTGGTCGCTAAAGAGTTTTGCAAATTAAGAGAACCGTTCCAAACTTTCAACATCTGCAGCTACAAGTGACCAATTAAGAAGTTCCTGTGTAGCTAATGGGCTCTTAGTGAACACTTCAGGGGTCCTAATTTCAGGTGATCAATTGAGAGAATTTCGACGAACTATAAAATTAAGCTGCCAAGTAGACGTCATCAATATTGCTCATTTTTTTGTTGGAGCCATGGAAATCAATTGAATTACAGCTCAGAATGTGATTTCTGGAGTTATCACTTAAAGAGCTATTTTAAGAAGACGGAAAATTCAAACTTAGGAACCACAAGCCATTTAACTTTCTTGAATAACCTGGAACTAGAAACATCAAAAGTACCTTTTTTGAAGGAGAGCCTTCCTAATAAATACCATTTTTGACCAACGTTTGTTGGTTTTTGTTTTTGGAAATTGATTGATCTCTCAATTTTGATTAACTACCAGCATTCTTGAGATTCGTAAACGGAAAACGAGGAAAAAAACAGTTTATGTAGAAGTAGGTCAAGCCGCAAACGCGTGCATAATCCCATATCATTCAATTTTCCTCCTTCCCATTTCTTACTCATTTTTTTCTCGATTCTATTTCTCAGCTTTTTTTTGTCTTATAAGAAGAAGAATTATTTTTTTGGAATAAAAAGAAAAAAATCAGAAAAAAATTGAAATCGGAAAATGAGAGGTTATTTCGGACTTTTTCTATCGATTCAAGTTGAGGATTTGTGGATCGTAAAGTTTAAATTTATTTTAGATTTTTCGAAATTAGTTTGACCCGTTTTGTAATTCTTAGTATAATTTAAGATCTGAGATATTTTCACAAAAAATTGTGAAGAATAAATCATTTCACCGTTCGAAATTTTTTTTTTTGAAAAAAACTTTTTCAAATTTCCTGTACCGTCCATTTTCATGGCCTTGAGCAAGATTTTTTGCCGATTTTCCACTTGAAAAAATGGGGGAAAAACGGTGTTCCTGAGGGAAATGGACAAATTTTTCAAGTGCTCCCGCAAAGGCGGCTCTTGAAAAGAGGAGGAGTTTCTACTGGGTTCTGTCCAATCTTTTTTGATATTTTTCATTGACATTAACGTGAGAATGAACTTTTTTTTGGTGCGTTGAGAAGATAATTAAAACCTCCATTTGGTGGAAAAAAAAAGTTGCCCAACTGAAAAGAATGACCGAAAGTTTGAACTGAACCTCGGATCTGAGATTGTTAGGTTGAAGTGTCCGTCACTGCGCTATTTTAGCTGAATTGTTCCCAAGCGTTTTTGACCTCTAACACAGTTTTTTCTCGATTTCAAAAGCTATTTTGGAGGTTTAGAAAGATTTGTCGAGGGTTTATTCCAGAAATAGACGTTTCTAATCAGATTATTAAAAAAAAGGAAAATTTTTATGGTCTATGGACTATAGAAGAGTAACTAAATATATTTTCATCGATCGATGAAAGTGAAAATTTGGTGAATAACATTTTGAAATTCTATTAACGTATCCGGAAACGTCTGTAATAACATTCGAAACTTTTGTTTGCGAAAAAAAGGAACCGGTTTGAAAAAAAAATATATATATATGTTTAACGCAATTTTTTGTAGTTTTTCTCCCCACGCAGATAATTCCCATTACTTTTTCCCATGATTACGTGAATTTCATTTATATTTTTACAATATCGAAGCCCTGCCAATATATTACTAGGAAAGATACTTGCATGTAAATCCAATTCAATTTGACTGCGCCGCGGCCCAAATTGTTCCGCTTCCGTTGCTCCAAATTACGCGCCCGCCCGTATCATCCCTTTGTTGCGACTCTTCGTGTTGTACAGGTTATTAGGGTAGGTTGATTTAATATTGGGAACATTGAATAGGTCAAATAATAAAGAATTTCAATGAAGGATGCAAAAAAAGGGTTTTTCTTGTCGTACTCTTTTACTGGAAACGGGGTTTTTTTTAAAGTTTTTTTTTTCGATTTTTCTCTCAATTCCCCTTTTCTCGGAAGTCGGAGATTTAATAGACAAAATGAGAATTAGACAATAATAATCCGATCAAGCCAAATTCTCAAATCTTCTCTCAACAAGAAAGTTTTTATTTCTTCAACAATGGTAACTTCATTTGAAAATTCTAGAGAATTGACTAACAGATTACTAGAAAATTATCCTGAAAGTGTCGAGCTTCCCAAAATCTAAAAAAACTGAAGTTTTTAAAATCGGCCGTTTTCGAACTTTGAGCCCATTTTTCTCGAAAACTGGGAATTTTGGCGTTAGGGGTTTGGATGGGTTTTTAAAAACAATTTTCAACTAACCAGAGAGAAAAAGTCCCCGTTTACGATCGAAAACCGGGACTTTTTTCCGACTTCTATTCTAGAAAATTCGAGCAGAATCTCGCTTTCATACTTCCGCATTGTCTCTTTTCCAAAGAAGGAAACATTCCGAACGATCCGTGTCAATGCCCCTCTCAACGGGGCACACTTTCAATCAAAGAAGATGGCTTTTTTTTTCATCTGGCGGCGGCGGTTCAAGTGAGACGACCGTATTTGAACTACTTCTTTGCTCATCTGATTTGTGGAGACGCCTTTTTCACTTTGAATTACAAATCAGTGATCTAGCAGAGGTTCTTTGGGGTTTCAGAGGCTTTTGACAAAAAAACTACTCAAACCCGCTAGTTCTTCTGAACTTTTGAACTTTTTCATTTTTTTCCTTTGTTCGGATTTCTGATTTTTTGAAGCTTCGCAACATCTCGTACGATTTTTCTTCTTGTTCCAACGACATAAAAAAACGAACAAAACTCTAGTTTATCCCACTTGAAATTGCTTAAGAAGTGCGAGAAGATCTCAAGATCGAGGAATTCCTTTTTCCGACACTTTAGAGTCCCGTTTTTTTTTTCCTGCACCTGGTTCTCACACGTGCTTTTTCTAAAAACAGCAGATGTTCCTTTTTGAAACTCCTATTTTTCTGAACTTTTTCGAAAGTTTCTGTTTGAAATATCATCATTTTTTCCGTAGCCTTTGATCCTCTTTGATGTAGGAAAAATAATCATTAAAGCTTTGATTTACTCGTCGAATCTCGAAATCTCAATTACGTATAAAAACTATAACTTTAATTTGGAAATCCGAAAAAAAATGATTTCCAAAACGTCTTTTTCGAGAAATCGAAAACTCTCACTTTGATCTTTTTGAAACTTCGTAAAGCGTTTTCTTGTTCAGAAAGCCCCACTGATAACAAAAATGTAAATATAAACAGATAAATCGCAAAAAAAAAAAAACGTAGTTATGTCACTTTGAAGACCGAAAATGATCAAGCCAAAAAGCTGTACTCGAAAAATAGAAAATTTTCATTTTCCAATTTTTTGAGATTCCAGAGCTCACTCAAAAATTTAACTTTAAACCTTCATTTCAAAAAATTATGCCGATAAATAACTTTTTTTTCGAAATTTCAGTTTGACCTAAATACAGTTTTGAGCGCATTATTGTGCGTTGTTTTCGAATACCACCACAGTTTTCTTCATAGCCTGTTCGAAAGAGTGTCTTTTCGGGGAAGTTCTTTTTTGGGGTTTCTGGAGAAAAGTTCCTAGAGCGTTCAGACATTTTTGAGCGTTCAGACAAGACAGCACGACATTGCGCGCGACGCTGGGTCGCCCCTTTAGAGGCCACTCTGCCGTTCCTAAGTACAAAAAGGGCTCGAAACTCTCCAGGTCAGCAAGAACTGCACGGACCCTCGAAAGTTTCCTTCTCCTCCTTTTTTGCCCCTCCAGTCTTTCAATCGAATTCCGCTAGGCGGCTCGGCTCGTTTCCGTACAGTTTGGCGCCGCACGTGCCTCAAACACTCTTGAAATTGTGCGGTGGACGCGGATGGACGGTCCGCAGAGGAGGAGGGGGCGTGCCTTCGCGAAGAATTATATTCCGATTTGACACTCTCCTCCGCTCATTTCACGCCACGCGCCTCATTCCAGAGCTGCTCCTTTTTCGGCGACTTCTCACATGAGCACCGCTGACCGGTCCAAAGGTTCGTCGAGTGACGTCATGTAAAAGACGTCAACTGGTAGATGGACAAACGAAGTTTGACTATTCAAGCTGCAAAATTTAATTTTTGAGATTATAGTTGATAGTCAGCGCGTGAGCTGATAGATGTTAAAAAACATAAAGATTTAAAACAAATTCATTTATTTTTTTTTAATGGATGCTTTGGCGTTATAGGTTTCTTGTGACGAAGTTTACGCTAGTTATGACGTCATTAGCTCATAATTCTGACTTCTATAGCATGTAGAAGCTAGAAGAAGAAAAAGAAACAATATTTGGAGCTCGATCACTCAAGTGCTCTGAAACTACTAAAGTGGTCACTAGCAATGCGCCGACACGTTCGCATTACCAAGGACTTGGTCCAAGGTCCGAGTACTTATCAAAACGGGCAAGATTAGACTTTCGTCTGCATCGTAGGATTTTGAAGTCATTACAGCTAATTATGACGTCATTGGTTAGTAACCTAAAGGTGACGTCATTTTTCAGTTATACCCTGAAACGTGATTAGGATACCATTAAAAACTGAAGAACGATCTAAAAAAATAATAATACCTTACAATTTTCCCACAAACATCCAGAAGTTGATTCCATGCACTTTTATACCTCGAGTTTGACCTCAAATTTCCAAGTTTCTCTCGCTGAAATGGATTTATAGCCGAAGTTGTTTGCACATCAATTCGTCTGTGTGTGCCAAATATACATATATGGAACGACTTTGCGAGCGTCAAATTAAAAAGGACAAGGAAAAGTTATAAAAAGGCGGCCGACCTCTCATCCTTCCGTGTTATTTTTGGTTTGACTGTCGTTTGTAATTTTCTCAAAACTGCAATCTTTCCTTTCCATTTCGAGCTTTGAAAAGCGTCAGACTTATAACAATAAGCGTTGTGCACACATTTGGAATGGCTCAAAGCGTTGCGGTCGCATTGCGGTTGAGCCATTCCAAGTATTCGTTTGACTCAACGTGTTGACCGCATATTGATAAGAAAAGCTTCAGTTACCACCGGTCAAGGTCAAGTCGTGATTATTTTAATCGATGGTATTAAAAAATGTTGTGTAATTATGATTTCGCGCTTGTGTGAAAGGAAGTTAGAAGGTTCGAATATCCGAAAATCCATGAAAATTGTCCTTTTTAGCTCAAATTTTGAAAAAAAAAGTCGGTCTCAAATCTTTGAGTCGTGCTTATTTTAGTCAATGATTTTTTGTTGGGAATTTAAGAACGGTCATTTTTGGACTTTATAAAAAGGAAGTTAGAAACTTTGAAGACTCAAAAAACTCTATTAATTATGATAATTTTTAGCTTGAAAGCTTCGAAAATCCCAAGTCTATGCAATTTCTAACCTTTTTCAATCTCGAATTCGCACCGATTTCCCGTAAAAAGCGAAGGTTTTTCAAGCCTCTCGAGCCGGAACGGCTGTTTTGACGGCGGTGTCTGGAAAAGGCGGCCGCCGTTTTTGTGTTTGTCTCCAGACTGACTAGCGCTCGTCCAATCACATATCGCTATCTCTATGTCAGTGCAAACACCGGACACCCCTCTGCTCATTTCTCACGCTTTCTTCTTGGTTGGTGGTTAATCTGTGGAACAGTTGGAGCTAGACTTGAGCTGGAGACATAGCTTAGTTGGTAGAAGGACTGTCTGAAGATCCTATATGTTCATAAATTATGGGATTTCTCTGTCTTTAAAAGGTTCTTGCTGAAGATCTATAGGCTTTCAGTTCAGTTATATTGATTTCTTGGCCAACTAATGACAATTTTCATTGACCAAAAGGTGAAATGATTGTCAGCTGTTCGCTGATAACTACTGATAGTTCATATTGATAAGCCCAAAACTGAAATTTAATTCACCTCAGATGCGCCCAACATTTCCAGTGGTCACTTTAGTGGTGACACAACTCTGAAGTGACCCCCAAAGTTGCTCAGAAGTTTCCGGGGCGTGTCCAGTTGAATTTCCGAAATTTGCCCAAGAAATAATCTTCATCAATGATTCATAGCGTTTTCAGTTTTACAAACTTTATTCTATTTACGGTCACCAAATGAGTTTCTAATCCTCATCTGGTTAAAACCTTTTCCTGAAACAAGAATATCAGCTATTTTCGGTCTTTTTCTCTACGAGAACTTTTTCGAAACGCGAGGAAAACGTCAAAATTTTTGTGACACTTGACATTTTGGGCCGCCGTTTTGCACTTGACGGACGGCTCCCGGCCATTTTGGGGACACCCAATTTTTTCCAGTTTTTTCTAGAGTTTCTTTTTTTTTCAATTCAATTTATTCAGTCTTCAGAGTAAGATGATGAAAATCTCTGCTGAATCATAGTATAATCCAAGAGTTAGTCGTCGGCGCAAGTTACGGTCCACAATCGTTATCTTTTTTTACTTTAAATAATTTACTTTTAAATTTTTTTGAAAAAAAGTTCATTGATTTTTTTCTCCAACTTTTTTTCTTAGAACTTCCATATTTTTTTCATATGAAACAAGCAAACGCCAAACAGAAAAAAAGGAGCGCCGCCGCTCCTTTTTGTTTTTCCTGTTCTTTGGGCCCCTTAAGCCTTCCGGAAAGACTCTTTTTCTCGTGGTCCGTTTTTTTCGCTTCCTGGAAGTTTTTTTCGCAATGATTCTTGACCAAAAAAATTCTCACAAAATCATGAAAGATGAAAAATTTTCTCACTCGTACTTGTTTCAAAAAGTTTTTTTTTAGGATTTTTCATTTTGAAACATGAAAATCGTAGTTGCTTCGATGCTGTATTATTCAGTGTTGCTCATTTTAGAGGTATAATACGAAGTTTTTACACTTGAATAATTCGAAAGTTTTGGAATTTTTCTATAAACTCTCTCGTTTTTTCCGTCTGGCTAGTCATTTTCAAGATTCTTAAAAAAACAGTGATTTTGGAGATTTTCGAAGTCGTTCCACTGGAAATTATTGATTTTCCGTCAAACTCCTCAGCTTTTCCCATATCAAACTTGACCTTTCGAAAATTTACACTTTCCAAGATGGTTTTATTACAGTTTCGCCTCCTTTTTCCGTCTGTTTCATTTTAAACTCGGTAGGCAAACCGGAAAAAAGAGGCTTTTCCATGCCAAATACGCGGTTTAGCCGCAGCGACAATTATCGTTCGCCTCAAAACCCGCCCATTTTCTTTTTTTTTTCCTTTTTCTCAAGCACCTTTTCTCGTCATTTGGAACATGCGTACAAAACTTGACAGGAATTTGATATCTTGGGCATTTTTCAGTTTATTAGCTTTTTTTCTTTTTTCCCGTGGTCTCGAATGCTTCTAAATTCTTTATACATGTGGGAAAAATTTGGTTTATGAATATTCGGATTACTTATAACTTTTTTTAAAGGCTTCCTAAATTCATTTGTGTTTATGTATTGATTCTTTCGGTTCAATCACCATTTTTTGATGTCATATGAAGTGAGGCCTTAGTTACCGAAGTTCAAAATTCGATTCAAAATGATTGAATTTGATATACATTTCATCACTACGAAATTAGTAGCTAAAAACTTACCAAAAGTCGTTATTTTTTATTTTTGAACGTCGATCTTTAGTAATTTTAGTAATTTTTTTTAATTGATGGAACTCTTTTTTTTGCTGATTTTGTAATAAATCTGATGAACAGAACCAACAAAAAAATAAATAAGAAAATGTTTTTTTCTAAAGGAAAAAGTTGAATAATTTTTTATCAATTATCGCCTTTTTCAATATTTTTTGTAGTCATTAGATAATAAAAATACTTTGCAGCGGGTTATATGCCGATCTACGATGACGTGGCGACGTACGGGAGCGAGACGACGTCGTCGTCGCCGTCGTCGCCCGTCTCCACCGTCCTCACCGACGCGTGCACTTCCAGTCCGACTTTATCTTCGAACGATCGACATTGTCCGGTTAGTATTTGCACCATTTTGTAGAGAATTTCATGAGGATTCTGAATATATACGTTTCATGTTATGAAACCCTACAGAAGCTGAGAAAATTGCGGAAAACTCAGGGACCCTGAGAAGAATGAAAGCTCAAACTCTCTTTTGATTAGAAATTGATCAAGGTTGTGAAATTGTTTGCTTCGTTTATTCATAAATCAATGGAAAGAAAAAAAAATGAAAAACTTTAAAGCTGCAAACATTTTATTTTACTTTAGACCAAATCCTCTTGAAGACTATTCGTTTTTTTTCATTTTTTTCTTTTTTGTATAGGACGTTTTTTTCCGTTAGAATAAATACCCCATTGTACATAATTCCCTGAAGGTCTCTAATATGTTTTTTTTTTTTCTTCAAACCGCAAATAATTTTTTTTTAGTTTTTTTATCTCCATTTTTTGAGTTTGAGATGAAAATTCAGGTCTACGAGAACCTAGAAGAGCTGACGCGCCTCTGCACCTACAGTTCCTCCTCGACGTCTTCGACCTCGCTTCCGAAGTCTCAGAAGCCGTCGCTGAACATGGACTTCCTCAAGTCCATCCCACCGCCGCCGCTTCAGGAACCCAAACAACCAGTTTATCCCTACATGTTGGTTTTTTTTTTTCGGAGACAAATAAGGACAGCTAATGTCGTGTTGAAGATCCGTGAACATTCGTGATGAACTAAGGAATAAGGCGAGAGAGAAGCGTCGATGAAGAGACGGCAGAGAAGTTATACGAATTTCTCTCTCTCTGGCGTCTCTTCAGGCGTCTGTGTATTTCTCGCTTTTTTAGGATTAGAATGCTACAGCTTCTAAAAAAAAGTAAGCTAAAGTCTTTAGCTCTCTTCGAACTTTTATTGATCTTTAGCCTAAAGATCAATAAAAGTTCGAAGAGAAAGCAGAGAAGTGAAAAGAATTATTTTCTCTGCCATCTCTTCAGATAACTTACTCTATCTAAAATTGTAGGATTGTGGAACAAAAATCTCAAAAAAGGCTAGAAGAGGCTGGAGACTTGTAGTAGAGATACCAGAGATAGAAAGAGTCTTAGGTCCTCTGCCGTTTCCTTAGCCCGCTGTTGATCTCTCGAGACCATTTTTGAGTTGAAACGAGAGATCAGAGTTTCCTGAGGAGACGCCAAGAAGTTAGAAAACTCTCTTTTTCTAGCGTATTTTCACGCCAAAGTTGATCTCTCGACTTCCCCTTTTCTTCTTTTTTTTTTTCTAATTTGACCTCCCTTTTTCGAGGAATGTTTTCTCGAGCTTGAAATTTTCCAAAACCAAAGTTCTTCTCAAATAATATGGATATAATTTGTGTTGTTCACAAAGTTCTTCTCTTTTTTGAACTTTCCGTTACTTGCCTCACAAAATCGCTTCATTTTAACTGGTTCTGGAAGATCCAAGAAGACTTCCTGAGAAATGAGGCGGCAAAGCCCCTCAACCAGTATAATGCCTCCACGCGTATCAATTGGTTTCGTTTTTCGTTTCTCTTTTTGGATTCGTCTGGGCCGACCCGTTCCGGTTTCGCGCTTGGCTGCATCTTTTTGATATTATCTCTGTTATTATGTAGTAGGAGGTTTAATGATTTTTTTTTCGGAATTTTTTCTATCTTTTCAATGAGCATGAACTGATTCCAGTTTTCGCTTTTTGGCATCTTGGACTTCTGATTTTTTGTTCTTTTGATCTCTCCCAAATTTGAGTACCATTCGTTTTTTTAAACCGAATTTCATTCTTCCACAAAAATTTAGATCATTTTAAATTTTATTAGCACCTGACCTTTATCAAAGTTCGAAAAATTCCAAAATTTTTTAAGGAAGCTAATTTTATTTTGCAGCTAAGAATTTCCTAATTTCTGACAGACTCAAAGTATGTTCTGGAAGATTTAATTTACTTAATTCTCTCGTTTTGAGAAAGAGAACCTCAAAGCCGGAGAAAAACCCTGAAATCCGTTAAAATGGGCTAATTTGAAACTTTGAGCCCTTGTTTCTCGAAAATAGAAAATTTTGCACATTCAAACTTTCCGTATCTTTTTTCTAACATCCAAAAAAAAGTGACTACTTTACAAAAAATCCCCCACTGAAAAATAAAATTAACTCCTTGTTGGGATTGCCTTTAAAAAAACCTTTTCTCTGAATTTCAGCGTAGTCATCTTCAAGCAACAATGTTTCCCCAATAAATCAAAGACCAAGACGATTTTTGTAATCCTAGACTTGGAGAAAGTGTTGCAGAGATTGCAGAAAAAGAAGATCATCCGCTTTTTTCCCGCCAAAAGGTGCGGTTTCCAGGGAAATCGTAAAGCTTGGGTGTAGGCTTGGAGAAATAATGGATATTTAATATGGGCATCGATTTTTAGAATTATAGTCCATTCAACTGCATAAGTATGCAAAAAGGTTTTTTCTTTTTTGAAGCAATAAAATAGAAATTTGAATCTATCATACGGCTTTTGAAAATGAATAAGATTTCTGAAAGTTTGATGACTCATTGGGCTTCTTCTAGACGGGGAATCTACTCACTTGGAAACGCGCTGGTCGCAAGGGGAATGGCTCAATAGATAATGTGAACTGCTCCCGACGAGAAACGACTTACGCGATGTTGAAGTGGTCTTTTTTGAAATAATGCGAGCTTTCAATTTGTAAATTAATCTGAGAAAAATTCAAGTTGTTATTCAAAACTTCAGAGATTAGATTGAACAGACTATATGGATAAAACTGTTCCTGAGGATTTGCAGTTGTAACATGCCCGATTTACACCTTCCATCTGGTTTCAGGGGCACGTCGACGTCGTCGAGCTCCGCCTCCAGCACCGGGACGTCGTCCTCGACGTCGTCGTCGCAGCGTCGGACGCCGCTCCGCCCGCTCGACATGCGGCCTCTGAGCGTTCCGCATCGGGAGATGGCACGGATCCAACGCGCCAATTCCCACAGGTTTTGCCCCGACTATCCCTATTCTCGGCACTATGAGCCTTTGGGCGTCTGCGAGCCCTGCGATATTCGGTAGGACGTTTTTGAGTCGAATTTCGGAGTTTGTTCAATTGTTTCCCGCTAGCTTACCTTTTTAGTGAACTTTTGAAAACTCAGAGCTTTTTCTAAAGGCTTTAGAAAAATTAGACTAAAGCTTTAAAATTGCCTTGAGAAGATCGGTAGGACGTTTTGAAGTTGAAGCCTCCGTTTTCCGGCTCATTTATCGCTTTAATACAATTTTAAAAGCTTAGATCTTCTAGCGTTTTGAAACTTCCCTGAAATGTTGAGTGGGACGTTTTTGAATGAAAGTTTTGAACTTTTTCATTTTCCTGACCCTTTACCGTTTTGGATTCATTTCAAAAACTCTGAAGCTCCATACGTTAGAACCTTTTTGAGTTGAAATTTCTAACTTTTTTCGTTTTCAGTATTCTTTTAGATATTTTCAAAGCTCCAAGTTCTTTTTGTGAAGCTGCTGCCCTGCATTTCTAGGTACGGTTTCTAGCGGACGCTCGAAAGTTTTATGCGCTCGAAATTCCCGAAAAATCGCTCTGACGACAAAACTTTTGATTTTTTTTTTCAAAGCTGAATTTGAAAGGAAAAATACACTCTTTTTCAAAATTTCAGACCTTTTTCGAGAACTTGAAAATTTTCTTGGCGGCTTCTCAATGATATCTGATTATGAAGACTTCGATAATTTTTAAAAGACGTGATCGAAAACTGTAAAAAATACTTTTTTTTTAATTTTAATCCTTTACAATCCAACTAATTGAAAGCTTTAGGACGCTGATCGTGATCCTGACAATGTGCACGGCGTTCGTCATCGTCATCGCCTTCAGCATTTGGTACTTTTTCGACGAAATCGACCATCATCTCAGTACGATTAGTGAGATCTTCTGAGCAGAATCGAAAGTTCTTTTTTTTTGCGATTTGTTTCAATTTATTTTTTTGATATCCCGTGAGCATCGAACACTGTGATAATGCAAGGAAAAGTGGGCGTGTCTCCCGTGACGTCATATTTCGAAGGGCGTGGCTTTAGTGATGTCATTTTTGTTTTCCTGAAACACTCCGAAAAAGATTAAACTTTCCTTTTCTAGTGATCTTAGTGAATAAAAAGCCACGCCCACTTTCCCGCGCCTCCTTGAAATTCCTTCAGGGGTCAGAGAAGAATGGGCGGGGTTTGAGTGACGTTATGCATTTTTCAAATGAGTAACGCCCCTTTTTTGAACCATCCTTCTATGAAGCTTCAGCGTTTGTACGACCTTTTTTTGCAAACTTATTTGTCTTTTTCTCTCCAGCTCTCTAATTATTTATGTTCTTTTTCAAACCTTCTTTTTTTACCATCAGAAAAACTTATATGTACAAAAAGGACGTTGAAAAACGTGAATTTTTTTCCGTGAATTATTTGTATTTGACGGGTTTTTTTCTATCATATCTTATTTTTGATTTTTCATGCGAAAAAAATCATTGAATAAAAAAATAAATGTTTATATATTTTTCACGCATGAAGATGATACCGATATGTTATGTACACGTTGACGCACGGAAGTGACCAATTTTCGAGAAAAAAAAAGATGAAATCGGAAGTTGAACGGTTGAATGCCCTTAAGCAGTCCCTAAAGGAGCACCGAGAAATAGATCAATAGATTCATGCTTCGTTATGAAGAAGAACAATTTCAACGAATGTGTATGGAATTATGACCATTTTTGGAATTTCTGACATCCCTTTAGCGTTCACTTGGAAAAGGAGATAGTTTGAAAAAATATTATGTAGGTGGAAAAAAGAAGGAAAATTTATGAAGCCACTGGATGGATAGCTTTTTTTTTCTAGGCAACCCCTTAGAAGCCCACTTGACTTGGTACAGCGGTTGAACGAAAATAGAAGAAAACCACCACAACCAATGAAAAAGACGAGCCAGAATCAAGAAGTAGCCCCTCAAGTGACTTAAAAAAAAGGAAAACCATCAATAAAAATGTTTCCGGAAGACCTCTATGAATACCGCTATAACAACCAGTCCGAAAGAAAAAGATAAAGTTAGAGAGTGGCCACTCAAGTGGCTCGATTCGTCTCCAAGGCGTCCTCCACGACGGCGCCAATCTTGCCGGACCTCGGATGGATCTTCGTGTCGTTGTTGCGGCCGAAGAGAAAGGCCGGCTGGTAGTCGTAGACGACCGTGACGGCGGCCACGATCAACACCACCGTCAGGCTCATCAGGATCAGCGCGTAGGCTGGCTTGCAGCTGAACGGCGGCGTCGGTCGGTACAGCGACGTCTCCGCCTTCTTGGCTTCTTTTTTTTGTTTTGACTCTGAAAAGTGATCACTTAAGGAAGTTTCATCTTTTATTCTGTTTTTACTTTGGAGAAGTGATCGCTTCAGGGATCTTCTGCGCCTCTATAAGACTATAAAGATGTAAAAGATAGATATATTCCTTTTGATAATAAATTCTGAAGACGCTGATTTGGAAAAATTTCCTTATTTCCAAATCCAAAACTTCTTTATGACGTCATTAATTTCGAACTAAGCTTGTATTCTTCAACTTCTCTCAACTTAACCTTCCTATTACATCATTCTGACCAAAAAAAAATGACGTCATACGTTTTCAAGAGAGCTCACTGGGGAGTGGTCGCTTAAAAAGCCTTTTTCAAGTTCCCACTCAACTTTTTTTCATTTCAACCGACTCTTAGCTGATCACCTGTTGCAAGTGTTCTTACTTCTGAAATTTAACCCTGAGGATTCACTTGAGGTGAATTGAACTAATTTACAGCTCACATCAGGAAAATTTCCAGCCAAAAAATCTGTTAATAATTGGTAACGTCATTCAGAAAATCAGAGCTTATTTTTAAATGAATAAATTTTTATATGAAGCACATTTCATTCGTCACAAAACTAAGAACTTTAATGATGAAAAAACGAAAAACCCACTCCCATTAGCAGTTTCTTCCGTCGTCTTGGGTTCATTCAGAGATTCGCCAGCAGATGACGTCGAGGCGACGGTGATGACGTCATCGTTGGGCGTCTTCGGCGACAACGGCTTCTCGTCGACGTCGTCGCCGCCACGCGACGGCACCATCACTGGTAGCTTTCTGCAAGGAATGACGTCACGAGATGAGCAAAAGGATGACGTCATCGGGTAAATAAATAAACAGTAAGAAGGTCGGTGACGTCATTGGTGCTTTTACCACCCTAGATTTTTTTTTTCGAAATTAGGTTTTAAAGCGAGGTTAATTATTTTATGACATCATTCAATGGTTCTACAGAAATAATCATTGTTATATAAACATGAAAGACATGAAAATTGAAAAAAATACTTCCGTGAACACATATTTATTATGTATTTACGAAAATTAACTTTATTAATGAGTTTCCTGGAACAGTAATGCTTTTTCTTCGAAACTCCATTCTAAGAATAAAGAAAAAAATATTTCAGTTTCTCTACCAGAAAAAAAGAGAAATTTTTCAGAAATGGGAATGATTTTTCGGCACGTTTCCCCTCTTTATTTCCATATTTTTATTGATCATCAACTGATCGTTTTGAATTTTTTATTCAAATTTTTTTTTGAGAACCATAAATCAAGGGATATGAAATTCACTTTCCCTTCTGAAAATTCGAATAGTCGCCCAAAATCACGGTTTTGAACTGGAATAATACAACAAATGTATGAATTTCGGGACAGAAATATCAAAAATTTAATTTTTACTTTTACCGATCTTGAACAGCACAAAAAAGTTGAAAATTTTCAAACTGTATGTCCAAAAATGTTACAAAGGAGAACAATGATGTTTTTCTCGTTGAAGAACATGAAAAAACAAACAAATAGAAAGAGAAGAACAATTGAAACAAGTTGTCTCGGGTGGCTGTTTGGGGAGAGAATCGTGTGTGAAAAGAATCAATCAATGATTATTGGAATGTTGAACAGGGTTGGAAACAATAAAAAAGAGAACTTCAGGGAAAAAAGCGGTTAATCACCATTCACAAGTGAGGTGACTTATGATTTCAATGCCCCACGCGCAAGTCGGTTTGAGTCCGGCGCAAAAAGTTACATCCGACTTGCGATCAAAAGCTTGTATAGCATACCCATCATCCCATAAAAAACCAAAAAGAATTATCAAATTCTTTACAAAAATAATGAAAAAACAAATTTCTCATGCCGTGTTCAAAATTATCTCTGATAAGGCTCCAAGACAACAAGACTTTAGTTATCTTTCTCGATCTGGGTCGGCTATTTTGAACTTAGCCGAATCACTTTGAACACGGCATCGTCCAACAGAGAAAAAGACTCCAAAAGACGCCAGAAATGAAAAACAAACTTGCGGAGGGCGGCGGCGACATCTCGGAACGATATCGCAGAAATTTTGCAAGTTTCAGAGAGGCGAATTCGTGGGAAACGAGGTTATCGAGGCGACGAATCAATGTGGCGGGACCGTCGACGATCTTCAACCGAAGAGAACGGCGACAGAGTGACCATTTAAGGGAACTTTCGGAGGGAAACAGTGTGTCGTAGGGTGGAGGGTGCCAGAGAGAGCGAGCGAACAGAACCAGTTGTTTTGCCGCATTTCTTTTCTCACCATTCAGGTTTTCTTTGACATTTTTTTCAAAGTTTATTTTTACGGAAGATGAAAAAAGATAAATGAATTGGGAAAATCGCCGCGAAAAAACTGGGAATATGTGCTCGGTGGATAAAGCAGAAAATTTCATATTTTTTTAATTGAAGGAAATTTTTTAAAGATCACCAAAATAATTATATCTCATTCAATCTCAAGCGAACTCATGAATTATTGTACCTTGACCCATCGAAAAGAGCCTTGAACAAGCTGAGAAGGCTGGAAATATTATTCAGCAATTGGTTGAAAATTAGAAATTTTACAAGGAAAAGCGGATCAAGCTTTTTGAAAATCATAAACTTTTTGTTTCTTTTTAGCTACGAAAATCTGAGGACATCATTTTCCATTTTAAAATCATCAAAAAAATCCAAACCTCAATTTCCCCTTGACAAACTCGACAGCCACCGCAGCGACATTCTTCTGAGCTCGACTGGAATCCAATTTAAGACTCAAATCATCGTTGACTTTCAAAATACCAGAAAGTCTCAGGTTCCGGCTGAAATTTCGAAAATAATCATTGAAACCACCTGTTTCATCAATTTTTTTAAAGAAAGGAGCTTTTTAAACGATTTTTTCTAATCTTCCACTTTCCTTACTTTTTTTTCATTGGAACGCTATTCTACATCAATTTAGTATCAAAACAAGACGTTTATATAGAAATAGTAAAGCGTAGCAATAGAAGGTTTCAAGTAAAACAGCAAAAAAATGTAAGTTTTTCGGAACGCAACAAAAATGGCTTTCAAAACATTAAAAAAAAAACCGAAAGAGAGAATGAGCCAAGTCCAAAAGGTCTCAAACAAGACTTTCGGAAAAAAAGGCCTCAAAGGCGTCTTCTTTTCTAGATCTTTTTCTGAAAAGGACCTTTTAAGGAGTCTTAAAAAAATAAAGCGGGAAAAAGGTGGAAAAAAGGAGATTCCGAGAAACTTTTGACACCTTTTTAAAATGCGCAATTTACAAATTCTCTCGTCAACTCATATACTTTAAGAAAAAACAGTTCAGTTAAGCGTGTAAAATATTGATGTCCTTATCGTTTTAATTTTCGTACTTTTTTTGGATTCAAGTTTTATTTTTCCGATGACACCTTTTATTTTTCAGTGAATTTGAGGAAACCTTCTAGGCGGCTCAACAGCTTCGAGAGCCACTGGATTACTGTAGGTGTACTGTGCTGCGGACTGAACTGGAACAAACTTTTTCGTGTCTTCATGCATCGGTTTGGCTGAAATTTCCACGCATGTAGACAGTACTACGGCGGCCGGTCAATACTGCGTCGTCAGTTTCGGAGCCAACAAAAATTTCTGATGTTTTTTCTTTTTCGAAAGCCGTATTTACAGTACCGCTCAAAAGTGTATTAAGTTTTGGTTTTTTGAGGATATCTCAGCGAGTACTTATCCGATTTATATATAACTTTCAGGGATAATGTAAAATATACTTTGAAACACATACGGTATACAAAGACATGTCCGCAATCACTGTAACGCGCTTTTAGGAATTTTTTTATCGAATTCAATTTTTGTTTTTTTATACTTTTATTAAATTATTATAAAAAAATAAATAAAAAAATAAAAGCATAAAAAAACAAAAAAATTGAATTCAATAAAAAAATGCCTATAACGCGTTACAGTGATTGCGGACATGTCTTTGTATACCGTATATGTTTCAAAGTATATTTTTACATTATCCCTGAAAGTTATATATAAATCGGATGAGTACTCGCTGAGATATCTTCAAAAAACAAAAACTTAATACACTTTTGAGCGGTACTGTATAACTATTTCTCGAGATTACAAGACAAGTCACATCACAAAAAACTTTCATTTTATTACCGAAAAATTATCCTCACTACCGTAATACGGCCGGTCGCTTTAAACAGGCGTGGCAGGTACTTTGACTTTGTAAAGAGTTTTCATTAAAGAAATCGATATTTTATTTTAAAATATTGTTTAGGAGTGTGATAAGATCCGAGAAACTTGATGAGTAGTGCAAAATATTTGATTTTAAATACCGATTCTTTTAATGGCTTGTTCATTGGACAAAACGAAAATTGTTCCAAAACGCAAAAAAAATGCTCCAAAACAAAATTTAATACTGTCTTGGAGCAACTATGATGAACACCCTTTTGCGTTTTGAAACATGCCTCGTTTCAGCGATGAACACGTCATAAACGTTAACTTAAAAATTAATTTTTTTTTTTTGAACTTAAACGGAAAAATATGCGAAACCCACATTTATTCTCTTCAGAATGGCTTCGAAACGAAGAATTACAAGACGAAACCCCAGATGACGACTGGCGCGAAATTCGTGATGGCCTTCGTTTTTCGCGTTGAAAACTTCGCCTCGGCTGAAAAATGGTGACATTTTTTTCGAATTATTTGTGTTATAGTCAATCCATCCTGACTTGAAAGGCGAGGGAGGCGGAGAAGCGGTCGGGACGCGTAGCGTGCGCGTATGCGGTTCTTGGAACGAATCCAATTAAAGCGCCACCGACTATTTAAAAAGCTCACCGCTCTTTTTGTATCTAATCTACTATTTTTTCAAGGCAAAAATGAAAAAGTCAATAACGAAATTAAAAAGACACGAAGAGAACGATAAACGAGTTCTCCAAACAGTGGCCTGCGCTTGAATTGAACTCGTGCCAAGAACCGCGGACGCGCACGCTACGCGTCCCGCCCACTTCTCCGCCTCCCTCGCCTTTCAAGTCGAGAAAAATTGACTATATAAGAAGTGTGAAATTTTGAAAATACGCTTTTTGGGGCGTCAAGGATCTTTTAAGGAGAAATTTCAATTTTTAATGCCGTGTTCAGAGTGATTCCGCGAAATTCAAAATAGCTGTCAGAGAAAGAGAAAGATAACTAAATTTTGGAGGGTCAGAGACCATTTTGCATTTCGCGGAAATTATTTTGAACACGGCATAAGACTTTCATCTCTCAAACTTTATGCATGAGTAATCTCGAACATTAGAAATCAATATAAAGTCTCAAAAAACTCGTGAAATTCAAAATAAACAGCAAAAAAACGACAGAGGAAAGATGAAAATGATGGGATTAGTGAGATTCAATTCATGGTTTGTAGGCCGAGAACAAATGCGGGCACTATTGGATTTGTGCATAATAAGGTTACGTAATCTGAGCTAACGTGAGCAATAATCAGCTAACCTCATCTTTCCGATGAAAAATCTCGTCGAGAGCTTCCACTTTGATGATCCCTGTTGTCATTTCTGAAGAGAAAAATGATCACTTGAAAAGTTTGGAGAATTCAAAAACGAGAGCAGAGAAGCTGAGTGAACACTTGAGGGTTTTTGAAAGCTCCAGAGCGATTATTCGAATAAAAGTCGCAACTCAAGGAGTCTGATAAACATTGAAGTGAACAAAAAAGAACGACCTGATCTATTAAGTAACGGGAAACATTTTCGAAAATTATTATTTGAATGATTTCAAAGTCGGGGCGCGCCGTAGCGCAACAGGTTGTGTGCCTGTCTACGGTTCACAGGGTCACAAGTTCGACCCCGCCCCGACCCAACCAAGGGGTTTAAGAAATGTTGGTAGTGGGAAACCACGGCTTCATAATCCACAGCCGTCACACACAAGGACGGATATGTCACTGGAGCCAGTCCACTGATATCAGGATAGGACCTCGGCTAATCGACTTGGGGCGCTGACGCCGCTCAAGCGGTACAAAGGCGTAAGAAGAAGAAGTATGATTCAAAAGTCGCTTGAAAGGCTCAAGAGACGATAAATTGAAATCAGAGGGATCACTTGAGGTGCTTTTTTAAAACAGCTTTAAGGAAATTTACAAGGGAAACTTTTTTTTTCTGAAACAGACATGTAATCTTTTTTTATGCGTTCAAACGAATTTCAAGATTGAGCAGAAAATTGGAGCGAAAGAGAAGACAAATGAAGAAAATTGGATGGGCTTTCTTCGAAATTACTCGCTTTTTTCTGTCCTTTTCGTTGTTTTCGTTGTTTGAGGTTTGTAGGAGACATTAAACTACAAAATCAAGCGCTTTTTTTGAAATAACATTTGGAAATTCATATAAACGTAGCTTCATTTCCTTTTCGGACGTGAATTATTTTCTGAAAAATGAGTTTTGAAAATAGGAAGTCACTCAAAACTGACCGCCGTGACGTACTCAAAAAGTCAAGATCCCCCGCTTTTTTGCTCTGCGCCAACTATTGTGTGCGATGTTTGCAGAAAGGGCGTGGTTTATGAATATCACACTTTTAAATGTTTTAATATCAAAAGAAAAAGAAAGTTCAAAAAGTATTATGATACTGAGAAACCAAATCGTCTTCTTTTTTTCTATTTGCCATTAGGTTTTTGTTTGTTTTTTTATTTTTATTCTGAGCGAACTGAACCTGGGAGTTTGTTGATAAACAGGATTAACACTAAGGTAACATGAAGAAATGTGATTTATCAGTGTTTTTATTGATGTTTTTATCAATAAAAACAACATTCAAATAACTCAATCGAAGTTCTGGAAAGTCGGAACAAAATTATGAAAAAATTATTTTTAGGGAGAGTCATTCTATTTTCTGCGCTACACAACCAAGTTTCCTGTGAAAAAGTGAGAATTTCACATTAAATACTTCTAAGACGATTGCTTTGGAGCTGCACCCGACCAAAAACTACTTGTGCAAGGCTGTATCGGAACTCCTGGAAGAAATCCATTTTGAGCGCGTGTCTAGTCTTTTTGGGGCAATTTTCGTCAGAAATATCTTTCTTGAAGTTTTTTTAGGAGCAATCCAACAGATTGTGAGAAAAGCTTAGAGAAAAAGGATCAAAAAATTTTAAAAATTTCTCAAATTGAATCGGGACTGAGGAAAGAGAAGAGCGGAAATCGTCACAAACCCAAACCAAAATCAGTATGAAGGAAAGAGGAACGGTCAACCACAAACACGACGGTCAAACCGCCTCGCGAATAGATACAACTTCCTCCTCAAACAAAGGGCCCGAAAGCTTGTACGAGAAGCTCGTCGACCAACAAACCTCCTAAGTCCTGGCTTACATTTGAAAAATTGGCGAAAAATTGGAGAAAACAGATTAAAATGGAAGAAAATACTCTGAAATTATGTCTTTCTAAAATAAAATTGTGAAATATTGTCGCTTTCATGAGCTGCAATTCCGCAAAACCAGTCAATTTTTTTCTTTTTTTGATTTACCAAGTTTCAATAGAATGCATGGAATTTGCGGAGACGCAGAGAAACAAATCTTTGATTATCAATAACTGAAAGATTTCCCGCGGAACGGCTCGACGTCTTCTTCCGGCTAGAGATCACGGAAAGTTCGGAAACGCAGAGAAAAATGATATTTTAGTCGATTTATCGAAAATTGTTCTTGGAATGAACACTTCGAGCTGCACCCGACCGAATAGGAATTTCATCTTTGAGACATATTTGAGACAAGTCAGACATCTTTTAGCTTTTCATTCCAAATGAGATCAGGAATTTTTAAAAGAAAGAAGATGATGCTGATTCACCATCATTCTCATAAAAACCGTGACTTTTCCCTCATTTTTCATCCTCCTTCAGAGTTAAGTAGTTTCTCTTTTTCTTCTCAACCTGTTGTGGAAATTTTCAGAGAGGAAAAACATCTGTTAAAAATGGATTCTTTAATCGACAAGAAAACGCAATATCTTGCGGAAATCCCCTCGCTTCCCATCAATTACATTATGGTGAGCCTCTTTCCAAATTTCCAATTTTTAAATAAATTTTTTTGTAGTTATCTCTAGTGGCTACCGTCTCCCTGAGCACAATTGCCGTCTTTTTCTTGGCTTTTGTCCGAAGTTTTCAGCAAAAAACTACCAAAGAGCAGAGTGTGGATGTTGTCTTTTGCCTCATGATCGAAGAAAATGGGGATTTTTAAGAGAATCAAAACGGTGAAATGGCACCTGATGCCGGAAATAACGCAAGCCCATAAAACTTTGAAAAAAGAAAGGACTTGGATCGCCAACCAGAAACATTCGAACAGCAGCCACAGTAGCACTAGAAAGAAGCCACAGGTCGGTTTTCGGAGTATAAAATATTTTTTATTGATTTTATTCACAAGTTTTCATTTTTTTTCAGAGTATTTTTTTACAAAAAGAGAGGCAGGAGTTACCCGTTTCAGTATCCTGGATCAAGTTGAGGACATTCTAAATGCTCGGAAACTTGCGTGAGTTGATTTTACAAGGAAAATTTTTTGAAAAAACGAGGAATGGCTTGAAAAGATGAACTGAAAAAAGAGCTGAAGCGTTTGCGCCCCACGGGTATACACTGGAAAAAGCCCTTTCATTTGAAAAAAAAGTCTTTTTTCGTTGTTATTTCAGCCCTTCCAAGAGACTAGAAGTACTGAAATTAGGATTTGACATTCGAAAGAATTTTATTTTTAGCTACGATACTTTGCTTGAACGCAAGTAAGTAGTTTGACTGATTTAACATGTGCCTGACCAAAGACGGTTTGCGCTCCTAGGTATGATTTAATTGAGCTGATGCAAACCGCGACGCTTCGAGCCATTCCTCGTGCGACCACCGCTTCTGAAGTCTCGAAGTTTTCAGAGCATCTGAGCAGAAAAAAGCTTCGGAACTCACCGCGGCACAGTCAAACATTCCCGAATCAAACGTAATTTCGGATTCCGGCGAGAAGCATTTCAAACTTCTTCGCAAAATCCTGAAAGCGGATGGGGCGACGTCGAAGACTGCCGCCGAAATGACCAAATCGGAGGTCAAAAGCGCCGAAATTCAAGAACCTGACACTCAAAACGAAACGAAGTCTAGTCCGCAGTCTACACAGCGGTCCAAGAAGAGACAATAAATATCGTTTCTTTTCATCATAAATATTATTTCTTTTCATCATTTTCTGACTTTCAAACTGGATGTATTTATTTTCACAACTTGCAATTTGATAAAGAGATCCTTTTTGCAAGATTTAGTGGCCCCTATAGGCTATATAACAGGCGGTGCCTGAAGAACCTTCAAGGGCCTCTGAAGTTGTTCCTGTATGGACTACTCTGAAATGCGTAAAAAAGGAATTACCAAATCACAAAATTTATAAAAAAATTTAAATTTTCACGCAAAAATACAAAAAAGCGAAATTCCGTGCACCTCCCCCATTATTCATATCGCTCGCAGCTACTCCAAGTGATTTCTTCAAATTTTCTACTTTCTGATCAATTTTTCTAGAAAATTTCGCAGAATGGACAGTTTAATCGATAATCGAGTGGATTATATCGCAGATGCGCCGGTGGCGCCGGTCAGCTACATTTATGTAGGCTTTTTTTTATTTATTGAAAATTGGCGGTCATTTTTCCAGTTGGTTTTGGGAGCTCTTATCTGTACGAGTACTCTAGCATTTCTCGCCTTTGCTTTTTCCCGAAGTCATCAAGCAAAAGAAGAAAAATCCAGGGCGGATAGGGTTTTTTTTTGGATTTGAAAAAAAAAAACCTTCGAAGTTCTAGACAGTGAGAATAGCAAAATGGCACCTGATGCCGGAAATTATGCAAGCTCATAAATTGTTGAAAAAAGAAAGGACTTGGATCGCCAATCAGAAACTTTCCAATAGCAGCCACAGTAGCACTAGAAAAAAACCACAGGTCGGTTTTTAGTGATAAGAAATTATTTTCCTAACGATTAGGAGATAAATTATAACTTTTCAGAGTATATTCACAAGAAAAGAGGCCAATGTAACCAGTTTCAGTATTCTAGATCAAGTTGAAGACATTTTAAAGGCTCGGAAACTTGCGTGAGTTGATTTTACAAGGAAAATTTTTTGATAAAACGAGGAATGGCTTGAAAAGATGAACTGAAAAAAGAGCTGAAGCGTTTGCGCCCCACGGGTATACACTGGAAAAAGCCCTTTCATTTAAAAAAAAAGTCTTTTTTCGTTGTTATTTCAGTCCTTCCAAGAGACTAGAAGTACTGAAATTAGGATTTGACATTGAAAAGTTCGATTACCACTTGAACAGATTTGAGTTGATTTCTGAAAGAATAAGACTCGGACCTTAAAACATTTCCCACGCACTTCAAAACTGATTGCGTGGGGATTTCTGTTATCTCGGACTCAAAAAAAAAGTTCGATTACCACTTGAACAGCCACTTGGCGCTGAGTCGTCCTGATGGCCTGGAGGAAACCCGGCGATTTCCCCAAATTAATTCCCATTCAAAGCTCAAAAATAGTTCTAATATGTTCCAAGGGCAGTTGTGAAAATCTTTTTTGGGGAAAAAAACCTTATTTTCGATATCTTTAAATTTGGCTTCGAAATCTTGAATAACCTCGAAAGCTGTTGTTTTTGATAGTTTTCATCACTTTTACAGTTTCAGAATCGCCGCAGCAGAAGCCGAGAAGCAAAAAGCGGCCCAAGCTGCTTTGGCGGCCAAAGTTCCAAGAGATCGGCAAGACTCTGCGGAAAAAATCATCAAGAAACGAGGCCTTAAAAAGTTGGGCAGCAAGGAAAAGCCAAAATGTGACGAGGCCCTGAAGTCAAACGAGCCGAGGCCAGTGATCCCAGAACATGGCCCAAGGTCGGAGTCCAAAACGCCTATGCCCACCGCGAAATCCCTAAGCAAAAAAGCACCCAAAACAAACTCTATTATATTGTCTGAAAACCAACTATCCAAGGAGCCTGAAAAGAAACAACAATAAACATTTGTACTTTTCAAATTTACCTATTTTAAAACCACGGTAACAAAGTTGTACGCAGAGTGAACAAATGCATTTAACTTCACGACTGTTTGGACAAAATAGTTTTAAATATTTTTTGAAAGAATTATCTAACTTTTTTCTGGATTCTCATTCATTCACGACTTCTGCGTAGTTTGAGGAGAGCGCAAAGTTAACCAGGTGAGTTTTTATTCGGTTTTCTCCTTGAAATTTGCGTTTCAAAGCAGAAAAATGTGGATTGAGCAATTTCGTTTTGTTTTCCTAGTTTTTTTTGTTTTCGATATTTTTTTTGGGGAAAGAGAAGGATTTCTGTTCATTTTTTCATATTTCTCATATACAACTACAAGCTGTGCAATATTTTTTGCAGAAAACCCCAAAAAATGACAGCAACATCGACCTGGAAACGATTCCGACGCGGATTGCCCATTTATTCTTGGCCTATCCTAGCCGCCGGCCTCATTTTCATCGACTGGAATCACACCCGTGAGTGGAAAGCCGCCGGAAAAGTTTCTACACTCGAAGTCGAGCTTCTCAACAAGGGCAAGGCGTGAATTCGCGTCTGCATTCATCTAATTTCTATTACGTGTCATTCAGACTTTAGAAGTGTCTTAGTTTTTTTTTTCGAATTTTTAATTTTTCATCATTTTTTATCTCGATAAAGTTTTCAGTTTATGTTCGGTGTTGTAGATTTGTTCATAGAAATGATCCCTCAAAAGACTTTTCTTGAAGTTTCCGCAGTATTTTAAATTTTCTTGAGGTTTTCATTTGCACTCGGAGAAAATGAGCATTGAAGCGAGATTCAAAGATATTCATCCTGACTTTCAAGCCTTCAAAAAACTTTTGAATTTCTTCCATCTCTAAATTTTGGCGGAAAAAAACCTTAAACTTGCTTCAAGTTCATTTAGATCTTTATTCGTCGTAAGTTTCGCAAGTCGCGAAAATCTTTGAATTAGTGAATTGATATGTGGTCTTTTTGTGTGCTCAGCGGGTGGTCGAAGTTCGGTTCCTAGAAGTTGTGGAAGTGGAGCCAGGCCTCGACTGTTCGATAGCCAAGTGATCGGCGCGTTCGACGTTCCGCGTCGCGTTTGCCTTGGTCATTGGCGCAAGAATGTTTGATCGCAGTACCTAAAAGATCGGTTTGAAACAGAAATAAACTTCTCAAGGATTTATAGTCTGTTTACCACGACTTCGAATTTCATCAAACGACATTCCGCTGTGCCGCTGCGCGCCTTTGCGAACCTTGGCCGCGCTTTCAATTTTTTCTTTCTTTTATTAAGGTACACTGCTTTCATGTGCTCCCACAGCAAAAACAATCAATCGAAAGCGTGACCTAGATTCGAAACACGCTTCGCCAACGCACGAAGCGGAACAGCGGAATTTCGTTCCGTGAAATTTCAAGTCTTGGAACACAGACTATAGTATTGATGGCAGGTTTCGAAATAGATTTTCTTACGCCAGTTTTGAGTTTCTGCTCAAAAACTGGCAAGAAAGTGTGTGAAAAAGTTACGACCTATTCAAGTGGATTTAAAAAAAGGCTTTATGATCGAGCTTTAATGGAAGATGAAGCTAGCCGCGGTAATCACGGAAAATTTATTATAGTCTGTTCAGGTTTTGAATGTCAAGCCGTCGCTCAAGCTCCGCCCATAATGGTGCGAAAAACCAATCAGAGAGCGAGCCATCCACAGAGCATTTTCGAATAACGTCATTCCACTTGATATTCAAAATCTGAACAGACTATATGTGTTTTGAAACACTTTCGGACCAGGAAATGATCATTTCAATTTTTCACATGCTCTAAGTTTGCTAGCAGGCGATGCTACACCGCTCGGCGAGTATCACAGTTATTCGTTACAGTGAACATAATTTTTTACCAAACAACTTGTAAAAGGTTATTATGATCTGATCGAATACCGTGTAAATCTCAGCCATCGTCAGCAAGTTGTTGTCGTACGAGACTTTTAGTAAGTGATAAGTTGTCATCGCGAGATCCTTGGCCACCGCCGGTTTGTGATAAGTGAACGAGGCGATGTGGTAGATGTTCACAAAGACATTTATTAGCGCCTGAATCGTTTTAAAATGAACAATCGCTCAAAAAAAGTTTTCCAGGTTACGATAGTTCGAGCGACGCACTATTGCGCGCAAAATCCGCAAATACAGCTTATGTAGTTTCGGAAAATGTTGATTTTTTTGCAGTTAAATTTTTCTTTTTATAAATTTATGTCATAAATTTTTGGCATGCTGGAAAAAGTCGGTCGGTCGGTTTGGAAAACTAGGCCACGTCGTAATTTTTGCTCCATGGAAAATCGAATTTCAGACTTTTTTCTCTGTTTCTATATTTTTCCTTCCTTTTTATCAGTTTTCTAGGATATGGGACACATGCTCCTCACTTCAAAAACTGTTCCTTATTTATCATTGTTTCCCTAGGTAATGTTTTACCTTTTGTTAAAGGTAATTTTGTTTCTTGCCTTTTTTGTGTGTTTTTTACACATTACCTCACTTTCCGATTACTTATAAGTTTCCATTTCACTCATTTGGTTTTATTAATTTATTTTGTATCCAAAGAAAAAAATTAATAAGCACTTTCAAAAATTGAATCAGTTTATAATTTTGAATGTAGTAACCATCGTATTTTACTCGCAAGAACGATACAGTTGAATGGAAATAAGCGAAAACCTTCTTAGTAAAAATTAAAAAAGAAAAAAAATTCAGAAAAAAATTCAAAAAGAAAAAACAGTTTGAAATTCTAAGTGTTCCATGGAGCAATATTGCGGCTTGGCCTAGTTTTCCAAACTGACCGACCGACCGAACCGACCGACTTTTCCAGCATGCCATAAATTTTACTTTTTTTCTCCCTGTATAACGATATTTTCAAATACTTCTCAACTTTAAATAACGCATTTCTCCGATTTTCGATGCCCATCTATGTTTCTTCCGAGGATAAAAGACAGTTTTTTTTTGAGTTCAATACTTGGTTTTCACCGTTTTCACCTCCGATGAAAAGATGAGAAAGTAGACAGCGGCTTTTCCGAGTTGCGCGGTGAACAAAAAGCTGGCCGCGACGAATTCAGCGGCTTTCAACGCATCCGTGGCTTGTTTTGAAGTCAACCTACCCCTCGCAGCGGTCGCCTTTTTCCTCCTCTGAGCGGCTCCTAAAACGAAGCGTTGCGGTTGCGAAGCGGCTCTCGCTCACTTTCGTAGGTGTCCGTGTAGGTGGCAGTTCGCGACGAAAGTGACGAAATCAGTGAGCTGCGAGGTGTCGTCGAATCGGATCCTTGCAGAGTTGCTTGGGCTCCGAGCTGCCGGGCCGTGTTAATGTCCTGGAACTTTTGCGCCTTGAAGATTTTTCTTAATTTTAGTTAAGGTTACCAATTCGTTACGTTCGTTTGCTTTGACTTCAGCCATTGTTCCTGAAAAGGAAATCTTATTACTTTCCAAGAGTTTCGCCTGAAATTTTCTTAATGTCCGGTTCAAAGGCGCAGAATTTCTTAAATGACTAAAAAGTAACGCGAAAAATTTTCGCTTTTTTACCTAAATGAAATTTTTTATGCCTTTTTTAGACTTTAAAACATGGTTTTCGAGACATTTCCTGTTTTATGACTTAATGGTGTTTCAAGAGATATAAATTTACCCCGTAAATTTGATTCTTTCTCAGAAGCCGTATTTGAATATACTTCAAGTTTAAGCTTGTAGGATGTTTCAGAAGGGCAAAAAAAAACTTTGTCACATAACGAACCGCGAGTGGTCTGCAGAAGTAGATGCGAGAGCCGGTGATTAATGTGAACTAATTTGTTTTTCACATGCATTTCAACGACACGTCTTCTTTTTTTTTCGGTAATTGAAAAACTTCGTCTTAGTTTCGTTTTTTTTTTTTTCTCCTCTGCTCTGTAACCTTGGCCTTCAGGCGTCCAAGAACTGCGTTCATTTTAAAGTTCTTAATTTTAAAAAAAATAGGCATGTATTTGATGCTAAAGGTACCTTTCATAGCCTTTTCGATCCAGAACGGATGATTCCGAAGCATGTTTTGATTTCGCGGCAAGTTCCGTTTCTCTCTCAAAAGCGGCGTGAAATTAATGATTTGCGGACGCCGAGAAATACGCAACAACCTTTGTACCCCCGGCATTGATATCACTTGGCTGGTTTGTACTGATTCTCGTCCCATGTTTTCCGATTTCTTTTTTTTTTTCTTGAACAGCTCATTTTTTTTTCAACTCCGTTTTGAAACTTTTACTCGTTTTCTTCTAAACGTTGCTCTCTTTTTGACGTTCTGAAGCGAGAAATACGAAGTTTCAGGAATGCTGTCCGCCAGATCCATCTTGACAAGGGCCGCACGATCCAGTAACGTAAAATATTTTTTTCATATCCGAGAATTTTTTTATAAATTTGTGAGAGATATCAAGTTTCCGAGGCTTGAAATTTAGAAATTCCGTATGTTATGTTCATCTAATCATTTATGTATTTTTATAATTAAGATCCAATTTTTTTGAAAAGATGCGATGGTTCAAAAAAAATATAATGTATAATTACTTTCACTTTGAAAATAATAAATCATAAAAAAAGTTCGAGGCGCACACCTTAATATTGTTATTTTTATTCGAATTAGAAAGCAACTCGAAGCCGAGAAAACTTCAATTCATCGTCCTTTTTTTCTTTTTTTAAACATTTCATTCAATAAGATTGAATCAAAAAGAAGTTACGTTTTTCATACTTTCTAGAAATCTATCCTCATTTTTTGTTCAAAATTAGGATTTCCACGAGAGCATTCTCCAAATCAGCCACGAGAAACTAATATACGAGTTTGAAATGTATATTTTCGCCTAGAACTTGAGTTTCAGAGCTCCCGCTTGAGCAGCACCTTGGTCATTGCCGAGCACGACGATGCCAACTTGGCGCCGATCACTTTAAATGCCATCACGGCTGCAGGAAAGGTTTAAATATCATAAGAACGTGGACTATTCATATAGAAACTTCTAGATTTAACTAATTGATTTTTGAGAAAGGTTAAGAAAAAAACAAAAAAATAATTTGACAATATTTTTGATTTCAGCTTGGATCAGACGTTTCTGTTCTTGTTACTGGCGCGAATTCGAAAAAAGTAGCTGAACAGGTCGCCAAAGTCGCCGGTGTCAAACGGGTTCTCGTCGCTCAAGATGACAAGCTCAAGAATAATTTGCCAGGTGGGGAAATGGGAAAATTGATTCAAGTCAACGGAAAATTAGAGAATGAAGGAGTCAAGGTGGTATCAAATTCATTAAAAACGATGAAGTGTTGTTAAACGAGACAAAAATAGTTGTAAATTACCGGAATCACTTCTGATTTCGAAATAGTAGTGAAGAATGGATAGAACCCCAAAAAATAAATTTTCATAACATGCCCAAGAAAAAATCCCGTTTTAGAAAAAAATTCATTGAAATTCAATTGAAAATTGTTCAAATCTGTGACGTATTTACTAAATTTTCATCTTTTTCTACAAAAGAATAATTTTTTTTTATTAATTTTGTCCCGTACAGTTTATTCCAGACCATAAAAAGCAAATTTTTAAAATACGACATGCCGCGGCAAATTTCAAGATAAGTTATAGGTTAGTAGTAATTTTAAATGCTTTTTATATCACTCGAAATAATATTTACTCTTTTAAAAGTTATAATCTGAATTATCTAGCCTTCGAATCGCTAAATCGGAAAATTATAGGATTATATTATGATTTTTTTCAGAAACCTTAGTAAGGGAGAAATGTTTATTAAAAATTTTTTTCAAATTTAATTATTAAACACTTTTTGAAAGATGTCTCAATAAAATCATAAAAGTATGCGAATTTAATATTATCATTTTTGGAACTTCAGAACGAGTCGCGCCAGTAGTGTTGGCCTCGCAGAAACAGTTCAACTTTTCCGCGATTACCGCGGGTGCATCGGCGTTCAGTCGCGGATTGATCCCCCGGGTCGCCGCCAAGCTCAACTCTTCCCCTATCAGTGATGTTACTCAGGTGAACGTTTTTCATAACAGTTTCAGAGTGATAATATTCAGAAAATTTAGTTTTTCTGTGAAAAAAAAGTCATATTCTCATCAATTTCTATAATATTTCACAGATCCACTCGGCCGACACGTTCTCCCGCGGAACCTATGCGGGAAATGCGATCACCAAGGCAAACTAAAAATGTTTTATAAGTCAAAAAAGTTGGGTTTTAGGTGAAAAGCGAGGCGCCAGTTAAAATGCTCACTTTCCGTGGAACGGCCTTCGAACCGGCCAAAGAAGGCGGCAGTGGCGCCGTTGAGAATGGTTTAAAGAAGGACTCTCAATGAAAAAAAAATTATATATATATTTATGTAATGAGCAAAAAAGTGCATTGAAAAGTAGTATGACGTTTTGAAGGCGTTCCCTGGTCTAAATTTGGGAAGTCTTATTCCAAAAAAGATAAGTTCAAGTGGCTGATTCAGGAAAGGAAAATATTTTAGGAAAGCAAAATTTCTTCTCTTCAATTTATTGTCATTGTTAATAATGAAACGGAAATGAATTCGTAGATAATCATCGTAATTACGTTTTTCAGCCCCGAGCGGTGATATCAAGACGGAACAGTCAGAGTTCCTCGGCCAGGAGCTCAGCAAATCCGAGCGACCCGACCTCGCCACGGCGAAAATTGTAATTTCTGGCGGACGTGGGCTCAAGAGCGGCGATAATTTCAAGGTCTTAAACGTTCTGAGAAAATTTTGGAGGACACAATATAAAAATTAAAGGAACAAGAAGTAGAAGAACCAAAGTAAAGTTTAAAGAAAACGAAGGTTCAGGCAGTTCTTGCAATATTTAGAACGTGCAAATGATTCCTTCAGCTTTCATTAGAACTTTAGAAAACTTTGAAGATTGTAGTTTTATTAAGAAATTTTAACGAAAATATCGTTTCCAAAAAATTTGAGAAATTCGCAACTAATCAACAAATTATTTGATTTTGTACGTGATTGCCGGCAATTTCACTGTAACAGCAACGTAGACACGGAAATTTCGCCGATTTTCAGAGAATTCAGCTAGAAGAAAGAATAATTCTTGTTTTAACATGTTCCTGACAGCTCATGAACTTTTTCCAGCTCATCTACGACCTCGCCGACAAACTCGGAGCTGGAGTTGGAGCTTCTCGGGCGGCTGTCGATGCCGGATACGTGCCCAACGACATGCAAGTCGGTCAGACCGGAAAGATTGTTGCTCCGGTGAGTGGGAAATTTAATGCAATCCAATTTTTATCAGATGAATAATACAAATTTCGTACGGTGTCTTTGAAAAAGTAGGAAAAAAACCCTGAAAGCTTATAAAACAACTCAACTTGAATTCGAAATCATTTTACGAAAAGTTTTAAATTCAATAAAATAAGCTTGATTTTAGGAGCTCTACATTGCCGTCGGAATTTCCGGCGCCATCCAACATTTGGCCGGTATGAAGGACAGCAAAGTCATCGTGGCGATCAATAAGGACCCTGATGCGCCCATTTTCCAGGTCATTTTTTTGCTTCGCGATCGATCAGTTTTTAAATTATGTAGCTTCGTATTCACTGATTGATTCTTCTGTCATATACGAGTTTTTATTCAAAGTTGTTCATTTTGCGGAAATAACTACTGGTTATCTAAGAGAAAATGAAATTATTTCTCAAGTGATGGCTCCTTCTCAAATGTTCAACGTAGTGAAAAAATACTTCAAGCTTCATACATCAAATTCAGGTCGCCGATTTCGGTCTGAAGGCTGATTTGTTCAAAGCGGTCCCAGAACTCACAGCTGCTCTTCCTTGAACTGTTCCATTTTTTTTTCATTTCATTTTTAGAGATTCTCTGTCGAATATTATCTTAAATTATTCTCCGAACGTGCCTGACTAGTGACTAAATAAATGTGATCGAATTTACAAAATTTTATTCTCGAGTTTGGATTTTTTTTTGCCGTTTTTTCGTTGTTTCTAGACATGAAAAGAGGTGGGCGAGAATAACCCGGCGTAAATAATAACAAAAATGAGGAAATCGAAGACGATTCGGCAGAATAGCTTGTTGATTTTCAGGAATAAATTTACATTTTCAAGGCCTTCAAAAGGTGAAAATGAACAAAATCTCAACAAGTTACCCTTTTCAGTACGAATTCCATAAAATACACAAAAAAAGTCAGCTTTTTCTTAAAAAAAACAGAAAACTAGAAAGAGATCAGGATTATCGGGGCTCTTGAAAAAAATTGTTTCTCAAAAATGAACAAGATATGCTTGAAAATACCGAAAAAAAGAATTAAAGTCTCGATTTGAAATTATGCACACTCGTATTGTTACAGAGAGATTGAGAAAGTAAAAGAAAAATGCCAAATTTCCAGGATTCGATTTGATATACACAACACTAAACACACACCGTAAACCACAAGAAATTGATTTTCAGAATATTCTGCGTTAGAAAAAAGATGGAATATAATTATGCCGAGTGCTAACAAAAATTTAGAAAAAAATGGAATATTGGGAGGTGAGGTGATTGGGAAATAATGATATTTATAGTGGAAAAAAAATGCAGTGGGAGAAAAGGAGAGAGAAGGGAGCACTTGAGTGAAAAACATGTACTTGAGAACGTCCAATGCAAATTTATAATGCTTTCCAATTTACTTTTTGATTTCCGATTCTAAAAAAATTATAGGTTCAAATCAAATTAATTTAAAAAAATAATGAAAAATCCTAGGTAAACGATAAAAAAATAAAAGTGGAAACCTATTTGAGAAAAAAATTTCACTACTGATCGAAATTTACAATTTTCTAGCTATTTTTGTAAATATTTTCAATCTCAGAAGAAAAACGGTTCCAAGAAACACTCCTTCCCTCCCCAATACCAATAATGGACAATGAAAACCACAGTGATGAAAAAAGAACAACAAAAACAACAATTCGAGGAAGATCATGATGATCAAGCCACCGCGACGGTGTTCTCCTCGTTGTTCGTGGAGGTGACCTGGGTGGGCGGGGTCGGCGACGGCATCAGCGGCTCTTCGGTCTCTTTGGCCGGCTCGGCGGGCCTCGGTGAGTTCGTCGCCGACGCCGTCATCGGCGTTCGCGTCCGCGAGCCGACGCCTGACGTCGAGTGATTGCGCGACGGCGTCGAGACGGAGATCGCCGGCACCTGGAAGACGTCGCGTAACTAAAAAAAAAGTTGGCTCTTAAGGGTGATTACTTTTGAACGTTTTCACAACGTGGAATACATATTTTAGTTAGATGATGAAATTACTGTGAAAATCGAGCCACGTGGAAAAATTTCCGGGCATTTCTGCGCTCTCCTCTAATTAAGCACTGTCTATTTACTTATCGTGTGAGGACCTTTTTTTCGAAGGCTTACCCCAATCATCGAAAAAATGTCTTACTGCGGAACATGGTACGAATGTGTGCTCCACGGAAAACTTCGAGACTATCTGGAACCTTGACGCTCCCCGGACGTTGCTGAGAGCTTCAAATGATCTCTTTAGCGGCTTCAGCGCTCTTAAGATTACTTGAAATGCTCAGAAACACTCGGGGCACTTTCGTTGTTACCGAGGACAGAGATTTAATATCTTTTTCTGATGGTAAAATTTTCGAAATTTTGATTAGAAAGTATTTCCCGTGTATCGCACTTTCAAACCGTTTTTTTTTTCCAACTACTGCAAAGTTTTTCTCCCAAGCTGGTTTTCCACACGCTCTTTCATCATGTAACCGATTTTTCAGGTGAATCTCACCTGAGCACCGCCCAAGTGGGCCATCGCCGCGGCGACATGCGGCGCCATCATCCCTTGAAGGCCGTTCATGGCCTGCGGCATCGGCATGCCGCCCATCCCGGGCAGCATCATCGGGAAGCCCATCGCAGCGGCGGCCTGCATCTGCGCCATCGCCAGGGCCTGGTGCTGGGCCATCTGAGCGGCCATCGCCTGCTGGGCCATACTCGCCGTCGGCATCCCATTCGGCATTCCGTTGGCTTTCGGCATCCGAGGCGACGGCGCCGCGCCCATCGGTCCGGCCATCATCGGGTTTCTGAGAGCGATGAATGTTCGTTCAACTTTCTTTGCACTTGATAGGCCAAAAGCTGTACTTAGGAACGCCATAGTGGTGCCTATAGGGGCAACATCAGGGGTCAAGGAAGGCTCCCCTTTACGGGGGTGACTCCAGCTTGCAAAAGTGCCCCTACGTGCATCCAGGGTTCAGACGCTAAACTCCTATAGGGAACACTTTTTTTTGTATATGAGGCCTGTTTTTTCTCCTAACTCCTATAGAGACCACTCTGGCGTTCCTAAATAATAATTTCACTTTGTGCTTGCAAATGTGTTTCCAAGGCTGTTTCTTTCTTTATACAATTCTCTTTCCTGTTTTCAGACGGCTCGAAAGCTCATGCCGTGTTCAAAGCGGTCCGCAAATTTCAAAATAGCCGTCATAGGATGAAAAAAATATTCAAGTTTTCGGAAAGTCGGAGATAAATTTGAACTTCGGGAGAATCATTTTGAACACGGCGTTATATAAAGGATTATTTTTGATTGCTTATACCACAGCGAAAAATCTCAAGATATAAAAAAAACAAATCCGAGTCTTCCCCTACATAAGCTCGTCTTCAAGTGTCAGCTTTCCCTTATTTTCGTCTCTCACCTGGCCATGGCCATCGGCAGGCCGCCCATCATTCCCGGCGGCATTTGTAAACTCATCTGAGCGGCTTTCGCGGTATTATCCAGCTCGTTCATGAATTGCATCTGGAAACTTGTTAAATTTATTGCAAAATATGGGGAAAGCCGGCTTTTTCTTGATTCTAAGAGTGCACTTCCGTGATGAAAACCGTATTTGCCACGTCAGATGATTATAAAAATCCCTTTTTCATCCAAAAAAGGATTGGTTCAAAAATTTTCAAGAGAAGTGCATCGGTTCACGAAAAAAACCACACAGTCAACATTACAAACTTCCCATTTTAAAGATATTTTTTTAAAAATATTTTTTTAAAATTTATACAAAAATTCGAAGCTTGAGTTGTATGAATAAAGGATACATAGAAAATAATAGAAAAAAAGCATTTTTTTCAATAAATATGACGCAGAAAAATCAAATAATATATACTCGAAACTGTTCAACTGCTTATGAACACTTTTTTTAAGCATCAAAAAAATGTAACTTTTTAAAAAAAGATCAAAAAAATAGATAAATGATGCTTTTCAACAACTCTGAGCCGAAACTGAAATAATATTAAATTTCTTCCCGAAAATCCCTCAAGATTCGCAAACCTCACCTGCAAATTGCTGTCGGGAACCATTTGGACGAAAGTTTTCGCGACGGTTTCCAGCCTTTTCGCAATTTCCATTTGTTTGGTCAGTTCGGATTGCATCTGGACGAAAATAAAATCACAATGAACAATAAAAAAATAAACAAAAAAACTGACATGCGCTTGCATATTGGGATCGGTGACGTGTTGGAATTGGGCCTGGATTTGGGTCATTTCCTGGAAAAAAAATTGCTGAAATCGAATTTTTTTCAAGATAAATTAATGCCTGAATATACGTCAGAGTAATTTATGCGAAAGGCAAAATTATCTCTGACTCTCCAAAATTTATTTCATCTTTTCACTCTCTTGACCTCGAAACCTTCCGTAATCACCCATTTCTGATGAAAATCTAGCCCTGGGAACTTGAAATATCAATGGTATGAAAAGAAGACCAGCGAAAATTCGAACGGTGACTTTTCCGATATTTTCATACCGCTAGAGAATTTCCCGACGGAGAATTTTCCGACGAAAGCTTTTCCGACTTTTTTTTTCTCGATAAATTCTTCGTTTTAAACCTTCCTATATAAAGTAGGCAAGTTATTCATCATTAAAACTCAAAGAAAGAAGAGAAAAATGTTTAATAGGTGTTTTATAAACCGAAAAATATAAGGGAAAAAAAGTCGGAAAGGTGACCGTCGGAAAGTTCCCTGGCGATATGAAAAAATCGGAAAAGTCGCCGTTCAAATTTACGCTGGTCTTTTTTTCATACCACCGAAATCTCCTAGTTTTTAGAGCGTTTTCTGATTTTCCAGTTTCGAAGCTTTTTATTTGTGTTATAAAAGCTTCAAATCATATTTCTTTTTTTAGTATTTCGCACCGAAAAACCAACCGATTTCGCTTTTTCCAGCTCCGATTTGTTTTGCATGATCTGGGTGTTCATTTGGTTGAGTTCCTTGCGCATTTCGCTCAGGTGCTCATTGAAGGAACTCGTCATCCCTGCACCCGATGCGTGGCGTTTCCTGCACAAATCTTCCTTCAAAATGTTTCTTTTTCATTTTCCAAACTCTCAAAAGTTAAAAATTTTGTGACGACTTGTTCGAGATCAATACCTCCATTTGAAAACAGTTTTTCCGCTTTTATCCGAAATTTCATTAAAAATGCGTATATTTCGAGCAATCATATCAAAAATGAGAGAACTTTGAAAAAAAAAACTTTAAAAATATATATATAGTCTGTGTGCGACGACTTGGAATTTCACCGAACGATATTCGCAGCGGAATGCCGTTCGGTGAAATTTCAAGTCATGGCCCACAGACTATATAAATTAATTATTTTTCACCTGTCTTTAAAATGCGACGTGGTTGCGGAGCTTCAGGTCGTCGATCCGACGTTTTATGGAGATCTCTGAAAAAAATCATAAATCAAAAAAATGTAACTTAAAAAGAAAAAAATACGAAAAGTAACGGCGAAAAATTTTTCCGTGTTATTAAAGTACATTCTGCGCCTTCCTACAGCCCAACAAGGAAATTTCGAACAGACTATAGCAAGATTTAGAAAATCATAACGTGATCCGGGCACGTTTAACGTTTTTAAACCTTATTTATAGGCGATTGACGCAAATAGTAGGAGTGAAATCGTGTAATGAAAGGGATAAAGATGAAAAAATGGGCGTTTTTGGAAATATTAGTGGCTTTTTAGCCGATTTCCGCTTAAGCTTGACCCACAGCAAGCTTCTTAAGTGCTCCCTTGGGATTTGGAAAGAAAATGGATGGGCGGAGAGAAAGAATGAAGCGTTTGGGATTAACTTTTGATCATTTTGAAGTGCTTAGATAAATTTCTTAAATACTAGGAAAACAAAATTGATGAGAAACTTGATGAGAAGGTGTTTTAAAATAGCTGGAAGAAATGAAATATTTTCTATTCTACTTTGAATAAAGGTCTCGAGGCGGAGAGCCGATTCAGAATTTATTTTTTTGATTTCGCGAAGGTTCTGCGCCCTTCAACAAATCCGCATGGAAGTTAAGAATTAAAAATTCTCAAAAGTTAGCTCAAAATTCAAATTTTCAATCAAAAAAAAAAAGATAAATTCTCTCAGAAACCTATCCAAACCAACAGCTGCAGGGCGAAACCGGACGGCCAGAGAAAATTTTTAAACCCGATCATAAACGATTTAACGAGTCGCCAGAAATTATGACTCTTTTTCCCAAAAATTTTTCAAAACCAGAAACAAAAAAAAACGCCTCTCCGCCAACTGTTTCCACATGTTGGAAAAGCGCTCGTTCGCACATTTCTCACATTTGTCGTCTGGACAGGCAAAAAGTGGAAAGGATCGTTTGTGTGCGTCGTTATTATCGCACAAAAAAGTGTTCGCTCTTTTCCTGTAGGGTTATTTTTTGTGTAAAATTTTTGTTTAGAACCTTTAGTGGTAATATTATGTCAAATGTGTAAACAGTTTTCAAGCTGAAACGTATTCAAAAAGTAGAATATTGCGAAAGTCGATTTCTAGAAAATAATGTTGAAACAGTATAAAATTTAAAGATAAAAAATTATTTTAAAAAAAGCCAGTGTGAAGTTCGCTACAAAACTCTTCAGAATTGGCTATTAGCTACAAATATCTCGAAAACTTCTATAATTCAACTGAAACAGCTTAAAAACAAAGTGAGAACAAGTAAACAAAAAAAAAGCAGAAAACGCAACCAAAAAAGGAGAAACAAGAAAAGGCGCGAAAAAGGAACGTCTCCGAAATGCCAAAACGGCAAACGTGCTCCACCGCGAAAACACCAAAGTACACGCTTCTCCTACTTTTTTTTTCCACGAACTTCACGGGAATTGAGACGATTATAGTGAGAAAGCGAGGCGGGAATGTAATCCAGACACATTCTGGATTTTTAAACCTCATTTATGTGCGACTGACGTAAATAGTAGTATTGGGAGGTGTGATGAAAGGGATAAATGTGAAAAATGGGCGTTTTTGGGAAAATTAGTGGCTTTTTAGCCGATTTCCACTTAAGCTTAATCCAAAGCAAGCTACTTAAGTGCTCCCTCGGAATTTGGAATGAATACGGAGACAGGAAAATGAAGCATTCGGGATTAACTTTTGAGCAGAGTGTTTAGATAATTTCTTTGAAGCAAAAAAAGGCTAAATTTTTCTCACATCTGCGGAAAACAACTGAAATTTCAACCAAAAAACTCACAACGGGGATAAAAAAAACAGAGCAATAAAACAGAGAGAATAAAACCAGCCAAACAATCATAAAGGACGGTTTAACGAGTCGCCAGAAAATTATGACTTTTTTTTTCGGAGAGACATAATAAAATATCTTTGATTTATTTCAAACAACCCGTATTTAATTCAGAAGAAGAAGTCTTCAACAACTTTTTTTTTTGAGATAGGGAGGGAAAGTTTTTGAAATATATTTTTTTAGAAAATAAAGTTGAACAAACTTCGGATAGCATTTTTTTTTTCTGAGAGAAGGAGAAAGTGGGAGAATAAGACGCAAAAAAAGATTTTCTGCGACTCCCAAGTCAAATTATTGTTCAATTCGAGCCAAAAGAGAAGGGTGAGCACAGACAGATCAGGGGCACCAAAGTTGATCGATTCTGAACCGTTTCGGCCGGTTTTTTCATTCGGGAAAAGCAATTTCAGTGAGACCATTGGATGGGGCCAAAATTTGGTTCGGAAAAATGGTGTATGTGCGCCAAGGAACTAGGCAAATGAGGCGTGAAAACGCGTGCGCGGAAAGAAGAAGAAGAAGGACAAGAAAAAAAGAAGCAAAAAAAGAAAGAAAAAAAGGAGCGGCGAATTGAGGAGGAAGGAAGGGTCGAGTCCGAATAAAGTGGACACAAAAAGAGGCGCCGCGCACCCCGCCTTTTGTTTAGACGCAAACATACGTATCGCCTTTTTTTCGGCTTGATGGGCAGTTTCTTTGCCTTTTTGAAGGTTTTGAAACAAGTTTGGAAGTGTTTATAATTGAAGTTTAGTTAAACATCCACAAAAAGGTTTAGAACGGACAAAGTCCGGACTTTTTGGACCGAAGATACTAAGATTTTTAAAGAAACAGAGACACACATTTTATAAATAACTCGCAGCGAAGAGCCGTTATCAGCCAATTTCAGATTATTCAAGATATCTTCATTTTGTGAAGACGGCAAAAAAACTTCAAAAGCACAGGGCGGAACTTGATCATATTTTTTGTCTTCAAGACCTTAATTTTGTATGTTTGACTCCTCCTGGCATTTTTCAACACAATGCGTTGTCGCTAGTTTTTCAAAAAACTTTTGAAGACGTCACAAATGAATGAAAAATTATGAAAAATACGAGAAAAAGGGTTTAGAATGGCTTTTTGAACATCCAACTAGGGCATGGATTTCGAGTTGAGAATTGAGACTTTGTGGGTGGTCCACAGGCAGCCGAGGAAAAGCTCGTCAAAGCTCTACGCTACAAGACCGAAATAAGCAGAAATCTCTCTTTTCTTTCAAATAAAGATTGATTGAAAAAATCTGGAGAAACCTAGAAACTCTCAGAAGTCAAAGAAAAATAGTAACTTTTTTTCCAAAAACCCGACCCAAAAAATTTTTCTTCCTCTCACGAGCGAACAGAGCGAACAAAAACAACCTATGCCTATTGAGAAGCAAAAAAAAAAGTTATTTTCCGAGAAGCTTTGAAAAAATAAAAACGAGAGCACACCCATGAATAATTCGACAGCTTAACGAAGACGGGACAAAAAAAATCAGCCATTTTGAAAAATGGACAGGACAAATAAGACTCAGGAAGCTGGAACCAGAAACAGCAAAGTCGAATTTAAAAATATAAAAAAATTTAGGATGAAAAATGATATTTCAAAAATAAAAAGTCAATTTTCTAGACGCAGGAGAAAAAAGTTTTTTGGTTGAAAAAATATAATTATTGTTCAAAATAGAGTTGTAAAATTTCCCCAAGGAAAATTTTTTTTTCCCCAAAATTTGGAAACACTGGGAAGATAGGATAAAATTATGAAGTTATCTATGCCCAATTCGCCACCAGTTTAAAGCTCATGTTAGAATGAATTTACGTGTAACGCGCCCGACCGAAAGCGACTTGCGCGATAAATAATCAGAAATCATTAATGCAAGGAGTGATTAGAACCCTTACACGTGCAATCTCTCTTGTAAAGTCGAATGAAGTTTAGAAATCAAAGGAACCTCTTTATTTGCAAAAAAAGAAATGATTCTTTTTTTGATTCAAATTTTCAATAAGAGCCAATTACGATTCTTCACTCTAATTACAGACTTGATTCAAAATAATTTATTTTTTGCCAGATTTTCCGACAGTTAAATCACTACCAACCAGATAATTATGTAGTTGGACAAAGGGAACGCATTTTTTGCGTCGAAATAACAGGGAACGTCTAATTTCGCGTGGGGCCAAACGCATTATTTGATGCCATCAATGCACATCATCGTTAGCGGCCGCGGGAGAGCCATTAAACTCTGCCGATTTTTTTTTCCGTTCTCCCTGTTCTTTCCCCGGGAAATTGTAGTTTTTTGCAAAAGTTGACACGAAATCGAGCAGATTTTGTACCTGTGCTCTTGCAAAAAGCTCAATAAACCTCGGTCGGAAAATGATATCTCAGCTCAACAAAATAATAAATCGACTGGTCGAAACGATAAAAACGGTCGAGAATAAATGACATGGCTGATAAGGACTGATAAAGGGCCTAAAAATGGGTGGCGTGTGTAGTTTTTGAATGATAAGAACATCAAAAGTTGCCTATTTAAACTTCTAATAAAAAAAAAGTTATTGAGCTTTCAGGCCACTCAAAAACATAAGGGTCGAATATAAAAAGCCCAAAAAAAAAATGAGCCGAGAGAATTTCAAGAAGTCACTTTAGAGCTCGGAAAGTTCATATCCGAGCACAGTTGCACAACAAAAAAGCCTCAAAAAATTTTAAAAGAAAGTAGCGGAGACGGAGAAAAAAAAAAGTTGAGAACTTGGGTAGTATGGAAAGAAGGGGGGCAAAAGGACGGATGTTCGCACATTTGGCGGAAGCGAAACGGGCCAAATTCGATTTCGTTCCAAGGCACATTAGCGCCAATGACCGGCCTTGCCCAAATAAAACGCCGCTCCGATCCTCCTCCTTTGCTTCATTCATTCATAGCTTTTCCAATCAAACACAATTTATCGTCGGTTTTTAGTGTGTACGGAGGAAATGAGGTGAAAAAACTTGGAATTGGCTGCAAAAAAGCGGCTTTTTCTTCAAGTTTATCTGAGCTCGAAAGGATTCTTGTAGAAGCGGAAAATAAATGGTCCCTATAGGGATCCAGACTTGAACTTGTTAGTGGCAGCTAGGTGAAGCGCTTAGCACTACAAGATTACTAAAGGGATCTAGGAGGGATTCTGAAGCCTCTAGAATTCTCATAGTCACTTTTTTTGAAATCCGGGTGAAGCTTGTAAGCCTCAAATTGGTGAATTTATAATGGAATGTTTAAAATAATTCGATCTATGGCTGAATAATTTTTTCTCCAATTTAGGAGACTGATTGAAAAACTACGCAAGAATGGTAAAAATTGGCAAATTATACCGAAAAGGAGAATATTATGATACAAATTTCAAAAAAAAGCTGTCAAAAAGACGCAAGAAAACATATCCTTTCAACCTGAACAACTCGATCTCGAACTCAACCAGCAAATAAAAGGGCCGATAAGAACTCTCATAAAACACTCGGAAAAAAAAGAGGAGGCAAAGGCACTTGAGATGGGCGATAAAACGTGAAGTACTTGGGAACGCGAGAGCCGACAAAAGGTGAAGAGAAGAACCACCTCTCGACGGTATCAGGCCTCCATCAATCCCCGGCCACGACCTCTCCCCGTGTACTCTATCTATTACACGAAGCCGGAAAGGACGTGTAAATGGAGATGAATTGCTTGGGAATTTGGGTGGGGAGACCTTTTTTGCAGGAAGGAACTTGGAAATGGCCATTTTTGAGCTTGAAATTAAATTTCAATTTCATAAGAAAGTTGACCCTTTTTTGACAAAGTTAAGGTCATTCATCATTTGAAAAAAAGAGCCAGAGAAAATTTGCAAGGCAGAAAACTTGAGAAGCGGAAAAAATAACTCTTTCTCACCTTTTAGAAATTATTTTCACGAAAAAGATGGTTTACCACCCAAAATTTTTTGCAAAAACTGAGTTCTTTACAATTTTTTTTTTCACTACCACTTGAAGAGTTATTTGCACATATTTGAGAAGGTCGTCCACAGTAAAGTTGTGAGATGAAACTTAGCCAAGGAATTCCGGGTCAGAGCTATTTTTGAAGAGTTTTTTTGCTCTAATGAAAAATACACGAAAAATTAAAACGGAAATTGAACCGTCTGAAAACTGAATAACAAAAAAAACTTCAAAAAAGTTGAAACTTTATCAAATTAATAAAATTATGCATAATCTATATTCACAGGGAAGTGTAGAAGACGACTAGATACAATCAAAAAACTGGCGTAAAATCACACTGGGTATGGATTTTCAAAAAACACGTATTGAATTGAGTGAAATATTTTAATTGAGAAAAAAGTAAGTAAATCATTCAGAGAAGTTTTGAAGGCGCATAAGTCATGTTCTTTGCTTAAAAAGTTTGATAAGATATTTAAAGTTGAAATTTATTCAGATATCAAAAAAGGCTTTTTCCAGTTTTCCAGAACTTCTGTGCTTCTAAAAACAACAGAAAATCTTTTATCTATCGAAAACGGCTTTAAAAGCGCATAAGCTAGGCTCCCGGTAATTTAAGTCAAGAACGGCGCCTTTAAAATTTTAAAACGTTCAATAAAAGCTTGATATAGCTTTTGAAGACGCATAGATTGACGTGATTTTAAATTTTACAGAGCGATGCGTTTTTGAAGTACGAAAAGAAGCTGAAAATCGACAAAAATGGAGTAAAAAAGAAAAAAAAAACAAGTCGTTGCAAACAAAAACTGCCGTAATCAACATTTACATCTCTCAGCAGAAGATCCTTTTGACGGCTTCTCTGAAACAATACTCTCATAATGAATCAAAAAGAGTAGAGGAACCTCGCGTAGGGAATGTAGGACAATGAGTACCAAGCCATCGCGACGTACTGCCCCGCTGTGCAAATAATCGCGAGCGACACATTTTTCAGCGCCAAACCTATTAAATAAATAAACAGTTTGAATATTTACACACATTAATTGAAAGTCACCTGCGAACAGAGTTAATACAATCATCAACAGGTAAAGCGAGGAGGCGATCCAACGGCTCCGATGGAACATTTTCTTGCACTGGCCGACTGGGCCCATTAAAAAACACGTGCTAGCCAGAGATAAAACTGCACTTATTGAGGTCATTATGCAAAATCCCGTTATCTTCATCAATACCATTAAATAACTGCCCTGAAAAATGTTTCTTTCAAATGATCCATCATTTTTCAGAATCTTACGCAAAGTGAGCTGATTATTGAGAGAATAAACAAGCCAGAGAAGGCTTGAACCCGTAGTTCCCAAGATAAAGATGTTACTGAAGTGTTCTGAAATTAGACGAAACTGTATAAGTAAAAAAAAAGTTTAAAAAAATTGAAAAACTTACGGAAGATGCCGTGGCGATCGGAGGACCATTCATGTCTATATTTCTCAAACCCGGGTCTGAGGTCGATGTTGGCAGTTGCGAGGTGTCGTCGCTCCGGTGCATGCTTCCAAACATCCTTAAAGCAAAGGATGAAAACTCAAAAGCTTAAAATGGATAAATTTAATTCTTCCGCTAGAACATTTTAAAGATAAAGGACTTTCATGGAAAAAACAGAGTGAAACTAAGAAGAGCTCTTCACCTTAAAAACGCTGCTCTGAACACCTTAGTAAAGACTTTCAAACAGTGGACAATGATAAAAAAAGAATTTCAAATTTCAAATAAAAAAATTCAAACGAGAGCGAATCGATCGTTGATGCGCAATAACTGCGCCCACTCATCGGTGCTTGGCGCACAACGAGTGGAACTGCTTTTACGAGGATTTTTCATTTTTCCTATTTTTGAACTTTTTATTTCTTTTTTTTTCAGTTTTCTCTGAAATTCTGGCTGGAGTGTTGAGCGATTTGGCTCTTGTATGACCTGAATTAACACGGAGGACGTCTCTTCGCGTCGATACTTTTTTTTTTTGAAATCAGTCCTTTTTTTGTGAACAGACCAGCCAGTGTTTCTGGACAGACTATCACTGCATTATTTTATACTAAAAACATTTGTCAGGTCACAAACATGCCGCCCAAACAGCAGCCAAGTAAAAAGACGGAGCAAAAGCGAAAGGAGAAAGTCATCGAGGACAAAACTTTCGGCCTGAAGAATAAGAAAGGCAACAAGAACCAAAAGTTTGTGGCGCAAATTGAGAATCAGGTTTCTTAAAAGGTGTAGAAATGTTTTTACCGAAAAAATTGAGATGCGAAACAACAACAAGAGGGTAGAACCAGCGAAACCAGTGGCTAAGAAGGACGAACTCATCGACTTGAACAGCTTATTACGGCCGGTGGAGCAGAAAATCTCTAAAGGTTCTCGGAAAAAACTGTTTTTGATGAGATTGATTTGAAGATGTTGACCCGAAGTCGATGGTCTGCATGTTTTTCAAGCAGGGCCTTTGCGGCAAGGGAAACAAGTGCAAGTTCAGTCACGACTTGGCCGTGGAGCACAAAACGGCCAAAAGGAATTTATACGTGGATAGCCGTGAATTGAAAGAGGAGGAGGATGGTTTCTACTTTGAAGGAAGATTTTGAGTGAAAAGCGGTTTTTGCAGCGAATATGGAGAATTGGGACGAGGAGAAGCTTTCCGAAGTGGTTTCGAAAAAACACGGCGATGCCAATAAGAACAAGACTGAAATTGTTGGTTTCATGATAAGTTATCTAAGAAAAAGATGATTTTCAGGTTTGTAAGTTCTTCATCCAAGCGGTAGAAGACAGCAAGTACGGTTGGTTCTGGGAATGTCCGAACGGCGGCGACAAATGTCAATATAAACATTGTCTACCTGAAGGGTTTGTACATGGGGAATAGGATGATTCTCTCATAATTATTGCGTTTTTCAGTTATGTTTTGAAAAAGGATAGGAAAAAGATGGACGAACAGAAGGAGGAACAAATTAGTATCGAGGAATTGGTTGAAACAGAGGTTAGTTTTAAAAAAGTGAAAACAAATGTTTCTGGACTTCTGAAAGTCCAGATAAAAGTTTCAACCTACTTCTGCGTGAAAAGGTTTTATCGACCTGTTGAGAAAAATTTTAAAAAGTTTTTTTTCTCATTTTCTTTAAATAAACTGCGTTTTTAGATTCTGTTGAAAAAAAATTATCAATTTCCCATTCAGAGAGCTGCATTGAGCTCGAAAAACCTCACGAAAATCACCTTGCAATCGTTCGTCGCGTGGAAAAAGAAAAAGCTCCGCGAGAGAAAGCAAAAAGAAGAAGAGGAGCTCAAGGCGAAAAAGGACAAGGTCAAGGCCGGAAAGCAGGTGAAAAATCGGGCTTTAAGACGAATTTGAGGGAAAATGACTGTTTTTAGCTTTTTTTTTTTCTGTGAGAAAGTCCACACATGCATACACAATCATTTAGTCCTCAGAGAAGATTCTCTGCTAAATCATGGAATAATAGAAAAGTTGTTTGTCGGTTCGCGAAACTGTCGTTTATCTCCGGATTTTGTGTAAAGATTTTCACATGGAGACTTTTTCGATAGGCTTCTGCTGAAAAATTGATAAAAATTTCTAGAAGAAAACATGCCTCAGAAGATTTTGAAAAATAATGTTTTTATTTTTATTTTTTGAAAACTCGATTGGGATTTTCAAATCTTAAACTTGAATATTTTTTTGAAGAAATTCTGCAATTTTAAATATTTCTTTCTGATAGAACCCTCCACATTTTTCGGAGTTTGAATTTGCGAATATTTTCGCAAGAAATTTTCAAAAAGTATGGTTTTTTCAATCTATCACTCATTTTCAATAATCAAGTACACTTTTTTTCCAGCTTTTTTTAAAATGTTAAATCTTTATTTTTGTGTCATAGAAATTTGTGCATTAAACGATTGGAAATCATTGTTCTTTGCAGTTGGGAATGTCTGGCCGCGATTTGTTCACATTCGATGCTTCATTAATCGCCGACGACGATGAAGCTGGCGACGTCGAATTCGAGAAGGAGGAAGTTGATGTAAGTCATCGAGGAGAATTAGCTTCGAAAGTGGACTTTTAGGGATTTTTCGTGAGATTTTTAACGTGTCTTTTTCCCTATCCAATTTTAAAGCTAGAAGGTCGGAAAAAAAGTTTCTGAAGATATGAAAACGGTTGAAATTCAAAAAAAGAAACACACTAAAAAAATGAAAAGCACTGTTCGTCACAATCTTTTTTTGATGAGTTTCAAAAAAATATCTCTACTTTTAATTATCTCGATGTTGAATCTTGAGTTATTTTTTTCAGTTTTTCGATCCATTTTTTTACAGTTTCTTTTTACATATATTTTCTTCAGCCGGACGAGAAAGTGTTCGAAATCGACGCGAACTTCTTCAAATTCGAAGGAATGGACGACGAATTGGACGAGGAAATGGCCAACTCTGCGACAGCGACTGAGGCGACGGCTGGAGGTTCATTTTCCATTCCAAATGCTCTTTTTCGATTTTTAGTTCGATCATGGTTCGAAAATCTTGTTTCCCCCATTTTTTTTTTTTTTCCATGATGAAGCTTTCGCGCAATTTCGCGCTTTTCATATTGGGAAGTCCGAAAAAATAGCAGTTTTTCTTTCGTTAAAAAATGCGCCTGTGTGTATGTTTCGGTTGTTTTGAAATTAAAAAAATTCTCATTTTATATCATCAATGTCTTGTAATACGAACGTTATTTCTTCTCACAAAGCCCTAGAAAGATCTTTATCATAGAAATGTTTGAAAGGGTCAGATAAATTAGAAAAAACCAACTTCTGACCTTTTTCCTACTTATTTTTTCTGTTTCATAGTTGAAATCGAACCCTCAGTTCGATTTTACACTGAAAGAAGCTTACAGAGAAGTGTTAGGAAAACGTTTTCTCATCAAAATTGTTCAGGAATATCGAAAATGGCGATCAATGAGGACCTTTTCGATATCGACGAAGACGTGGAAGGCTTGGACTCCGACAGCGAGGACGATAGTTGAAATCGAAAAAAAAATTATTCCATTTGATTCTGATTTCAGTTTTTCTCTGTGTTCTTACTAATGTTGTTAGGTTCTCGGATTTTTCGATTGAAGAATTTTTTCGGTTAAAAAATGCTGATATTTTCCTTGAAGCGACCAGAAGACTCGACTTAGTTTAAAATGAAATTTAATGAAAGAAAGCTTGATAATTTTTTTGCTTTTTGGACGGACAGTTTGAATTTCTTAAACTTTTTGGAACTTATTTCCGAAGAAATTGGATATTTTTTTGAAGGTTTACTCCAAAAAAAGGAAAAAGACTAGAATCAATGAAAAGTCCATTTTAAAAACCCAAAAAGTTATCAAAAATCAAAAATCTAATTAGTTTTCTGTTATTTAAGCCAATTTTGTTCACTTGCTGCTCACGTGCGAACTTTTTTTCTCCCAGAAATTTTTCGTTTTTGCTCTTGTTCTTTCATCATAATTATACACATATATATTCATTTTTTTGTTGAGCCGCACACCGGTAAAGTTGTACCCTTTTTTGTTGTCAGTTCATTTCTGTGGGATTTTTTGACCGGTTTGAAAAAGAGGAGGAGAAAAACTACGTTTGATTGTGTCTTAAAATCAAATTTTGCGATATAAAGGTTTTTGAGTTTGAGTGTTTTTTTTGAGTTTGAATGAAGTTACTGTTTATTATGACGGTTTTGTATCTCGTATTGAAATTCGGCTTCAGATTTGATGTTTAATACTTGAAAAATAATAGGATATTTTTCTTCCATGGTCGAGATCTTTACTTTTCCCTGTTTCAAGTAATCAGGCTTTATTTCTTTTATAACCCTGAGAAACTGATTAATAATATTGATAAACGCTTTCAGAGAGGGGTGAACTATTTTCTAAAAATTATTTTCTTTTTTTTTTCAAGGCGATGTCGAACCGGGCCGCATCATTGCTCGTATCGAGGCTCTCTAGGACGCAGCAAACGCGCTCCAAGGCACACTTCACCTTCCAGCCTTCCACACAACTTCCAGAGAGTCTTCAGAGCAGTGCGTAAAACTGATGATAAGATAAAAAAAAATCCACAAAAATATAAAATTCATGAAAAACGTGAGAAACGTATCTTTACAATTTCTGAAAAAGGACTCGGACCTTGGTAACGCGAACGGGACGCGAAACGGACGTGTCGGGGCATTTCTAGTGACCACTTTAGTAACCTTAACGCTCTTAAGTGATCCCTTGAATCGCCCAGAAACGTCCGGAGCACGTCCGTTTCGCGTTACCAATGTCCGAGGAGAGAAATTTTAAATTATATCGTCTTTATCAGTGCTTATTCAGAAAAAAAAAGATTTTTCTTATACAAGTCCCTCTAGCAGGCCTCTTCTGAAGACTTTTACTTCATTTTTTGACGAAATAGAAACATTGAGGCTTTGAGGACGAAACACAAGGCTTTAGAAGTAATAAAGCCGAATTACGTCTACAGCTGCTTCACGGCTGGCTTGAGCCATTGAAAAAGGGTCCTGAAACGATAATTCGAGAGAGAGAGAGAGAGAGAGAGAGAGAGAGAGTGTCTGGCTTGTGGAGAGCGCAGACATACCACACCTCTCAGAGTCCCAAGCCAGCAGTGAATTCTCAACACCTCAACGATTGCAGATATCGGGGAAATCAATGCCAAAAAGAAAAATATTTTAAGGAGAACGAACGAAGCAAAATTTGATGCAAGCCGTCAATGATGCCATGAAAATCGCCATGGAGGTGGGTTTGAAAAAAATAGGTACTTCAATGAAAAATGATTGAAGACGGACGACACGGCCGTGGTTTTTGGTGAAGACGTGGCTTTTGGCGGCGTTTTCCGCTGTTCTTTGGACCTTCAGAAGCAGTTTGGTTGGATCTCGATCCCAAAATATGGACAATTATACTATTTTCCTATAGGAAAGGACCGGGTTTTCAACACCCCGCTTTGTGAACAGGGAATCGCCGGTTTCGGCATCGGCTTGGCCGTTTCCGGCGCCACGGCCATCGCTGAAATTCAGTTCGGCGATTATATTTTCCCGGCTTACGATCAGGTAAATATCGATCTGTTTCTTGGGGAGACTTCTGTGAAAATTGAATAAATTAAGAATGGCCTCTTTATGGCTTTGACGTTCTAGTGACCACTAAAAAAGTCGAATTAGTGGCTGAATCTTAGTGACCTTTGTAGAGGTCTTACTGCTACCACTAGATATGTGGGAATCTATCATAAAGATGGTTTTAGTGACCAATTTAACGTCCTCTCCAAGTGAGAACTCAAAAGTGGTTCCATATTTCAGCTTGTCAACGAAGCCGCGAAATATCGGTATCGTAGTGGTGGATTGTTCAGCTGTGGAGGTCTCACAGTCAGGTAAACTCGAATATTTTTGAAAAAAAGCAAAGTTATGTGTTTGAATACCGATTACGTGCAATAGAAAGTTTTTATCGGACCAAAGAACTCCAAATTTTTATTGATAGGAAACTTTTGAGTATGTATATGATGTTAGAATCAAGTTTTTAACAAGTTCCAAAGGCAAAACTTTTTCATACTGTTAATAAAATATATTTCCGCTCTTTGAAGGTAACTAATGGATGCCTATAAAAAATCAGTAATCCCTGCGAACTGTTCAAAAAGAAAAGAAATCAATTGTTTTAAAGATCAACTTGGGGAGCTGTCGGCCACGGAGCTCTCTACCATTCACAAAGTCCAGAAGCTCAGTTTACCCATACTCCTGGTTTGAAGGTAATATTTGTTATTCCAGTACTCAAATACATAGTTTATATGCACCTTTTTGTTCAAAAAATGAGAAGGGAAGAAGGATTATTCCTCGAGGATGAATCAACACTTTTTTTGTTGAAAATAATATGTAAGGAAGAATGAAGTTTAGGTTGTCGTGCCACGGGGACCGATCCAAGCCAAAGGCCTTCTCCTCTCGTGCATCAGAGACCCGGATCCGTGCATTTTCTTCGAGCCAAAGGTGTTTTAATCGAAGAAAATGGCTGTTCCAATCATCTTTTGAAGATTCTTTACCGATTGGCCGCCGAAGACGTTCCAGTTGGAGATTACATGCTTCCCATCGGGAAAGCCGATACAGTGAGACCGGGTATTCGACTTTTCTTTGAAAAATTTATAATAATAGGATTTTTTCAGTAAAAAGCATCAAAAGTTGAATAAACTTTGAGAAAAGGACATGCATCTATATATTTATTAGGGATTAAAGGTTAACAGAGTTTTCGAGGGGCCCCGCCAAGTCGAAATGAGGAAAAATGTGGGAAATGGGTGAAAAAATCAAGAAAAATGGCCTTTTTGCCAACGTGATCACTTTGCGGGACGGGTGGCCCTGGTCCTCCCGTCTCGTAAGCAGCTCTGAAGGTCGACGTTGAAGATCTGGAAACCGAGCAGTTAACTCGCAGTTTAAATTTAAAAATTTAAATCACTACTTTTTCATGCAAAAACTGAAAAGAAAAGGTTGAAGTTTTCATCACCTTTTTTAGAAAAATGTTAATTTTCTTCAATTTTCTTGGAAGTCAAGCTTTTTTCAGGAAAAGACATAACGATCGTTTCCTGGGGCACACAAGTTCACGTCGCTCTCGAAGCTGCTCAACTGGCCAAGGAAAAGCTTGAAATCGACGTGGAAGTCATCGATTTGCAGTCGATCCAGCCTTGGGACGAAGATCATGTCGTTGAGGTCTGACTCGTCGAAATATATTCTGTTCTGACTTCGAAGGTCAAGTCGACGCTCAAGCTCCGCCCCTAATGGCGCGGTAAACCAATCAGAGAGCGTTTTAGAATGACGTCATTTCAATTGGTACAAAAAGTCTGACTCTCCCTGGAAATACGTTAATTCATTTTCGATAAAAGAAGTCAATAAACTTGGAAAATGCTCCGGAAAAGCCGATTTTCGAACCTTTTTGAGTTTACCACTGAAAATCGTGATTTTTTTTTTCTGGAAGGTTTCTAAAATTGAATCAATGATCTTATTCGATTGATAAATTCATTCAAATTTCATTAATAGTTGATAAAATCTGATTTGGAAACCATTTCAGAGCGTCAAAAAGACTGGCCGACTGATTGTGACCCACGAGGCCCCGATTACATCCGGTTTCGGGGCTGAAATCGCGGCAACTGTCCAGGTTTTCTTTTTAATCTCCAGGAAACGCCAGAATGGTCCCTTGAGCTTTCGAAGACCGCTAAGGTCGCCGCTCTAAGGATAACTTTTTTTAGCCTTAAAAATGCGGAAAAGGAACATTTTTTGCGTCTGGGCGACGTCATAACTTCACTAGAAGCGAAAAGTGTAGTATTTTTCGATTTTAAAGTTAGGATTTCCTAAAGGATTCGAAGTACTTCTCGGCCAAGTTTTACAAGGGAATTGCGGAAATGGTTTGAGGATGTGTTGAAACTTCGCTGAGATGTACTTGAAGGGGCTCCAGAACAAGAAAAGAAAAGGACGTTTTGTTTAAACAAGCAATTTTCCCCTTTCGAATCATTTTTGCGCGTTTGGGTGTATAGTCTGTTCAGATTTCGAATGTCAAGCAGCTAACTCCGCCCCTGTTGAGACGGTACCTTTTCGCGTCGATGTTTTATCGTTTGGGACTAATTTTGATCTTTTTTGATTTAAAAGATGGAAAAATAAGTCAAAAATGCAGCCTTATTAAAGGGCCATCGTCATAAATAGATAAAACATTGACGCGAAATATTTTGTAGCCTTGGGGGTGGAGTTAGCTGCTTGACATTCAAAATCTAAACAGACTATAGGAATGCGTCATTCTGCTTCTTAGTGCGTTTTAACCTCAAAAATTTCGAAAGTTTTGATTCAAATTATCTGTTTATCGTGTTTTTCTGAAATACATTGAAGTTAGTTGTGTTTTCTGGTTTACGTATTTGTTGGGAACTGCTTTTGGAAAAGTTTCAAACAAGCAACGTTCGAAATAAAAGTTTTTCAGAATTTTGCAAAGTTATTTTAATTTTTGAATTTATTTTATGCGGAACTCAGGAAATGAGATAGAAAATATGTTCAACATAGTCCCCTCGGCGTAAAGAAACAGACGACCTGCGCGCTGGTCTGCCGTTTTTCTGTTAAATTGGGCATGCCAGTGCGCAGGTCCTATACAGTGTGTAGAGCGCGGAGGGTACGAGTCTGGTCTCTCCAAGGTTACCGTGCTCTCCAAACGGATGCATGCGCGATGGTCTGCCTTTTCTTTTTTGGATGGGTGCTGGCATGCCGTTGTAGCTCTTATCCTGCTGTGTCTTTAGAAAATGACCGTCTCGCGCGGAACGAACTAATACAGATAGGTGATAAGTGAATAAAAAGAAAGCCTGGTTTTTCGTGGTTCATCTTGAAATTCCTCAACCAGAAATCGTTCAGAAACGCTGCTTCCTGCACTTGGAATCTCCAGTGGAGCGAGTTTGCGGCTACGATACTCCATTCCCACACGTCCACGAGCCATTCTACATCCCTTCAGTAACTCGTGTCTTCGACGCCATCAAGAAATCCGTTAAATTCTAATTATTCACATCTTTTTTCGCTTTTCTAGGCATTTATTGAAGTGTAACTTTATCGATTGATTCGGTGCTGTAAAAATGTGTTCTTTCCTGATTTTTTTTTTTAGAGAGATATTGATAGAGTTTTAGACATTCCGTTAACCGATTCGTTTATTGCCACCAATGACAAGGCCACATCACATGAGAAGCTTGAAAAAAATGCATATCAAATAAAGTTTCTTTGTTTTCATGTAGCCGGGAGATCAAAGAAAATCTTGAGACAATCAAGCAGGTCGAAAGTTGTTAAAAAACGGTTAACTTTTATTTCACTAATTTTCATCGAAGCTCTCGTCAATTTCCTGAAAATACGTTCGAAAAACCGTCCTAAAATTTCAGACCTCGTTTTAATTATTTCTGATGAACAAGACGGGCGCAATCTCACTTTTGATTATTGTCACGGCAGCCGTTGTTTTACCGTGTTTCCCGATGTTGGGCGTTTTCGAACGCAAATTTCCTGTCTTTCCGACGTCTTTCAATCCGTTCTACTTGATTTTGTATATGGTGCAGGTAATAATCGGAAATTTTGAAAACAGAATAAGAAAAAGCAAAAAAAAGTTTTTTGCATGCACCACTTCGTCGTGGTGTCTACGATTAATGCATTTTTAATCACGCCAGTTGAAAATTTTATAGGACGTAGTGCCGTGTTCAAAGTAATTTCCGCGAAATGCAAAATGATCTCTGACTCTCCAAAATTTACTTATATTTTCCTTTCTCTAACGGGTATTTTGCATTTCGCGGAAATTACTTTGAACACGGCATAGAAGCGCCCAAAAAGACGGCTCGTATCTGACTCTTTTTCCATGTAGTCTAATTACCCCTTTATTCTCAGTTACTGGAATATAATTTCCGTTTTTCATGCGGCGATCGTCTTGTTCGGCGGCACTTTGGCCGTCATCGTCTACACGGATCTTGTCGCGCCTATCGCCATTTCGGCCTATTCCAAAATTCTTTCAGAGCCCTGTTTCTTAGATTAAATTTGACTTTGTTTTTTTGGTGTTCGAATCCTTTAAATGCCTTTATAAGTTTTATAAAGACACATGGCCTAAAAATAACCCCGAAAAGGTCTCAAGTTTTTAGAAATTCCGTGCATGCCCGTAAACACCCGACCAAGGCCTTGTCTGTAAAAACTATGATTTCTGATTTTCTTTTTCTTTTCTTTTTGTGAACGACTATTGGCTGATAAACAGATTTTTTTCGGTTTAACTTTTTTTGCATTAGTGGTCCTGAAGCTCACTGAATCCTTGAAATTAGAAAGATTTAAATTAAAAATTTGTTCCAGGTTCATGTCAAATTTATGTACAAGCTCCATTTTGTTGATTTGATTGGGCGATTTTTATCGGCGGCGCTTGCACAATGATTTAAAAGTGAGTTTGGTCTTTTTTTTTGACGTCTAACGTTTATTTAGTGTTTTCTTTTTTAGAAAAACGGTTGACTGAATAATTTTTTTTTCGACCAATTGAAAGGCGCCGAGATTTCTTTTGAACTTGAATAATAGTGAGAACTTTGTTGAATTCATTTCTGTACCCCCTTTCAACACCACAGCAAAAGAATTTCGAACGGGATATTTTTTTCTTTTTATTGTTTATTATCAGAACTGGGTTTTCTTTCACTAAAAAAAGAAATAGTTTAATCTGAATGGAAGCGGTACAGATATAGCTGATTCACGGCTGACTTGAGTCGTCGAAAAAAGAGTCCTGACACGATAATGCACGAGATAGTGTCTGACTCGTGAAAAGCGCCGACAGGACAAGCCCTCTTAGCGTCCCAAGCTAGCCGGGAATAAGCTATAAAAAATAATAAGAATTAACCCAGAAAAAAGCGCAGGGCACTCAAGAGCTCTGAAAGTGTCTTTTTCATATAGAAATAAAAAGGTCTTTTTTCTCTTAAAAGTTTATGAAAAAACTTTAAAATTGTTTATAAGCTATAGTACCACAATTTGATATAATTTTCTCTGCACCCTCTTCTTTTCGTGTTGTTTTTGATTTTCTATGACCTTTTCGATGAGAGAAAAAGTACCTTCCTTGAAAAATAATAATTTATTGATAGATCAGAAAAAAAACGCGTTCAAAAAAAAATAACGAGTTCATCGAAAAATAACGAGTTCACTTGAATATAATAGTTAATATGAATATGAATAAGAGAATACATTATACAATTATACAGCGCTTGAGTCTTGGAGAAACAGATACGAAGAACATGTATAATGATAGACTGGCCAGTAATTTTTTTGAAGGTTTGACTGAAATCGAAAGTGAGTTTTTCCGTAGTTAAGAATAGTTTTTAAACTCATTAAAAAATTTAATAAACAATCCTTGAAATGTTTTCCTAAAGGATAGATAAGGTATTTTTTGTTCCGATCTCTCGAGTAACGGCTATTCCTCATCTTTCCTTGATATCTGGCCGACGATCACATTCTCAAATCATTGTCCACAAAGCCAGACTGTTCTTACAACATTTTTGGCGTCTCCTGGCTCTAACTAGTAAGTGACCTCTCTCTCTTCCTCCTCTCGTCGCGATTATGACTCAGCCGCGAGAAATAGCCTTCTGGATGTTATGTTGTTTCCTTGTGTTCTTGGAGCCTTTTTTTTCGACACATCTTTTCTTTCTTTTTGTCATAGAAGTGCTATTAGCGCTTCTTTGGAACTCAATTCAAAAGTCAGAAAGTCCTGGAACTCCGAAATAGTTCACTTACACTCGAATTTAGCGTAAAAATCGTAAAAAGAGGTTTTTAAAAAACTTTTTTTAAAAGTGTTCGCAACGCTTTTGGATCATTCAATGCTTTCAGGGGCATTTTCGTTTTTCAGTTTCACTTTGAAGGTGATACGTTTCAAACAGATTCAAGAAACATCATTGTTCCTTTGTAATTTTTATCAGATCCAAGCTCCTAGACTTTCTGAATTTTTGTTCGAACTAATCCTGCATTTTTTGGATTTCGATTTGATTTGAGAGGTCTTAAAGACTGGAAAGCTTGGAATAATCGATAAAATATTTTTTGAGCTTTTCATCGATCGTTCGTTAGTTGAAAAGTACAGCGCCGCCAGTTCTTTTTTTTCCGTTTTTTTTTTCTTCGCCCGCGGCAAGCGTCAGGTGCTTCGTGGTGTTTCATAGTGGGCGATATTAATTACTCTGGTGGTTTGAGCGTTTCTTTATCTCTTGTTCGTTCAAAGTGCTCTCCAGAATGTTGCATTCATCAGTTTTAACCCACTTGAAAAACTTGAATTCTCCGGTTGTTCTTTTTATTTTAAGAATTTTTCGAGGGTACTCAAAATTTTAAACTCGCAAGTTCAAATCAAAGATGCCAGTAGGATTATAGTCATTTCTCTATCACGATAAGGAGCCATCAGATGAATTCGAAATCGTTTCAAAGTTTTGAGCTTTCGAAACTTGATGATTTCAATAGTTCTCTCAGAAGTTTTCGAATTTTTTTTTGAATATTATTCGAATCGGTTTGCTCTTTTTCTTCGTTCGATCCAGTTCCAATGGGGTTTTTCCATTCTTTTTTCCTTGACCAGAAATATGTTATTACTTGAGAAGTTCATTTAATTTAGCCGGATATATCTCTCAATGTACGGGACAGCGATCATGACGTTTTCAAACTAAATCCTGAAAAAGGACTCCTCAAATTTCAAAAAAGGCCATCAAAGACCGCTAAACGGGGCCACTTTAGGAGTTTGAGCTTTTACTTTCGGAAAACTCGAAGTTGTATAGAAGTTTAGATTGGAAATTTAAGGTTTCATATGGACAATCAAAGAGGTAAATGCCCAAAGTTCAGGAGACTTTTAACTGCAAAGCGACATAACTTCCCTTGTGAGGTATAGATGGTTCACGGCTTGCTTGGGACGCAAAAAGGCGTGACCTGTCTGCACTCTCCACCAACCAAAGCACTGTCTCGTCTCTTTTCGTGGCAGGACCCTTTTCTCGATGGCTGAAGCCAGCCGTGATTCAGCTATATTACCAAACTAGACTGTCCAGGAAATTTATTTATCTCAAACCTAAGAAATCAGGCATATAATCAGGGGAGAATAAAGTATAAAATGAAAATAGAACGGCATACTGCATTTTATATAGATTATAAAGCTTTTATGGCGCATTCGAGACGGCTTCAAACCGTTTGATCTTCCTGCGTTCCCTTTCCCTCGGTCTTAATACCAAAATGAAATCAGCCTGTAAACACGAGAGCGTCGCCGAGAAGTCAGACATTTTTTCAAGTCGTGGCGAATGAGATTCAAAGGTGGCAAAGAGGAAAAAAAAAGAAAAGAGGGAATTGATGACCGGCAGCCGGGGACGTGCTCTGAATCATCGCGTTAAACTTTGTGAGAACCGCGCGCCCGCTCGAAGAAGGAGCAAAAAAAGATTGGAAAGATGGACGAGAGGCGTCCGTGACTGGTCTTACTTTTGGGCGGACTCGGCTCGAAGTACCCCGTCTGAATTTTTTTGAACTCTTAGCCCCTCCTGTTATCTTTACGGAGTTTTTGAAGAGTTCTAAAAAGGTACTTTTGATGATACTTGACGGAAATGTACTTTCAGCTCCTAGTTCGTGAATCGTTTGAAAAATGAGGGAAAATTATTAATCCCCTAGACATTCGATTGATTTCTGAAACCTTTTGGAATTTTTGAACTCGTCTTGAATAAGCATTTTCGCGCCATGTCTAATGGTCTCTCTGTTTTTATCATTACTTTTTTGACATTTTTGCTGACGGGGGGTTTTTTTTCGTAGAGATAAAAGTTCTCTCGGCCTTCTTCTTTTTTTATTATTTGGTAGTCTATTATTCGATCTATGAGAATTTTTCGAAGAGGATTGGTTTTTGAATATTTCTTTAACTTTGTGGAATTCTCCTTTCTCGGCCAAGAAGACATTCTCTTCGGTTACAAAGTAGATCTTCATCGGATAACTTCTATTCGCGTCACATAACACTTCAGAACATATTAATTACTAACTAGTAAATTAAATTCTTTTTTTTCGTTCCATCCCAATAATTTAAAGCTAATTCATCTAGGACAGCTGTTACCTAATATGATCATCTTCTTGACTTTTATTTTTGCTTTGTTGTCTGTTAAATTTTATCCTATTTCTTCCCTATCCGTACCTTGATTATTGGCCTTGTTTTGATAATGAAAAATTAAGTAAAATTAAAAGTCTTCGAACGCTGAGAAAAGATAAAAAGGATTGAAAAGTTGCTTTTTCTGTCTTTTCAGTAAGTTTCAGTTTATTACTTTCAGTTTATATGGGCCCATCATTTCTTCCACCTCTGTTTCCTGAGGTTGAAGCCATACGTCGGCTGGATTCCACCACGGGGTTTCGCAAAAGGCTGGGGTGGGATCCAGCCGATGTATGGTTGAAGCTTATTTTTCAAGGGAATATCGAACGCAAAGTAAATAAACTTCCTCTAAAATCGAATTTTCTTTCAAAGCATTCCTGTTTCAGGAAATTCGAAATGTTCCCGCGCTTCTATCGTCAATATGATCAAGAATACAGGTATATTTTAAACAAAAACAAAAAATGATCCATAGTGGCTTGAGAAGTTTGCGCCCGACCTAAAGGCTCTAGTGGGTTTCTTTTTTCTTTTTGTTCGAGCTTTTCGAGCCGTGAAAAATGCGGTATTGTATGAGCAAGTCTGTTTTTTCGTAACTTACCGGGAAATGGTCCCAGGAGATGAACTTTTTTTGTGAAGATTGATTTTCAAGTAATAGTTTCGAAAAAGAGGATTTGCTGCAGCTTTCAAGTTGATATTGAACCTAAAAATTGGCAAGAAGCTATTTGAAAAATATTATGATTTCTCAAATTTGAAAGAATTCCGCCGAAATGGTGAATCTTGCTGGAATGCCTTGAGCATGATTGAAAACATTATTTTTCACCTGATCATTTTTTTGCTAATCCCTGAGAGCAGTCATTAATTATTATTGGTCATATAAAAAAAGATCCATTTGAAAAACGTAATTTTTTTGAACCTCTAGGGTTTTTTCAATACTTTCTTGGCATTTTTTTGACTAATATTGGTAATCAACGCGAAAAATAGCATGCATGTTCTTGTATGAAATCCCTTTTTAGGAGCTTATCCTTTGTAATATTCCCGATACCGACGCGCGTAAGTCGCTCTTAAGTCGGGCGCAAGATTCAAAGACGTTTCGAGCCATTCTCCATGCGACCAGCTCGTTCTTCTTGGAAATAAATCAGGATTCATCATTCTCTTCCAATTTCAGGAGCCACTCCGTCCGAAGTATGGAGGATCTCAATGTGATCCAGGAGTTTAACGATCACGATGTTTTTGTGATTGTTTTCAACCAATTTAGTGTGTACCGCATGACATACGGTTTGTCTCGAGTCAAAAAAAAAGTTATCTAAAAGAAATCAAGGTGATCTGCGGGAAAGAAACAGACGCGGCCTGCCCTTCCGCTTCCACCAGAGCGTTTTTGAAAGAAAGTTTTGAAAATATATTTTTTATTTTTTAGGACGAGTTATTCGACCCCGTGCGGAACATGATAATTGGCTATGCCAGTTCAAGTGGTTTTGAAAAATATGAGAAAAAGAAAAAAGTTGGTTTTCAAGGCTCCGATGAGGAGGAAGAGAACAGGTCGCCGGAAAGGAGACTCTATCCGGATTTCGAATTGGAAAATGAAAGGAATGAAGAAATAGGTGAGTTTCTGGTTGAAAATTGAAGTAAAAAAAGGAATTTGTGTTTTCTCGTTATTGAATTCCCAGATTTTTTGCACTGGTATAGAATTTCGAAGTGAAAAACGGTAAGAGTCATATGAATAATTGCACTTTTTGAGCTTCAAATGATGAATTTTTACACTGAGTTCAATCCAGATCGATACCAAACGTAAAGTAGATCCAAAATATGAACCCATAGAGAAAAGAAATTTTTTTTTTTGTAGGGGGTTGATGAATCCTTTCTATAAATGCTTTAACCCTACTTTAGTAGAAATTTTTTTCTTCCTCTAAACTTTGGGAGAAAAAAAGAAATCAAAATATGGGAAGCAATTTTTTTCATTAAACTGACAAGAGAATGGTCTCAACTCCCAGTGGGAATTCTGAACAAGACCAGGCCTTCTGGATGTAGTTTTTTCACGCTTATTCTGAATCTGTCCTCAAAAATTGTCAAGTAGGTCTGAAAAAAGTCAAAATGTTTAATGTCTTCGTTTGAACTCATATTTAGTGGGTTTATAATTCAAAAAAAGTTTTTTTAGAAATAAAATTGTTTTTTTCTGTTACAAGTGAAACAGGGATCTACTTACCCATCAAACCAAAAATGAGCTCAATGGATTAAATTGAATTTTTGACTTTTCAAAGTCCTCAACTTTTTTCACAGGTTTCGAAAGCAACTTTCGAGGACAGATTCGAAATCAGCGTAAAAAACTATGTCTTGCAATCCTATTCTCATTCAGAAGACCCACTGTGAGCGTTCCCTGGCGAGTAATTGTTGAAATGACTCGTGAATTCATGGAACGGAATGGAAATTTCAGAAAGAGTTGAAGAGATGGAAGAAGATGAAATGCTGCCGTCTTCTTCGAGTTACCCAGGCAGCTCTGGACAGCCAGCAGAGGGGAATTTTTCAGAAGAAGTTCCAGGAGTCCAGCCCGGCTGGGGTACTCACAAAGCAACCATTTCCTATTTTTTCTCATTTTTAAAGAATATTTCGATGGCCCGCCGATACAGAGAAGTGCGAACGGACGTGTTCTAATTATGGTGCCGCCAGGCCTTGTCAGAGGTTGTTTAGTTCTGAAAAAAGGAACTTTTCATCCACTTTTTAGGTCCCCCGCCGATGCTGGATTCTCCCATTCTTGCTGACCCAAGTGACACGATCCAGGTAACTTTTCAAAAATGAAAAAAACTTTTAAAAAAATAAAATAAAATTTCTTTTGAAGCCGTTTAATGTTAGTTTGTTTTTTGATGAATATATATTTAAAAAAAACTGGCTGTTTTATGAATTTTTTTGGTCTCATAACATGACTTTAAGAAGGTTTATCCGATAAGTACGTAATTTTTTTGAAAATAAATCAGTTTTCATGTCATTAAAGAATAGTTGATTGAAAAATGAGCCATTGAAAAAATGGTCTCGAAACGAATACAAGTTAGATAGTGTCTGTTTGGAGGAGAACGCAGAGAGGCCACGCCCCCTTAGCCAATCTCGCCGTGAATCAGTTTTATAGATCTGTTTTTAATAAATATCGACAAACTTTTGAACTCTTTAAAACGCATCTTTAGCAATTTAGTGTAAACAGCTAAAAAAAAAAATCAACAAAGATCGAAAATTTTCTTGAAACTCTTCATTCACAATATTATCTTAAACTTCGATTTTCCAGGCTCAGAATTTCCAGGAACAAGCGGAAACCTTGGGTCCGAGGTCTTCAACTCGCTATTCCGATGCAGAGCTTCAGTTTCCTAGTTCTCCCAGCTCCTTATCGGAACCAGCTCGAGAGTTCTCCCAAAGCTATGAAAAACTGGTAATTTTGAAAAAAAAAAGTCGAAAAGCGGAGTCTACCTTCTAAAGAGCACTGGTGATCAAGAGAGCGCAGAGAGACAAACAACGCCTGCCCTCTCATTTTTTAACGCTCTCTCACTTTCTAAGCCCTGAAGATTCGAAATAATATTTTGAACATCAAGTACAATGACGTCATTGGAAAACGCTCTGTGGATGGCTCGCTCTCTGATTGGTTTATCGCGCCGTTAGGGCGGAGTTTGAGCAACACATTCAAAATCTGAACAGACTAGAAAAACGCTTTGAATGATGTTTTTTTTTTCTTTTCACGACGTCCTTTTTCCTATTTCATTCAATTTTTTTTTCATAGCAAAAAAAGATGATTTTTGCGTTTTTCAGGATGGAAATGACTTGGAGGACCAACCGGAAACTTCGAATGCTTTCCGAGAAGAATTGGAGCCGGCTTTTCCGAATTTTGGAGGATCTGTTCAACCGGCTCAGGTATTTCCGAGATTGTTTCGAAAAAAAGCATTTCAACCGACCATTTTAGTTTTGATTAAGTATTTTTTCCGAAAAGGATGTAAAGACTGTGAGCTTATGACGTCTTTTTAGGGCACGTCATAGCAACCCGCCCATTTTTTGATTTTTCTTTTCCTGATGTAAATTGATGAAAAGGCCCCAAATAGCTGGAAACGAGGCTTTTTCAGGACCAGAACGTCGCTTGCTCTTCGAACCCGTATCCAGAAATAGAACTCGGGTTTTCGAATCTTCTCAGTACCTCATTGGAACCGGCTCAAGAATATTTGGGGAAATCGGAAAAAGAGGTGATTCTGAACGAAAAAAAGGAAGAATGAAAAATGATCGGAAATTTATTGGTTTTATAACTCAATTAGTAAATCTTTCAACCAAAGTTTTGGTGACATTTGTATGGTGCTCCGAATGCTTTCGTGTCCACAAACGATAGTTCATTGCAACAGTCTGACGTGTCTGCGTCTCTTTTACCTCTCCGGCAAGAAAAAAATGAAATCAGAACTCAAAAAGAGAGGGTCGCGAGAAATTGATCAAGCTTTTTTAGGAAGTTTCCGTTTTTTTATAATAAAAAAACAAAGTTATGGTTCCACAAGTATAAAAAAAGTTTCTAGTTTTTGGTTGGGGTGAAAAAAACTTTTCAATGGAATGTTGAAAATTTGGTTCAAAGCCTGGCTTGGCTACTGCCTGCGCAGGCATCTTCGCAAAAAAAAAAAATGAGGCTCAAATCATGGGTCAGCACAAAAAAATGCAGTCTAACGCAAAGCCTGAACACTTCGTGATGTGGCCCACTTAGGTTTCAACCGATTCAGCGGGAGTTCAAATTATTTTCATTTCACCGATTCATTCATTCAGCTTTTTTAGATTTTTTCATTTTACCAACATATATGTCCAACAATGTTCATCTCAGCCGTCGACCTCGAATTCTGCGGGCCTCCAAACAGCGGGAAGTTCGAGAACGAACCCATCAAGATGCAGTATCCCGCTGCTTTCAAATGAGCTGGACCTGAAGCATCTCGTTCCGGGTTTTCCTCTAACCACTTTCATTCATTTTATCATGTTTTTTGAAGTTGCGAGACGGAAGCAGCTTCTGGACGAGTGTGTACGGCTTTTGCGCACAGTGTCCGAAGAGCATCTCAATAAGCAAGGCGAGATACTCAACATTGGGAATCTGGTCAGTTTTTATTATTTCTTTTTGCAAGGCAAAATAACTGCGTAGCAAACATGAGCAAGTGAAGAACTCAATGAGTCCGCGAGAAGTAGTCGATCCACAAAAGATTTTGAAATCCAAGTTTGAAATAATTCTTCACCCCTGGGAGGTAGAAATGACAAGACCCCATATTTGGGGTAAAAACAAATTTTATTTTTGTTGCGGGGAACAGATGGCTTTCTTCTTGAATTCAGAACAAGGATTAAATTTTTTCGGTGGATTTTATAAGTTCAAAAAACAAAAACAGTTGAAATTGAGGATTCGCAGAGGTTTTGTTTTGTAAGACTTCGTGAGAAAATCATATCGGAACTGGGAAAAATTAGCGCTGGACCACGAACTTCTAAATCATGAAGGGGTTTCAGAAAATAAAAGCTGTTAAAGTCGCTTCTAGCGCGCCCCACGGCTATTTTATTTGATAACTTCGGTCCCATCGGAAGGGTTTTATTTACATTAAAAACTTAGCGATGTATTCATCGAAAAAAGAGGTGATCGATTTACCGTATTTCAAAAAAAGGAAGGAGTTTGAACTCCAATAGAGCTGCGCGTCGAATCATGTAATGACTTCCATGGACTTTTTCTATTTTTTCACACTATTTTTTTTCAGGAAGCAGTTTGCGTCGTTTGCAATACGACGATTTTTCGGCGCGATGTGACGGGAGTTGCGCAACACATATTTTCCCAAAACCACCGGGAAAAGGTGAGAAAGAGTCAATGAAATGCCGAATAATTATTTCCTTTTAGCTGAGAATCCGAGGCTTCACCGAAAAAGATGCGTATTTCTGGAAAATAAACTTAAGACTCGTCCAGAAAACCAAAAAAACGCCGGTCGTCGAACAAGGTAGGCCAGAACAGTTCGCATTTTAAAGACGTCTGTTCTCAGTTGGTCAGTATGTGCAACTCCTCGACGCCCCTCGGGAAAATTTGTTCGGCTTGGTGCCAGGTGAGAGAAATTATAATGATGTCATTTTGAAAAGAAAAAAGATGTCATTTCTGGTCAGATTGTCCGATAGTGACGTCATTGCTAGGCAGGATAGTTCCGTCAACCCACGAAAAAAGAAATAATCAAGATATTCTAAAATGACCTGGCAATTTAGCAAATACGCTCAAAAATTGGAAAATGCCTGTAGTTTTGAAATCAGAAAATTTACTCAAACATTTATAACGTCATGATAAAAATTAGAACGATGAAGTCATTTTGAACTATTGTGAAGAGTCTTGAAAGTGTTTGCTGAAGATTGGTTTTTGACGAGAACTTCTGAGAGTTCATGGACGACCATATTCAAGGATACAGTCTTTGATTATTTCATATTTTCCCCCCGAAGATGCTTATTAAAAGAAATGAATGCTCATCAGTCCCCCAAAAATGGCTGTTAAGGGACTATACAAGATGCTTGAGATTTATATCAGAAAAAAACTCGCATTTTCTGACTTTCTTTCTGCAATTAGCTTTCTTACAGAACAAGACAGAGGGCGAATCTTGATGGCGTTGACGAAAATGAAGCATTTGGTGAATCTCGAAGACTTGCCCGCGAGAATTTTGAAGAACCGGGTAATTATTTCTCATCATTTCTGCTTCAAGCTTCAGATTTTTAGACGGAATGCACAGTTTGCGGATGGTTTTTGTCATCTGCGAGAGATGTTCTGGATCATATTTTCGATCAACCTCACATGAAAAAAGTGACTTTTTCGTTGACTCAATTTTTTTCACCTTTTTTGGAAGGCTTAGGGTGATGGCAAAAATGGTCGATCCGGGACCAAAGTTTGCAAAAGATCTGAAAAGGATAATTTTTCGGTTTTCTTATCCAATATTTGTCATCAATTGTTGAGTTCAGCCATGAGTTTGACCAACTACGGGAGAAGTTAGCTCGTTTCTAGAAGCTAGCTAATGCCGTGTTCAAAGTAATTTCCGCGAAATGCGAAATTGTCTCTGACTCTCCAAAATTTAGTTATCTTTCTCTTTCTCTGACGGCTATTTTGAATTTCGCGGAATAACTTTGAACACGGCATAATTTTTTTTGACCCGAAAAAAAATTGTGTGACCCGAAAGTGTTCAAAATGCCATGAACCGGATTTCTCGGCATTTGCGTCTACTACCGATTTTTCAAAATTTTCGGAAAACTAATTGTGAATGTGAAAACACGGCCCTGAAGTGAAAACACGCGAGAGACCTGAAATTCCTGGAAGCTATTCGAAACACGAACATTTTTGTGCAAAAGCGCCCTATAGATCATATTTTGGCTGGATCCCATTCCGGGTTGGGCGGTCTACAAGTTTAGAATAATCGAGGTTATACCTTCATCGCGCGTCGCGAAAGTTGAAAATCGCCGAATTAAAACCGCAAGAACTTTTTGGACAGTTCGTTCACGACCTTTTCAGATGGCTGCTCTCGAACTCACCCTGAGAGACACCATGTACTGGGAAGTGGCCTTTCTCTCCGCCGAGGGGAGGTCTTCGTGCTCCGAAATGCTGAAGGCACTCGCTGGACAAACCGATATGACGTCATTCTTGCGGCAAGTCTATCAACGAGCCCTCGATGGCCGAAGTCTGATGAAAATCGGAAGATTTAGGAAAAAAAATATATTTTTCAGACATTCAAAAGGTGGCCCTCTTGGAAGCTAATTTCCAGTCGGAAGTCGTTAAAGGTGAAACAAGTTTTCGATTTTTTTTGTCCATTAATCAATTTTTCGATATTTTCAAGTTCTCCCAAATATGAGGTTATTTATGAACCACTATGTTATCCCTTTTTTGAGGAGGAAACGCGCTTTTTCAAGGTAGATGCGCGCGATTTCCGCTATATCAGTTTTAACCAAAATATTCCTTTTTCTCAAAGAATTTCCCTTTTTTTTCTATTTTCTTGAGAATCAATTTCGTTTTTAAACTCCTAATTGCCATTTTATCAATCTTAAAGTGTATTTTTATTTTCGAGTTCCAGGATTTTATGCTAATTCCGAAGTTTTTATTTTGTCGTTTCAAAACAAAATCGTACTTAATAATTGCGTTTATTTTTTCGAGGTAGAAGTGCCCAATGTTGAGGATTGACACACTAATTTTTAATTAGTCAAAGACAATCAATTATTGTTAACTATAGTTTTGATGTTTTTTAACTTTTTTTTGAACCAGGTTGCAGGTAACTGTTACAGGTGAGTTGCTTTCGAGATAAAATCACGAGGAGAGTACGCATTTCTGAGAGAGATGTGCGCCTTTTCAGGGGTTGCACTTTTCCTCTTCGGAACTCTTCCAAAATCTGTAAAGAAAGTTTTTTCAGTGGATGAGCGACAAAAAGTCTTGGACGAGCTGTGCTTGGAATACTATCGTTCTGGTTTTTCGAATAATCAGGAACCTCGAATGGTTAGAACTCGATACAAGCTGAATTTAATCATTTTTCTTCACAGGCGACCTGCTTTTTATGTTTCGACAAAGGCTGGATGTGGACCATGGGCGAAATTGGAAAGCATGTTTTTGGTGTCCAACATTTGTCGCAGGTTTTTTTCCACTGTTAAAAGTTTTTTTCCTAATTTTCCAATATTGACAGCTCTTCGAAGAAGGTTTCACTCACGAGGACGTCGTGGAATGGAAGGCGATTTTTGAAAGATTCAAAAGTAGTTTTTTTTTTCTTCGAAATTTTTCAGTGATATAGTACATGACTAATAGAAAAAGAAGTTTGAATTCAAAAAAATGACGTCACTAGGTGTGAAAAAAAAAAATGAAAAATGAAGTCAACTTGTGGGAGATATTCAGCTTTTAGGCAACCATCACAACACTCCAGAATTTTTTCAAAAGGAAATTTAGGAGCGAAAATATAAATTGGCGTCCTATCGGTCAAGGCAAGAATTGAGTCAATGTTAGTCAAAATAATTGACGTCATTCGACCCGAAAAATGACGTCATCCTGGACAAAATTCAGCTGAGAGTGTCGAGACCCCGGCTCAAGTTGCAGAAATTAAAAAATAATCACAAAAAAAAAATGCTTGCTCAGAAAAACTAAAAAAGGGCTTTTCGCTGAATTTTTCTCAATTGACGTCACTGGATTCTCCTCTTGGCCACGAATCATTTACTTCAAGGCCTTCTCAACGTGAAAGTGGCCTGAAATCATTCTTTTTTTAGTAAGCCCCGCCCTGCCCCTTAAAAGGAAAATTCCTCCATATAAGAAAAAAAAAACTCTCAAGCTTCATTTGTTCGTGTTTTAATCCGAATTTCCATTCAGATGCTGATCTGATTGGAGCTGAACCAGTGATCGAAACTCAAGTGGAAAATGTCCAGGAAGAAAATACCGAAAATGTTGAGGAAATGACCGAAAAAGACGTTCTCCAAAAGAATTACGGTAGCGCTTTCAGGTTCGCTTTCAAATGAGCAATATTGTGATTTTCAGCGTCCAACTCTCAATTGGCTGAAAAAGTAAACGGTGTTGAAAAAAATGAAGTGAACTCGGTTATTTTCGAGGCTCCAGAAGAGCTTCCAGATGAAGGTAAAGTTATTACGGCTGTAACATGAGAAATATTGAGCAATTTTCAGATTTTTCAGGCTCTTCTGAAACGCTTAATGTTGAGGGAGAACAAGGAGAAAAAATGGAAGTTTTTGAAGGGAATGTGGAAGAAAAAGCTCGAGAAAAGCTTCAAGTTGAAGGTAGCATTCAATAGGCTGTAAAGTGAGCAATATTGAGCAATATTAAGATTTGTCAGGCTCTTCTGAAACGCTTCATGTTGTGAAAGGACAAGGCTTCAAAGAAAGAGGAAAATTGAAAGATTTCAAGAAGGAAGGTTCCGAAGAAAACGATGGTACCTTTTATACAGCTGTGAAATGATCAGTAACGTTTTATTTTTAGTTTCGGCTTCTGAAGACCTTCCGCCTATTAAGGAGAAAGGCAAATTTAATCTCCGAAAAATGAATTTAGTTTTTTTTTAGAGCCTGATGGGGAGAAGTTCTTCGATGCTCCTGAAAATTTCTCTTTGGCGTGAGTTTTTCGTCATTTTTCCTTTCCTGAGTTTGGACATTTTTCAGAGCCGGTCCTCTTTTCACGCACCAGAAGAAAATGAGCAACATGTGGGCCAAAAAAATGGGTTTTTTTCAAATTCTAGTTAACATGTAGAAATTCGTTTTTCCAGACGCTCCAAAAAAGAAGTACCTCTCGCTTCTGGAAAACCTTGACGTGGAGAAGTTTGACGCAGCTGAAGATTTTTGGAAGGTTAGTTGAAGAGAATGGAGAATGGAGAGAGCACCAAACAGGATGAAAATATGGGATTTACAAGGACGTGTGTAAAATTTTACTCCACCCACCCAGGCTACGCCTTTTTTATGTCATCGCGCGAAGTAGTTTTCAGGTCGGTTGCACTAAAAATGACCGGAAAGAAGTCGTTGCAACGTTGCCGGCTTTCCGAGAAGCTGTTCAATCAAATCGAGTTGATAAATTCAAATTTTCAAAAGTTGGAGTTGAGCCATTTCAAGTGCGACCGTATAGAAATGAAGAATTTCTCGATTTCTCGAATGACTCCCAAAAGTAGAAATTTGTTCCAGCGAACTTGTCCTCAATGCGAAATTTCTATGGATTCGCCCTCCTCCGTGGTTTTTCACGCTTTTAGTGAAGACCACTTGAAAAAAGTACGTTTTGAAACTCCGAAACTCTAAAAAAAAAAATCAAATTTTCAGCTCAAAGCTGCGAAAATCGCAACTTATCGGGAAGATTTCAAGTTTTGGACGAAGAAAATAGAAAAATGTCAATTGAAAAAGTCACAGTAAGCTCTGTTATTAGAGAGTTTGGCGAGAAATGAGCGACACACGCGAGGAAATTTTTTGTCTGCGTTTCTTCGTTTGCTTTTGTCTATCGTCTATCTTCATGTAAATTCAACTGACAATCATTTTTTTGTACATATTTTTTTCCATTGCTTTTAATATGTTATATATATATATATATATATATAATTTAATAATTTAATAATATTTATAATTTGCTAATTATTATAAGTGCTCAGGAATGAGATAATTAACAGGTATTTTTATTTTTTTCTTGCCCTACGGTTTTTCGAAACGGTTCGATTGTATAAATTTGCACTCACTTTTTTTAATTTGTTCCTGTGAATTTGCTTGTGTTATACGTTGATTATAAACTTTCTTCATTTTGAGGTTTTTCAACGTGAAATCGATGTTTCATTCAATTTACTATTTCATTTTCAGCGTTTTTTTTTTACCGCGGTTTGAAAGCTTTAGCCGCATTCAGAATGGCTCGATGCGTCGCGGTGTGTTCTCAACTAAAAAGACTTAGAAAGTCCAACTCACGCGCCTGTCGAGCCATTCCCAATACGGCCAAACGTTCGCGGTGAATTTTCGTATCAAAATTGGGGCTCCCGACAAGTCTTTTTTGCGAAAGAGGTTGATCGAAAAGTCAGGAAGTACAAGTCCTATTTAGCGTTTTGATTTAATAAATTAGTTAATCCAACGTTACTTTATCTCATTCAATTGTTGGAATTGCGAAATTGTAGCAAAGTTTTATTCATAGGGATGTCGACTTTGTGCCAAAATTAAAAAAAGGAAAAATTTGAGGAAATTTTTAGGATTTCTCTATATTCAATTTATCGTCGCTTTGTTGATTTTTATTCTGATCTGACTGTCTTTTTTTCAAAATTCTTCAAAAATGAGGAAAATTCCGATCTTTTAGAGGGGCACTCGGAAAACCAACTGGAACAGAACAATTTTTGGACTCATAAAAAAATTATCATAAAAAAATAGTCAAAAAGATAATAAAATTGGGGCGTTTTATTTATTGGGATCTCGAGAAGAAAAAAAAAGGCGTGTCGCTAAGATTCCTCCGCAGGATTTCTAGGGTTTTTTTCTGGTTTTTGTTTGATGCTCAGGGCAGTTGGAATGGCTCGAGTTATTCGGAGCCCGACCGCGACGCCTTGTCCTCGTCGCTGTCCGACGTTCCGCTCTGAATCGATCGATTATCAGATTCATTTGGAGTCGATTCGAGAGATAAAATCAATTCATCAGTAATAATGATGAGAACAAAAGTCACATCGAGATCCGCGCGTTTCTTCAGTTTGCCCAGCCAGTCGAGCTTCTTGTCGATCTTGATGCCGTTGTCCTTGGCGCAGCTTCGGAGGAACTCTTTGATGTAGCTGGAATTAGAGACTTCGACTGAGATTTTAAGCGCTTTTTCCGTCAATTATAAGTATAAGATGGATTAAGTCCGCGTTTCTAAAACTTGGTTGCATTGGGAATGGCTCGAAGTGTTGTGGTCATCATGAAAAAAAAAAAACGCTTGACAAAAAGAGTTTCGAAATTCAAGTTCTAATGCTAACAGCAACGCGACCGCAACGCATAGAGTTATCCTCCTTGCGACCACAGTTCTTAAGTCGTCACAACATAGTTTTTGATGTCTTTTACATTAGGGGTCAGTTTTCATCATTTTCCTCTCTGAATCTTGAAGACCAACGTGTAATCCGGCTCCGACGCGTATTCCAGTCCGTCAATGTACTTGACCAAAATACTCATCGATTTTGGCATTCGTGTATACATTTGCGGTACTGGAAATCCTTTTTTTCGGTTCAAAATCGGAAAAAAAAAATCCCACATTCTCCTTCAAAAAAGGCTTCCTTTTTGGCTAAAACGTTCTTGGCGCCTACTGTCTTGAACCACGGCATACCGTAATTGTCGTCCATGATTTCGAATAGCTGAAGAGATCATATTGACCATGAAGTGCACCTGTTGAATCCTGTAGCCTTTCGTAAAATCTCGAAATATTGAGCTCAACAAGGCTTCCAACAAGAAAAAAAAGAAAGACACAAAATGGCGTCTCTTTTGGACTTTTAAGGTCTTTTTCTGCAGCCTCTTTGAACCTTTTGCGCTTTTCTGGGAGATTTTCGAAGTTCCAAGTTGAAAAAAAGGTTTCCGAACCATGTAGAGCCAACACTCGAGGTCGTCTTTTCGACCCTGCTCCAGCTGTTTGTGACAGGCTCTGGACGCGTACCGTAATGTCCCCAAAAATCGGACCTTCTTTCGTGGTGTCTAAACTTTTTCTTGTTTCTTCAAACTCTGGTAAGAAACTTTATGCTGTCCGCCCTGGTCGAGGAACGTCTTGGCGATACCAAAGTCCAGCATGTAGACGATACTTTCGGCCTCGCCGAGACCGACAGCGTAGTTGGCCGGCTTGATGTCGCGGTGTAGGTAGCCGATACTGTGTAGGTCTTCTACCGCCTGGAACGGAGTGTTCAAAGTTTTGGAACTAGCTGGAGGTTTGGAGATGAGAAGAATAATGGATCTAAAGAGCTAGGTGGAGGATCCGTAGACTGGAATCTGGAGAGTTTAAGCTAAGTTTAAGCTAAGAGTCTGAAGAGCTCAGTTTTCGAATCGGCTGGGTTCTGAGATAGAGAATGGAAGTTAAAGCCTCAAATAAGATAACATTTTAAACTCAGAATTGAACTTTGAAGCTAATTCGCGGAACAAATCATAAGAAGAACAAACTTCAAGATCTCAAGATATTTATCGAAACTGAACCTATGAATGTGGCGAGTTTATGGCTGACTAAGTCTTTTTTTTTTTTGAAGAAACGATTACCTGAACAGTTTGAATGGCGACATTGAAGGTGGTGTTGCGAGAAAACTGAGAAAGTATGTATTTTCTGCGGACATCGTCGATGGATGGTCCTACCAGGCCCATGACAACAAACTAAACCATTATCATATCATTTTTGATTAAATGCTAGATTTCCTAAAAACCTTGCATTGAAGAGCCTCGCACTTGCCGCGGTCGACAAACTCGACAAAATGCTCAAATTTCTTCGTCTTGTCCGCCCAGCACTTCATCATCACCATCACCTCGACCTTCAGTCGCAACATTCGTTTTTCGCCTTCACATCCTTCCGTTTTGAGAGCGTACATCTGAAAGTACATTTTCTCAAGTCTTCTGATTAAGCTTCTGACCTTGGCAGCCGGGCCGCCGTCCTTGTGCACCTTGTAAACGTCGCCGAAACCGCCAGAACCGAGGAGACTGACGACTTTCCAGCTGGATGGGACCGAGTTAGGTGGTGACAGTAGAAAAGAGAGTTCGAAGTTTTGGTAGAGCTAGTTAGGTCGAATTTGATATTTAATACTACGTATTCATTTAAAATAACCTTATTAGTCCAATGTTTTAGTGAAGATCTTAGATTTGATTTTTTGGTAGCGCTAGCATTCCTGAAGATTTGGTAGCGTAACTAAATTAAAGTAAAACATTATGATAGAACTACTAAGTCTGAAATTTTTATAGAACTGGTAAATCTCAGGTTTGGGTAGGGCTACTGTTCCCGAATTTCAAGTAGAGCGTAGCCGATGCGGCGACTGAAGTTCAAGTGATGCTACAAAGGCTGAGATATAGGCCAAGTTCCTCAGTGGGAAGGTGAATTGAATAGATCAAAAAAAGAAGCATTTCAAAAAAGTTTTCTTTTTTAATGAAGTCCGACCTGCTGCCCTCGCTCTTGATAACATCGCCGGGGTCCATCTTCTTCCGGTCCGCCGTTTTCTTTTTTTTCTTCCCTCTTTCCCTTTAAGAAATTATTTTCCATATTCGTTCTCAAAAATGAACCCGGGCTGTTCGTCCATCTTGCCACTGAGCCGATTGTCAACCGAGAGCTCGACTGTCGGACAGCGCTGAGCGTCGTGTGGAGCGACGTCCTTCCAGTCGCACTTCTTCGTGTTGAGGTTGTACTCCTTGGCAGTGTTCTTGAGAAACGTCTCAAGATAAGAATAGTCCGGCTCAACGTCGTACTTCTGATCCCTGATGTAGTCGATCAGCAGCTTCATCTGCTTTGGAATCACCTTGTACGTGTCGTTTACTGAAAAAGTTTGCGATTTTGGTGGGAAGGTTGAACTAACGTTCATGTTTGAAAAGCTTCTCCTTCTCGCCGAGAATCCGCTCCTTGTCGAGCCGACGCCAGGAGATGCTCTGCTGGTCCATTAGGTAGAAGATCTGGAGGTACTTATGAAATTACCAACGTTAATACTCTGAATAAACGGCTGATAAACCGTTTCTGAAGCTGAAGGATGTCTTTCAGTTCTCAGAAATCAAGATCTGTTTCGGATCTCTTGGCGAGACTTCCAAGATTAAAGCCACTGGAAAAGCTACTAGGAGCCATTTTCAAATTTTTATCGAGTTCGAAGAAAGTCTTCGGAGCTATGAGTAGGTCTGTTAGATTCGAAAAGTAACGTCAAATACGAGCAAATCCACCATTTGACGCCAAATTTCGAAGATTTTAAAGACCGTCTTTTCAACTAGTTCTATCCAAACTAACCGTGTAGATCCACGACTCCAAATCGTCTTTTCTGCCCTGCTCCAAGTTGCGCATATTGGCTCGAGATGCGTATCTGGCCGTTCCGCAAAACGGAACTCTTTCGCGAGCTAGCTGAAAATTAGAGATTTGAGAAAACTGAACATGCTTTTCGGTACCTTGGGCTTCTTTGTTGACGGATCAATATGCTGTCGGGAGATCCGGAAGTCGAAAATGTACACGTTTTGAATGGCATCGCCAACGCCAATCACAAAATTGGCCGGCTTGATATGCCGATGAACGTAACCGATTTTGTGCACGTCTTGGATTCCCTAATTTCGAGAAGTCATTACAGTGAGAAATAAATTAAGAATAGCCGGGAAAGGCTAAGAAAAATAGCCAGAAATCGGATTTTTGCGCTCTGTCGCTAAGTTGATTAGGTTATCAATGAAGCTCACAAGTCACAATAGCGTGTTTCTCAGGCTGTTTTTTAGATTTTCATGATTTCATTAAGGGAAGTTTTCCATTAGGGTAATTTTTTGAATTTTTATTTGAGGGCTATTTTGTCTCTTTTTTTCAGCGGCTCTTTTTTTCTGAAGCTAACTTTTCGAAGATCTTCTTGGAAACTGTTTCTTATGGCTTTTTTTTCGGCGGCTGTAACTTCTATTCTTCATTCAGTTTCAGTTTTTCTCTTTACTGACGGCTATTTTTTGCCAGAAGATTTTGAAAAGAAAAAAAAAAATTTTTCCGGCGGCCACTTTTGTTTTGGATTTTCCTTGATAATTCGATTTGTTCCAACCTTGAGCATCTGAGAAGCAACATTGAAACCGCAGTCGAGCGAAAAATCCGCCTTTAGGTACTGCGTTCGGACCTCTTCCAACGTTGGTCCCACCATTCCGGTGATCAAAAACTGCAAATTTCCCTCCGAATTTGAGCAGAAGAGATAGCCAAACTCACATCAACCTTGTGCCTTGCTGAATTTCCAAATTCAACGTAATCGCAGAATTTTTTCTCGCCCGGCAATTTGCTGGCTTTCATTATGAGATTGGCCTGAAATTTTTCGTTGATGTGGCTTTTTTGAGAAAGTTTTTGCGCTCTGTTGAGAAAGAAGTAGATTTAGTGTTGTTTCTCCAGAGAACTTAAGCATAATTTGATGATCAGCGCTTTTTTCTGCGAAAAAAAATGGCTTTTTTGAATCTTTTCATTCGTTATTGATCCTATATTTCAAAAAACTCGCCTCAATCTTCAGCCGCCCTTTTTCGCTATTCTGAGTTCGAAGCAAATATTCGACACCCTCCAGGTCATTGTCCTTGGCTTTATAGTATTCGACGACACGACCCGATCTCAGAAGACCTGTCACTTTGTATCTGAAAAAACATTTGAATTTGAATTGGAGGGCGTGAAGAAATGGCCGAGGAGGAGTATATTGAAATTTTCATTCCAATTCACTCATGATTAATAATCAGTGAAAGAATAATCAAAGCAGTTTACGCAGAAGCCAAAACTTTTAAATATTGAACGAATTTCTAACTAATCTTAAAAAATGACGGAAAATCGGACTGTCCGAAAATTGCGATTTTATTCGAAATTTTTGTTATGTCGCATTTTCTTTTTTGAAGAAAGCCTGTATCTGAATTAACCATTCTCTTTTTTTCCTTTCTGAATAGTTGAAGAACTTTGAAATTTTGTTTCTCCAGTTCAGATAGGGCCCATTTGTAGAAGGCAGCCTAGAAGTGAATGGATGACCTTGATTTTTTCCTAGTTTTTCCCTATTATTATCAAAAAAAAAAGCCCACGTGTTGATTCCGTCGATCAAATCGCCTTCGACAAGTTTTGGTTTGCATTTCTCTTTTAGTACGTTTGTTTTCGCCTCCGACGTCGGATTCAACGACCCCTGGTCCGTCGTTTTCCGTTCCGTCGTCCCTCCGGTTCGCGGACCCGGCGATTGTGTCTGGGTAATTCGGAGCTGATTTTCGAACGGTTTCAAAAGTAATTTCCTACTGACTTCAATCTGTTTTCTGTGCTTAAACGCCTGGCTGCGACATTTAAATTTTGTCGAGAATGCGGCGAAACATACATACGCGGACCATTTTTTAAAGGTCGCCAATTTTTAATTTTTTTTTTTGTCAGATACCACCTCCATAAAAAGCTTCTTGTTCAACGTCTCACATTTGTCTTGGATTTTTCGAAGAACGACTTTCTTTCGACTTTCTTTTTGCCTCGTTTCGATGATTGAGCCACAGTATTCGTACGCTTCGACCCTGTCTTTATTTTCAAATAGGTCGTAAAGCATGGAATTGTTGAAAAACCGGAGCAGCGGCATTGTTTGGGGGCTCTTTCACCACCATTTCCGACGACGACGACCCTCTAGGCGAGGTTGGCCAATAAATGAGTTGAACTTTTTCTCGTTATACGCCCATTCCATATTTTGATCATTACCTTTTTCCGGAAATGATTTCATCAACGTCCCTTTGAAAAAAAAAGTTGGAACGAAGAAAAAAAAACCGTGTCACAATTTGCGAGTTTATCGCGCACGGACTGCACGGCGAAGCGGGAAATTTGATTTTTTAAATTTATTTTGTTTTTTTAACTTTGCTAATTATTTTTTTTTTCTGAAGGATCCTAATAGCTTGTAGAAGCGCCTTGATCGAACTCTGAAGGCGCAGATGTTGTACATGACCTGAAATAGCTCTAAAATATATCTTCGTCTAGAATCCTTTGGTTTTTTCTACGCTTTTTAAAAATCTCAGCAAGGTTTTCTAGAAAAATGGAGCTCGTGGCTTGCCAATAGCTTCGAAATATGATGCTTCAAAAAAAAGAAATAACGCGAAGACTGAGAAAACTTTCTTTCCATTATCTCTAATTAAACGTACGACTGTGAGATCCTTTTGTTTTGATTTGTTTTAAAAAAGTCTCAATTTTGATTTTCTCCTCTTCATTTTCAAAGCTTTTAGCCTTCAAAAATCGAGGTTGAAAATCCCTTGAATTAAAATTTAACTGAAAAGTTCGGATTTTGGATCAATATAACAAGCATCTCGTCGGTTTTTCCATTCATTCCGCTATATATTCCTAAATAAAATACTCAGTATTTTTCAGAGGCAGATGTTGAAGTTCTTGTCGAAAAAGCCGACGGATTCGCCGAAAGTTGAGAAGAAGAAGGAGACGAAAAGAAGAAGCTCAGCGGGCAAAGAAGGCTCCGTTGCCTCGTTATTTTCGCCGAAAAACTCGTCGCCAACGGCGGTGGCCTTGGAACAGTCCAAAAATTCCGAGTTGTTGGTAAATCTTGTTCGAAAATGTTCGCTGATACATTCTAAGTAAAAATAGAACTGAAAAAGTTTCTCCTCGACGCCTTTTGAAATTAGTCCATGTTTCTTCAAACTCTAATGTATTTGTGAACAATTTATTAATTTTTAAGCCACTTCCCGTCAATAATTTGAATCTGACGAATACGAGTCAAGTTCCACATCAAAAAGTGAAATATGGAACAGAAAAACTCGAAAAGAAGCCATCTAGGTGTTTTTTTGAAGACGATTCAGCATTTAAAAAGTGTTTTTTGAAAAAGATTTAATTTTTCAATCACTTTCACTGTCGTCATTTTCTTGAATGTAAATGAGAGAACGAAAATTGAATGAAAGTTCATGGAATCTAGCTTAATTTGCTGCTTTTTTTTTTCAAAAAAAGAAAGAATCTTGGAGCTCATAAATCTTCCTTCGTTTCGAAGAAAAGCGATTTAGGACCGTTTTTCAGCACATTTGATTTTTTTTCCTAGCTAAAACTTGCAACGCAAGTGTCGTGTTATTTGAAGCTTGAAAAAAAACATTCGGACCTTTCTTGAAAAAAAAGTACTTCTTACAGTTCAAGTCAATACTCGAAGACAATGCGGTAATCGTTCATCAAATTTTGTCCAGGAATCGACCATTTGAAAAGGAAAATTTGAAGGTTTTGTGTAGAAATTATGAAGGAAAGGAAGAAAAACGGACGCTTTAGAATCAAATGGATAAAATCTCGTTTTCCGAGGATTTTTCGTCGTCTTCTTCCGAGTTTTTAATGTTTCAAGTGGACGAGGATGTTGTGGCCAAGTTTTTGGCCAATGAAAATAGGTTTATTTGTTTTCTCTTCCGAAAATTGGACCTTTTCGAAGGGCATTGCAATTAATTTGGTTTTTGTTTGTTGAAAAAAATGTTCAGTTAATCAAGTATTTAGCTTTTTTTGGAAGTATACGTCCTCACTATATTTTAAAATTGAAAACGCATCTTTTTTCTTCTTTGTTTTTTCTTAGGAAACAAATAACTTTTCAATAATTAAATTTTTCTTGAAGATTGGGTGTTTTTTTTCTTTTGAATGTATTTTTGCTAAATATTATGTAATAACTTCTAAAGTAGAATCTGTGGAGAACAAGTTTTTTGAAAAGGGCCGTTCAAATTCACTTTTTTTCCTCATTTTTCTTTTTTCTAGCTTATCTTTACGGGGAGATGATGGCGATGACGCGGCGATTTGTACTAACGAGGCTACTTATCCGATAAAAATGGTTTTTATTCACCAAATAGGGTGTAGAATTCATATTTTATTGTCTTTAGGTAGAATCTGGCGCCGCTATGCTTTTCCTGCCAGAATTACTGAAATCTCCGGCGAATGAAGATTTGGAACCGTGTTTCGCTTCGAAATTGGTTTGAAAATGTTCAAATTATTTTCTGAGGTGTTTAAATAAGTATGAATATTGATAGTCTGTTCAGATTTTGAATGTCAAGCAGCAAACTCCGCCCACAACCACGCTCTGTGGAAGGCCCGCTCTCTGATTGGTTTGATCTACGCATAAGGGGCGGAGTTTGAGCGATGATTTGACATTCAAAATAAGAAGTCCAATAGTTCTCAACATACGTCTTTAAACATTCTTGGAAAAGTTTTCGAGAGGCTCAAAATGTACTTTCAAAAGACTTTCAGATAACTGGAAGATCCTTTGCCATGGGCGAATTGTGTGCGGCGGTCGACCATCTGAATGTTGGAAAATTGAAGGATTTGCTCAGAGAAAAGGAACTTTTGTGGGACTGGCAGGAACGGGAGACGGGACACGTTTTCGGGTGAATAAAGTTGAAGAAAAAAACCAGTAAAGTACTATGTTTTCCCTTCGAAAATGGAAAGAAAAAAGTTGCGAGCATGTTGGAAAAACTCTAGTGGTCACTCGAGAGGCTCCTCAAGGACTACTTGAATAGGAGTGTGCATTAAACACCTCTAGAATGATCCTCAAGTTGTCTTCAAAAAGATGGACTTTCAGATATTCTATGGCTGAGCTACTAAATTTTGTCCAAATGAGTGATGGTGAGATGAAAACGGCGATTAATGACCTTCCAGTCGTTGAATTAAAGGGTTTTTCAGCTATTGTTTGCTTTGAAAAAATAAATATACCGATTTTAGGCCGATTACGATACCTTTCTCATAATTACCGCGCCGAGTTCTTCGGTTATATCATTGAATTTTGCGACGACGATGAGATTCCCGGTGTTTCTATGGAAAAAGTATGAATTCTTAGTTTTATTTAAAAGGAAAAAAACTTCGAGGTTTCTTTCGAAGCGCTACGGGAGAAGTTTGAAAGCTCAGTTCCGGACTCGGTTCTTAAGTGGTTCTTGAAGCGAAAATGTAGGCAGATCCAAGGAGATGGTTGGTTTTTCTCTTGCAACTGAAAAGAAAGAAAACTGTTCTGTGAGGGGAAATCGGTGAAAAATAAGCAAGATCAAAGCTTTATATTTTCAAAGTTTTCATAAAGTAACCGTTTCGTGAATATTATTTTTTTAAATAATAATCTAGTTTTTTTCTCAAGATTTATTTTTAATCTTCAAATTAATTTTTCAAAATAGTCTGCAGTTCATTTTTCCAATTTATTCTCTATTTTTTTAAATGTTGTTTAGTTTTTTTCATATTTCGAGAAGATCGTTAATTATAAATTTAATGACTTAACTTTTCCATTAACCTTGTAAATCCAAATTTTAAAGCTCTCAAAACCTTTTTGAATTTGTTTGAAGGCCAAATGATCTTTTATAATATTAAGGATGCTGCAGTGATAAATATTCTGTCAGAATTAACTGTTGGAATGCTTATTTTTGTCGAAATGAAAGTTATTTGAAGCTTTAACGATCTCATATTTTCTAACCTTTTTTATAGTTTGATAGAAAAATTTCCTATTTCCCTTTTAGGCAATTCATACAATCCATTATTTTTTTCCAGACTACGAAATAATCACCTCCGAACTCGTCAGAGAAACGGCAGTGATAACATTGGCCAGACTGCACAAAATGCCCTTGGAACAATTCGAACAGCATATCAAGGAAATATTGCCTTTTGGTGTGGCTTATAAGTGAGTTTGACGACGTCGAAATGGTAGATGATCTTCTTGGATTCAGCAAGACGATGCTGGTCGGCGTGGCTGACGTCGTCGACACGGCGAATGGACAGGTGATCGTCTACCTGAGCACCGAGGATCTGCCCGATAAGCTCGTTGACAGGTATTCATTTTTAGGAGTTTTAAAAGTACCTTTTTGGAAAAAGTTTAAGAGTTCCATCCAAATGCTCGATATGCTAGCAATAATTTGAGAAGTCGCTTGAGCTTTCATGTACAATGTTCGAGAAGATCCTAAAGTGGATATTTGGAATATACATGAACCAGACAAAAAATCGTAAAATTATTTTTTCCTCCTAAAATTTCATATTTTCAAAGAAACCGCTCAAGTTATCACTTGAAATTTCAGATTAAACCTGACATTTCTGGAGTGGTCACTTAATGTAAAAAGTAGAAAAAAATTTTAAAAAGTTCAAAGTTTTCGATTGAAAGTATTTTCATTATTACACAAAGCTTCAATAAGTTTGAATTTGCCCATGAGTATCTGTAGTGGTTTCTTCATCTTACTAGTGTTTCATGAGAAGTTTTGAACTGGTCTTCAAAGGGAACACAGCCAAGTATCTTTGAAGAAACGATCTCTCATAACGTCACCATGAAGCGCGGCAAGGTGGCGGTCTCTTATTGAAATACTACCTTTTTTTTCCAATGTTTTTCCATCAATTTTTCAGAATGAAATACCTGCTCGAGCACCGTCGGCTGTGGTCAATGGAGCAACTCCGGCCGTATTTTGCCGATTTATTCAAGGACAAAGTGGCTTTCGAACGGTTCCTCGTCCAAAAGTGCGAGTACACGTTGGGAGAGAAAAACGAGTTCTTCTACTGTGGCGTCCGCGGCGAGTAATCTCATGTAGATAAATAGAAAAAATTGAGAATAAATGTACGGGGTTGATCGTAGGAAAAGCGCAGTTGTTTCCTATCTTGGACCTCGATAACGCAACCCGGGCGAGCCCCGGCCGTTCTTGCATTCCTAGGGATTCCGTTAGCAACCTGATGGCTCTTAAGGGTTAACTTTCAAAGTTCAGAAACGTCCGGTCGCGTTTCATAGGTCCGAGCTGGACAGAAAATATAAAATTTAGCAGTTGGAGCGAACCTTTTCATTCATTTTTGTAGGTTTTGGATCTTTTTCTGAAAATTATCAACTCAATCCCTTCTTTCATCAGTTAAATTTTCATCATTCATTTTGGAGAAAAGTCATCGCGATAATTCAAAATGATTATCCCATCCTAACTTTTTAGGCTATCCTTTTTTTATTTTTTTGTTCAAGTACACAGACAAAAGGTTGATGCCAATTTACACGAGGACCACCACAATCACTTGGAAAAGAGAGTCTGCTCGTTGGAGATTCATTCGGCGGCTGATAGCTTGACAATGGTCTCGCCGGCGACCTCGCCTTCCGGCTTTCCGGAAGCGAACGGCGCCTGCGGGTCGGAGGCGTCGCCGGCCACGCTGGCAAACTGGAAGACCAGTCGGTCCGCCTTCGGCTTGCCCTTCTGAAGAGGAAGACGTGTTCACCATGAATCTCGAGTCCAAACCACGCGGGTGATCTTGAAGTCAAGCGATTCGCCGGCGTTGACGAAACCGTGCACCACCGACACCGAATAATTAGAGTTGTTCGTCGAGCGGACCTGAGATGAGAGATTGCTAATTGAACAATAAGTTCTCGTTGTTAGATATTCGGATTTGAGACATGGGAATGGCTGGCTGCCAAAAGCTTACGGAGAAGATGCGCCCGACCATAAAACTTCTTAAAATTGAGTTATTTTTACGCCGTCCAAAATTCCCATAAAATGTTGCGATTTTGCAATATTTATTATTTTTCTACTATTTTCTCAAAGGACCATTCCTTTTTCTTTTCTTTAGACTAAAATACAACCTACAAGAGGAATCTTTTGATTGCAGGGTTCAAATATTTTTACCGCTTGAGTATACTAACACAATTACTACGCTCCTGTTTTAAATTACGTATCCGGAAGAACTTCAAAATCTCTACTTTGGTCTCACACAGCTTCTACAGTACATCTTCGTCTCCGCCTTTCGTTTTAGTAGTTTCCACACTATTTCACGACCTGTTGAAGACATATAACAGTGGTCCATGCCAGCATCTAAAGCGAAAAAGTTTTTCAACCAACTTTGAATGCGAGCCGCAAGTCGGACTGATTGGTGAGCGTGTGTTTGGAGACGCCACCGTCGGCGGCGATAGGGCACACCGGCGGGTCGACTTTCAGAGCACCCTGGAAGGCCATCGCGAGCTCTTCGCAATGACTCACTGTCGTTGGGGAGGGTACGGCTTTTATTATTCAAATTTCCAACGCGCTGATCACGTGAGTAGATTTTCACAGTGAAGCTTCGATTTGGTTACTTGATAGAAAAAAAAATAGTAATCCTACAAACACTCGTTGAAAAGAAGATGTCTATAATATATTCAAGAAAAATAAGGAATGAATTATATAACATATTTCTGTTTGCATTATACTTTTTTCCTCGGTATTTCGAAGTTTTTTGTGAATATAGCCTGTTCAGATTTTGAATTTCAAGCAGCAAACTCCGCTCCCAACAATGCTCTGCGGAAGGCCCGCTCTCTGATTGGTTTGATCTACGCATAAGGGGCGGAGTTCGAGCGATGACTTGATGATCACATGTGATAAAGAAGCGGAAAATGAAAAATCTAACAACAAAAGAATTGTACAGACTCAACCGAATCACTAACACTAATCAACAACAAAAAATGCTCACCAAATCGAAAAAAGGAACTAATAGATCCACCCTTAAACACACACACATACATACATACAGTCCAGTAAAATATTCACTTAAAGCTCTGATGGGAAAAAGGGGGAAAATAAATAAAAAAAAAACAATAACCAAGAAAAGAGAAGCGGATAAAAAGGAAAAACAAGTAGTATGCGGTTTTGCAACAAGTAGTATGCGATTGTGCACAATCTGAACAGATTTTTGTTATTTTTTTTTAAACTTGATTATTTTCTCTAGAACTTTTTGACCTAATCTGATACAAAAATAACCAGACGTTGGGAAAGCTGGTTTTTTGGATCACATCGCGTTCCTTCCGTATCTGAAGTTCTGAAAATGTGGCTTTAGATGTAGCCCGTTCAAGGATGTCACGGGGGCGCCTCGAGACGCTCCAGATCAGAATTCTCCTTTCGTTTTTATTATAATAGTTTTTTCACTGACATTATTCTCATCGAACAAATCCATCCTCTTTTTTTTTACTTTTTCTTTATTTAATATTCAACATGAGGCTTTTTCCTCTACTTGGCTCGTTTCACAGCCGAGGCGTTCACATAAATTGTGAATCCTTAAGAAGATCCAAATATGCTATTATCAACTTCTACGAACACCAGAAATAAGACCAGCTAGACACGGTGTTCCGCGCAATGAAAAAAAAATGCGAAATTTTGGGTCCCAGCGGCATATTATCCGTGGCGCATTATTGCGCCCTTCTCATGGTTTTTGATGCAAAAATTGAATTTCTTCACTTTTTTCATTGGTTTTTTACTTTTTTCTATTTCTTGCACTTATGTGATCCGCCTCTCTATGGGTACATCTTGTGGAGCTTTTTAATTGCGCATTTTTTTCTAAACCGGTTTCAGATCTTTAACTTTTTTTCTCAAAAGAGCTGAAGATTTTTTTCTAAAAAGTCTTAATTTTTTTCAAAATTTTTGAAATCTGTTTCGCGACATGAAAAAGAGTCACTCTATTTCGGAAACTATAGTTTTTTTAATTTAATAAGTTAATAATAAAAAAAGTTATTATCTAGTTCCTTTGACGTAGTTTGAAACCGGTTTCGTGTAAATTAGAGCCAAATTGAGTTTGCTGATGCAGTTTAATGATTTTTGATATATGCATCATCTAAATTATATATTTTTTTCTAGTTTTTTTGATGGTTTTTTTCGGATTTAAACAAAAAAATTTCGCCATACGAGGTTTTTTTCTAAAATTTCTGCTTCCTATCCATTATTTGTTTTTTTCTGAAGCTAGGTTTTCGAGGTATATAAAATGGTTTTTCATTTGCTCCTCGAATTTTTCCTCATTTCAATATTTTTTTCGTATTTATAAATGCTTATTCAATGGGAGCTGATTCACCTTCATATCATTTTTTTGTTTTTTTATTTTTGTAATCAGTAATTTAGAGTTTTTCCCCTTTCGAAATCGTTCCTAAATGTTTTTTTTAACGTAAGTGAATGTTTTTTCACATCATATTCTTCAAATTGACAAGATTTCGAACATTTCAGAAGTTATTATCCTAAAATTGAAATAAACAATTTTGAGTATGCGACAGTGCGTCTCGGTGTGCTTACACCCTAAGCATCATACTTTACGAGAAGTCTTGACCTTGCGTAATGAAAAAACGCCGTGTAGACGGAACATTTTTATTATTGTATTTAAAAGACGTCGCAATGTGCGACGACGAAGACGACGAATAGGGGAAGGAGAGTTCTTGGTACTGTTGGGTTGGACAGGGGGAAATCAGAGCAAAAAGTGAACAAAGAATAGGAATTTTGCGTTTTTTTTGTGGCGTAACGTAAGACTGTTGGAGAGAGTTGCCACCCGCGTTGTGCGAGATATCCATGAGTGAGAACACGAAATGCGGCTTTCAACCCGCAATAGAAAGAAATAAAAAAATAATAGAAAACATGAAGAGCACTGAAAAAAATTTCGATCACGAGGTTAAGCTGATTTGAAAACAAAAACTGCGGCAATCTCACATTCCATGCAATAACTCTTTCTCTCACTCGCCAGTAGTAGGTAACAAGTGCGAAAAGGGTGGAAAGAAGAATAAAAATGCTACAAAAAAAAACACAGGTACGAGTACAGATTAAATAATCGGTGGCATAAGAAAGAAGAAAGGAGAAGAGGAAGAAAATATACATGATTCGGATGGGCAATAGAAGAAGAGGAAAGGAAAAAAAATTGATCTCTAGAGCTATGACCGCGGACGACGAATAAAATACCGTAACGAGAATCGCAGAAAACACTCAATAATATTCGCAACGTGACGTTTTCTATCAAAGTGGAATAAATATGTAAGTCGTGGGCGTTACAGGTGCGAACATTTGGGAAAGTTGGTCAAAAAAATTCAACAACTTTTCGCAGAAAACGGTGATTTTGAGATTTTTCACCGAAAAAAAAAATGTACAACCGAGAGAGCAACACACGAAACAACAACAGCAGGAGAAAAAAAAACGTCATGCGATAGAAATATTAGAGTGTTGAATGCAATGTGGAATAACTATCAGAATTCGAGGGGTAGCGACGAAAAATTAGGCGAGATCAGAGAAAAGAACGATTTTTCTTCATCTTGTTGCGTATGACTTTTTGCTACCTATGAAAATGATACAACAACGATCTCAAACCTAAAATCGGCACCCGGCCATCCAGCGGCTCATAAAGAAGCGGAAAATGAAAAAACTAACAACAAAAGAATTGTACAGACTCAACCGAATCACTAACACTAATCAACAACAAAAAATGCTCACCAAATCGAAAAAAGGAACTAATAGATCCACCCTTAAACACACACACATACATACATACAGTCCAGTAAAATATTCACTTAAAGCTCTGATGGGAAAAAGGGGGAAAATAAATAAAAAAAAACAATAACCAAGAAAAGAGAAGCGGATAAAAAGGAAAAACAAGTAGTATGCGGGTTTAAAAATAAACCGCAGAGAAAAGTCAGCGGCTTGGGGTAAGTATATGAAGATTGATTACATGATGAGTCGTATGTTACATGACAAAATTGAGTGTCTGAATGGAAGGCTCAATCAAATCGAATCCTAGCGTGGGAAACATGAAAGAGAGACGCAACGCAACACATAAACATCAATTTTCATTGGAAAACACCTACCTAGAACCGCATATCATACCTAGAACGAATAAACAGTACAAAAAAAGGACAAAATTAAAATAAACGAAAGAAAGAAAAAATTAAATTATAAAACGTTGGAGAATCCGGATTTCCGTCTTTTCTGTCTTCTCGCAAATGAATGAATCACAAGAGAATTAGTTGGCGGGGGCCTGCCAGTGGTCGATCGGCTGCTGCTTTCCAGCGAATGGTGGCTGTCCAAACCCATTCATTCGCTGCATGCTGAAGCCGTTGGAGAAGCCTCCGTTCATGCCGCCGCGGCCCATGCTCGGGTTCGAAAAGCCACCTAGAAAAATTCCAACTTCAAACAAAAACAGGGAAAGGTCGCATACCTCGAGCGCCAGGGAATCCACCCATGCCGTTCTGCATGAACCCATTTTGAGGCATCGGACGCGGCATTCCAAATCCGTTTGCCGGAATGCTGAAGCCGTTGTTGAAGCCTTGAGCCGCAGCGATGCCGTTGGCGCCATGGATGTAAGAGCTGAAGTTATTACTTAATAAGAGTAAACGTTGAGAAAAATCAGTAAAAAGACTAAATGGAATATGAACTAATCATAGCTTTCGGAGCTATTTTCGTCCCGCATCTCACAGTGTTAGTGGCCAAGTTTTGGAAAAAATTTTAGTCATGCGTACTTGTTGAACTGTCCAGGCCGAGTAGAAACGCCACGACGATGATCGACGCCTCCGAAGCGACGGTTCGGCTGTCGTGGAATGTTGATCCTTCCTTCGGCGGCGACGCGACGCAAAAAGTCCGGCACTTCCTGATTGGACTCCTGCACGAGCTGCATCAGCTCACGGCCGATCCCTCTGTTCTGTAAGAAGATAATTGGTTTAAGAGAAACGATTTCGAGTGGAAACCTTGTCATTGAAAAAGCTAGTGGCCTTTCCGACGTTTCCACAGCGACCGGTACGACCAATACGATGAACATACTCGTCGACGTCATTTGGAAGGTCGTAGTTGATGACATGTCGGACATTGGGAATGTCCAAGCCACGGGCAGCAACCTGAATGAGAATTACAGGAAAAGATTCAAAAACAAGAAGATACGCCTCAAGATCCTTTTTCGGAGAACAACATTTTAAAAGCCTTTAGATAAATTTAAATATGCTCCTCAAAAATTTCTCGGAAAAAAAAAACCGAAAGTTCGTCAAACTTCAATATCATTCACATCAATTAGATTGTCCTTATTTCCAATCTTTTCAAGATTTAAAAAATTCCTTTTTTTCAGGAAATTGTATGGCATTCCATCAGAAACGCTTCCGAGAGCACGAAATGAGATAAAAATTAGAAAATAAATCAAACTTTTTTTGTTCTAAAACCAACACGGAACGGATTCCAGGAGTTTCGAGAAGCATATTAATTATTCAAGAAATTCTAGCAGAGAAAAGCCGCATCTGCTCATTAATGTGAATATAACATCAGGAAACCACCCCATTACGCAAAAAAAAAAATTCTGCTCTACATATTCCCAAAAAAAACTCGAAAAGCAAACAATAGATCAAAAAAAACGAACAGCAGTAGCAACAAGGATTGGATAGGTGCCGTGTCGGAAGAGCTCGAGGTTCTTTTCGCGCTCGAACTGCTTTAGATCGCCATGGATCGAGACGGCGCGGCAATTCTGTCGGTTCAAATAGAAGGCGAGTTCGTTGGCGCCACGTTTGGTTTCGACGAAGATCAACACCAGCGAGCTTCGGTCTTCAAGAATGATCATTTCTTCAGAAGTGCGCAACCCCAAACCATCCTGCTCGATGATCTGCATGAGAGTACGACGTTTGTCGATCTCCTCCACCCACAAAAGGTGCTGCTCAATGTTCTCCGAAGTGGAGCCAACTCGTCCGACGGCCAGGAACACGTAGTCCGGCTTCAAAAAGTCCTTGGCGAGAACCTTAAGGAAAAAATTAGATTTAGATCAAAATTAATAGTTTCAACTTGAATCTGCTTGGGGAAGGTGGCGCTGAACATGGCCGTGATTCGGTTGGTCTTGGGCGGCATTCCGTTGTTGACAATCTTGCGGATTTGCGGCTCGAAGCCCATGTCGAGCATGCGGTCGGCCTCGTCCAGCACGAGGTATTGGCAGCCAGCCAGGCCAATCCAGCCCTGCAATATTATTTCTATATTTCGAAGCTTCACTTTCTGGATAAGTTGTTTTTGAAAAAAACTTCGGTGTTTTTCGAAGTAGTAAAATATTTCAAGTGCGTACTTCGCCAAGTAAATTGTTGTATTACTGATTACGAAAAAGCATAATTCTGTAAAACAGCTCAAAATTATCATTTTTCTTCAACATATCAAAAAACACAGAAACAATGCCGCTATGGAGCATTCAAACTCGGAGTTTTTTTTAGATTTCCTAGTTTTTTTTTTAAATTCCATCTGTACACCGCATCAATTGATGTCCTTTTCTTCTTTTTTTTTCTGAGCTACAACAACTTTACCTGTTCGATGATGTCAATCAGGCGTCCAGGTGTGGCGATCAAGATGTGGCATCCGCCGCGGAGTCTGTTGACCTGCTCGCGGTAGTTTTCGCGTCCCCCGTAGAGAATGGCTGTGACGATGTTGGTGCGATAACTGAACTTTGCCGCTTCTTTGTGAATCTGGATGGCGAGTTCGCGAGTCGGCGACAGAACCAGCGCCGAAGGGAAATAGGTCCGGCGTCCATTTGTCGCAGTCGTGGCCTGAAAAGTAATTGAATTGAAATAAAAAGAAAAAGCGAATTTTCTCAATTTGATTCATGTCTTTTCTTAACTTTCACATGTAAAAAACAAATAAATACTGAAAAAACAAATATTTTACCCTAAATCCGGAGCAATAAAATGTCGATGAAAAAAATTGAAATTTATATAACTAATTTTGATCTGTTTTAGAAGTTATTTTCCAATAATGAAACTCATCGAGTTGGTCCTCGATTTTTAGAGTATGATCCTTAATTTTAACCATGAAATAAACAAATTAGAATTTTTAAATGAACTGGGCCTATTTTTCTTTCACCAGGACCTGCTTAACAGCATCCGGTCCGTTGTTCAAAATGTGATTGATAATCGGCAAGAGGAAGGCTGCCGTTTTGCCGGATCCAGTCTGAGCGCAGGACATCAGGTCGCGATTTCCCAACAACGTGGGGATAGAGTGCTTCTGGAATTAGGAAAAATTTGCAATTTGTACTTTATGAGTGTCTGAAACCTGAACAGGAGTAGGCTTGGCGTAGCCGCTCTTCTCAACATTCTCCTTGATCCATTCGTGGAAGTTGGCCTCAGCAAACTGAAAATTTTTAAATTTTCGTAAAGTTGGCATTTGTAATCTTTCATTCACGACTAACTTGATAATGAAAAAAAACTTTTAGCGTAAAGAATCGTTTTGGGAATATTTTGAACCGTGAATCAAGTGATTAAATTAAAAATTTGAAAAAAAAAAAAAAAAAAAAACTCAAATATTGAAACTTTATCCAGTCCAGTCTTGAGGCCGGTCTGTGCTCAGCTCTACATAGTTTGATTTGAATACGAAAAGATCACAATAAGCTCACAAAATCTCTTCCAATCTCAATAAAAATCCTGAATCATGACCGCTCTTCTTTTTTTTTTTTCAAATTTGCCACAAGCCAGCAATGAATAAACCGAATTTTCTCTTCTACTCTCTCACATCGTTGATCGGTTCTGGCGGATTCTCGCCACTGACATCCACTGGAATATTCTCGTAGTTGTCAAAGTTGATTCCGCTGCTGGTTCTGTTGAACAATTGCCTCAAAGTATTTTTTCAAATAATGTATTTAAATTTCAATCCTACTTCTCCATGGACTCGCTGCCATTGGCCTGGTTGGACCAATTGATCGGGGTTCCGCTGAAAAATACGAATTTCTTATTAACTTCTCACAAAGTTGTGAGCAAACTTGGCAAGGTTCGGGTTATAGCCACCAAATCCCTTAGTGATGTAACCGGCCTGATTGTCGCTTTCGGAGCGAGAAGCAAAGCCATTCTGTGGCGCCACACTGGAACACAAAAAGAATAAGAAAAAAAAAAGTTTAAGCACACATCAGATTCAATGCAACATTAAAAAAAACAGAAGTGATTTGAAAAAAAAAACACAATAACCGAAGCAACCCAACAACAGCACGACGTGGGAAGATTAAAATTATAGGTGGAGTGAACGATTTTTGCTTTTGTGATTCATTCAAAAAAACGATTTTTGACTTCTACAAGTTTACAGAACTTCACAATCACAACAAAAAAATAAGAATAGAAAGATCATTTTTTTATCTTTTTCATTCTTACGATTGCAGGGGTTCTGAAAGTTGCAATGAAATTTTTTTAATTCTTAGACATTTTTTTGCCTTTTACGACTAGAATTGGTAATATTCACATGAATCATTTACTTTTTAGATTTAAAATTCTCCGTTTTGAAAACTATTTTTTCTAAAATCAATACTTTAGCCTGTACTACCTATTGGCGTGTTCATCGGACAAAATGAAAATTGCTCCGAAACGCAAGAAAAACACTTCAAAACAAAAATTAAGTACCGTTATTTGCGAAAATTCATCCTTTTTTCAAAATACTTCTTGGGTCATATGAAAGTCATTTTCTACAGAGGTAAAGAAACAAAAGAGTGAAACATCCTTCTTTTCAATAACATACGTGCTTTTTTAGTAAAGTGGTAAAAGATCGTGGACATTTTTCTAATCTATTCGGTGATAACTATTTCAGACAACCTTCACTTTACACCCAAAGAAGGGATCTTGTTAGAACGGGGTGGAGAGGGATAAGAAGCGGAGAAAGCGCACAAAAAAAGAGGCAGAAGCACGGGAGAGAGGCGAGCAACACCATCATCCACACACTGCTTCTCACCCATTCATGTGGATCATCGCCGGCGGCAGGATGAACGCCTGCTGGGGGGCGAACACCGGCGACGTCGGTTGCTGCTGTTGTTGAGGGTTGGTTGGCCCGATGCCGTACCCATTTTGCTGCTGTTGTTGGTGGCCGAAGCCTCCGCCGACCGCTCCGAACTGTCCGTAGCCGTTGACGGGGGGTGAGTTGAACCCGTTGCCGAATCCGTTCGCCTGGCCTTGCGGTGGAAATCCACCGGCGGGCCCGTTTGCGAAGCCGTTCGTTTGACCACCATTGGCAAATCCGTTCGTCTGCTGTTGTGGCTGTTGTTGTTGGCCGAAAGACTGGGCGGGCCAGCTGCAATCCTTTAATTCTTAAAATCGATTTATCCTAAAATTTCTGAATTTTCATATAAATACTACGTGATACAATATTTTTGAAAGTTTGTTTGGGCCGCGGACCCTAAACATAAACAATCAGAAGGGAGAAAAAAAAAAAATCATTTTTTGAGCTTCCAATGAAAAAAAAAAGTGGTCAGATCTGCCACAATTATGCCGTGTTCAAAGTAATTTCGGCGATTTCAAAATAAAAGCGTTATTCGTTTAAAATGATTTCGGGAAATAGGCGAAATGGGTATTCTGGGAAGGCGAGTCCTACAACGATATATCGTTGGATACGCATTTTTACGCTGAGTTTTACGCGCGAATTTGAAATTTTAGTAGAAAACGTCCAAATAATTCCAAAATTTTGAGTTCCCGCGAAGAAATTACGATAAAAATGCATATTTAACGATATATCGTTGAAATGTTCAGTGGAAAAATCTTATTTCCAATTTCAGCATGAGACCTATATTGATTTCCATCAATTCAAAAGAAAAAACTTCAAACTTTTCATTATTTTTTTCAAAAATGTACACTCCTATCTAACAAATAAAAAAATTTTTTCAGAATGAGCCATAATAATAATAAATTTGCGAAATGTGTGCTCTCTAGATTTACTTTTTATTTACAAAATTGAAACGATAAAACCGAAAGCAAAAAGTTTCGGAATTTTTTTAATTTTTTTGGTACTCCGGGAGGGCGCAGAAAAAAATGAATCTTACAAGGATATATCGCAAGATATGCATTTTTTAAATGTAAATTCTACGCGCGAACTCAAGATTTTTGAATTATTTGGGCATTTTCCACAAAAAAAAAAATTCAAATTCGCACGTTAAAGTCACCATAAAAATATATATTTTGCGATATATCGTTGTAGGATATACTTTTCCTGCACCCTCCTGGAATAACAATTGTCTATTTTCCGAAACCATTTTAAAAGAATAATGCGTCTATTTTGAAATCGCCGAAATATTATTCAACGCAACATAAAAAAAACCCTATTTCAACAGAATCACGAAAAAAAAGTAGAAATAAAAACACAAACCCATTCTGCTGTGGTTGTTGTTGTTGTGCATAAAATTGGGTGTTCATTTTTGCGTTATTGGACAGAAGCGAGAGAAAAGACGGAAATCCGGAAGATCTCGGTGTTTATCGCACCGATGTTTGTTTACCCGCGACGTTGAGATACTTTAAATATCTGAAAATGGTCAGAATAGTTTTAATTTTCGGGACAAAACGTTTTACGCTCCGAAAATAACCGAGAATAACGACGAGAGGCAAACTTTGAGTGAATTGTGATCGCGATAAGCCTCGTCAATCAATAAACTACCAAAAGAAGTAAAGAAAACAACAAAAGGATATGAAAAACGTGTTCCGAAAAGCTTGAAATGAAAAATTGACGAAATATCCAACGGACGAGGGCATGGCAGGCACGCAGAGAGGGTTCGCTGCGAAGCGTTCGGAGGAGGACATGCAATGCGCCTTTAAATCTTTCGGCGTCATTTCAATTTTCATTTAAAATTAATATTTCGCAGAAACAACTTTGCAGACTTCTTTAACGTCAACCTCTGGGCAAAACAAGGTTTATTGAACAGGTGAAAAAGAGTAAAAATTGGAAAATAATATCAACATACGGGGCAGTCGGCGTCAAAAAGAAAAGTTGATATGATCTGGTCAAACAAAAGAAAAAGGAACGAATACTCGTAAGTAAAACGAAAAAAAGCGACCGGAGAGCGGAAAATAGATATTAATACGCTAAGAGGCATCCGTACCATGAAATTTAGTCGTAGAATAGTTAATCAGGTAAAAAGATTGATAAGGCAAGGAGGAACAAATGAAGAGACCACTCGACAGAGTGAGAAAACAACAAAAAGATGCGGAAAAAATTAACAGAAAACAAACTGAAAAATTGGGATAATTGAGTTCCTATGAAGTGTTGAGCAAAGGAATCAGCATCGCGAATCTGTAAAAAAAACTTTTTAAATATTATGAATTTTTCTTTTTAGATAATTATGAATTATCTTAAAAACCACTTTTTTTATCTGGGCCTTCCAGCCAAGCCTTTGCGTATAAAAAAAAACGAATATTACACCTCAAAATGCTGATGTTCAATCCTTTTCGTCTTCACCGCTCACTTTTATTATCAGAAGTCCACAGACGGCCGTCTCCACCAGATCCCAGGCCATGACGGAGACGATTGTTGGGCAAGAACGCCGGCGAACCAGCGATCGGTGTCGACTTGAAGATTGGCGAGTCGCGGAAGAATGCTGAAAAAAGCCTTTCTCAATTTGAAGAAGCGGCTGAATGTGTAAGTCCCTGGAAAATATCAAAAATTGAACCTGAAGAGCTGGGCGAACTGGGAACAGAGCTGGCGATCGAAGTGTGATGCATGCTGGTTTCATTAAATCGGGACGTGTCGTTGTAGGATCCGCGCCTTTCCAAGTAGTTGTACTTGATGTAGAGGAAGGCTGATAATAGTTATATAAAGAATGCCTGATTATGTAACGTAGTTCTTTCATGAAGGGTCGATGGAAAGGCTTGAAGCGCCGCTTCTTAAACTCAGTTTCTTCTTCTAGCTTTTTTTTTTTCATTTTAAGCCCCCGCGCGCAAGTCTACTCAGGTCGGGTGCTTTTTTGAAGCTTTAAGCAGTTCGAATAATAAGCTTGGCTTGAAATCTTGTAATTAGTGGAGCTTTAGGAAATATTTTCTACTATAAAATTTTCATGATTCCGGCTCACAGCAGCTACGCGTCAAACCATCCTACACGCCTTTGTTATTTCACAGGCTACAAATAGCTCCCGTACGAACCCAAAATGACAGCGATGCCGACGACGCAAGTGGCCATCATGGACGGGATCAAATGGGAGTACTTTTGGAGGACGATGAGGACAATATCCGTCATTCCCTTGCTTTCCAAGGCTGAAAATCCAAAGTTAGGAGGTTCCGAACTATCGCAAACCGTTGTAGACGTGCTTGGCGGCTTCGTCGACGAGGCGGACCTTCACAGGTACGCGAATAACCTGCGACGTCTTCGCATTTTCGACGGTGACGTGGCAAGTCTTGGCCAGTTCGGAGAAGAGGGCCGCCGACTTGACGTTGAGCTGAACATTTTTTTCAGGAGCTTTTTGAGGTTCACTAGGATCTTAAACGAAAAATTCGTGAATGAAAAAAAAGGTTTTTCTTTTGAAGCTTACTGGAAATCTCTCAAAACTCCAGTGAACCCAATAATTAAGGTAAAGCTGATTAACGCAAAATTATGAACCTTTCACTTCTTCTCAAGGAATTACGAGCCGCATGCTAAAAGTGCCTACCTTATAAGAATATTCCCAAACATTCCACACCTATTTTTGCGCCTTTTTGGTTACAGAGATCATTTTTCAGAGGATTTTCAAGCCAGTTGTCATTGTCTGTTTCCCTCTGCCTATTTTATAGTTTTCCATTTTTCCCTCCTAACTCACCAAGACATTGTAGAAGTGGGTAGCGTGGGAAACATGTTTGGCCGTCTGGGAAGTTGAGACAATCTTGACGATCTCTCCTTCGCATCCGCGGACGACAATGTCAGATTTGTGGTACCGGGGCGCCCAAATTGACAGAGCCGCTCCCAAGTGATCGGCATTGGATAGGGCCAGCTGAAAGCACGGGGATCATCCTGATTTCCGATTTTTCTCCGGACTTCCTTCTCCTCTACTCTCAAGGCAAAGTAGAAAGGCACACGAATCGTGGCCTGTTCGATTTTCGTGCCGTCCAGGTTCCACCTGGCAGTGACCTGCACATCAAACTGGTTCTTCTCCATTTCCGGGGGAACACTGAGCGGAGTCGACGTCAACGAATCGTCGAACCGCGCGATCTTGCAACCATACCCTACAGAGACAACATAAAATTGAAACTTCAAATTTTTCCAAAACCAAAGTCCTTATCAAAGACAGGGCTGGCGCTGAGCCAATTCACGGCCGGCAGGTTTTTCCCCTTGCTCACAAACTCGACGAAACATTCGAAAGGCGGGACGACGTCTTTCTCCAAAACTTTCTGTTGTTCAGCGGAGCAGTCTGAAGTAAAGATAGTATGGAGCTAGAGTGAACAATTAAGGAGCTAGTCAAAAAAAACTATCTTAAAGCACTACTCGAAGACAACTAGCCAAAAAACGTTTCAGACTATTTTTTATCAAAATTTTCTATGAGCTCAAAGCCCTTGATATCGCTTCTCAAAAAGGTTTCATGTGAAATAGTCATCTAAAGGTTCTCCTCAAAGAAAAGTTTGAGTGGGAAAATCGAAGGGGCCCTTAAAAATTTCTTCAAGTTTCCACGGATCTATTAAGTAGTTCAAGGTGAGGGAAGAATTTAGGAACTTTAGTGATCGCCCTGTTTTTTTCCCTTTTTCTGATTATTTTCTACGTCTTTTTGAGTTTAGTTCTGGGAGAGACCACTTAAAGATTCCGAGACATTTTCGCAAAACGTGGTCTAGCTTCCAAAAGAAAGTGACTATAAATCAACCGATTTCTAATATTACCTCCATAAATCGACGTTGACTTGTCCTTAGTATTATTCGTAGCGGTAGTGATGGTGAAAACGTAGTTCGAGTCGTCGTTGGAGACGATACTGGGCTTCTGACGGTCAGTGAAGCGAAGAGCGTGTGGCTTGTGTATGACCAACTGGAAAATTATTTTTTTTTCTTTCTCGAAACCGTTCTTTTCTGCTGTAAGAAACATTTCGACTTTTCTACTAAAAATAATAGTGAAGTATTTTTTCATAGTAGTGGTCGCTCTCATTCCGAGGCATACATGAGCAGGATCTCGCCCCATTCTTTTTCGCGCGAAAAAAAAAGTTTGAAAATGTACTGAAGTAGACCGTAAGACCACGTTATCAACTTGATTAACTAGACGTTTGGACTTCCAATTCATAACTTTTTAAAAATGCATTTTGTTCAGTTTCTCCTATTCAAAACTAACATTGGAATGGAGAGTCTGGACATCAGTTTTTGAAGTGACGTGAGTCGCCCCTTCCTTCGCCAGCCTGGCCACTCCTGATTCGCCGCTGATCCACTGGATCCTTCCTTCGTTCGAGCTTTTCGAAGACCACTTCAGGTTCTCTTTAAAACTTTTTTTTTCTAGTCGACGTTCATTTCAATTAAATCAAAAAATTATTATCAAAACCAAGTCTGGCCATCGATAAGTGGGTAGGATGACAGTTAGGCAATACACCTACACTCTATTCATTGGAAAAACAATTCAAGTTGAAGACTTTCTGATGATCTCAAAACAGAAAAGTGAAGCTTCTGAAGTTCTTCCAAAAATTACGAAAAGGTCTCTTTTTACCTGTTTTTGATCCAAAAAGAATTAGGAATCTGATCGATCTAGGCGTCTTACTACCCGTTAGATAACTTTTTTGTGAGATTTTCTTCTGGCGCTCAGCAGAGTTACTATTAGAATTTCTTAAAAAAGCTACTTATTCCAAAAAAAAGTTCAAAACTCCAACTGTTCTACCTCCTACAACCGCCGGTTGAAAGCAGAGAATGTCCGAAACGAGCAAATCGTTCAGATTCCGAAGAGCCGTCGTCGGAAGAAGCGTTTCAGCGGCGGAGAGTCGAACAAAAGTCGCGATTTCACGAGTCGTCGCGTCGGAAATCTGTAAGAAAAACCCTCGTTCGATTATTAACCATAAATATCATTACCTGAAGAACCGTCTCTCCAGGTGCTTTCAGGACTATCGCAAGAGTATTGTTGTTGTTCGTCGCCGTGATGTCAGTTAGATCAAATCTGGAAATTTTCCGGAATAGAAGCTTCAAAATCCGAATTAAGACAAAAACATTTTATCATTAAACATTTATAAAAAGGTGCTAGGTGATTTTTTGGGAAACAAGCTTGTGAGTTTGAAAAAAAAAACTTGAGGAGACAAAATTTTCGATTGAAAAACTTCAACATTCGCAACGAAATTTTTTTTTTGCTAGAAGACTCTGAATGTCCATGAGAAGCCGCTCCCTCAGAAGCCGAGTAACCGAAAAATCGTTTAGGTTTTTCTTTTAAAAAAGCTCTGAAAAGCAATCGAGTAGTCTAATTTGTGTTTTTCAACATTTTCAATTATTTTTACTCTTAAAATGAGCCCTTTCTGTATTTACTCATACAAACCACACTTTTGATCAATTTTTCAACTATGTTTCCTTTTTCTTCCCTTTAAGCTTCTAAAAGCCCACCGATGAGGCCTGTAGTTGATCTTGTTCGCAGCGGCGATGAGCTGACGACCTTTGGAGTCTCGGAAGACGACTTGGAGTTGGACTTCAGCGCCAACGGGAAGGCCAAGAAGAGGAGCTTTTGCCTGGACGACCTTCAGCTCGTTCAGCAGCTGAACATCTAGCGAGTGGACGCGGGAGACCTGGAAATTTCCGATGAAGAATGAGTTCTTATAAACCCGTTCAGAGTGGAGAAAAAAGATGGTGAAGACAGATCAAATGGTTTCAAGACGTGGCGATTGGGCTATGAGGTAGCAAAGCGTAGTTCAATAAAGCAAAAAGGATTCTTTTCGAGGAGTTTAATTCATTTTCAGATCATCTTTCAAAGGACTCCAATCCCTCCTCCCAAACTATTCAGAAATCGTTTCAAGCCACTCCTCCTCCTGACATAATCGAGTAATCTAGTTGCCCACGTATGGAGACTTTATCTTATCTATGAGTGAGTATTCAGATAACTTTCATGTCTCTCAAAAAATCCTTCATGAACTGGTCTTAAGAATGTTCAAAAATCGTTTATTACTATAAAAAAATAATAGCTTGTTGATCTACGCGCCGTTTATCTTGATCAACGACAGTTCCGTGAACAATTATTTCATTATTCAATTTTCTCTGAAAAAAATTCTTGAATTTTTCAAGGTGTGAAATTGATACAGCATCAAGTTCTAAGAGCCTATATTTATTCTTCTCAAAAATTCCCAAAAATTTTGAAAGCTTCAGTAGGACTCAAAACCAACCAGAACAGGAACAAGATTCGTCTCGTTGTCGGTGGAATCCTTGCGACGCAGAGTGACAGCCGCGAAGCCTTCCCTGGCGCCCGACCGAAGTTGTCCAGATGACGTCACGGAGATCCGAGCTGAGCTTTCCGCACTGACCGAGTAAACCACCGAGGACTGAGGCCTGGAAGTCAAGTTCCAATGAAAAAAAAGCCTGAAAAGAGTTGGCCTTCCGCCTTGCAAAAATATTCGAATTTTCGATCTTTTGAAAATCTCAACCTTCAAGGTTACTGAGAAAAAAAATTTATGATTGGGGAAACGTTTTCTTAGACAAGTTGACTAGATTTCCGTTTGAAAAACTTGAAGTTTTACTACTTTTTATACCACTTCATCCTTCAAAACAGAACTTTCTAAGACTCCCAAAACTTTTTATTTTCCGTATTTTCACTGAAAAATTGTATTTTAATCTTTTTCGAAACGCACCAAGCCGTTTTGAGGTCGATTTGGGAGTTGGGAGCGATTCGGACGGCTCCGACTTGAACTTCCGGATTCACCAGAGCGAACGGCTGCTCAACGCTAATTGTAGTTTCTGCGTTTAAGACGCGCGTCGAGCCAACAAAGTGCTTCTTGGCCTTCTCGTTCAACTCAACGTGCACCTGGGAAATTCCAACTTTAACAGTGATTCTTTTGATTTGCTCAACCTTGACCGTCACGGACCCAGTCCTAGAGGCGTGGAACCAAATGGCGAATTTATTTTCGTTCGTTTCGCTGACGTCAGAGCCCATCGGATGGATAGTCTGCAGAACCGAGGGATCCGAAACCGACCAGGTCACCTACAAATAAGACTATTTCTGTGTTTTTTCTTGCAATTCCCGATCGAAACTATTTTTTCGCATTCCGAGTAATACTAACATCACATTGAAGAGACTGTGAAATATTATTTTTATAGCTCTTCTGCTCCTGGTTTTGTTACCTTTTTTTTTACATAATGCCGAAAGATCTGCTACAATTAAAAAGGCTAGGAAGAGGGCTTATAAAAGAAGAGGAAGAAGAAACGAAAATTGTGTTGGAAAATGTTCTAAAAGTTCATTAAAAACTGCAAAAATAAAAAATAAAACATGAAATGACTGCTCGAAGGTTCCTTGAATTCACAGATTTTATTCAGAAAAACTGAGATGAAATTTAATTTAGCAAAACTATTTCAAATTCTAGATGCAGAATAGGTTTTTAAATTTTTTTGGGATCCTTGTAAATATTACAGAGCTTCTGGCTAAACCTTCTTCACCAGGAAAAACCTCCTTTTTCAAAAGTCTTTTTAACGCACGAGAGAGGAGGCCTAAAACAGTATACATCCTGTGCGGAACTGGCAAAGCACCAAACTACAGACTTTAGGAGCTACAGTACTGCTCGGAAAAAAAGAAAAATCTTTCCATCTCCGCACCTTGAACGGATACAAGGCTCCTCCGAAAGCGAATGGCTCTTCATCGGCGGCTCCGGCGACCAGGCCACGAAGACGGACATGAACATTGGCGCCGGCTTCAATTCTTCGGGAGCTCGCGAAAAGAGCAATTCCTCCCAGGGAGACGACTCGAAGAACTACAGTGTCTTTGGAGACGTGTCCATCGCCGACTTTGACAGTTCCAGTGATCGAAGTCCAGCCCAGATCCTTAGACGTGATCAGAGCGTTCGGTTCGACGCTGGCAACCTAAAAATGCTCGTTTTTTCATTTATAACAGCAAAAAGCGTGCTTGAAATATAATATTAGTTCCTTGGAAAATGAGGCCCACCGGAAGTTTTTCCATCTAGTATCATACTCCTGTGCTATTTCATTTCGAAAAATCATGCTTTTTCAAACTCTTCGCTCCTATACTTGAAATTTCTCCAGCCCTTCAACTTTTAAATAAACTATCGATATGAAACCAAGAGGCCCTCAAGTACACAGTAGCCAAGTTTCATCAAGAGTCCAGCCGGAGGTTAAGAAAGTTCCCTTGTTAGATATCACCCCACACACCTTGCTGGAATTCAAAGCGAAGTGAAGGGGCGGAGTCGGCTGCGGTCCTCCGACAACTTCCAACTGGAAGGTGCTTTCAGGAATCAGAGTCAGGATTTTGGGTTGGAGGAAGATCGGCGAGAAGATTTGAACGACTCGGGGCCGCGAGGCCAAGGCTCGTCCGGACGTTGATTTGGCCGTGGCGGTGAGGGAGACCGAACCAATGGATTCGGCGCGCAAAACGTAACGAAGGCCGTCGATCCTGGAAAAAAAATTTAGGAATATTCCGCAGGATCATATGAAAATTTAGCAGAAAAAGCGCGTTCCCAACTTTTTTTGTTTCAGAGTGGAGACGAAATTGACGTTCTTAAGAACATCAATCATTCAGCCAAAATGTCTAGGTTCCCCTTCTTTTAATATTTTCTACGAACTTCCTCAAAACGGCATGCGAATTGCTGGCGTCAAGAGCGGCGTCGGCCAGAGCGCGATTTTCCCGAACGAACGTCTCTCCCTTCTCGTCTTGCGCCACGATCTCCACTTCGACTTCTTGACCAACTTCTACCTGGAAGAAAGACATTTAAACAGTCATACTTCAGATAACTCTCTAGAGAAACTTCAGATTATTCATTGAAATCGTAACCAAAAAGTGAAATATTTCAAGGGATCGCTGAAGAAGCTTCAGAACCTTTCAAGGAACCACAAACGCAACTCTAGCGATCAATCGAAGGAAACGAAACACTTGACATGAAGATTTAGAAAAAATTCTCATTTTTCTTGCCCTTTTCGACGGTATTAACCCTTATTTTCTTGTAAACATTAAGCCAAAATGATATTCCTAACTTTCGAAATTTTAATCATTTTTTCACCTCCTACTAATTCTCATGAAGAAAAAAAATTCTCAAAATTTCCCATGAAGTTTTTGTTTCATGATATTTTTACTTTCGTAGCCCATATTTTTACTTTTGTAGTCCCTGACAAGTTTCGTAATTCGAACGCAGCGACTTGAAACTTTTCGAGCGTCTGCGTCTCTCTGCTCCCTCGTCAAAGAGAAATGAAAACAGTAATTCTACATGCTGAGAGACGAAGAGGGCGCAGAAAAGTCCTTTCAAGACACGGAAAACGGATTTTTTTCAAAAACAAGTCAAAACTATTACAAAGTGAGGGGATTGGATGTTCAGCGAATGGATGTCGGCGATTCGGACGTTGGCCTCGGCCGTCTGGCCCACGAAACAGGCATCGGCGACCCTCAACGTCGTCTGGCCGTTCTGCTTCGGCGTCACCTGGAAAATTCAACCTTTCCAGGACATTTGGGTGGATCAAAACCTGCAGTAATCTTCCTTTCAACGCCACGCCAACCGGCCAATTGTTGGAGCCCTCCTCCTCGACGGCGAAATACCCAGAACCGCCATGGATATTGAAGGTGCCGGTGGAAATCGCCTCGTTCCACAAAACCAATCGGGTCGGATCGATTGAAATCGGCTCCGCAACGGTCACTTCATACTTGGCCGTCAGGTGTTTCGCCAATTTCCCAGCCGATTTCACGGATCCCACGTCGGCGGTGATTGTGGCGACGCCAGAAGTTGATTTCGAAGAGAGGCTCGCAAACACTGAAACAAATTTCACGTCATCAACTTATTATCTTTTCTTATCCGCTCAGAGACTCGTGAGGGTCTCAATTACTTCTTTCCCATAGCTTTTTGAGGAGTCTCCTGCGCCTTTAATTTAGCCTGAATATTTTCGTTTCCCCCAAGCCCCATGCACAAAGACGGTCCGTATCGAATGAACGGGTTCGGGGGTAGAAAAAAAAACTGCGAAAAGCTAGCTCGGATTAAGAAAGACATTAAGAACGGTTAAAAATTTATAGCCTTGTTTAGAAGTTTCTGAAGCTTTGTAGATCATCTCCAATGAACAAACTCACGGTTCTCCTTCTCGACGCCGGTTTTCTCGACCTTGAGGATCTTGGAATCGGAGCTGGACCATTTCACCTCGAGGCCATCGATCGATTGGAGCTCTCTAGCTGTTCCTCCACAAACTCCATAGCCACGTAGACGAACACGTTCATTCGTTCCGATCAGTAGAGCGTGCTGAAATTTCAACCTTTTTCATTCTAACTGACAAGGAAGGTCATTTCACTTTGCGGTTAGAGATTTCCAGAAAACTCCTTAACTTATATTTTTGAAAGATCACGCTTTTTAATGGCGTAAATAAGTAAAAGTCAGGTAAACTTTTTAACACGATTGTGGAAGTTGTGAGTCGAAATTGCTGAATACAAAATTACTGTTGAGACGGTGGTCCCATTGCCAAAAGAGCCATTTTTCTTGATCCTTTCACGAATTTTCCATATTTTTACTTAACTACAACTTTACGGGTCTGGTCGCCATTTCAACAGCTCTTGTTAAATGAAAAGGAAAAGGAAAAATTCCTTACCGAAATTTCATTCGCGCCATTGCAAATACACTACTTTTTGCTTATAGCGCCTTTAAAATCGGAAAAAACTGACTATATTCTCCCTTTTCATTAGGAAAAAAAAAACCAAGGAGTAACTTACAACGCTGGTGGGACACTTCAGGGGCTGAGCCTTCTCGGAAACGATTTCCAAACGCGTCGGCCTGGCGCAGCAGACCGTCACGGAAACGGTCGCATGCACCGGAAGAGGCAGAGACGGCGACTTTTTGTTCCCGACACGGAGATCGAAAGAGCCCAACGTTTCTTCCGCGCCACACTCGACGACGATTTTCTCGTTGTCGAAGTCGACGTTGAAATTCTTGGCATTGGAAGCTGAAAGGAGAATCGTATTAGGACCCTGTTTCATATAACAGTTATATTGTTTCAGAAGATTTCTAGCGGTCGCTTTTTAGGAAACCATTCAAGGGCCTCTCAAGTAAATTCTCTAGAAATGTTAAATTTTTTTCGATTAAAAAAACCACTACTTTTTCCAAAAACGTATAATACATATTTTTTTCCAGTTACACACTTTTTCAATGAAAATTGAAAAAAATTATGAAATCTTTGTTAATACCCTTCTTTCTTCTATTTTTTTCTTTCCCAAAGCCTCAAAAAAACTTAGAAAAAAACTATTTCACATACTTAAAACACCTGAAAACTTGGTATATGTATAAAAAAATTCAAAAAGATAAAGCTCGAAAGTTCTATGAACATGGCGATAAAATATTTTTTGAACTAGCAAATTCCAACCTTAATAATTCAAAAAAATTCTTGACTTTCGTACTACATTCTACAGTTTTTGAAAGAAATTGATAAAAATTTCGAAGAGAAACTTTTACGAGACAAAAATCAATTGTATCCCCTTCATTTATTTTTCTCAAACTTCACTCTAATTCTTACCGGTTCTATAAAAATTGCTCGATTCAAGAATCCAAGGTCTCGGGCCGCCCAAAATTTCGATTGCATGGCTGCTTCCGATCGCCACAGCCGTGTCGTCAGTCGTCAGCTGGAACGTCAGAAGATCAATTACCAGCTCTTTGCAGCGAAAAAACCTCCAACTTTTCGTAAACCGACACATCGATGGTGGCTTTGAAGTGATCAAAAGAGACGACGACTCGAGTATCTCCAGAGGCGAGACCATTCAGCGTCACAGTTCCGCAGCCCGTTCCAACTGTCGGGATCGTCGAAGGAGCGTCTAGAAAAATGAAATATTGTGGACTACGTCGCAATGAAAGTAACACCGCGACCTCGCCAATGTCTTTCGCTAGATCGCTCTTTGCTCTTAAAAAATAGTCTGGGTCATTATTTGAGTTTGTGATTCCTTTCTTCAAAAAAAAAAAAGTGAAAAAAACGCAAATTATAATTTTTGATGTTGAATTTATAAGACATTGTAAAGATGTCGCAGTGAGAATTCGGTTATGTCGCCTCCGCTGCGATATCGTCATTATGTTATGGGAGATCAAAAAGGATACATTAAAAAAATTTCAAAAGAAAAAAAGTCTCTTCAATTTATTAAATTAAGATCCCTGAGAGCCTCAAACTGTAAAAAAATTCCTATTTTTACAAGAGAAGAGCTCCCTCTGAAAATCTGAACTTAAATGGAGCAAACTATTTTTTTTTTTTTGAATACTAATGTCAAAAATTAAAAATTCCTTGGATATTTCTTGAAATTTTCTTCACATTTCGTTCAAAGTCTCGACTCGAACTGGACCTTCTTTTTTTTAATTCAAGGCTTTCACCTAGAACACGGTCGCCGGGTTCCAATTACAACATTTTCTACATTTCGAGCTCTTTAAGGCGCAATTCAATGCACTACGCATTTAGAATTAAGCGAAGAACCGTAAGACCAGGCTTTCAAATTGATCAACTACACGTTTAGATTTCTAGTTCATAGCTTTAAAATTTCTTGTTTACCGCCTAGTAGATTACATCTATGACTATAACGACAAAACAAGAAAAAAAAATCCAAAAAAGGAAAAAAACCGTCGACGTGCTCAAGAAGGGAGGCGTCGCCGACTTCCACGCGGAAAGGCACGTTCCTGCAGTCGTGGAAAGCGACTTGCTGGCTTCCATTCGGCAAATGGCCGAACAGGGCGATGTTCAGCACCAAATCGGATCCGACGAAGGTTTCTCGGACCGTTTCGCCGAAATGGATACCGGCCGCGTCGAGGACATGCACCTGGACTCGATTTTTCTTTTCAAACTGATTAACCCTGTGGGAAACCTTGGCTTGATCGGTGAGAAGTGAGTTTCTCTTGTCGACAGCTGTCACGACAGTCGAACCTATCGAATTCGCAACGATTCGCCCGGAACTGGATTCAATCGACGCGACATGTGAATCGCCGATGATCCATTCGAATAAACCACTTCCTCCAGTCGCCTGCAACGACAGAAAACGTCAAAATTGAAACTTTGAAACCTTCTCAGCGCCACTTTCTCTTTTGAAGGTTCAAAACACAAAAAAAAAGAAAGAACTTTCTTTTCTAGCTGAATAGAGTATATCCATTTCACCACAAATTTCTCCAAGATGTTTCCCAGATCATCTTATTTTCACCTTGAAATCCCAGTTCGATTTGTACTTGTGAAGCGCTGGCAGAAAAACGACGGATGGAACGATTTTGACGGGATCTACGATGGCGACCTGTTGATCACCGTGAACCCGTCCGTTTTGGGCAATTTCGCGGCCGTTCTGAAACCGAGAGCAAATTTATGAGGAAGGCTTATGACCGATTCAGGGCTGGTTTGAGCCCTAATGGTCCTGACACGATAGGAAAAGAGACAGTGGCTCCCTGGTGGAGAGCGCAGAGTGGCCACGTTCCGAGCCGTGATTCGACTATATATATTTTTTTCAAGGATTCCTAATAAAAAAAAAAATTGATAAAAATAAAGCTGATCTACTAAAATTTGTCAGGTTGTTCAGATAATGCAACTTCCGAAACTTCCGGAGCCTTTATAACTTTCCCTCGGCGCACCTCATCGAGAATCCCGACGAATCTGCTCTTCAATGCCGTCTTCGAGGGTCTCAAAGGCGTCACGGTCAGCCAGGTGCTGTTCCTCGTTGACCTTCCGACTCGGAACAAGGATTTGTCGATCTCTGTCGAAAATCGCAGGTTCTGAAAAGATGACGACTTCAAGGGGAAGCTTCTGGACGACCAACATCGCCGATGAACATGACGTTTCCGTGCTCATCGAGCAGATCGATGTTGATCACGTAGGTCTGGCCGGTCTGCAGCATCCAGTTCTCTCCGCTCACGTGCCATTGAAGCGATTCGGGGTCTGTGACGTGGATCGCCGTCGAAGGAGGTCGGATGCCGGCTTTGGCGCGAATGTCGACATCTGCAAAAGTCAAAGAGTTTTTTTTCACAATATTTCGATAAACAGGTCACAAATCTGAGACGCAGAAGTCTGAAATGACCTAAAGTAGCCGTAAAAACGGTTCTTCGGCTCGAAACCTTTGCAAAACATGCTCTTTCTTTTCTATAATCCCAGCTCAACAAACTCACTACTGCTCAGGAGGTGGATCGCCGTGTTTCCACGGGAAATCGCCCGAATGGATGAGGAAGATTCGTCCAGCTTGGCAACGTCCGATGAATCAACCTGGAGATTATAGGCTGAGGAAGGCATCGGGACCACTGAAAATAGTTTCTTTATACATCATTTTGAATTCCCGAAACAAAAAAAAACAAGCCTCCATCATTCCTAATCACGAGACACTTAATAACAAGCAAAACATGTTTCCAAATGATTTTTTTATTTTCCGATTTTAATCCGTTTCAACTCATTTCGAAAATCTCAAAATGTCTATTTTTCACCTTCCGTCCCGAATTGTTTGATGATCAGCACTTGGAAGGGAACGACCGTCTCGAGGGGTACATACAAATCGTGAGAAGGGACCAAGAGGAGATTCGCCACAACCGCCAGCTCAACTGTGTGCGCCTTGACTTTCTGTAAACTCAAAAATGATTTTTCATCTCAAGCCGTTCAGGTTTAAAAAATTAAAAAAAGATCGGTGGTATGATGAAAAACCAGCGAATTTTCGAACGATGACTTTTCCGTTTTTTTTTTCATATTGCCAGGGAAATTTCCGACTTTTTTCCCCATATATTTTTCAGTTTATAAAACACTTAATAACATTTTTTTTCCTATTTCTTCGAGTTTTAATGATGAATAAATTGCATACTTTATATCAGAAGATTCAAACGAAGATTTTTATCGATAAAAAAAGTCGAAAAACGTCGCAGTTCCCATTTTCGCATTTATTTTTTTCATACCACCAAAAAAAATCATTCTTTCAAGTCATTTTTGAAAAAAGTCTAAGAGAAAACTATCATTTCTCTTCATTTTCAAAAACTAAAAAAAAACTCAGCGCGCTAAAATCGCTTATTTTTGCAATATCTACTTCAAAAAATATTTCCCACCCTCTCTGTCGTTTTTGAGTGATCACTAGAGCGAAAAAACACCCCTTAAGCGGCCACTTCGATCTCTGTAGTAATTTCTTCAAGACGAAAGACTACTGAATGCATTTCTTTATTCGCTTCATGAGAAAGTTTTTAAATTTATCGAAAACATGCTTTAAAAAGTTCTCTTCTCTTCTTTTTATTATCCAATTTTTTTATTTTTCCCACCTGCAAATAGGAATCGCTGAATTTGGCCGTAAGCGCCGCGGATCCCGTCGAAACGCCTTCAATCAGGATTACATAACCTGAAAAAAAATATAGTTCTTCTTAGAATTTTTACCTTAAGTTCATTTTATTAAAGCTCTGTTTCGTTAAAATAAAAATGTTGGGGAAAAAAAATAAAACAAAAAAATAAAAAAATTAGTATAGCTGAAAAAAATAAATTGACATCTATAATCTTGTGAAAAAAAGGTAAAGTTTCGGAAAAACTTTTTTCCTACAATCCGAATTTTTCTGAAATGATTTTTTTCTATCCCTCAGTACAAATTTTATTATTAATTTTCACTTCCTTTTCCTACACGCCAACCTTTCTTCCTGTTCTTCTCGAGCCGAACGATTTCTGCGGGCGCCTCATATGTCGACTGCTCGAAGGGAACGATTCTCAGCGGCCGTTCCCCTTTGAATCCGTTGGCCGAAAGTTCCCAATCGAGCGAAATTTCGCTCAACGTCGAAAATCGATCTCCTGAAAACTTATTCATTTTTCATATGTCCGCTTCTTTTTTGAAATCGTCATGATTTTCTCCCGACTTTTTTTTTCAAATTTTACTCCAATAAAAGCCCATTTCTGAGTTAATCTTCTCATTTTTGTGTCAACCTTCGGCGTTGAAAGCATCGACGGTCATCCTGGCCGGGGCGGCGTCCACGAAAAGGACTTTGGTCGTCGTTTCGATCGAAATCGTCGCGATTTCATCGACGGTCACTCCACAACTCAAAGTCGTCCCCGATCCTTGAAAAAGGTTATTTATATTCGACTTTAGTTTTCGGAAACCCTTGTCCTCCGCGAAGATGACGGCCGATAGTTCGCTGGACCCGATTCCACCTGGCTTTGCGACGGACCGAATCTCGGCCCGGTCTGAGCATTTCGAGCCCATTCCAGTGTCGATGAGCTTCACAGAAACGATATCCGGCCTCGTCGATCTCCTAAATTCGATTTTTTCGTTATTTTTCCGGGCCAAACTCTTCGATTGGGCTGTTAACAAATAATCCGAAAAAAAAACTTCCCTAGGGGGTGTTCAGGGGTACAAAAATCAATAAAAGGGCCTTTCCTCTTCTCAACAATTCTAAAAATTTGCATATGACCTTTTGAAAATTACAAGAAGGATTGTAAAGACTGAAATCAGGTTTTTTTTCCCCGATTATCATTCGAAAAGTGTGAGATTATAAATGAGAAGAGCAAAAACTTTTTTTAAATTCGAAAAATGACCATGAGAAACAGCCGCCAGTCGGATGTGTGACCTCGAGAACGAATGAGACTGGAACACTTGGATGATATGGTAGAAGTACTCTTGGAACATTGAGTCGGTATGCATCCACGCTCAGAAAACTCAATATTCCGACTAACGCGCAGAGCATTGAGTTGGAAACATCGGGAGGAAATGATGAAAACATCATTTCCACCAGATTTCGTTCCAAACAAACTGAAAATATTTTTTGAAATTGAAAATTCGCGAAAAAAAACGTGAAAATAAGTTAGAAATGAGGAAAAAATTACCAGCAAACAAAAAAAAAGACGATACAACACTTTTTTGAGAAGTTCTTTTTTTTTACAAAAGTTAATGAAGCAATGATGAAAAAAAATTCAAAAGAAAAACGTTTTTTCCAACCGTATAAGTTCAAATATTTCTCTAGAAAACTTCCCGACTTTTTTTTATAAATTAAACAATAAAAAATGGAGATTACAATCCTTTTGAACAGCAAACTTTAATGGATCGATATCATTTGTCAAAAATAATTTTTAAACCACCGATAAATAAAAGAAAACCAAGCAAAAAAAAAATTAAAAGTAAATAGCTTTCAGTTTCGCAATCACATAATTTCGGAAAAATAAAACAATTTTTACACAATAGCAATTGAAAAAGGATTCACTCCAGAACTCTTGACAGCTAAACTTATGAAAATATGAAAATATAGAAAACCAAGAAAGTAATGGGAAAAATATGAGAATTATCTTCTAGGCAAACATTATACTAGGAAAAGACCTAAATTAGGAGTTCCTTCATATCCTCCGCCGATTAAAAAAAGACCAGAATCTCATATTCATTTTTTCACAAAAGGCAGAAATAACAAAAAAAAAAGAAAAAGAAATTCAAATTTCAAAATTTTTTTAAAACTGTCGGTGTATGCGGCCAGATTAACTACTGTAACCGAAAAGCGCCAAAAAATCCAACCGTGAGGGAAAACGAAAAAAAAAAGATTTATTTTTCAATCTTGAATATTTATTGACTCTTGTCTTCAGTCTCCAGGTTTGGGGCTCTTCGGACTTCTCGCACTGAGTGGACTGAGGGGATTCAGTTTGGGTTGGTCAGAGTTTTCCTGCTCCAAGGCACTCGTCTCAGGATATTCATACTTTGTGTTGGTCTCCTTGGCCGGCGGGCCGGCTGCTGCTGCGAGCATATGTCTCCAAGTTTTAGCCTGCAAGTTTCCATTTCATTACTTTTCTTTCTCAAGTCAATTTCTCTCAACTTAAATGTTGTCTCCGCTCAGGAAAAGTCGAATTGACCTTTCTTTCTTTTTTTCAAAAATTTTTCAAGGGAGTAAAGTTCTTTTTCGAGTTTTTAAACAGGTGCAAAAAAGTTCTGCCCAGATTTTTTTCACATTTTCAAGAAAAAAATCTACTCATCTTTTTCAACACATTTTCATCTCTTTGAAAATGAATTCTTCGAAAAAAAAAAAGCCAAAGGCGCTAGTATTTCCTTCAAGATCTTTGTTGAAAGCTCCGTTATAGGTTCTTGTAGCTTTCGAACCTTTGAGAGAGTAGTTTTTTCCGAGTCGTCCGGAGCTTTGGCCGGTGGTGGAGCTGGAGCTGGAGCTGGAGGTGGCACCAGAGCTTGCAAGTTTACTGGGGTGTTGCTCGGCTGAAGTCACCAAATTAAATTGTTAATTTCAGAGGAAAAAAAAAGAAAAACTACCAACCTCTTCTTCCTCTTTATCCATCACTTCCAACTCAAGACCTAGCAAGTTGGATAAGAACTTGACGACCTGAAAATTAATTTGAACAATTGAAGCGCTCGGAGAAGTTTCAATTTGCGATCGATACACTTTTGAAAGCTGGTCAAGATATCCAAAGGTATAGTGTCTTGATATACCAGATTGAAATCTTAAAGTTTTAACTTGAAAAATTCTAGTTTGCAAAAAGACACCTCAAAGTCGAGGAAAACCATCTACATTCGTTGAAAAAAGCCATGTATTGAACTTTCGTCGCTAAACCACTAAAAACCAAGATTAAACTCCGTTCATTGCTAGCAGTTCTCAAAAATGTGGATTTGATTTTCATTTTCTCAAACCTTATTCATAGAAGCCCGTTTCTCCGGTGCCATGAGCATAATCTCGTTGTCGACAAATTTCGCAATTTTTTCAGGCGCTCGATCTTTCACCGACATAAATTTTCCAGTGAGGATCTTCAGAAAATGATTCAAAGCGAGAAAAAGCAGATTTTTTAACCATCACTTTTGCGTCACCAGTCGTTTTACCGTTGTAGGGCTCTGTCGATGTGTAAATTTCGTAAAGCAGATTCTGAAACATATATATTTAGTTGATGAACATTGGAACCCGTTTATAAATGAAAAAATACTAGCAAAGGTGGGTCTCGCCGCGAAAAAAAAAGCGCCTGGCTTGAAGATACTGCAGTGTTGCAAAAATGTCTTTTTTTTTCAACGATTAAATTAAGGTCAATTTCGTGTCATTTCGAAAGAGAGTATATTACAAAAAAGCGCGATTCTAAAAACTATCAGAGTGATTCAGAAAAATTCCAAATTTCTTTGCAGCATTCGATATATAATCTGTCTTGACAGTTTTCGAGTGTCTGAGTCTCTCTGTTCCTTCACCCGCGAAGTCACAAAAACGCGAAAACAGCGCGTCAACAAGAGAGGGTCGTTGAGGGACGAAGAGGGCACAGAGAGGTCCCGCCCTTTCAAATCGCGAAAAACGGACTATACTGTTGGGAGGAAAGTTTGATCACTCGAAATTTCATCTAGGTTGAGAGATGTCGAGAAAATAATGTGATGACAAACTTTCTGAAGTTTTAACTGAGTTCAGAACGTGCCAAATTCAAAAAAAAAATCCAAAAAGCAGATTTCTGACTATCTCCCCCGTTTTTCAATTACTGTGAGAAGTTTTAGCATGTTTTCTATCCAATCATATTTGCGATACTCATTGAGAATAGCATAATCAAGCACCGAATGACGCAAAATGGCTTGCGCGACTCCCGCCGCGAAATGTAGCACTTGGCTTGAGGATACGGTATCGTTAAGAAAACCTCAACTTTCCTATGATTATATTAAGGGCCATTTTGCACCGATTCACCCAAGATTGGGCTCAAAAGACGCGCAAATTTTAGAGCTCCAAGAAGAGTTCGGAATTCAATTCAAAACAGTCCTTATTTTCGACCCAATAGCCTAAAAACATCGATAGCGGAAAATGCGTCCAACTAGATCCTTGTCAGTTTAAATATATTTTTTTGAAAGTCTTGAAAAAAACTAAGAGACACTTACTAGCGAAATTCTAAGATAAGAATGATTTCAAACCACTAAAAAAACTGTTTTGAGCACCACAATCGGTTTTTTTCATTAATATAACCAGGAAAACACGTATTTCTGTAAATATAAAGGAATTCAGAAAATATTCAATTTTTTTTCAAAAAAATAATCAAGAAGAGCCTCATCAAGCTGAAAAAAAAATAGAAAAAACTAGCAAGTGTGGGTCTTGTCGCGAAAGGCAGCGCATGGATCGAGGTTATGGTACTGTTGAGAAAGCTCAAATTTTTTCAGGGTGATTAAGACTAGTTCTTCGCCTATTCAGCTCACACCGGATGTAAAAAAGCCTAGTTCTCGACGTTATCAGGACTATTCATAAAAGATTTAACAAATTGTTTCGTAAAACGGGGACTATAATTGAAAAATAAAGTTCGGGAGATAAAAACTAATTGAGGATAAAATTTTTCTGAAAATTTTCGATATTCATTAAAATCATGAAAAGTTCTGAACAAAATAAGTTCACTAATCATATACAACAATCTTCAAAAAGTTGGTGAGTTGAGCAGGTTAAATGGATTTTCATCATTATTACTAGCGCAGGTGAAAAACTTTAGCTTCATTTTTTTATTTTCGAATTGTAATTTGTTTGCTTAAATAATCATAAAGATTATAGGAGATCACCGAGAATAGGCTCACTGACCAATTTTGGTCTCACCGCGAAAGCCAGCGCTTGACTGGAGAGTACTTTTTTATTGGATAAATTATTTCCACGATTTTTATAAGGTCAGTTCTGCACCGACTTAGATATCTTCGAGCTCAAAAGGTGTCATTTTCACAAACCCCTGTACCCCGAAAGAGAAGACGTCAGAAGCCTGCGAGAAGATAAGTCCCTTGATGCATTCCGGAGCCATCCATTTCACCGGCATTTTCTGGACCTGCTTCATTTTGTAAACAGTTCCCTGGCGCGAAAGACCGAAATCGCTGAGTTTGACCTAAGAATAATTGTTTATTTTTTCCGTTTCATTGACTAAAAACCATCTTATCATCATCATAGAGACAATTTCTTGCAGCGATGTCACGATGAATAATTTTCTTTTCATGCAGGTACTGTAGGCCCCAGGCAGCACACATTGCCATCTGTAATAGGTTACTGTAGATTCGAGAAGCCGTGGTCGCAAGTGGAATGCACGTGGTTGTGCGCAATTCGCGAGCCATTTTACGTCGCCGTTGAGTTAAATTGATCTCACCTTGCTCCTTTCCATTTCTGACAAGCAATCATGATTGGCTTTCAAGTAGGAGTCCAGAGATCCGCCTGAAGAAGGTGAAGTGAAGGAAAAGAGACTTCTGGGGCAAGTTCCGAGGACTTCGGACTAGATTCAAGATGATCTGCGAGATGACGTCTTCTGTGCACCAGCTCTATCTATAGAGACCGCAAAGCCACGCCCCTTGTTGCGATGGTGAAATGCGATAGTTTTTTAGATTTCGTGTTTGATGTTTTCGTACAAACGCAATACTGAACCAAACACAGAGACAATTAGTGGAAACATAGAGAAAACCTTCCTCTTCAATCTGATATACTTTTCAACCGATTTTCGTAGAGTTTTAGCGGAGTGTCGTACAAAAAACCAAAACTACTTTTTTTCTTTGGGTTTTTAACCTAGTTCCATGTCGTTGGCGCTTTTTTTTATTTTCGAATTCGATTCTTAAGTGAAAAACAAATCTTTTTAAGACAAAAAAATTAAAATTTTTACGGTGCCTAATCTTCGTGAGTCCGCGCAAAGTTGAAAATGTTGTACTCGGTTTCGAGAGCGTGTAAGTAAAAAAATTTTTTTATTTCAACTTGTGGATTAAATTGTAACTGAAATTTTTATTAATATAAAACTTATTTCGAAAAACTTTGTTTTCTGAGAAAAAAATAGACAGTGAAAATTTCGAAATTCATTTTAACATGGTCAGATGTCGTTGGCGCTTTTTATTTTTTTAAATATTAGCGTATCTCAATTTTTTCAATCAATTAAAAAAATAAAAAAATAAAATTTCCACGGTGCCTAAAAAGTTTAATTATTGTTAATTTGAAGCCAACGTTAAAAAAATAACAAAAAAACACCGAAAAACGGAAGCATTTTTGAACTGAATCTCTATGAATAAATTATTTTTTTAGATGGTCCGAACACACGTGACTAATAATTGTTCAACTATCATAACTTTTTTTTAAAACAAGCTAGCCGGTAAATGCTGTACTTTGAAGTGAAGTACTGTATAGCGCGAACGCCTCCCATCTCCGAAGGATGCACGTGGAGCAGCGCAAGTGCGCTTGCATACAGTTTTGATATCGCGAGTTCGATCCTCGCAGCGGCCATTTTTTTAATTTTTCATGAAAAAATAGCTTTTCTCTTCAAACTTGTGGTTTTATACTGTTTTTATAACTAATTATGACTTTGAAAACCGAACTAAATTACTAAAAAATTTAAATACGACATGAAAACAAAATGAACGACCAAAAGTGTAAAATCTAAACTTTCAGTACTAAATTTCGCGACTTTTTTCACTACTGTTTTGGATGGTACGACAAAATCTCAAGTCCGCAAATCTCGAGGACCGTAATCTTGTGTACGCAGATCTAAAGTCCCATAATCTTGGAAACCAAAATCTTGGAGACCAAAATCTTGGAAACCACAATCTTGGAAAGCAAAAATCAACGCTTTTGCGAACAGATTTTTTCAGAAATTGTATTCGGTGATCCAAAAAAGAGAATATAAGTAGATAAAGTGCAATAAAGAAGACTAAAAGGGAAGATTTTTGCTTTCCAAGATTGTGGTTTTCAAGATTTTGGTCTCCAAGATTTTGGTTTCCAAGATTATGGGACTTTAGATCTGCGTACACAAGATTACGGTCCTCGAGATTTGCGGACTTGAGATTTTGTCGTACCATCCTGTTTTGACCATAACTTTTTTTGTTCTTAATCTTTTTCGAAAAACTAAACTGTTTTGAATAATAATTTAGAGCAGCTATCCAACCATAGTAATATTGATGCCGTGTTCAAAGTGATTCCGCGAAATTCAAAATAGCCGTCAGAGAAAGAGAAAGATAACTAAATTTTGGAGGGTCAGAGACTATTTTGCATTTCGCGGAAATTACTTTGAACACGGCATGAAGTTCGAAAATTTTTTTGAAAATTTGGTTGCGGTCCCTATCTCTCTACCATCTGTTCGATTTTTTAAACCATGCAAGTTGTGGCCTCATCCCATGGCAAGGTTACATGAGCTATTTTTCAGATCTATTTCAGACCTCTCGAGGTAAAAAAAAGCTCAGAAAATTTCAGATCCACACGGCTTTCTATGTTTATTTATTCTCTCTTTCTCAACTTTAATAGACTTCTATTATAGAAGGAAAGCTCAGAAATTTTTCAATTCAACTTTTAAGCGTCTTGCTTATTTCGATATCCCTATACATCGACCCACCATTGATGTAATCGATAATGATAAAGAGCGGTTTCTCAAGAAGGGCGACGCCGCGGATCCGGACAATGTTCGGGTGGTTCAAACTTCTCATCACCCTTGCCTCGGCCATCATTTCCCGCACCAAATCCTTCTCCATGTCTTTCTCTGCTTTCATCTATACATTATCCATAGCTATTGCTCATCCATTTGTTAAACCGTCTTGATCGCGACGAAACCTTTTTTCCTGTTTTTCAAGCTTCCCTTGTAGACCTCGCCGAATGCTCCTTGACCAACCTATAAAACGTTAGGATTTTCAACTTACTAATTTTTTTCTCTCTCTAGTTACGGTAAATTGACTTAATTTAGAACTGCAAGGTTCTTTCAAAGTATTTTTTGAGTAGTCACGTCCAAAGTCTCAGGTAACGTAGGGAAAGCCGGAAAGGTAAGCTATGAAAAAACCTACCGTAACCAAAAATGTCAATATATCACCTTTTTGATGATTTCAATGTTAGTGTGGCGGAACTCCCAGCGAGTCAGTGATATTCCACGGAGCAAAAGCGCATCATCAACCGTTCGCGTCAATGTAGACTGAAGAAAAATTCTTTCACAAAAACGTATAACCCCATTCGTCATGACATGAAAATTCTGACTTCTCTGTGCTCTCTTCTCCCTAACCGATAAGCTCAAAAAAAAAAATGAATGATGAGAGCGTAGAGAAATCAGACTGTTTCAAGTTGTGGCGAAGGGTGTATAAAATTAATGCCGTGTTCAGAAAGAAATTCGGGTTGATTGCGTCGTATTTCACTTTCAAAGGAAAATTCTTTAAAAAGCTCTTTGGAAATTGGGTACAGCGCGATCTCATGATCAGTCTGATATAATGCTATTCTTAATAATAATTGAAGCAAAAAATTGACGGCGAAAGTTTTCTTCAAAGTTTTTTTCAATAGTTTCTTCCTCGCCAGTGCTAAAGCCTATTCGCCCCGTTTTTTGAGGGCGGAAACCGTACATCTTTGATCAGAGGTCTCAAAGCATGAGCGCAGAAATGTGAAAGTCTTGAAACGAAGGGCGCAAAAGAACGCATTTATACTCTGGGATTTTTTTCAAATTCTTTTATCGTGACGAGTTCCTTCATCATAGCAAGAGTTGTGATACTTTTACGCGCGACAGGAATTTTGAAGACCAAAAAAGCTTCAAAACGCGACAAGGACGCTTCAAGGGCGGTGATTTTGTTGAAACTAATCCTACCACTTTCTGTCACACTCTATTTAATTTAAAACGAAAGATACACGAAAAAATCCCGCATTTCTTTTGAAAAGCCTAAAAATGTATCCGCACTTTGTTGGTAATCGTCGAATTGTTGCTTTTCGCGCCTTTCGCGCTCTTGCCGGTGGTTGGTTGAGGGCCGACGATGGTGTTGATCTTCATGGGGTAGACCGAATAGTGGCTGAACAGCTCTTGAAGACTGTCAAATTCCTTTTTCAGCTCGACATAGTTGTGGCCCTGTCGGCAGTTCACAACAATGTGGCGTACCTTGAAAGGAATAAACATTTGATACTCCTTGAAGGTGTTTCTGGTGATTAGCTTCAATAGGGAAGTCATCACTTCATAAATAAGTGAAAAACTTGATCAATTTCAATTTTCCAAATATTTTCTTGAAACAATCACCTGAGTAGTTTGTAAAACTGAATTTGTTTTTTAAAAGAATGTTCGATTTTTCTCGCCATTGAACAGTAGCCAAAAAAAGTTCTATTGTTTGAAAATATTTAAATATTGAAATTAATGAATTGGTAAATCTAATATATATAAATCAGGCTTCCCTTTGAATTGTAAAAAAAACCGATGAGTTGAATCGAAAAAATTGTGCGAAAGAGATTAGAAAATTGGCGATTTTCTGAGCTATGGTATCAAACATTCCCTCAAACACAAGGCTGTATGAAATTTCTACCGAAATTTTCTTTTTTTCTCAGAGTCCCTTGTGCCGTGTTCAAAGTAATTTCGGCGATTTTAAGATAAACACTAAGAATAACTGCCAAGATAAACGCGAGGTCGGTGGCAAACTCGCAAACATGTCGCTTTCTCCACCTCGCATTTTTCTCGGCGCAACCTTGCATTTCGGAAATTTTCAAATTGCTAATGAATAAAAGATAAATGCGAGACCGCCGCGAGATTTTTGCGAATTCGCCAATGTACCGCCACCGACCTCGCACTTCTCTCGTGCCAGACTCGGCAGTTATCTTTAGTATAGGCCATTCCGCGCTAGCTTGTCACGCTTTTCTTTCCGCCAAAAGTCCAGGTCAAATTTAACCAACTTTCGCTTCAAGACCGTTGTTTCTTGCCGTTATAAGAGCAGAAATTTGATCTAATTAGAATACGGTCTTTTTGGCGGGAAGAAAAACGTGACAAGCTGGCGCGGAATAGGCTATAGACGCGTTATTTTTTTAAAATTACTTCAGGGAATAGGCAGAATTGGTAATCTGGGAAGGCGCAAGAAAATGAGTCCCACCACCATATATCCGTTAGATATGCATTTTTTACGATGAGTTTCACGTACCAATTCGAAATTTTTGAAGAAAATGCCCGAATAATGGCAAAATTTTGGGTTCGGGCGTTGAAGTTACAGTGAAAATGCCTACCTAACGATATATCGTTGTGAGACTCATTTTTTCTGCGCTTTCCCGGAATACCAATTCTGCCCATTCCCCGAAGTCATTTTAAACGAATAACGAGTCTATTTTGAAATAGCCGAAATTACTTTGAACACGGCATTTATTCTTTATAATTTTTCCTTTCATTTTCAAAGATTTTCTAAATCCTCATCATCTCTCACATGACTTGGTGGAACGACGCCGTCAAGGCTTTCGGTGTCGCGCACGACGAGGGAGATGATCAAAGTCCGATCCCTTTTCTTGATAGCCCGGGCAGCTGAAAAAATCTTTGGATCAAGAAAAAGCTCTTTCCTTCTGAAAGAAACCAAGTGGCACGTCGCATATTCGGACGACAAAGTCGCCTTTCTTCTTGAGCAAAAACGGTAAATCTTCGCGCGGCAAATACCTTAACCCATTGTTCCTTTCATCTGGCAGCTGACCAAATCAAAAAGTTTTCTAATAAAAACGAACATATAATTTATATAGAGAAAAAAAAATCGCTGAATAAAATTCATCAGAGCTAAAGCGAAAGTTCAATGAAGTCAATCGATTTTAATGTTATCCGAAGTCCTTTGGTGAATATTCCTTCTTCCATCAACAAAAAGAAGAAAGAAACGATACCCATGATAAAAGGGCATTTGAAATATCCACGGATCGATATAGCCTTGGTCATGTACCGCCATTAGTCGCGATGCGGCTCTCTTTTAGAAATACCAGAACCGCACCAAGGAATCTTACGGCGATAAACTTTACACGAACAAATCATCAACCAAAGTTCATTTACACGTGCAATTATTAACATTAAAATAAAAGATAAAACTTTCGGGAAGCACTGGAAAATTGAAACAAAAAATAACAAAACATACCAACAAGCCACATCAACAGCCGTCACAATGTATAAAAAATCAAAGCAATGGCAAGAAATGCAAAGTGAGAATGTAGTTTTGTTAGCGAGGACGAAAAACTTGTTTATACAACACGAATTTTGGAAAGACGCGTGCAAGCCGAGTAAGAGAGTTGAGCCGTCAGCGACGTCAGGTCATTTTCTTCCGAGAGTTGGTTCGTTTTCAGCCTGAAATTTTTAGTCTAAAAAATCAATTCTCGTTGCAAACTGACTTATAAGCGCGAAGCAAGTCACTTCCTCGCTTCGCAAACTCGTGCGATACGAAAACCGGCGTTGGAATCGACGTCGGAGCATTGACAATCTGAAGTGTTCATTGTAATTCACCTTAAAAATGATTTTAACCTGATGAAGAGAGCATATTGCGCAGACCATTTTCGTAAGATATTCGTCGTCGATGTTCTCGTCGTCACGAATCACAAGAAATGATGGGATCTTGGCAGTTCCTTGGATCGGGCGGAAGGCTTGTATGAAGATCTGCCTCTTGCCGTACTCCGCCACGATTCCTCCGACAGCAGTGTCCGCCAATGGATTCTGGAAAAGAGATCTTTTTATTTCATGTTTATTCATACATAGGTATTGATGGAATTCATTCTTCTATCCAAAATCTAACTTTTCTCTACTTCTCTGACCCAGAGCGCCCGAAAATTTCTCTACCGCATGCTATTTCATCGTTTCCTCGCAGTCAGAGAGTGAATAAATAACACGCGGCAGAGAAAAACTGGGGCGCGCCTTTGGCCGCATCAGTTCAGAGTTATTATCGTCTTCAAAGTATTACCTTGGGCTGATTGTTTCGGTTCAGATAAAAGCGAGTGTTGTGGCGCTTCTTCACCACGATGGAAAGAACCAACGGCGCGTAGCCGCGAGCGCCTTCTTCTTCCGCCGCTTCCACAATAGCGTCGGAGATCACATTTGTCTCAATGACGGCCTAAAAAAAGAATCTGTTCGATAAGTTTTTTGTCAAGTCTGAACCTCGGACTCCTCGCCACAGGAGACACCATCACGAAAAATGTACACCCTTTTTGGAAAACCTCGGACGCGAACAAATTTGCGGAAGTTGTCTGTCACAAACTTTCTCAAAATGACAGGATCAACCTGAAAACTTCATTTGTACAAGTGATGTATAAAAAAAAATAATCGACCGATTCTCTTCGCGGAGTTGTAAAGGCAAAGTCCCCAATGAAGGTATATGAACTATCTCCAGAATTGCAGGAAAGGCCTACAGTCGACGGGACGCGATCGCGGAACACTGGTTTGTCTGGATGAGAGACATCGAGGCCAATGACGAACGGAGGCTCGTGATTCCAAGAAGCGAGCCTGAAACATAGAAATGATTATTTATGGAGTACAAGTTATCAAAAAAGCCAATGGGCTGCTTCAGACAAATATAAATACACCCACATCAAACTTACTCGAACCTCAAATATGCTGTCTTCAAAGTGATTCCGCGACATGCAAAATGGTCGTCAGAGAAAGTAAAATATAACTAAATTTTGGAGATTCAAAGATAAGTTAGCATTCCGCGGAAATTACTTTGAACACGGTATACTAAAAAAAAACACTTACTGATCAGGAATATCCGCAATATAGTTGATGCCCCCAGCCTTGACATTGGTCTTCAGGATGATATTTTCCATTGTTTGGGACATTTTTCCCTTCATCAAAGTGTCGTTAATTGATCGGATGCTTTTTATGAGAACATGCTGCGTAGGAATATCGCTGATACGCTCTTCGAACTTTAAAAACTCTGGAATTCAAATTCAATTTTTAAAACATCAATGCCGCGTTTAAAGCTAATTTGAAGCACGCACAGCGAAAAAGTTTTTCTGGTTTAAAACCACGAGCCGAAACGCGGCGAAAAGCAGCAGGTTCCAACGACGTGATTGGTTGGCTCCGCCTTTTTGGCAAATGTCGAATTTAAATTTATTTTTAAAATATTTTTCTTGCCAGCTGGGAGGGGCCAGCTAATCAGGTCGAGGGAATCTGCTGCGTATCGGCTCGTGATTTTGAACCAGAAAAACTTTTTCGCTGCGCGCGTCAAATTATTTTCGAACGCAGCATAAAAATTCTCACCGTGAATGTTGGGTACGTCATCTGAGACGAGGAAAACGAACGGTTCAATTGATCTTCCCCGTATATGGTCCAATACATCAGCGAACACGATGGTGAGAAAATCCGCAGGATTTTGTCGATTTTGAGGGTCGTAACAGCGTATGATCTGCGATAATTGAGGATAGTTGGGAATATAATTCCGTGTTCAAAATTTTGACTTAATTCGGGCGTTTTCTATGAAAATTTCGAATTGGCGCGTGTCACCGTAAAAATGCATATCTAACGATATATCGTTGTGAAACTCATTTTTTCTGCGCCTCCCCGGATTATTTCTGCCTATTTCCCGAAATCCTTATAAACAAATAACGCGTCTATTTTGAAATCGCCGGAACTTTTTTGAACACGACATCATAAAACAACTATTAACTTTTTTTTTCTATTTCTTTGCGTTTTAATCATGAATTACTTGCCTACTTTATATAGAAATATTTGAAACGAAGAAAAAAATTTCGTCGGAAAGCTCCCTAGCGATATAAAAAATCGGAAAAGTTGCCGTTTGAAAAAAAGAAGTCCGCCGTCTTTTTTCCTACCACCGGTAATGCGATATCGGAGGCAAAAATAATAACGCCCAATTCACGCGCCGAATCCCCGTATATGCTGCGTACAAAGCTAATTTGAGCAAAACAGTACTTTCTGGTTCAAAAGCACGAGCCGAAACGCGGCAGGTTTCCACAGTGTAATTGGTTGGCCCCGCCCATCTGGCGCAAAGAATATTTTTGAAATCAATTTATATCGGAAATTTGCCAAAAAGCCGGAGCCGTCCAATCACGCTGTGGGAACCTGCTGCGTTCCGGCTCGCACTTTTGAACTAGAAAAACTGTTTCGCTGCGCGTGTCAAGTTAGCGTTGAGCGCAGCATTAAAATTTAACGCTTTCAAATTGGTATAACCTGGAGCAGCGCAATGAAAAAAAAAATAAGCAGACGCAAAATATATTAAATTTATAACTTTTTAATTAGTTTGAAATCTGTGACACCTCGCGCTTACGCGCAGCAAATTGTACGACAAATTCTTGGAGACCGTAAGCCTGTGTACGCACATATCGAACTACATTAGTTTTGGAAACCGAAATCTTGGAGAACAAAAATTATCGCTTTTTCGAATAAATTACATCAGAAATTGAATTCGGTGAGCGGAGCAAGAGAATTCATTAAGAAATTTGTAAAAAAAAAAAGAGGGGAATTATAGCTTTTTGATTTCCAAGATTGTAGTTTTCAAAATTATGGGCTTTGAGATATGCGTATACAGGCTTACGGTCCTCAAGATTCACGGACTTGAGACCTTTTCGTACCATCGGCAGGCGACGCCTATGCGCACTTTTGGCGACAAACACGCGCCGTCAGTGCCTGAGTAACCCGTAAAAAACATTTTCTTATATGAGTCAATGACACCTAGAGCACATTAATTTAGCAGGCAATGAAGAAAATTGAGTTAAACAAAAAAGCGCAAAATAAGTCCTGAAAACGTACATTTTCTCGAATGCCGAGGCCTCTCTCCGCACAACGCCGAAAAAAACGCTCCATGACATTCGAAGTCATTTTTTGGTCCAGAGCTGGGTTCCTCGATTGCGAAAGAATAATGACTGTCACAAAGTAGTCGATTCTGCCAGCTTCGACAAATTTAGCGTCGAACGGTTTCCAGTCTCGCTTAAAATTTTAAAAATTGACCTCTTTCACGAATAGGGGAATCACCTTCTCATCGTCGACGCGAACTTGTCTAGCGGCATATTTCACCGCTGGGGCATCGACGCGCTCACCTTTCAAAGCGCTCACCTGAAAAAAAAAACATAATTTTCTATTGTTCCGTTTTGAGTTTTACGCGTTGCTCGGGGTCATTGCACAAAAGCAACGCCGAATTCTTGAAGGACAGGATTATGGAATTTGAATTCCGCGAAGTGACTGGCGCCAATTCTCCAGCGCTCCTCTGGCGGCATAGCTTTTGGCTGAATTTAAACGACTTGAGACCAAAAAGCTTCAAAATTACAATTAGGTCAAATTCGCTGACGATTTGCTTGTCGAGAGTGGAATATGGCAAGATTTTCAGATACTCCAACGGAAAGATTTTCCGATGTGAAGTTCCACAAATAGCCGCCGGAAGATCAGGGTATCTCATAACAAATAAATTAAAACCATTTCTCATTGCATTCTACCTCAAATTGGGGAATTTTTGCTGATATTCTTTTTTCTTCTGCGCTTCGTGATCGATTCCAGTGACCATTTGAGTTGTCGTTGCCCATTTATCGATATCTGCATAGTAAGGATTGCAGCGCAGGCCTAAAAATTCACAAAATTGAGTTGCTTTAATGAATCAATCTTGATTGAAACCCCGAAGAAATCGTTCCATCCTTTGATAAAACGAGTGCATGTTCACGTTTCTGTTTTGAGGAATTCTGCCGAAAACTTTCAACACAAGATGATCAAGCGTACACGGCTGGAAATGCTGGATCGTGCGAGCTGGAAATGATATTTTTTAAACTATTGGCTCATTTTCTGATCATGCTCACGATCGAGCTCAAGAACTGGCATCGCCTTTTCGACACCAACAATCCGGCAACTTTTATGAACTCCGTGCGCTGTATAAGCCCAGTCAACTTTCGAGTTTTCCTAGAAAGCATCAACATTTTTAAAAAAAATGAACACGATTTACATTTAAAATACCTTCATTTGAGTGTGGAGGTAGAGGCCTCGAGAATGAGAAACGTACTTGCCGCTGAAAATTTCAGTTTTTAACTTTCCGAACTTATTTCCTACTGACGTTTCAACGGCATACTGCGAAGTGACAATGTCCAGATACGAGCAAAATCTCGAATCCTTCCACTCAGTCTCATTACACTGATCAAAAACTGAAAAACAACATTAAAAATTATTTCAAAATAAAAAAATAAAATAACAAATAATATGAACTTAAAAAAAGTTTCGTTAAAGTTTTTGGTTTTTATATTTTTATCAAATTATTTTCTATTTTCTTAATAACGGATAATACAAACGACGGCTTGTCGACGTCTGGCTTGATGAAAGCCACAATAGAGCCCTCCATGAACTGCAGCGAATCCTTCAAGTAGTTGGAAAGCCCCGGGATCGCGCACGCCTCATCCGTTGAAAGATCGACGCACTGAAAAAGAATACAAGTGATTTAAAAGCGTAAAAAAAAGAAATTATGAAAAAGGACTCACAACGTTGATTGGAACTGTGGAGAAAAGAAGTCCGCCGCCATCGTAGGCGATCGCCGGCGCCCTTTTCGCAGCGATGCATCTGCTGTCTTTTTTTGCAAAATCTTCCATCATTCGCCGAGCTATCAAATGATTGTCGATTATTTTCGACACGCGATTCCCGCGGCCTCTGAATCATTTTTTTTCAATTTGAGACATTCAAATTAAAGGTTTCACTTAAAAGAAACTGTGGTCAAAATGAAGTCCGTTGCTGTCGCCGGCTGGAATAACTTGATGTGGACGAGGTGACGATATATCACTTTTTGCTTCAGTTCAATACCAAATAAATTGACAACGAGGTTCTGAACAAATAAGCATTTATAAACCCTTCGAAATCGAATTTACCGGTTGCGTGTCCATGTTAGAATCTATCTTATCTCTTCCGCAAAATGAGGCTGCAAAAAAGGTAATTATTTATTAAGTTATGTGATGGCATACTTTAGTAGTCTTGCTAAAGACGAAAATTAAGGGCTTGCAACTTTCTTCACTCTCGGCTAGTAATAAAATTGAAACGGCTGAAAGATAATCTTTGATAATTACGAAGTATTTTCGTTCGACAATAGTTTTTGAAAAAAGCGAGAAATCAACGACGCAGGGCTTCACTTCCGGAGCGGCCGCTCTCATGCGGATTTAATGAATATATCACGCACCACAGGCGAATCGAAAGAGTACCATAATGTGTCCAAAAAGGTACCTTTCAAAATGGATCGTGAAGACTTCATAATGTGTCTATCTCCGGCATACCTTTTAGCTATATCTATGCCATCTTGGAGGTACTTGAGAGTCTCCCTCAAGTCTATCTAATTCTGCTCAAAGTTCACAGAGGTATAATCTGTTCAGATTTCAAATGTCAATTTCTCGCTGAAGCTCCGCCCCCTAATGGCGCGATAAACCAATCAGAGAGCGAGCCATCCACAGAGCGTTTTCGAATGACGTCATTCTAGTTCATTTAAAATCTGAACAGACTGTATAATTGAGGTACCATCTTGAGACTTCAGAGCTCAGAGGGTCTCGCGGTACCCTTTCTCGATTCGCCTATGACCTTTAAGACAGTACTACAGCGGTCGGTTAGTATTGTGCCGTCAGTTTCGGAGCCAAGAAAAGGTTTTTCTTCTTCGCAACGTTGATGATCTATTTCTAGAAATTAAAAGATAAGTAAAGTCCCAAAAAGTACACAAGATTTCCGTTTGCAGCCGGAAAGTCTATCTATAGTCTGTTCAGATTTTTAATGTCAAGTGCAATGACGTCATTAAAAACACTCTGTGGATGGCTCGCTCTCTGATTGGTTTATCGCACCATTAGGGGCGGAGCTTGAGCGACGACTTGACATTCAAAATCTGAACAGACTATAAGCTCCCATAATACGACCGGCCGCCTTGAAAAGTCATGAAATCAAAATAAAAATTTTTTTAATAAGCTACTTGCTTGAAAAATCGTTTTTCGTTTCTTCTTTTGCTCCGGAAAATTGGTCCAAATGAACTCTACGCTTAAGAAAAGCTCTGAACGTCATCAAATGATAAAAAGATACAAAATGTACGAACATCAGAAACCGGGATACGAAGAGAAAAAAAGATTGATCCCAAACTGATACGTTATTCGCGCCAGGACCTCCCGCCTACAGCAATCAACTTTTCACAGTAGGTCAAACTTGGCGAATAAGTCTATTTTATTCATCATTTTTGTTTCTCTCACTTTTATAGTCTGTTCATATTTTGAATGTCAACCAGCTCACTCCGCCCCTGCTGAGACGGTACCTTTTCGCGTCGATGTTTGATCGCGCGGGACTAATTTTGATCTTTTTAAATCTGAAAGATAGAAAAAGAAGTCAAAAATGCAGCCTTATTAAATGGCATTCGTCATTTGGATATAAAACATTGACGCGAAAGATATTGTAGACTTGGGGGTGGAGTTAGCTGCTTGACATTGCTTGACACAATCTGAACAGACTATAGCGAAAATGGCGCAAAAAGGCACTAAAGAAGGAGCCTTTGTCACCATAAAAGGAACAATTCTATGGAGCTTTTTTCCACCCTTTCTGATTTTGCCTGTGTAAACAAGGAAGAAAAGAAACGCTGACATGATGAACTTTTTATCAGTGTCTCACACCCACATTGGACGTGATTTTCCTTGCGTAAATGCGAACATTTTCAGCAAAAGTTTTTGTTTTCTTGTTTTCTCGTTGCACAGGTTCAATTAATCCGAAAAACGGTAAAACACACATTCTTTTCATTTTGACGTACCTTTTTAAGCGTTACCTAAAAATAAATATATTTTTTTCTCACGGAATTGTTAAAAAAAAACCGATTTTAGCGGTCGCCAACATAAGGATATGAATAAAAGAATAGGCCATTCCGCGCTAGCTTGTCACGCTTTTCTTCCCGCCAAAATGCCAGGTCAAATTTAACCAACTTTCGCTTCAAGACCTTTGTTTCTTGCCGTTATAAGAGCAGAAATTTGATCTAATTTGGTATACGGTCTTTTTGGCAGAAAGAAAAACGTGACAAGGTGGCGCGGAATAGGCTTTACGAACGGAGTAAATAGAAGGCGCCCTCGATCAAGAGGAAATCGTAGGAGCGAGAAATTTTCCCACGCTTTATTTTTTACATTCGAATGTTTCTTTTCTCACGACTTTATTAACAAAATAATCGAAAAAATAATATTCGCAAGAAGAGTTCCGCGTCCAAGTTTTTCAATTCGTTCTCGTCCACGTGAAATCAATCAGGTCTACTCGAAATTGTGTTTTTTTGCTGGGTAACCGGTGAGAGAAAAAATAATCTGTTCTGTACAATTTAAGGTTCGATGAGATTTGGAGAAAAGTATAGAATTGAGGAAATGAATTTGAAGAAAGAGAGGAGAGGAAATGAGAGATTGGGGATATATATTCCGTGTTTCTGTTGCCGTTTGAAACAAAACAATGATTTTTAACGGAAGAAATGTTCACTGTCTTTGGAAAAATCTTATTTGGGGGAACAGATTTCAATCGAGGTGATGCCATTGGGCAACCTGGCGGCCTGGATTTTCCAGCACCTCGACGACATGAGCGTCTTCCATGTTCAGGAGAGCGCGTCCGATGACGTCATTCCGGTTGGAACGGTCGTGGTTGATAACCTGAAGTTTCTTTTCCAATTTCATTTTTCTTTCGATGCGCCTTCAGTGCGATTTTTTCTGCTTTATTTTTAAGGTATAATCCGACGTTACCAACATGTTCGATTTTCAGCATAAAAGTATAACAATTCGATCCGTCTCGTCGAGATACGTACGAATATCATAAAATTATTCGGCGCTGACCACTTAGAAAAATTCAAGATGAACTTTATTAGTTTTCAATCAGTTGATTATTCTGAGGAATAGAAGTGTTTGGTTTTTCTTTTCATGCATTACTTGAGAAAATAGGCTTAGCTTTGAGGCTTCACACGGAGGCGGAGCGCGCATAGCGCGAAGCCGACTGTGGCTCGCTTCGAAAAAACTGAGCCACAGTGAACAATTCGTCAAATAAATGAATACCTGACATAAAAAGACATGTAGTTTCAAAACGTGGGCACTAAAAAAAACTATCAGGTAGCTATAAACGATTTGCAACTTGATACGAGTAGCAAAAAAATCTGTAAAAATGTATTTCCCAAAAAAAAAGAAAGAAAAAATATTAAAGGAGCATACTGTGCGTAAGCGTGGGCTCCAACGCGGTCGGTTATTTTTACTGTGATTTCTCATTTTTTTCTTATTTTGCATTGTTTTTTTCGTATAATTTTCAATTTTTTTCTTATTTTAAAATGCCGTGTTCAAAGTGATTCCGCGAAATTCAAAATAGCCGTCAGAGAAAGAGAAAGATAACTAATTTTTGGAGGGTCAGAGACCATTTTGCATTTCGCGGAAATTACTTTGAACACGGCAAAAGATTTTTTCTTCTCATGGCGTAGTAGCGATAGTTGAATTGAATCGCGTCGAAAAATGCAGCGAAATTTTTGACATTTCTGGAGTTTTTTTCTGGTTTTCGCACACCATAAATTTATTTCTCCTTACTAGCGCCCAATAATTTTATGATTTTCGTACGTATCTCAATGAGACGGATCGAATGGTTATACTTTTATGCTGAAAATCAAACATGTTGGTAACGTCGGATTATTCCATTTTTAAAACACCCCAAGTTTAAGGGAATTACAGGTTCATGTAGCTTTCAAAGACTCCTAATTTTTGAAATTAGATATAATCACCAATAAATATATAATTCAAAAACATCTTTGTGTAGTTCTCAAAAGCTTGATAAGGGACTTGAATTGATTCTCGTTCAATATAAAGTTATATTCTTGGGGAAAGCCACGAGGAGGTCATTTTAATTTGCGACTCAGAATTTTCTACAAATTCGCATAAAATGGTCTTTGAAGGTTTATATTACGATCCATCAAAGATGCATCCGGCGCCAGCTTTTATTTTTTAAGATGATTCATTTTGAAGGTCGAAAAGTTAGGACTAATGCACTAAGAATAACTGACGAGATAAATGCGAGCTCGGTGGCGGTACATTGACTAACTCGCAAAAATGTCGCTTTTTTCTAGGCGCGATCCCGCATTTCTCTCGGCGCGACCTCGCATTTTTCTCGGCGCCATCTCGCATTTATCTTGCATTTCGGAAATTTTCAAATTGCGAGAGAAATGCGAGCTCGCGCCCAAACAAATGCGAAACCGGCGCGAGAAAAAATGCGAGATGTTTGCGAGCTCGTCAATGTACCGCCAGTGTCTCGCGTTTATCTCGGCAGTTATTCTTAGTGTGGTAGCGACTAGGAGGGATCTTCATATATATCTCCAGAGAGTTCTTGAACAAATTTGAAGAAAATTCGAAACCGCAAAGTAAATTGATCTCCCTTGTGAGTGTTCAAGCACTCAATAAAGTTTTTATAAGAAGAATTTCTATTTTCAAAGCCCTGTTGTCTTTGTTTTCGTATCTTCCTCGAGATTTTTCATTTACATGTCAATTTTTCAGATCTTCTCCTCTCAACATTCTTTTTTGAACATTGAAAACGGAAAATTTCCATGCCCTTTTAAACTTCTGACTAGAAAACTACTCGGACTCGGGTACGGGTTTCGAGTTGAAACTTTAGTGGTTTATAGACCCAAGTCAGAACACTTGAAAACAAGAACGAATATCTACTAAACGCGATAGAGAACTGAAAAAAAATTAGAAGAAAATGTGAAAATTAGACCTGAAAATTTTCAGAATACTGCTTCATATTCTAATACAATCGTCTTGAATGATCCGGCTATCATAAACTCTAAAAAACTGATTTCCAGCCAACAAGAAGGAGGAAAACAGAAATTTGATAATTTTCAAGCCTGAACTGTTCATTTTCAAAAAGATTTTTCTCAGAAGCCTTTGGGGTTTAGCAGATAATCTCTCTTGTTTCCAAGTACTCTTACCCGGGTCTATAAGCCACCAGAGTTTCAACTCCAAACGCGTACCCGAGTCCGAGTAGTTCCCTAGTGAGTGAGGTATTTTTTTTTGAAATCTGTGCAGTATGTCAACCATTCAAAATAAAAAAAAACTGATTTTTTTTTTGGCAATTTTCCCCACCTGTAGGTCGATGACGGCGGTGTCGAGTTTGGAATCAGGAAGCTCGAAAACGAAAGATTCATTGTACACGGGATTGAGAGTGGCTCTTCGAACGTGGGTTTTCTTTTTGACGATCCGTTCTCCAGACTCTTTTCGTAGGTAGAGCTTCACGTAGGGGTCTAAAAATTTCAAAAAAATAGTTTCTTTAAATCCAAAAAGATCGGTAAGTTTCGTAGAAAAAAAGCACTGAGATGAATGAAAAAGTAAATTCATAGTTATCCTAGGTCATTTTTTTATAGTAAGAAGGTTTTGACTTGAACTTTCTCGATTAAAAATTTTAAAAATCTTTCCGATACTTGAAGGAGCGTGACCACTTTTTCAAAACGATTTCAAGAAAAATAGTAGTTTTCAGAGTTTGGCAAGGATTTCTGAATATACTATAGAAAACTAGATGTTTGGAACCCACAGAGATTAATCGCCGGTTCAGGATTTATTTATTTAAGAAGGGATATGCAAAGGCGAGAAGACTAACGACCGTTTTCCGGCTTCAGGAAGAGGGTTTCACCTTCTTTTTTCACGCGAAGCTTAAAGGCTAGCAAAAATGAAGGCTTAACGAATTATACTTTACGGCGGATGAACCAACGACTAAAATTTTTCAAAAAACAAAAGAGGCTTCGATATCAATGTCCAAAAAGAACAATACAAATTTCTAGTTAGAGACTAGGCAAAGCTCTAAAAACAGTTGAGTTTTTTTTTTTGAGTAGAATTTTCTAATATAGTAGCTTTAAGTGGATTTTTTGAAAAAAAAAGACTCCAAAATTTTTGAGCCAATGACCGTCAAGATTTGAAGAGAATCCGCGCCAGCTTGTTGAACTATTTTTTCTGAGCTTTAGAACAAGTTTCTTCGATTCTATGAGCATGAGCTTTTAGTATAACACAAATTTTTAAGCTAAATTAAAGGAGCATGCAGGGAAATAAGGCGGGCTTTTTCGAAGGAAAAATTCACGACTCGGAGGAAAAAAAAATGGTGACAGCTGGCGCAAACGGAGCTAGAGAAGAATGCAGAAAAATGACTGATGAGTTTTTCTACTGACCAGCCGTGCCGGCGTCGTTCTTGCTGAGACCCCTGGCCTTCAAAACGACGACGGTCAGGTTGTTGAAAGCCGGCTGATAAGTCAGCGACAGGAGCAGTTCGCCGCGAGCCGCGACGCTGTCAGTCGCGCGTGGCAACAGCGGAAGTTCCACTCTGCAAAAATACAAAGCAATCTTTCTCCATCGCTTCTTTTTTACCTCATTTCCTGATGGAGCATGAGCTCAGCTTCCGCCAGTCTGTAGACACACTCGCCGACTACCGTATCTCGACTGTAGCGGTCGAAGGCGACAACCTGGAGATTTAAAGTTCAATGAGACTGTGTCGGTAATGTCTCATTGGTTAATTTATCTGCCTTTTCGTGTCCTTTTATCGGTCTACATTTATCCTTTTGTTGTTTTTCTCGAGCCTTTCAAATCCTCACCTTAACGGAAGGCCCGATAAAGAATCAAAACCAAATTTTTAGCGACTTACTTGCAGTATCTACTTTTTTTTGCGATACTTTTTGCGACGATCTCCTACGAAATTTTCAAAACTTTGTCCCGAACTTTTTAGAGTTGTTTTGTGACCCCTTCAACTACCTGGAAATGCAAAGTACTCATGTTCATCTGCTCATTGGTGACACCGTACATGGTGAACTGCTCGTCGTATTGTGGGCTCGTTGTCGCCCTCACTATTCGGGTCTTGACGCGATGCTCGCGGTCTAAAATTGAGAAATTATTTGTCTATTCTCAAAATCGTCATAATATATTGAAAGTTTTCTCATGTGATGTTTAAAGGTGCAGAGGTAACTGAAAACTCAAAAAGAGCATTTGAAAAGGGCTTTTCCCTGCGGAATTTTGAAAATTATGTCAGTATGTTCCTTTCGACGCCGTTCAATGCCCATGCCCATATGCCCTCAACTTAAATAAGGCCCAAGAAAGATTTGAACACAATTCCGTGCAAAGTTTACTCGAAGTGGTTGCTCTCATTCCGAGGCTTCCACCTAGAGTACAGTCTCCGGGCTCCACAACAACATCCGCTACATTCTGAGGTCGTCAAGGCGCTACGCGCAGATACTCTACGCAAAGCAGAACGAGGCGAAGGACCGTAAGACCATGCTTTCCACTCTTTCAACTACACGTTTCTGAATCAATCTGTATCTTTCGAAAATCACCAGGTAGAAGCTGAAGCTTGACATAGGGGTCGAGAAGACACTGGCCGTCGCGGGAGACGACCAACTCGCACAATTGTCGGCAGTTCACGACGCCGACCTGGAAAAAGAAATGTTCTTTTTCTATTTTATTCGAAAAAATGAGCTCTTTTCATACGCTGTTTTCGTGAAAAATCCTCAGAAAGCCAGAAACAAAAAAAAAGAAAATTCTATTAACATTCTCCGACGTCATGCATGAAAAAAGAACATTCAATTAATTTTCTCGTGAGCTTCTAATAATGGACATTTAGTATCAAATTAGGGTTCCTTTAAGTTCTGAGGGGAGAATAGAACTTCAGCAAAATAGGGAAAAATAATCGGAATCTTCTTTTCAAATAAAGTTTTTACACAAAAAGAAGTCATCAAACCTAGGAAAAATAAAATCTAAAATCTAAAAGAATCGAAATTTGTTGCTGCCAACCCATGAAAAAAAGATGAACCTTTTAAAATTTTTCATAGGAACTTCTTTTTCAATTTTCACTTTATGCTTCTCTTCTTATATCCTTCTCATACCTAAAGCTAACCACAACATGGAAAATGACTATTTCATCCGTTTCGAAACAAAAAATTCGTTAAAAAGCCTAAAAAACGGCGAGAACCCATCAACACTTTGATGAGAATCGTAATTTCCTTCTTTACACCCTCATATTTCGAGCCAAAAAAAAAGCCGCCAAACAGAAATGGGGATGAAAAATTACGTTGTTAAGCTTCTGCTGGGAGCGTCGTTCGCTTGAGTCGTAAAAAATGAAATTTGGGAGGAAAAAAAAGGGAATTTGAAGCGACGACGGCTTTTTCTTGACACATTGAAACGGATCTTAGCTTCATGAAAAAAAAAAAAGCAGAGGATACTGTATATTGGGCCGACCGACAGAAAAACGGAAATAAGAAAAGGTGTGATTTATAGTTGTTTTTTATAGTTGTTTTTTATTGTTTTATCGCTAGCTCGAGCCAAACAATCAGTTAATTTTAATGGAAAATGCGTAAAACTGGAGATTTCTAAAGTAAATGAATATAAGCAGTATGAAGAGCGATAATTGTGAAAAAGAATGTGAAAATTAATCAAATAATACACAATTTCAAAACGAAGTTTGATAAAGCGACACATACATGGGATAGTCTCGGTGGGACCTGAAAAAAAGGGAGGGGACTTGGTAAAAAGGTGGGGGGGAGTTGGTAAAAACCGTAAACAAATTTTTTTAGGGTGCGCGCTGGACGGCGCTAGTCCGATCTTATAAAAAAAATAATAAAAAACTCATTTTTTAAAGTTCAACTGACTCGCAGAAGCGATTTTTTTTTCTCAGTTAAAAGTCATCGGAAAAAAAACGCTTTTTATTTTCGGATTCAGCACCATCAAATTAGTCAGATTCGACCTTTCAATGTCAACTAGTGGATGAATAGGCTCCAGAGAATGACTTGGTACCGGAGACCGGCGCGCGCCAGCCTTGAAGTACTGAGCGAGACCTACTAGTCACTCTCTGGCCTATTCATCCACTAGCTGATATTAAAGGATCGATCTCGACTAATTCGATGATGCTGAATCCGAAAAATAACAACAAAAAAATAAGGTACAAAAAAATTATTAACTGCTCATTTTTTTAAAGTTCAATTGATTGGCAGAAGCATTTTTCTTTTTTTCTTGGTTAGTCAAAAGTGATAGAAAAAAAGAACTTTTCCCATCCTACGGCGTCAGCCTGTAATTTGATCTATTGACAAAAAAAAATTTTTTTCGAGCATGGGGGGGCGGCGGGCGATTAGCATTAAGTGGGGGACTTGGCTGTCGCCAGTCATGCTCATCCCATGTAAAAAAATGAAATTTCTCCCATTTTCCCCCTAAAGCTCTCCTCATAACCAAAAAAACGAAACCCACATCATAAAAAAATGAAAAACCTATTTTTTTAAAATGATGGGTCAATTAAGTTCCTCTCTCTACTTTGATGGACGGAAAACAACCATGTAATTGCAGCTTCTCTCTTTTTTTTCCTATGGTTTTTGAGATTCGGCAGTCCGCAGCCAAAGGCTCATTCCCGTGTATTGTTATTCCTGTGCTCCTCTAATTTTTTAATTTTTAATCATTTTTCTAATTGTAAAAAAGATAGTATTCTATTTAAGACATTTTTTTGCCTTGGCCAGCCAAAATTCAGAAAATGATAAAGCAGATCTGTCTGTGAGCGAACAATAAACATTTCGTTTCATTTCATAATCAGGAAAATTTTGCTTCCAAGCAAACCTTTTTTCATTTTATCTCAATTTTCCATCATTTTGTTTTGCTCTTTTTTGAGGTCTTTTGGAAGAATAGAAGAAGAAGAACCTGAAGAGCCAAGCTGACGGGATCATAGCTCAGCGTGAAAGAAATCGTTCCGCGCTCAACGGGCAATTCCGAAGGCGAAAGCTGCAAATAAAACAAAAGATGAATTTTGTTGTGAATATCATTTAATAGAACACTTCTTTACTTGACGGATGCTCCGATATTGATAAAGCGCCCAAGTTTTTTTCTAGTTTTTGGAGGTGGTATGAAAAAAACACCAGCAAAAATTCAAACGGCGACTTTTCCGATTTTTTCATATCGCTAGCGAACTTTCCGACGGATCTCTTTCCGACTTTTTTTCCTTTATATTTTTTTCAGTTTATAAAACATCTATAAATATTTTTTTCCTATTTCTTTGTGTTTTAATCATAAACCAACTACCTACTTTATATAGGCAGATTTAGAACGAAGATTATATCGAGAAAAAAAGTCGGAAAGGGATTCGTCGGAAAGGTGGCCGTCGGAAAGTTCCCCTAGCGATATGAAAAAAATCGGAAAAGTCACCGTTTGAATTTTTCGCTGGTGTTTTTTTCATACCACCAAAAAGAAATTGAAGTTCTTCGAAATTCAAAATGCATACTTTCAAGATTTGTATAATGAACAATAAACATATCATGCTTCAGAAAAAGAAAAAATTCTTTAATTTAACGCTTTCAAAAATACTTTTCCCAATAAAAAATCTCAAATTCGTTTTAAAATTGACTTTTTTTTAATTTTTAAATTATCTGATTTCACTGTGAACCTTCCTAGTTCGGTCCTCAAGAAGGGCGTGGAAAGGAACGATGGGCGACGGGGTGCTGTCGGTAGAAAGTGGCGACTGTAGGGGCGACGGCGTTTGTTTCAAGCCTCCAGGACCTTTTGGAAGCCCACTTCGCACAGCGATTACCTTGAAATAAAGGTTAATACTTTTTTCAACCGGAAGCAGTTTTTTGAATTCGTTTAAAATGGATATGAAAAATCTTTTTGCATCTTTTTAATTTTCAATACCTAGCTTTTCGTCAACATTTCAAAAAATAGCTGATGTTTGCTAAAAAAATCTCAAAAAAGAGCTGCTCGGAAGTTCTTTTGGCGTCTTTTTAGTGAAAAATTTTCGACATCCATCATCTTAGTACTCTTTTTAGATCCATGGTTGAAAAAAAAAGATTTGGGAGCATAAAACGAGATAAAAACACCTTCATCATTTTTCTACAGTTCAAATCTGACAGCTGATCTGTGGAAAATCTTTGATAAAACCATTTTTCCTCGAATTTTTTTCTTCTGGTTTAAATTTGACACAATTAAAAGAATCCCTTTTCTCACTGATTTTAGATACAATGCTCTGCTCTAATGTTTACTTGTAACAATAAAAATTAAAGCGTATGAATAATTTTTGAAAATTAGGTCTAAGAGTTATCAAAACGATTCCTGAAAGTTTTACTAGAAAAATAAACCTTCAAAATGACTATAATTTAATAATTATTTTTTTCCAGTTTACTAATTTTTCTAGATATCTTGTCATTAAATCTTAATTACCGCTACATGGAACGAAAAAAAAAATCGAAAAAGTGCATTTTTCCTTTTCACAACTTTTTAAAACTACGATCTCAACAAACATCATTCTGGCGTAAATATTCATTTTTTTCATACTTTTTTGAAACCTCAATACCACGTCCTATAAGATTTTAGTTAGCTTTAACAGAAGTAAAAGCTCAAAAGACAGAAAAAAAGCCTTTCTCCTATTTTCTGTGATCTTTGACCAACTCAGAACTTTTTTTTTGTCATCCTTTTTCAGAACGTCAAAAACAGATGTTCACGACCGTTATAATTAAATTCCAACATACGCAAACGTCTGGAAAAAAACCTCGCAAATTGAATTTCCAACGGATATTTGTGGAAGAAAAAGGAATAGTGCAAAATTTTGAATTTTTTTCAAGGTAAATCTGCAAACGCAAGTTCTTTACAAAGAAATATTGTCATTTCTAGACATCAAACATTAAAGATTTAAAGTTTTTTTTCATTCTGCAAAATGTCAAAGCTCTTTTTCATGGAAAGACTTAGAAACCTGGTTATAATTATGAAAAAAATATATACGTTTCTCTTTTTCGTGTCAAGAATTTTTACTTATTTCAAAACTTCAAAGCTTAATTTGGGGAAAAAACTTTTTGAATCATATTTTATGATTCAAAAAGCTTTTTTACCTGACTATTTTCATAAAAGAGCCTCAAATTTTCGACAAATTCTAAAATTCCCTTGCATTGAAACATTCGAATTTCCCAACACACTTTCAAATCAGAGTCTTTTTTCATCAAAAATGTGATTTTCTCCGTCTCTAGGCAACCGGAATAGAGTAAAAGAGCATATAAATGTCATTCTTTACGTTTCACGTGGAAATTAAATTTGACTTTGCCGTTTCGGAATACCTGCTTAGGCGGAAGTAAAAGTGAGGGATACTGGCGCCGTTTTCTGACGGCCAGAAGTGCAGCGACGGCGACAAGGCCGACGAGTCCCATCGCGCCCCCGAGGCCGACGAACAACCATTCTGAAATCGTTGATTCTCATTCCCTTTTGAGGAAGTCATGATAATACTTGGTTATTCTATGGAACGTTCTTTTGAGCACTTTGTGACCAATATTTCTACATCAATTAACTTAGCAGTTTTATTAGAGAAACAACGATGCAAGTTCTGAAACTGTTCGTTTGCCTTTTTTTTTTTCGATAAATGTACATTTTTCAGTACTCCTATGTTATTGAGAGTGCAGTTAAGACCTAGTTCTAAGTAATTAAGTTTGAACTTTTATATAAGAAGTTAAATTTTTGCACGGTTTTTGCCGGATAAACTGAATTCTGAATATTTTAACTACAGTATAGAAAATATAAGTACTTTCATTTTTACAGAAAGATCCTTCAAGCAGTTTGGCACTCATTTCTTTTTCTGGGTGACCATTTTTCGAAGATTTCTCATTAAACTCAAACCATTTCGCATTTTTTAACTCTTAAAACTTAGGAATTTTGCTAGCTTCCGAGTGTTTCCAAGCAATTCTTCGACTCTGTTCTGAGTTGTTTGGAACTTTATTTTGTATTCCCAATAACATTTTTCTGTGATTTTCGCAGAAAAAGTGGCTCAACACAATGTTTTGTGTCCGAGCAGCTCCATACAAATTGCAAAACGCTACATTTATCTTTGATGGAATTTTTGAAAAAAAAAAATTAAGATTCTCTCAGAAAAAGGTCCTAATGACACGAAAAATACCACTGAGGTCAGGAAGTTCTAAAAATTCCCACACTAATTAGTATCTCAAGATCTGTATAATTGAATGACTCAGAAACGTTGTCAAACGAGACAAAACCCTGGTATTCAGCTGGGAAACGTGTGACGCACTAAACCACGCCGATTTATGGTGTATTTTCCAAGAAAACACGGCAATTTTTCTCTTTTTCAAGCCAGGTCTAATCATCACGTCTCACGTGTATGGCGATAAATTCGTGTTGAATTCTAGGTTGAGAACGTGCCAATTTCGGGAAGAACCAAATAATAAATTGGAAAAAGCCCACGCAGCTAGAGGTGAAATTAAATACGCCGCGTTCGACTCGAAGCGAAAAAATGAAGACAACAAATATGGTGTTCCGAAAAAGAAGGTTTTCAAAATTGGTTGTTTTAGTACTTATTTCCCAAGAAAAGTTGGAATTTCGTACAAAGATAAACTTTTCAACTCAAAAGTATGCGAAGGAGCATAGAAAGTTCACATTGAGGTTTAGTGAAGAACTTTCTATTTTTAGATGTGTGAGTGAAAATTTTGTTCTGAAGTAATTTTAGCTGAAAGCAAGCTCGCTACTCGATTTGTGACAAGCTTGTCACAAAAAAGGTCTGTTTGCTAATCTTTGCAAGATCTTTTTTCAAAAAGCTCACTGTGCCTTTAAAGTTTCTATTAAAATGAAACCATTCCATATCGAAAAAAGTTCTGAAACGCTAATAAAAGTCACCACCGTAAGCCACTTATTCTCCTCAAAACAACGAGAACACGAACTAAAAGTACAACTCGACTCTGAATTATTCACGTAAGCACAAAAATTTTCTATTCCAAGAACCATAAAACTATTCTTCTCATTCTCCTTTTTTCCAATCAAGTCTAGACAAGAAAATTTTCTTTTTATTGGCTTCATTTCCTGAAAAAAAGGAGAAAAGAAACTGAAAGTCTACGGTATAAACCAAGGAATCAAAAAGGTGAGAATTGAATTGCATCGGAAAAGGTCAAGAAAAAAAAAGCTACCATAATCCTTCAAAGGGCATTCTCATCAAGAAAAAAAAGAGAATCAAGAGAAAAAACGTAGTAATTTGTTCAGAAAAGTGAGTCATATACATATATATTAAGCGCAAAAAAAGTTACTATGAGAGCCCTCAAATAGAAAAATAAATCATTGAAAACTGGATATAATAAATGGTTTCAGGCCAGAAATAAAACTTTTTTTCAAATTTATCTTGAAATACCTTACCGAATAAAAATATAAAATGCTGATCACTGAGAAACTCGAAATGCTTTTTTTCTTAAACTTTTCGGCTCTTTCGAAGCCGAATCCAAAACCAAAAACGTATTTTTAAAAGCGAAAACGCCAAATTTCACACAAAATAAGCAAACTCGACAAAGTAAAAAAAATTCAGTAGAACTAAGAAACTCAAAAAAATTCTTGGGTAAAACGAAATTATGAAAAATTGGTGGAGCAAAACGTGAAAAACTGACTTTTTTTTTAAATATAGAAGCATCAGCAAGTGATGAAAACTGAAGCGGAATTTCAGATTTTAATTCAGATTTTTTTTGTAAATCTCATAACCCACAGTAAATCCAATTACAATAGGACCTCAAAAAACTACAAAAAAAATTTTTTTGGCGACTCCAAAACACATAAAGAGAGAAATTCAAGCCGAGCAACTCGAAAAATCCTATCCTTTATGAGATTATCGTAATTTACAGTAAGTTCGAAACCATCAGAACCTCGAAACATTTATAAATAATGAAAAACAACAGAACATTTTTAGCAATTTTTGAAGCACAGAGAATGTGAAAATCCCAAAAATTCATGTTTTTTTTCTTCGAGAAACCGTTCACATTACCGTAACCTCAAACCCTTCAAAATCTTAAGAAGACGGTCAAAAAAGGAAAAACCAACCGTGACCAGGGGCATGGGAGTAGCTCCCATGCTGTAGGCTCGGCATGTTCGAGTCAAATGAGCTCGAGCTCCGGCCGTCCTCGCCAATCGCCAGACCGCCCCCCTTCCAAGGAGATCGATGCCGCGACGCGAGCCGCACCGCGACATCGCCAATGCCCTCGGGCCCTTTTTATTCTTCTTCGGAGTTCGCCGCCGACGTCATCTCATGTGTGATGTGATGTGTTTGTGCCGTTTTGCGCAGGGTCCGAATGGAAATAGAAAGAGAAAAAAGTTGCTTGGGATAGGCTTTCGAGGGGTTCTTTAAGATTTGATATTGGCTGCGCACCGCTGCGCATCTCATTTTGAAGACAGAAGAAGCGAAATAAAACAGATTAATACTAATGACCTTGCTATGCTTGATTACAAGGAAGAAACGATGATAAAAAGAAAAACATTTAGCTCGGGTGATTTTGACAGATTCATTATTCAGAAATTTCCCTTTGCCAAAAATTTTGCCAATAAACATTCTTGCTTTTTTTTTGATTTGGATTGATTTGATTGCGCATCGCTACGTGTCTAAATGTAAAACGAGGCTTACTAGGGAATGGTCTCCATTTGCAGTGGGACTTCTGAATGAGACTAGGTTCACGAGATTTAGTTTTTCACGCTGATTCCAAATCTGGTCTCGAAAACTGTCCTCGAGGTCTGTGAAAAAAGTTAGAGACTCTCAAAAATAAAAAAAATCAATGCCTCCGATTAAGCACGATTTTGGATATATAGTCTTTGTTCCCCAGATTACGAAAAACCATTTCATATTTTCGGAAACAGAAGAAAAATGTAACTATAGCGAAAAAATTGGCTACGCATCGCTACGTTCCACTCAGAAACAAAGAAAATATTGTGAACTTCTGAAGAAAAATAAGCATTTTAACCTCTTATCTTTACATTTCTGAGTAATGACTTGAATTTTTGTCTTTTCAAGGTTCCGGTTATTTCAGAGTTACTTTAGATTATTCAGAACAAGCAAAATAAAAATCAATATTAAAAAAATTGAGAAAAAGAGAGATTTTTTAATGCGTAACTTTGCAAAACTCTGAGAAATCTGCAAATTCCGCTACAGTTCATTTTTTTTTTTGTGTTTCGTGGTCCTCAATAAGAATTCGTATTACACTAGAGTCAAGGCTTAAAGATATGAAAGAAAGATTTTGAAAAAACATTGATTTGAACGCAAAAAAAAAAAAATACAAACCTTTTTATCGCGCGCGGAATTTTTTTTTTCGCCCTTTCACGTCAGCTAGCTGTCACCGCTTTTCCTCACTTTGTAGTCCTGAAAACTATGTGTAAGTTGTTTGAACAAAGAACATGATCAAAAACACAAAAAGCAATCAAATGACGCTCAAAAATGAGCCGAGTCGAGAAAGTCATAAAAGAGCAGATCAATAGACGAATCGAGAAAGGGTATCGCGAGACCCTCTGAGGTACATCGCAGGCTCTGAAGTCTCACGATGGTACCTTGAGTATAACTTTGAGGACTTCGAGCAAAATGAGAGAGGCTTGAGAGACTCTGAAGTACCTCCGGGATGGCTCAAATATAGCTAAAAGGTATGCTGGAGGTCTCACGATGGACACATTACGGGGTCTTTACGATTCATTTTGAGAGGTACCTTTGTGGACACATTATGGTCTCGATTCGTCTGTGACGGAACTTTGCGTTTTTCACAACTACAACAACTACAGTGCCTATTTTTTTCTTTCTGTTTCGATTTAAATATTTTTTTATAAACAATTTAAAAAAATATAATACTAATTATTCCCGTTACATTTTTTTCAAAACGAAAAAATCGAGAATTTCAGATTTTTATTTTTTCCTGAGAATACATGGATTCTTGAACGTTTCCGTTGAATTATTAACTCTTGTTCAACATCGTTCGAGCTCGGGTGGTTTCACGCCCTTAAAACGTGACAAACAACACTCATTCAGGAACTAAAATAGCCCTTTTTCGTTCACATAATCAAATTCTCGTGAAAGCAAAGGAAAAAAAAACCTATTTTTCTTATTCCTTTCGAGCTATTCCTGAGCTTTTTGAATAAGCCAGTTATAAGGGTTCGATTGACTTAAGTAAAATGCCAGAACCCAACACAATTTCTTATATCGCAGCGAACCGCAGGCGATGTAGCCACGGGTTCTCGCTGCGACCCCGTCAAAGTCTCGCTACCATATACCCACGCACAGCGTTCTAAAACGGGGTTTACGCAAAAAGAGACGCAAACTATTCTCAATGGAGCGCGTAACTTGGAGCGTTGTCAATCAAAATCAAGGTGCTTTTTCTTCTTTAATTTACATGCTATTAACTTTTTTCGATTGTTTTTTGAAATCTTTTTTTTGTTTTTATGCACGTAAATTTTTAATTAATGTTTTTAAACGTATTAGAAAGTTTTTAAAGTGTCCATAGTTCGTTAATGTGTCGAAACGTTGTTTATAAAAGAAAATACTGTATCCAAGAGACAAAATCGAAATTCCAACTCCAAGAATCGATCAAAATATCAGTTTCCAACTAATAAACAAGAAAAAAAAGCTGTCAGTGTCCGCGCAAAAGAGAAAAATTTCGACTTGACGAAAAATTCAAAAAAAAGGTGTAATTGGTCTGTACCTAAGAGACAAAACCCAAAATCGAAATTTCAACTCCAGGAATCGATCACATCATCAGTTTTCGATTACTTAAACAGGAAAAAAAAGAATACAAAATCAAACCTGAGTCAAAAATTTCGACTTTCGTGAACAGAACAATTGTGTAGTCCTTTGAACCAATCAAACCACAAGAAAATGAACTGCGAAATTTTAAGAGAGTTATAGGAAATGACTAGCAACACTTGGAAACTATAAATGTCAGGAAAAAAAAATGCTAGCCTTCAAATAATCAAAAAATCCGGACTCTTAATTACGACGCGAAAAAGACGATTGTTAGCCACGCCCACTCATGCAACGTCCGCATGCTTTTCAGAAAAGGGGCGGGAACCCCGCTTTAGAACGCTGTGCCACTAAGAATAACTGACGAGATAAACGCGAGGTCGGTGGCCACGGCGTTCTGCGTAGTGGAAGAAAATGTAAAAATTTTGAAAATGCGGAGCGGCTTCGAAACGTTGCTCCCCCTAGATTTACGGTAGACAGCTTGCGCGCGAACATTTGAATTTCTTGTTGCTCAAGTGCTTCACGTGATTTTTCATGTTTATTTCAGCTGTATCTTTATCTTCAATGTACCGCCATGGCGGTACATTGACGAACTCGCAAATATGTCGCTTTTTTCTAGGCGCGACCTCGCATTTTTCTTGCAATTCACAAAATTTTCAAATTTCGAGAGAAATGCGAGCTCGCGCCCAGAAAAGTGCGAGACCGGCGCGAGAAAAAAAAGCGAGAATCTACCGCCAGCGTCTCGCGTTTATCTCGGCAGTTATTCTTAGTGTTAGTGCCATAACTCCCTCTCAAAAATTTGAAATTAGAAAAAAAATTTTTTTCTTTATTTTGACTTTTATGGTGAAATGACTCAAATTAAAGAAAAAAAAACTATTTTTGAAGAAAAATTTTTCAAGCGCAAGTAGTTTGCGAGGTCGCAGCAAGGGGCGAGCGATACTGCTTGCGGCTCCCCCGCGGTATAGCATTACTCTAGCTGCGATATAGACCAAAATTCGGTTTTTGATTTGAAAAAGTATGGAAATTTGAAAAAAAAAGAAGAAAGAGGCTAAAATATTAATATTAATGCCGTGTTCAAAGTAATTTCCGCGAAATGCAGAATGGTCTCTGACCCTCCAAAATTTAGTTATCTTTCTCTTTCTCTGACGGCTATTTTGAATTTCGCGGAATCACTTCAAACACGACTGTAAAAAATAGGAGAATGTTCCAGAGTACGGTGCGCAGCTTAAGTCGTGAGCTGTTACGCCTTCGCCGCAACCACGCGCGCCAGGCGGCTAGCGTTCAATTTGAAATTTCAGCTTTTTTGTATCAATTTTTTAGACCTCTTCGAACGTTTCTCAGCCATTTAAGTTTTGAAAACGGAAAGCGGAGGCCCTCACTTCGCTTTAAAAGCCAATTTGCTATATTTACCATACTCGTCAAATGTCCTATTTTAGAATGACCGACGTTTTCGACGCCACAGGCCCCACTTCCGAGTTTGAAATTGCCTTTTTCGGCTTCTCCGCTCTCGGTTTCAATGATTCAGGTGCTTTTAATTCAGAAAAAAAAAATTTCATTCGTTTAAATTATTCCAGTGTACAACGCTGCGGTTGAGGCGTGGGAGACGGTTTGCACAGAGGAATTCAAGAATAATCCCAAGTTGAAAGGGGTTGTTAAATTTAAAAAACAACAAAAAAATTTTGAATTTCAGTTGCCGAAAGATTTGCGTCTGAATTTCGCCACATTTCCTTTCAAAGACGCCCAAATGAAGCACACTTTTGAGCGATTTATGGTTTAAAATAGCAATTTTCAATAGAGTGAATATATTTTTCAGCATTTCTGCGCCACGACTCATTTCCGAATTCCGACTAGCGTTGTCCTTGAAGAACATGTTAGTTTCCTGCTCAGAAAATGATGGAAAAAAAGTTTTTCAGCTTCAAATGCACCGAACAATGTGTGAGATTGAGTCGGGGAAAATGAGTAGCGAAGATATTTTGACGTGTAATCAAGAGTACAATCGTATGCTGGAACATGTTCGAGAGGTTGGTTTTCGAGAGTTGAACATATGATATCAAATTTTCGCCTCGAGACCTTTGTAAATTTTTTAAAGGCATAGGGGCAGTAAAAATTGGGGTTTCAGGTGAAAGCAGTATCTTATATAGTTTTTCTTTGCGAATCGAATGGTGTACTCAAAACAATTACAGGTGTGACAACTTTAGAAGAAAAACGCGATTTTACTTTCCCGCCTTTAATTTTGAAAAAAAGCTTTGGATCGGTATGCAGACAACTGTTTACAGTAGCAGTGCACGCGACGTTGCGGACGTCTCGTTAGACTCGCATTTTGTGAGAAATAACCGGATTTCTGCTTAAAATTAGGGGTTTCTTCTCTGAAAAAAATCGATTAAGAAAAACAGAAAAACACACATTGATAATAAACAAAACACAAAATATCGCAATCTCAATCGAAACCTGTGTAAAATCATCATTTTTTTCACCAGAAAAAGCATTTTTTGCGATCAAAGTTTGCAATTTATACATGAATAGAAAGCTTTTGTGACGAAAAGAACTTAGGTGACAACAGAAAAAATTGAAAATTGAAAGAAACGAAGAAAAAAGCGAAAATCCGGAAGATGGCGAAACCTGTTGTCCATAGAGTAACTTTACTGCAAAGCGCCCTTTCCGCGGGAACTCAACCTTTCCTCTCTCCGACTTTGAATTTATTTTCTCCAAAACTAGGAACTTCTGTACGTTTCCAAGTTCACCGTTCGATTCACAATGAAAAACTCTACAAAATACTGCTTTGAACTGAAACACCGTTTTTTACTGCCCCTATGCCTTCAATGCTCCTTTTTATGAAAAATATCTATGAACACTTTTGTCAATTTTAGTGTTGAAAACTGCTCTTCACCGTTTCAGCATGAACAAATCCAATAATATGGAATAAAGAAGGTAATTTGCATCAATTTGAAGCTTCGAACGAAGTTGGCGAAATTGGACGACGAACTGGAGGAGTTGAACGCGACGATCTCCGTTCTGCACCATTTGGAGAAGGCCCGAGAGCAGTTGAAGTTTGCCGACTCGTCGCGGTTTTCGCCGAGTCCCATCCTTCAACGCGACTCTCCTATTTGAGGGCCTTTTTTCATTTGTAATTTTTTGGTCTGCTCAAGGTTTAGACAGTTTCAGAAATTCAAAAACAGAAGTTTCTAGAAAATAATTTATTAAGGTTTCAAAGTTCTTAAAGGTCCTATGTACCTGAATTCTGAGCGGTTCCATAGTGTGGACGTTGAAATTTACATATTTAGGTGGTTTTCGCTTTTTAATACCACTTTCAATCAAAAATAAAACATGAGGACCTTGCCATAAGTTTTTTTTTTTCATTTTATGAAGAACCGTCCTAATTGACTTTTGCTTCGCTTTTTTAAAATTTCTACTTGTATTCTAACTCTGGATTTTTTAACCTCAAATCTTTCTTGTCTAACTATTTTCAAGCTTTCTTTTTTTCAACCCGTTTTTGTTCATCAAGATGCTATTATTTCATGTATTTCTTACACAAAATGATTTCAAGCGTATATTTTAAGATATTACTTTTTCCTATGGAATCTCCTTCTAACTATCAGTCAATGTGTACTTTTGATCCTTCCGGCCAAGCTAATTTTTCTGGAATTCAGTTTTTCGTCGTCAATAAAATTGACTTTATTTTCGACTTCCAAGCATATTTTTCGAGTTGAATTTTTCCTTCCGATTGAATATTTTCTATTAAAAGATCGTCAGAGTGAAGAAAATATGTTTTCAAAAATCACCTCGTCGCATTTGGAATGGCTCTGAGAGCTGCGGTCACGTGGCAGTCATTCATGGTCGAAACGCGAAAATCGGTTTTTGTCGGGCGCATCTTCGTTATAACCGGCAAAAATGTAGTTCAAGACGAGGTTTTTTCAAAATTCTTTTTTGGAAAGCTCAAAAAGAAAATTAAAAACAAAATTCCCGACTATTTCTGTCACACAAAAGCGCTGGAAAGTGTTTCAGAGCAAAAGTATTAAATGAGAAAACAAGCAAATCCATCAAAAAGGGACGCCTCAAGGGATTTGGCCGAGAGACAGACGATTGTATTTCACGCGAAGCAATGACTTCCGACTGACGTTCGACCTCTTATGAAGTTCTCAATTTTTGATGTTTCATATTTTCAGTGTTCCCTTAAATGTTTCATAATTAAGGAATTAAGGATGTGAAAAACTAGTTGTGTACTTTACAAAATATTAAATCGGTAAAAATATTTTATTGAACATTTTTCGCGCGTTTATCAGCTTTCGTGATTCTAGTAGTCACTTAAAAGATATGATAAGTTAAAGTTTGTCATAACTGAATTATTATGTCTGATTGCTGGAGAAATACTTTGAAAAGCAACATTTTTACTTTTTTCCCTATCTGTTTCCATTTTCAGCGTTTTCGAGAGAACTTTTTCTCGCCAAGTATATTACAGTTAATCTTTCTCACGTCTTGATCCTATTGAACTTTTTTTTCAGACGTTTTTGAATCTTTGATTTCTTTAAAAGTAGTTCTAGGAATTTCTTATGAACAAAAAAAGGAAACCGATTAAAAGTTAAGCTTTCTATTCTGAAGATTTATGCATGAATAGAAGAAAGAAGAATACCTATCCGGGCAGATTTCTAAAGATTTTTTCTAGCTATTCGAGGTTTATTTCAAAGGATCGAGAACACATTTTTCTTACTTTTGAGTGAAAAACTATGATGGACTTGATTTGAAGCTCTTTTTTCTGTCAGAAAGTATAGAGGAACTTGGATTGCCTCCAAAATGCCTACAAAAATGACATCAAGCCCTACGGTATTTTGGTTACGGTAATAATAAAGCTTCCAAAAGCTTGACTTTTCCAAGTTTTTTCAAAGCTTCAATTATTCTCAATGACGTCATTATCTTCAAGGGAATGCTCTTTTTTATCTTTATCCCCCCGCCCCCCATTTTTTTCAATTTATTTCCATTCGCGCCCATTTCAGCGCTCTATTTTTCCACACCGCCGTCGCAATTATCCACACACAAAAAGCAAATTTTTCCGCCGTTTTTGCCTTTTTTCTCTTTCTTTTTCTGGTTTTGATGCATCAGCGGCATTCTTTTCGCAAAAAAGCATTTATAACTAGGCTAATTTATTGGCTGATTTTAGTGGGAATCTAAAAATCCACATACATTTTTTATTTGTCTTTTAAATGTTATTGGTTAATTTATCACAAAGTTTGAGTTTAAACGAAAACAATTTTTTCAAATAGAAGAAATTTCGATACTAGTTTAGAATCAGACATTTTTACATTTTTCCAAAGTAATTTCAGAAAATTTATAAACTGGGAACTTTTGGGGAGCTTGATCTAAAAAGTACGTATCTGTAAGCTTTAAAGTTAGGATAAGATCTAACCTACATAGGCAATGTCGGAAGGACCCTCCGAGGGTCCGTAAAAGACCATAGAAATGTTCCTTTTAGGATGATGAAGGCTCTCTTTTTGCTGCCTTTTTGCACCATTTTCTCAGCCCTTGTGCACCATTTTTGCTGCCTCTCCCTTTCTCCACCATTTCTCGAGCCTTTAAAATCCCAGAAAAATGGAAGGCTCGATAAAGGGAGTCTCTGTGCTGCCGTTCGCTGCCTTTTTGCTGCCTGTCTGCGGCCTTTTTTGAGCCTCACCCTTTTAGCAGCCATTATACACCATTCCGACTTTGCCCGAGCTACAAGATTTTGATTACGGTGTTTAGAAAATCAAATTAAGGTATTCAGAAAACTAGAAAAAGAATGAATGATCTTTGTCGTAAGAAGTTTTAGAAGACGTTTTGTATATACGTATCTATAAATGCATTTCTAATCTTAGACTCTAAAAATAGGCAATGAGCAAATAAAAATAGCTTTACTCAATCCCCATTTACTTTTTCTTCCTTTTCAAACAGAGAAGGAGAGAAAAAAAGGACAGAACGTGGGCGAAGTGGCCTCGGGCGCCTTTTTCTTCTTTTTTTTTCTGTCCACACACCAAATAATAAGATTTGAGGGGTTCTACCCACTTTTTTTTGGCTTTCTCTATTCTCTTTGACAATGATGTGCTTCGCTGAATGCAAGGATTCTTTAGAGTTTGGACTGGGAATTTTTTTTTTGAGCATTTTACTTCTGGAGACTTTAATTTTAGCTTCAAACAGACCACGAAAACTTTTTTTACACGTCTGAAGTTACACATTTTTTCACGATTTTCCTTTCTCAGGTTTAATTTTGCATTTTCTCATACCGTTTGTATCAATTTCAAATTTTTTGGATTTCGAGAAATTTCCTTCAAAAACAGTCGATGAACGGGCTCCATTGAACATATTTCGTAGTGAAAATGATATATATTCTGAATGAAACGTATCCGAAAAAGCTTCCACTTTTCTTTTTTTCTTGAGGCAAAAGTCGCTTGCGTCGGTCTCTCTTCAGACATTCATAGGAGTCTATGATTATCCTGCCCAGATGGGGAGATGCTCGGAATTGTACTATTTATGAATAAAGTCTTGAGAAGAACTTAATCATAGACCTGAAAAACGCTATAATTTTCTCGAAATTTGAATTTTTTGAATATTTTTTCCATGAAACTATGGTCGTATTTAGAATGGCTCATCTGGACGTTCAGAGAATCTTGGAAAAAATGCCATCAAGCGTAACTCGTTTTGAGTCGGATGCGCCTTGGAGCAATCGCTAGAAGTCATTCCAAAAGCGATCCTCGGTGATGAGAATTTAGAAGATGTCAAAAATGACATTGAAAGCCTGAAAGTCATAAATTAGAGGAAAACTGGAATTTTTCGAAGTTTTTCCCATTTTTTCTTCATTTTGATAATTTCTCACTTCTTAGGAACCTTCTTTCAGAAGTTCTGTAGAACTTGAAACTAGGAATTTTCAATTCAATACAATTTTGAACATAAATTTTTCTCCCAAAAGGAATTTATTTACATGATTTATTATTTCACAACACGTCTTCTGAAGCTTGAAACCATAGATCCTAATAGTAATCAACATGTTTCTCGAGTTGAAATATTCATCAGAAAATAGGAACTTGGACGGGAACCAGATCCCGTCCCACTCCTCCGTAATTTCCCGCCTGAAAAATTCATAATTCTCACGTGCCTTTTCTTCGTTTCTATTGAATAATTGGTTCATGGCGTAACGGTTTGGGCATTAGACTGTCGATTGAGGGACTCAAGTTCGAAGCCCCTTGTCATTTTTATTTTTTTTTCCCCCGATGAGTTGAGAAAATTCAGAAATCACGTTATTTTTTAAAAAGTTCAATTATTCTTGCTTTACATGCCTTTTTTTCAAAACTTTTTCAATTCTGTGCTCATGGGGCAACATATAGAAAGAAAATGGTCATTTTGAAGACCCTGGTTCAAATCCTCTCCCTCTTTTTGTTAATAAAAAAGTTATGTGGGCGATTTTCATCGGCGAAAACCGGAAAGAAAATTTACTTTTTTTTCATTTATTCATATCCGCCTTCTGGAGTTTTTTTACACCAATGTCATTTCCCTTTTTTTCCTGGTTTGTTGGACTTTTTCAATTCTTTTTCGATAAAAGTATGCCCAATGAACCCTTGACCAGCCATTTCGTATAGAAGTTTCTCAGAAAATCTTTTTTGGCCCAAGGCAAAAAATATTAAGTTTTCGTTTGCCCAGCCTCATATGGTCACATTTTATTGGATTTTCAAGAACTGAACAGGTTTTTCGTTCGTATTACGTTTTGGTTTTTTTTTTCGAAGCTTTAAGTTTTTCATGACTTATCAATTCGGAGAAAAGCATTCAGATGTATTCCTTCCAACAGAAAATCAACGGAGAAAAGGTCAAGAAGTTCAATTTTTTTGTAATTCGTAATTTTCTCTCGCTTCTCTATGACAAAAAAAAAGAACTTGAAAAAAAATCGATTTTCCATAAAAATTGAAGAAAGAAATAAAGGCGCGACTTGCTCCTTTAATAAAATTACCCCTCAGGGGCCTCGACCGAGCAAATCTTTTTTTCTTTCCCTTTTTTTCTCGGCGAAAATCTGACACTTTTCCTTTCTTCGTCAGCTTTTCCTCTTCTTCTTCGTAAGAGGCTCTTTGAGATTTTACAAATTTTCAATCGCGTTAGACTAACTTTTTCAATGAACCAATTTTGGAGTTTGGCTTGAATTTCGGATAGAATGGTCTTGAGAAGAATCATAAAATAGTGTGGGTACGGTTGAACGCTTTCGCTAACTGAAAATAAAAGTTCCTTCTCAATTCTCAGAAATTTCGAAAACTTCACGGGATATTGCGTCGGCATTTCCGGCCCTTTTCCGCTTCGAAAAGCGATTATTTTCGACTTTTGAAACTTTTAGAAGGTTCGAATGTACTAAAATTCAAAAATTTATTCTATTTTAGAAATTTTTTTTAGTTTTTCTAAGCCTTGCGTCTCCTTATCTGTCACGAAAGCTCTTTTTCTTTGTTTTTTCAAAAGATTTTTCCCAGACTTGTTAAAAAAATTAGTTTTTCAAGTTTCTAAATGTTATTGATCACCTAAGTATATTATGGGATTTTTAGTAATCGATTTAGAAGTATATTTCTTTTTATTCACAGATGAATACTCTAAAAGCTCAAAAATTCCTTTTTCTAATTCCAGGAACCTTATTGATCGCAACAATGACCCGTTTGTAGTTTATAGTAGTCACTGGAGAGATTTCGACCTCAAATTTTTCATCATTTTCAGAATAAAAGTCTATTTTTTCTCTCCATTCTTTTCGGAGCGAACTCGGTCCCATGACCCATTTCCTGTTATTCTGTCCGCTTAGCCACTTTATCAGAGTCAAAAAACTTTTTTCTTAAAACTCTGACCAAAAAATTGTCCGACGTCGTTAGGACTCGATCCACCGACAGTTGTCCTCTCATTCAACTCGCTTAGCCACTCAACCAAAGTTCCTCCTTCCACTCAAACATACTCGAATAATGACAAGACAAAGCCTTCCTTGATTGATTTGCCGTTGTCGAAACAAAAGAAAAGAGCCGAAATGCGAGATTCTTCTGCAACTTTTTTCCTTCTTATTCTTCTGAAGCCTCGCTAAACCAACAGAAATGGGCGGAGTTGGACTCGGTGAGCACCAGGAAAAATGTAGTCTCTGCAAAAAGATTTGCTCTTGTTCTTCCTCGGGTCCACTCAATTTAGGCTTTTTTAGGAGATGGCTCATGTTCCTTTGAACTTTCTTCCGTTTTCGGGAAAGTCACGCGACTTTTCAGAGGCTTTTTCAGTTCAGAAGCCGGAAATTGTGGATTTTTGTAGTCACGCAACTCATGAGGCTACAAAAATATTTATCCGAAAAAATTCATCGATTTCAATTTATTGAATTTTCTCTTTTTCTCGTGTTTTTCAGAAAAATAAAATGTTTTCAAATTTGAGTCGCAACGAAAAATTTCATAAAACCACCAAAAACCGCTCTGAAACAGGAAAAAAAAAAAATTTTTTAAACATTTCTCGTTATTCTCCATTCCTAAAGATGTTCAATGGTTTCAGTTTTTTTTTTAAATGCACTATCATGATTTCTTTAATAGAAAAAAGAACCAAAAGGTGGAATTCGGAATGGCCAGACGCATTGCGGTCGCATCTTTTCTTGGCCTAAAAATCCTATATTTCTTCAACCCCAAAAACGTCAGTCGGAACGGATTCATCGGAATTTTCATATTTTTTTATTTATTAGACCTTCAGATTGCTCTGACCGCATTTGTGCCGCCGTTTTTGGCGCAGATGTCGTCGTCGACGTCGCCGCCAACGACGTCGCTTACGCCGCTCCGCGACGAGTGCGCCGTCATCGTGACGTCATACAACGTCTGCCTTTCCTTTGTATTTATTCTATGTTTCCTGCTCTCGCTGCTGGGCAACGCTGTCGGTGAGTCGAGCTGTCTTCGGACTGATAGCCTAGTGGGATGAGACCTTGACTATGGAAAAAGAGGTCACACGTTCGATTTTTATAGTCTGTTCAGATTTTGAATGTCAAGTGCAATGACGTCATTCAAAAACACTCTGCGGATGGCTCGCTCTCTGATTGGTTCATCGCACCATTAGGGGCGGAGCTTGAGCGACGACTTGACATTCAAAATCTGAAGAGATTATAGTGGTCTATCTGCGGTTTCTTCATTTTGCTGCTGTCATTTTAGTCTTTTGAGCTTTTCCTGCGCATCAAAAGATCAAAAGTTGAATCCGATTTCCGTTTTTCTGCAATCTTCAGTCTTTTTCTCTTTTCGCGGAAAGACTCTGGACCGGAACCCAATAAATTTTAGTCCCAAGAGGAATCTCTACTTGAGATTCTTACACGCCTTTGTTTCTAGTCTCATCCTTCGAAAACAGAGTTTTGAGGATAGGACAGAACTACGCAATAGTGAGCAAAAATAAAGAGATTTTTTCAGTTATCATCACGATTTTGGGCAAGAGCCACCGGTCGAGGTCCATCACCAACTTTTACCTGCTCAATCTGGCTTTTGCCGATTTACTCAGGTATTCTGCTGACCTCATCAAAATGAATAAGATGACGTCATTTTCAGAAGCGTCGTCTGCATTCCGACGACGTTGCTCAGCGAGCTGACGCACTGTTGGCTTCTTGGGGCTGCCATGTGCAAAATCGTCGCCTTCATGCAACGTGAGTGACGTCATCAAATGATCATTTAGATCAGAGCTGTTCTCGGGGCGGCCCCGGTCGACCGAGGGCGCCCCGATTTGCGGCGTGTTCGAGGGCGGCCGCGGTCGGCCTTTGGTAAGGGTCAACTCGGTCGACCCGTAGATACAAATTTTTTTTTTGACTCCCGATTTTTTGCGAATTATAAGAAAGCGAAAGAAGCGCAAGTTTTACTGAAATGAAAGTGAAACAAAAAAACATTTTTTTCGAGCACATAAAGAAGAAAAACCGATGAAATGAGATATTAATCCAAAAATTCAATAGTTTTCTAACCAGGGAATAGTCTCAGCTCACAGTGGGACTTCTGAAAGAGACCATATTTTCTAGATGTAGTTTTTTACGCTGATTCCAAATCCGTTTTCAAAAGCTGCCACCGAGGTCTGTGAAAAAAGTTATGGACCCTCAAAGTCGAAAATTTCCTAGTCTCCGATCGAGCTCATTTTTGGAGGGTATATAGGTCTTGTCCCCCTGGCCACAAAAAAACTATCGAATTCTTCTCGAAAAAATTTCGAAGCCAAGATATGACCTTTCAAAGCCCCGCCGCACACAAGAGAATGCGCGCGCGGTGTCCTATTGCGATCCGACGGCTGTCGAAGCAACGGCAGCGAGGAGCAGTGGAAAGGCGGCGGACTGGGGATCACGAGGTCATAGGTTCGGTGCCCACGCTGTGCAAACTTTTTTTGCAGTTTTTTCTTTTTTGGATATTTCCGTGTAAGTGCTCCTTTTGCGAGTTTCGAAACGTAGAAACATGAAAACACTGCGTTTTGAGCCTATTCAAACAGCTGGACTTCTTTTTGTCGCAAATTTTTTTCATGGATTTTTTCGTGATTTTCCATGTGTTGGAGTGTCAAAATTTTTCAGAAAAATTTTTGTTTTTCTTTTGAACGCTGGCTAGACGCAAGTTTTTCATAACTGCGATGGTAGAAAACGCAGAAATTTTTCGGAATTTTTTTGGCTCCGGTTTTTTTACTTACCACTCTACGAGAAGAAAAACTTTCAATTTTATTTCTGGTTGTGGCTGAAATTCCCGAGGAGGTTTCTTTGATTCATAAATAAAAAAATTTAGAACAAACTCCCCAAAAAAATGTTTCGTTCAATGTAATTCCTGAAAATTCATAGTCAGACGGCAAAAAGACGACGGCAAAAGACGAAAAAAACATTTTTTTCCTGTGATCGACAAGCGTAGCCATGATGACTTGGGGTTAGACTATATTTGGAAAAAGATAAGATTTAAAAAAAAGCCATAAAAATTTTTCTGAAAATTTCAATACTCTAACCTATGTTCATACACATGGAAAATCACGAAAAAATCCATGAAAAAAATTTGCGACAAAAAGAAGTCCAGCTGTTTGAATAGGCTCAAAACGCAGTGTTTTCATGTTTCTACGTTTCGAAACTCGCAAAAGGAGCACTTACACGGAAATATCCAAAAAAGAAAAAACTGCAAAAAAAGTTTGCACAGCGTGGGCACCGAACCTATGACCTCGTGATCCCCAGTCCGCCGCCTTTCCACTGCTCCTCGCTGCCGTTGCTTTGACAGCCGTCGGATCGCAATAGGACACCGCGCGCGCATTCTCTTGTGTGCGGCGGGGCTTTGAAAGGTCATATCTTGGCTTCGAAATTTTTTCGAGAAGAATTCGATAGTTTTTTGTGGCCAGGGTGACAAGACCTATATACCCTCCAAAAATGAGCTCGATCGGAGACTAGGAAATTTTCGACTTTGAGGGTCCATAACTTTTTTCACAGACCTCGGTGGCAGCTTTTGAAAACGGATTTGGAATCAGCGTAAAAAACTACATCTAGAAAATATGGTCTCTTTCAGAAGTCCCACTGTGATCTGAGACCATTCCCTGGTAAGTGGCCAGAACAATATACAGAACTAGAGAAAACAAAATAATAAATAAGAAAAGAATTTGAAATTTTTCACATCATCAGGAATTTCATTTTTCGCAAAAAAAGTTCATTCAAACCACTATTTGAAATATTAATTTTTTATTTACAACGAGAAAAAAACGAAAAAGATTCGAAAAAAAGTGAAATCAAAAAAAGCCCGATTTCTATCAAAAAAACAATAAAATTAAACTTTTTCATGGATCATAAATAACTTAAACATTCATTTTTCAGTATGAAAAACCGGAATAAAAAAACAAAAAAATACGGAAAAATCCTCGCGCTCGCTTCGGGGGCCTGAATGAAAACCGCTTCGCGGGCCGGGGCGCTCAGGGGCGCGTCGCGGTCGGGTCGGGGCGGCCTCGGCCAGGGTCGCCCCGACTTGAGAACAGCTCTGATTTAGATGATGTCATTTGGAAGGAAGCTTCTTAAGATTCTTGACGTCATCTCCATAGCGTATTTTCAAAAAATTGTCTTTTTTCGATGACGTCCCCTCAAAAATGACGTCATGTTATCAAGAAACAGGAGCAATTCTGAAAAAAAATATTATATAATTGTCGCTTTAAACTGGGTTTCAAGTTTATTCAAAGATATTTATGTCTGAAACTTCAGTTTTTATGACGTCATTTCTCTAATAATGACGTCAGAATTTCTAGCCGTCGGCGTCTGCGCCTCGGCCTACACTCTCGCCGTGATTGCCGTGGAGCGATATTATGCCATTTGCCGACCTCTTCAATCCCGAAAATGGCATACAAAGGTTATTTTATGACGTCATACATTTGTTAAAACGTCATTTTTTTCGTAGAAACGTGCGCTGGTGACAATATTCTTGGTCTGGTGCTTCTCATTTTCAGCCAACTTGGGTAGTCTCTTCGTTTTTGATGCGGTTCCAATTGGGTTCGTTTCATTTCAAAACTTCGGAAAAAGAGAATTTTTCGGTTGCAGATCGAAATATAATTGTGATTCGACGCAGGGAAGGACTGTGGATTTTGTCTATCAATTGTATTTGACTTTCGTGAGTTCATTAATTATTTTAGTTCGAAATGAAAAAAAAAAACGTTGTGCTATTAAAGGCGCAGGGCGTGGCCTGGAGGATAATAAAATGTCGAAAAAAGATTGTAGTTCTCGGAGCTTGATTCAAGTTTTTTTTTTGGGTTCTTACACCATTTTTAGGCTTTTCTAACTTTCTTGAAACTGAGAACTCTGTTTTAAAAAGGTCATAGATTTTTAAATTTCAGGCCTTATTATTCGTACCATTGGCTCTGATGGTTGGTTTATACGGAAACGTGATTTTCACCCTGAACACAGCCATAAATAGCGATCATCCGACGATGGAACAGCAACTTATCGGATCAGGTTGGTTTGAAAAAAAAACAAGGGCTAAAAAATAAGGAGTAGAAGGAAAAAAAAGTTTTAGGTCTTCCTGCACGGGCCTCGTTCTCGGATTGGCTTTTCAACGCCGTCTCGAGGGTGCCGAGCTTGAAAATCCCTAAAGAGGTACCTTCGAAATACAGATGGTCTCTCAGATTCAAAAAAAACTCTTTGTTGAGCTTTCAAAGCCCATAAGTATTTTTGGAGCTGTTCCGAAATGAAGAAACTTGAGTATCATTACATGCGTTGCGTGTCGCCTCGCGGCTCTCTCTTCCGATTTCATACACCTCTTCTTTCAACGAACTATAAAGCAAATCGCTCAAATACCATCTTTAGAACAGCTTTAAAGCCAGACAGAACCCTCTTTCGAGTTCTTTTTTCGAAGCTCAAAAATCTTCGCTCCAATCGAACTTTCGCCGCTGGAAGAGGAATTAGTAGAAAGAGATTTTTGAGTCATGCGAATTTGGAATTAATTAGACCCGCAGCTTTTTTTTCACCCCATAAAATTGACAAGACTTTAGCTTCCTTTTTTAGCCGAGAGCCGGAGATTTTTTTTTCGAGAAGGAAGTTTTTTCTTCGTTTTTAAATTGGTCTGGTTCGCTACAATCATAATTTATAGGAGAAAAAGAATAGAATTTTCGATCGAATTAAAATCATAAAAAGCTCAATCAGGTTAAAATTCAATGATTTGAAATTATTTCCCAGGAAAAAGAGAAAAGTTCTCTGGCGATCCCTCTAAGTATACGGTCTTCGAGGCCCAGCCGATCATTTTCTTCATTTTTCACGACGCCCCGAGGATCTATTGACTCCTCGATGCTCCTCAGATCTACGAATCAAGTGATTTCTAGCTTAACAAAAAGATATGATTGAAAAATCCAGGAAAAAATCCTGATAGCGAAGAAGAAAGTGACGCGGATGCTGATCACTTTAGTGATCGTTTTCGCGTTTTGTTGGGTACCCTCGTACGTCTGGTGGATCGCTGTCAGGATGGCTGATTTGACGGTAAGGCTTTTGTTTGTAGTTTGATCTTGATGAAATAGAAGTTCTCAGAAAAAAAACTTTTACTCGAAAAAGAGAACGAAAAATCAATGGAAAACTTGAATATAGTTCGAAATTTGTAGCGGCCACTCGATGGATATCAGAAAAGCTCCTTTTTTGCTTGGAACTGTTGTTACACTTTAAGAATAATCTTTCGAATCGAGGACCACTTCAAATGGGAATCACTGAAGGGATCCCTCCAAATTCTTAAATAAATCGGTTTTCCGAATTTTTTTTTAAACTTCAGCTTTTTTGTTGTTTTAATCATCAAAAAGGAACTTTAGGGAAATAATCTGTGGCACTCGGGCTTGAACTCGGCGCTGACCATCCTGACGTACGTGTCGTCGTTGGCCAACCCGATCACCTACTGCTTCATGAACAAATCGTTCAGAGCCTCGGTCATCTCGCACTGTACTTGGTGCGCTGCTGTGAAACGGCCTAGCACGGTTCGTTCTCACTTTTCGAGTTTTTATTCCAATGAAAAACAAACGAACAAGATTTTTGAAAAGACGTTTCGCAAAAAAAGACCGATATCTCGAATTTCAGTGCTCTCCGGTGATCAAAAAGTCTTCTCGAGAAGTTCTCCCACCGACGCCGCTCCCAATAATCAGAGTCAGTGTTTTTTCCATCATTCATTGGAAAAAAGAGTATTTCAGGTCGATCTCGCCCTGGACAGCACTATCCATATTTGAACTGTTCCCTCATTCGGTATTTTTCCAATTACGTGTGCCAAATTGATCTCGAGTTCTGTAGGCGGATTATTGTACATAGTTGATGTGAGAATTGTATAGCTAGCAAATAAAGTTTTGAATTCAAATCCACGGCTTCATTGAAAATATCAACCAAGTTCTCGCACTTCTTAGGAACGCCAGAGAAGTCTCTATTGAGGTAAGGGTTAAAACGACTTTTGTATGGGACAAAAATGTGCCCCGATGGGTTCAAGGCCGGACCCCTAGAACTCAAATGGTTCCTAGAGTTCTTGAAAATTAAAGAGACAAAATTGATCGATCCGATATTTTTTGTTCAAAGAGCTCCTGGGTGATATAAATAGTCGTAGTGCTTTGAAACGAAGAAAATTATGATATTATACCCCGAAATTTTTCTTTTCACACTCCTGATCACACAGCCTCGAAAAGCGTTTCCAGCCATTAATTGCATTTTTCTACATATTGAATAGAAAGCTCCGAAGATTTTCATTATCTGACCATTTTGAAACAAAAAAAAACCGAAAATTCGAGATAATTTATTCGAGGACTGATTGGACTACTTGGCTACCGATCCATCTCCAGGCGAGACCGGGTTCTCTTTTTTCGGGTCCTTCGCCTTTTCATCCGCCGCTACGTCCTTTTTCTTCTGAAGATGGAAAAAGTATCAACATTGATGGAATGAAAAAGGCCACCCACCGAATTATCCTTCTTTTTATTCTTCGCATCATCGCCGTCAAGGTCCTGAAAACAGATTGATAATGATAGACGAAGACTAAGGAAATTTTTTCGGTGATCTGTTGACATTTACTTCTTTATATAATGAAGTATAATTATAAGCCTTGAAACAGGATTAAAAAAAAAAAAAATGTCGGTTTTTTTGGCTTTTTCAGCGTTGTAACTATGAGGCGAAAATCGGGATCTTTTAGAAAACAAATACTAAATCGGCCACCAAAACGCTTTCTTTCCGAGACAGATCAGCGTCCACCAAAGAGACGTCAGAGGAATAGAAACACTCTATTTCTCCGTCGTCTCTCCGATCGCCTTCTGCCTCAAAAACTGACAAAGTTAGGAGGCGGCGAGGGCACCGTGACGACAACTGGACCATCGGCATCTTTTTCCGTCTCTTCGGGTACCACTGACGCCTCAAATTCGGAATTGGAACGACTAGACTCAATTTATCGGCTTGTTATGACGGGATGTGGCATGTGCAGTGTATGTTTGCAAAGCGGTCGTGTTTTTGTCGCGGATTCAAATTTCCCGCTGCTTTGAAATTAATTAAAGATAATAAAAGCAGAAAAATAAATAGAGAAGATAATTTCCGTAAAAGAACGACTCTAAAGTTGTTATATAGCTGATTGACTGGCTTGAGAAATCAAAAAAGGGTCCTGACACGATAATAAAAGAGACACTGCTTGTTTAGGGGAGAGCGCAGACAGACCACGCCTCTTTGGGTCCCCCAGCCAGACTTGGACCGGCTTAAAAAAAGCGACGAGACCGCTTTGCATATGAACTCACTGTAAATGCCGAACCGGGTGAAGTCAAGCCGAAAAAAATGAATTATATGATCAAACTGCTGACGAGTTTGGTGCCGGCGGCGAGCGGCTTGTCAGGGATGACCCGTTCCGGCTTCTTGTTAGGATCCTCAGCCTCGGCGTCCTTTGGCGCCGCGGGTGCCGGCGCATTGACGTTACCCATTTTGCTCTTCGACGCTTTGGCCTTTTTCTTGCTTGCCGTGGGTCCTCCTTTCGAAGATTCCTGGCATTTTGTCAGTTTACAAACATCATGGTCGCATTTGGAACAGCTCAACCAAGTAAATCTTGGAACTCGGCAAAAGTTGACTATACAGCAGCTTAGTTTCAAATTCAAACTTTGCTGTCTTTTTTCCCACCGCAGCCGACGACGTTCGGTATGGCGGCGAAGGCCAAAAAGGCGAGGAAGTGGATCAAAACCGGTAAACGCTGGAAAAATCCTTGGTTGAGAAAGAACTTCAAAGTAACACACCTCAATCAAAAGCAGCTGATCCGTCATTTCGCTGCCGATTTTCGAATGAGAAATGACGAGAAAATAAAAAAGATTTGCCTCACGTTAAATTTTGATTTAGCGGTACTTCGTTCATTTCCTTTATTCAGACATGAGAGAAGTCAGAAAGGTTCTGCTGAATCTTGGTAGATATGAAGAACTCCTTGTTGTTGCGCGCAACGGTAGACCAATTTTCTCCAAGAACGCTTCGGAAGTCATCTCGCCAACGGGCTCGTGGTCGTCCGACGGATCGTTTCTTCTCCTAGGGCCGCCCTTCTACGATCTTCTTTGCCCACGTTTCTTCTCCCGTCACGATTTTCTTTGCGAAGAACCACTTTCTTCTTGTTGCAACCATTCGTGGAGCCAACTGTTTGGTCTTCTATCCTAAGGGGTTTATCCTTGTTTCCTTGATGGTCCAAAGTTCTGACCCGTACAAGAGCTTGGTATATTTTGAGTTTTTCCTTGAGAGGTGTTGTTTTCTTCGTAAAATATGTGTAGAACTTGTGGAAAACTGCCCATGAAGATTGCATTCTGCAGAGCAGTTCCCTGTTGAAACGTTCTGCGAAATAAAGATGAGTTCCGAGATATGTGAACTGGTCAATATATGACATTTATTTCCCGTCCACTTCCACTCTTTTCTTCACTCAAGAGGACATGATATAAGTCTTCGAGAAGTCAATGATCAAGCCGGATTTCTTGCTCTCAGGGGCTAGTTGGTTTGCCATTTCATCTAATTTCTTCGAACTTGGAGCGAGCAACACGATTTCATCAGCAACTGGAGATGTGTGAGAAGTGTCCCGTTGACGGAGATCCCATGTTCGCTCCAGTCAAGTCTTCGAAAGACATGCTCAATACTAGCGTAGAAAAAGTTGGGTGAAATGGTGTCGTCTTGCCGCACGCCTCGTCCAATTTGTACTGGGACGTGGCCCTTGCATTCATACAGACACTTAGGCTTCGTTGAGCCGGTTCAATCCGTTGAAGCGGCTCAATCCGTTCGCCTCTTACCCAGTTCTTTTTGAGTTTGAGGTCCAGTCACTTTGTTGAATGTTAAAATTATTTCTTCTTTTCTCGATAAAACTATTTCAAAAACAGCAATGCATAAAATAATAATCCTGGAACAGATGCTCTCTAACATAAGGTTTTCATAAAGATTTTATTGTTTTTTATGGTTTTTACTTTCCAAAAAGCACTTTTTCGATCCCTAAAGTGTCCACTGCGATCCGTGAAAAAGATAAGAAAAAAATGTGGAGAATTTACGGCGAAGACGGCGTGGAACCAGTTCAAGAAGACCGCGACGACGACGTCTTCTGTCTTCATCTAGCCGTCGTTGTCGTATCGATTTCGTTCGTTTTTTAGAGATCAACGAGGAGTCTTTTTTGTTGACTTTCTCTCATCTGAGTGTTGAAAATAAGTTTAGAAATCAGACGTCACTGACCTTGCTTCGATTTTCAGACTTTTTCTTCTTCTCTTTTTTCCTTGTCAATTGTCACCATAAGGTTTTTCCCCTGATGGAAAGTGGATTAAAATAATCACAGCTGGGTCTTTTATTTTATCTTGCACCCGTCGTTCCCCTGTTCAGCCTCGAGACTCAACTAGCCTAAAAAGGGTTTAATCTGTGTGCACCAGCTGGTACCAGTGAAGACACCTGACCAGCATGAGAGAATTTAAAGTGGGAAACGGTTTTCCGATTTTTTTTTCTTGGTTTCGTCTCGTTTCTTTAATTGTATGATTCAAATGGATAGTTCATGATTTTCGTTGCACAAAAATTTCTCTGCCATATGAACTGCCGATTCCAGTCAAAGATGTGAAATTTTCGAAGAATTGAAAATTCATAAAACTGAAAAGGAAACAAATTTTTCGTATTTGTTTCTTTTTACATTAATATTTTTCCTATTATTAGCTTTTTTTCACATAGAATTTCGCTTCGAAAATATTTCGAGGATTTTTCAAGAAAAATCAGGTTCTTTTTTTGAACAATTTTTTTCAATTCTCATCATGGTCCAATGCCTAAAGTTCTTGTCGTTTTTTTGTTTCGAGCTTTAATTTTTCCAACTAAGTACTTACAAATTTTATTCCAGAATTTATTTCATTAACTGAAAAAAATGAACGAATACGAGAAAATAAGAGTGGTTGGCCGGGGCGCCTTCGGCGTCTGTTGGTTGTGTCGACGTCGGAGCGAAAAGGATCAGAATCAGAAGGTTGTTTATAAAAAAAACATTTTCAAAGCAATTACGGGCAATAACTCACTCGAATGTCTCAAAAAATACAGCGAAAAGCCGCTCCAAGACGGGAAAACATTGACATCATCTAAAAAAAGGTGAAAGACTCCCCGCGAACCCATCAATCTTCACGAAAAGAAGGAAGAAAAAACACCTCAACACTTTAAACTCGTACCGAACGGAAAGAGAAGAAAAAGGAATAAGTGGAAACGTTTCAGGTAATCGTAAAAATGATCAACATCCATGGGCTGTCCGACAACGAGGAGAACGCCATTAAAGGTTCAAAAGCATTTTTTAAAAGGAAAATTAAGTTTTTAGGAGAGGTGAAACTACTCCAAAAAGTCCAACACCCAATGATCATTGGCTACTATGATTCCTTCAGTTTTGAGAATCAGTTGGCGATTGGTAAATTCATCGAATATTTCCCAAAGTCGTGACAAAGATTGTTCTTTTTCTTAGCTATTTTGCCTCTGGTCTATTTTTCTTAAAGATCAAGTCAAAACTTGAGTTTTGAAATGTCATGATTAAAAAGATTTTCGATAATGAAAAACTGAAATGTTTCAGTAATGCAGTATGCCGAAGGCGGGACAATGGAACGGATGATACAGGAGCAAAGAGGGGAGAAGTTCGCCGAAAAGCAGGTTCTCGACTATTTTACTCAGGTTCGCCGTTTCCGTTGGGATTCAAAAGTCTTTTTCACTTCTTTTCTCGGTTTCATCACACACAGCACAAAAAAGTTGAAATATTCAAAAAAATTTCCGACGTTTTCTTCATTTCTTTTTTTTCGAAAAAACTTCTGATGAGAAAAGGCCAAAAGTGAGCTGAAGCGAGAGATCATTGTCTCTCGAAGAGACGCCAGAGTAATCAAGATTCTCTTGTTTTTGAGTTCTCCTTTCAAAGCGCTGCTGGCTTCCCACTTTGAAAAGAGTTATGAAATTTGAAATTGTCCTAATCTTTATTGTATTTTTGGCGCGCTTCTTCCATTTACTGAACTTGTTTCAAACATTTTTTCTTACTAGTTAGTTGTTTTTCAATCTGAAAAACCTTCAACCTCCCATTTTGCTCACAAACAGGGTTACTTCAGATTCTCATCGCTCTGAATCACATGCACTCGAAAAACATTGTCCATCGTGATTTGAAGCCTCAGAATATCCTCATGAATCGGAAGAAAACTCTTGTTAAGGTGGATTTATCATGAGTTTTGTCGGAAATGAAGAAAAAAAGTTTAGTTGTCCGATTTTGGAATTTCGAAGGAATTGAGCACGAGGAGCGTCGCTTCGACGGTCATCGGGACGCCGAATTATTTGAGTCCGGAGATTTGTGAAGGTATGTCTGATTCAGGGCTGGTTGGACACAGTGTTCCAAAAGAGACGGCGGCAAGCCAAAAAAAAGGTCGTCGCAATGGGGCGAAAACGCGAGTTTTTTCTAACGCAACGCGGTGCGGCGCGTGTCACCCCCACAAAATTTCATTCACTTTTAATACGGTTTTTTCTCTTTTTCTTGCGTATTTTACCGTTCTTTCGTATTTTTTCACGCTGTATGTGTTCTTAAAACGTGTTTATCGCGTTTTCCAGAGATTTGAAGTGATTTTCGATTGTTCTCGTCACAGAAATTTGCATTAAAAGGACATTTTTTTGATGACAACTTATTTCGCATAAGATATTTCGTTTGTTTTTGTTTTTAGAATTTTTCAAATGGACTTTCTTAAGAGAAACGCTGTGAGATTTTTTTCTCAAAAATTTTTTCGAGGCAGTATTCGACGAATTTATTCTTGAAAAATGTCATTTTGGGTGACAACTTTATTCGTACAAGCTATTATGTATCTGTTTTTTTGTTTTAAAACGTTCAAGTGGTATTTCTTAAGAGAAGTGCTGTGAGCTTTTTTTCTCAATTTTTCCCTTTGGAAGTTCGATTTGACGAGTTTTTCCTAAAAAAACGATATTTTTGGGAGATATTTTGTTTTGCAAAAACTTTTTCGTCTCTTTTTTCATTTAAATTTGTTCGTTATAATTATATACACATTAAAAATCTTTGAAAACTTGCGAGAACCTAGGAAAAACATCATTTAATGGTCTTTTTCCAACCACTAAATCCACAAAACTTGACTCTCATCCATGCGCACCTATTGCAATAAACCGTGCCGCTGTTGCAGTCAGCCACGCCTACTGACCACAGCTGCCGCTCGTTTGGGAACACTGTGATTGGAGCCATCGAAAAAGGGTTCTGTCACGATAAAAAGAGACAGTGCCTGGTTGGTGGAGGGCCCAGACATGCCACGCCCCTTCTTAAGTTGCCGTGAACTCGCGGAATTCATTTTTCACGAAATCAGCGCGAAGCGACCGCCATTTGGTTGTATGATCTTTGGAGAAAAAATAATTTTCCAGGCCGAGCCTACAACCAGAAAAGCGACATGTGGTCGTTGGGATGTGTCCTTTACGAGCTCCTGGAGTTGAAAAGGGCTTTCGACGGCGACAACTTGCCGTCGATCGTCATGAAAATCGCCAAGGCCATCTACACGCCCGTCGGCGAACACGTCTCTCCGGAAGTCAAGGAGCTCACAGAGAGCCTGCTCCAGCTGAACGAGAGGAAACGGCCCGACGTTCAGAGTGAGGCGGATTTCCTCGCTTCTCTTTATACAGAGAAAAAATGTCCCGCTTTTTTTCAATTATCGACTTTTTTTTCTAATTTTTCAGGGTCGCATTATCTTTTTTTTTAGCGGAATATTGAATTCCCTTTTCTAGCCGTCTAAAGATCCATGTAAAGAGAAAGTATACAGGAAATGTTACTTTTTCAAGCCGAAAGCTCTTTTTTTTAATTAGAAAAAATTCTGTGAAAAATCAGTGCCCATCTACATGGAGATTAAAAAAAGAATTGAAAAAAATTTTATATGATGAGTTTCTGATTTTTTTAAATTGATTTTTTCGATTTTTAAGGTCGCTTGTGTGATGGCGCTCTGTATATCGGTATAAATTAGGAACTTTGAAATTTTTGACTTTTAAAAGCCAAAGACAAAAAAAAAATTCATCTTGAATCATTCCCAATGCGGATAGAGTCTAGCCATTCCTAATGCGACCACTAAAGCCGAATTTTGATATTTTCGGCTTAGCCATTTTCAATACACAAATCATTATTATACCGCTTTACTTTTCCAGACCTCCTAGTCGATCCAACCGTTCTACCGTACACCATTTCGATCCACGTTGACCTGGGACGTCTGGACAATAATCACAATGACAAGGTATTTTCCATTCTGAAGTCCCAAGCTGACCCAAGCATTTTCTTGAGTAAAGAGAATGTTTCTTCGACCAGCTCAGCTCTCTACATGTTTCACTTTGCATTTCTGTTGGTCTCTCTTCACAGTGAAGAAGACTCTTTACTTTCATTAAAATCTCGATTAGAGATTGAGAGAGAGCAGACAAGCTAAATTGCAAGAAACAGAGGATGATCGTCCGGTTTTCAGCGGAAACCAGCAGTGAGCAGTCGCCTCCGGACCACGCCGACGACGACGATGACGATGCGATCGCTGATGTCTTCTTCGGTGAACGCCGGAAGTTCTGTCGACCGGAAAAAACCTCTTTTTGTAGTGAACGCGAATCAAAGTTCTGTCGCGAATCGGGTCCGCGTCGTTCCCACAATGTATTCTGATCGTACTAGTTTATAACAATACAATGATGAAGTTGGAGGGACTACTTAAGAGAATATTTGAGGAAGCCACCTAGTCATTATTTTTATTAAGATCTATCCAATATTGAAATTGCTAAAGTGACCACTTAAAGTTTCTTTTTATTTTGAAAATCGAAAAAAAGAAGATTGGGACACTTAAAGAGCCTTTGAAATCATTCAAAGTATACTCGAGTGACTCCTTCAAAGAAGAAACCCTCAAGTGAGAACTCGAGTTATCTGCACCAAAGCGGAAGGTGCCTCTTAAGCGGTTTCTCCAACTTTTCTATGAGACCACGGGTGGTGTAAAAGAAAGCATTCCTGAAAGAACTTTCATTTTTTGGTCACATAATAGCCTGTTCTCCGCGACTCGAAAGGGCGCGACTTCTCTGCGCCCTCTTCGTCTCTCAACGACTCTCTCTTGGTGAAGCGCTATTTTCGCGTTTCTGTGACCTTGCCAGTGAGAGAACAGAGAGACTCAGACACTCGAAGACTGTCAAGTCGCGGCGGATGAACTATACTTTAGTTTAATTTGTTTTTTTCATAGATTTTTAATCATGTTCCCATTTTTCTTCTACCCTATAATCAAATTGTTAGGATATATGTATATTTTTCTGAAAATTCTAGTCACGATTGCTAGTCGAGCAAATGAAAATAAAAAGTTCAACAATTTCATTCAACATTCTAAATTATTGTAAAATAATAATAGATAAAATACCGTTCTAGCGCACCTTTTCGCCCATCCTCAATTTTCTCATTTTTAAGCCATTTTAAGGCTTATTTTCATTGATTTCTAACCTTCGGTCATCAAAAATGTGTCATTTCAAACAATTTTGAAAAATGGTAAAAAGGTCGAAAAGTGCGTTATAAAAAATATGGTCGAAATTCCGTGGTCGAGATGGTCGAGAAAAATGCGCTAGAACGGTGAATAAAAAAAATGCTAAATAAATGATCTTTTTCAAAAAAATTTGAAACCACTAACAAACTTCGATCTCTTAGAACTTGTAAAATTATTAAAGATAAACAATTTTCGTGGAGTCTTTATGCGAGATACTTTGCCGGATAAGGTACTATCAAGAGAAACTGGTATTATAAATTTAGATTCTTCAGGAGGTAAAGGTACTCATTGGGTTTGCTACTCCAAGAATAATAAGAACATTTATTACTTTGATTCATGGAGAAGCAGTGATCGTCGGAAACGCTCGAAAGTCGTCTACTACTATCACAAGAAAGACGAGATGCTCTACGCGCCGTCTACGTTTGATCAACGACAGTTCCGCAAACCGACGAACAACTCTTCAATTATTCCATGATTCAGCAGAGTACCTTCTCTGAAGACTGAATAAAGTTTTCAAAGTTTCAAAGTTCGGATTAGATCCACCATTAGAACTTCAACAATATTTGAATACCTCTGACGGCTATTTTGAATTTCGCGGAATCACTTTGAACACGGCATAAAGATAAAAAATCAGTCATCGAATTGTCAACATTTCAAATTCAAGAATTTGGAACACATCATTGTGGTTATTACTGTTTATTACTTTTGAAACTTTTGGAATCCACGGATTTCCAAAAAATTATTTTATCATTTCTTGAGGACTAAAACCGTAAGCATTTGTTTCATATGAATTTGGAATGATAATCCTCTTGAAACTCAGCAATTTTGCTTCAGTCTCTTCATTGTCAAACACAACTTTTTCTTGTTCTTGGGTGTATTTTGTTGTTTGATACTTCGACTACAACATTGTTTCTTTCTAACAATACTCTTATTGAAAAGACTCTCTCGAAAATCTTCAACTTTTAACTTCTTGACGACACACTTCTTTATTCCTTTACTCTTTTTATTTTCTTCTCCAGGTTTGGGTACTTTTGAGAGTTTAGGATTTTCTTCTTCTTCATGAATTCTTTTTTTATAATAAACGTTTAAGCTTTCACGTGTTTCTTTAGAAATTTTATAAGCATATGATTTGGGCTTCAAGGCTATAAGTTCTTCCATTATTAAACCATTCAACTCATCTTTGAATTTTTCCAACTACTTTTCTATTTTCAACATTATGTAAAGGATGGCATTCAGGATATTCACTGAAATCGAAATATTCTTTTTATTTTTCTGATCATTTTTGAATATCTTCATAAAGATCATTCGTCATAATCTCATAAATAAGGGAATCTGTATCCTGATAACACAACTTAATATTATAGTCAATGTTTCCCGACTTGAAAGGCGTGGGAGGCAAGGGGCGGGACGCGTAGCGTGTGCGTACGCGGTTCTTGGCACGTGTTCAATTCAACCGCTAGCGAGCATTCAGAGAGCTTATTTATTGCTCTTTTTCACTTGTTTTTTTAATTATTTATTGATTATGTTCATGTGTGCATCAAAAAATAGAAGAAAATACAGAAAAAGAACGGTGGCCGGCGGCGATTGAATTGAACTGGCGCCAAGAACCGCGTACGCACACGCTACGCGTCCCGCCTCTTGCCCCGCCTCCCTCGCCTTTCAAGTCGGGAAACATTGACTATACCTCCATACTTCTTCTTCATAACTTTATAATGAAAATCAAACATCAACCATTTACTAAGCTCTAAAATAGCAAATCCAACATAAATTGGTTTATTCATTACTATTTTTAGTTGTTGGCATTTCAACAAGATTCAATTCTTTGTTTATTATTATATTCCTATTGATGTTAGGCAACTTAGCTAACTTTGCTATTCTATCCTTCTTCGAAATGTAATGAGTTTCTCCATTCTTCATCGATTCATTTTCACCAGAGAATATTAATTTAACATCAACTCTATTGCGAACATTCTCCATTGTCTTACCAAATACACTATTATTCATAAGTTTGAAGAAATCCTTTTCAAAATCATTTTTAGCTTTTTTCCTAAGGTCAGTATTCAAATCAATATAAGAAGCAAGCCAATTACTCTCATCAAATGTCAGAATTCTCTTGACTTTCTTCAATTTCATTCCAAGATCTAGAGCTTGTAGCAGGTTTTTGATAATGAATAACATAATTTGTTTTATCCTCCAAAGTATTACACAACTTCTTAATATTATTACCAAAGTCTCTTATCTCAGGACAAAGTGGAAACTCATTATGCTTATGATGCAACTCATTTGGATATTCCAAGTCCACTTCTAGAATACACCCTTTTCCTTGACTATTAAGATATTCTATGTATTTCCGAATTTGTGATTTGCTTACTTCATTCATAGAAATATTCAAAACACTAAGTTGGATTTGTTTCTCAAAAACAAAGTTGCTATGAGGTAATAATTGTTTCATAGCCCAACCATATAGATTATTAGCATCTAGATATAAAAGGAAGTTAGATATTTCCTCAGGATTGAACTTTGACGTGTATTTATTATTTGCTTTTGTATATCTTTTAATAGCATTAACTATTCCACCTCTTTTTCCATCTTCAATCATGAAAAAAACTTTTTCTGTATCATTAATAGTATCTAGTCTAACTTTTAGTATATTTTAACATAGAATCCCAAGATAATCCAGGACTAGTATAATACCAACATGGATCAAGTCCATATTTATCTAAACTTAGATTACGGAAATTCTCGAAGACATCTGCTAAAAAGAAGAACATCATTAATCATATAAATCCTAGTATAATCTTCTAAATTCTTACAGTTCATCTTGTTCCAAACTACTTTAGCATATAGATAATCTTTTTGGGAACATTCTTTTGTCATTCAGTTTATCATAAAATGAAGAAATACTTGGAAGTTTAGTTTCTTCATATCTTTTGAATGAATCCATGTATTCATATGGATAAATTCCTTTTTTCCTCAGAGTTTTGAAAACATCATTATTCTTATTTAATCCAGCGGATGTAGAAATTTCGAATTCTGAATAATAATCTCTGGAAATATTCATTTTATCATTATCTAAATTTTCTGCTAATTTATCCAATGACGACAACATGAAACACATTGAATCAAGAAATCTTACTTCACAACCTTCCCAAACATTTTCTGTCAAAGAAGGTAACTTATAACTGAAACTAATAAACTTTTTCAGAATTGGCAGAAATGTTTTTTTACTTCCACATTCTGTTTTTCTTAGAAACCTAATACTCTGAGTATCACCTAGAATAAGGTGAGAATCATAACCTTTGAGATTGTGAAAGAATATAGGAATGAATTTATTTTTTTCTTTTTTTCTTCAAAATTACATTCACCACATAATGGACTACGATATTCTCCAGTCCAATGATCATGATCTTTCACTTTAGTTGTTTTCATGTCACTCGAATCAAAAAGAACATTACAATTAGAACAATTCGTACATGCATAGTACTCTTCTTTCTCGTTTGAAGTTAAATTTCTGCAAGGAATATCTTCTTTGCTCATAAGACTTCGAACAATTTCAATTATTGTTGTATTAAACTTCAGTGCAGCATTATAACCAACATAAGATTTGATATCATAGATACTTTTGCTCCAAGAATCAACTACAAGTATACAATATGCAGATGGAATATGTTTTCCAATATTTTCAGTTACCGATGGTCCTGAACTACGTGAAGTCCATTTATCTTTTTTCTTACCCACCATATCTTCTAAGGAAGCTTTGCTTACGCTATCTTTTGAAGATTTCACGAACTTGTTTTTTATTTCTTCATTTTGAATTTTCTCTATCAAACTTTCGAAATCACTATAGATAACGAATCGATGTTTTTGAGTATTCTCATAATTTCTGAACTCAATGAATTCGTTGTGAGATAATCTATGCTCAATTGGTGGAGTATTTTCACAATTATCAAAGTGTCTATCTAACTTTTCTTGATTATAATAATATGATAAACATCTACAACAATAATATTTCATGTTATCTTCCTTACTTCTACTCAAAAGTCTACTTAAGTTCACTATTTGACTAAAATGACCATTCCCTTCTGAATCTTCATTATAAAAGAGGTTAACAGTTCTTTCCTTTTCACATATATAATCGGAATGCCGTAATTTGTAAATTTTATGCTCATAATCAGATGGTTCATAATTATTTGTCGTCTGAGATAAATCAGAAAGAACATACATATATGCAAACACATGAACACTTATATTGTTCTGTTACCTCTCCACTGGTTCCCTAGCATGGAGAGGTACTTTCGGCTGTGTACAGAACAAGGTTTGTGCGGGATGGTGCGCGGGCGACAGACTCTCTCAGCGTCGGCTGCGCCAGCCCCTTAAATAGGAGCTGGAGCAGGAGGCGCCTTTGTTGGCGTCCTCAAGGACGCTACAACAGGCTGCGCCCAAGGGCGCGGTTCCGTTGTAACATCCCCCCTATTCTGAGAGTGACGTGCCCCACGTCAATTCATTAAAAAAAACATGTGCAATTAAAAATTGTGGCGAAAAAATTTCGTGCTGTTCGTTCTGTCCGTGCTAGTGCTGAAGACGTTTGGGAGGTTTCCGGAGTCGCTGAGGGCGCTGAGGAGCAGGTTGTTGAGCTTCTCGAGGTTGTTCTTGCGCTTCAGCGATCGTGTCGTCTTCCGGGTAGTCTTGGAGTTCCTCGGTTTGCTGGGCGTCAGTGATGTGGTTCCTTTTGAACAGTCGGACGTCGTTTTTGTGGGCCTTCGCAATGCGGTTATCTTGTGCGTATTGGATGTTCGGTCCGGAGACGCTTATAACCGTGTATGGTCCGTGAAGGTACGGAGCCAGTTTGTTCTTTGCGGGGGCGCGTTTGACGAGGACCAGATCGCCTGTGCAGATTTTTCTTTCGGCGATTCGGTGCGTTTTCTCGTAGTTCTTCTTCTGTCGCGCCTGGCCAACACGTAGACGTTCTCTGGTGAATTTCCAGAGTTCGGCGAGCTGTATGCGCAGCATTGTGGCATGGTCCTCTTCGTTGATGTATACTGGCATTGGAGATTTCCAGAGTACATCTGCCGGAATGCGCGGTTCTCGTCCGTGTGTCACGAAGAACGGTGAGAGTCCAGTTGTTGTATGCGGCGTCGTGTTTAGCGCAAATGTGATTAGGCTTAGGTAGTCGTCCCAATCCGATTGCGTGTCGTTGACGAACGCTGCGAGGGACTCTTCTAGCGTTCTGTGATACCTTTCAACTTGTCCGTTGCTGTTTTTGTGATATGGAGCCGTACTGATGTGTGTCATTCCCAGTGTGTTGATCGTGTCCTTGAAACTCTTTGACTGAAAATTTGATCCGTTATCGGTTACGATGCACTGTGGCGTTCCGTGCTTGGTGACTAAGTTATCCAAGATCGCTCTGACGATCACGGTTGTCTCCTGGGTGTTTATTGGCACGGTGATGAGCAGTTTTGAGAAGGCGTCCACCATAGTCAGAATATAGCGATTTTGGCGTGCGGTGATCGGGAGAGGTCCGAGCACGTCGATGTGCCATCTCTGACCAGGGGCGTCGCCGATGGGTAGCGATCCCAGCGGTTCTCGCGTTGCTTGCCACGCGTTCGGCTTTCGTTTTTGGCATTTAGTGCACTGTGCCACGAAAAGTCGAACGTCGTCATCGATGTTAGTCCAAACGAGGCGCCGTTTTATAGCTTGGGCTGTTTTTGTTGCTCCAAGGTGCGCTCCGGTGATGGGGTCGTTGTGGACTTCTTGGATAATTGATTTTGTGATTGCGTCGGCTCGTGGTAAGATCAGAAGAGGTGGGTGCGCTGCAGAGCGAGGCTTCGCATAGAGCATGTCGTTGTAAAGAACATATCTCTTGTTTGCCTCGTTCTTGGAAGCGCTGTTTCCCGTGGAAAGTTCGCTGATGGCGTCGCGTATCCATTTGGTTTCATTCTGGATCTTTCGAAACGAATCGACGTCGAGTGTGCTGGTGTCGTGCAAGTGAGCTACAGTAGCCTTTTTCGCTGTTTTGATTATCGGGTCTCGTGCTTCATCTTCGATGTATCGCGATAGTGCGTCTGGCACCACGTTCTTCGAGCCTGGGCGGTAAGTGATTTGGATGTCATATTCCGCGATAATGAGTTGAAACTTCGCGAGTCGTCCCACAAGGTCCTTGCGAACCATGAGCGATGTGAGTGGACGATGATCCACTATTGCTGTGATGGGACAGCCGAGAACGTAGGTTCGGAATTCGTTCAATGCGAATACCAGAGCCAAGGCTTCGGTTTCGATGGCGGCGTAGTTTCGTTCTGCTGCTCGAAGTTTTCGTGATGCGTATGCAATCGCGTGTAGGGGTTCACCGGGGTTCTTGGCTTGTAGGAGCACTGCGCCAATAGCAATTGAGCTTGCGTCCGACTCGATCTGATATGGTTGACCAGGAGTTGGGCCTGCAAGGATTGGTGCTGTCGTGAGGCGGCTTTTGAGTTCGTTAAACGATTTCTCGTGCTCGGGTGTCCAATTAAACTCGGTGTCCTCCTTGGTGAGATTGTGTAAAGGCGCAGCGAGGCTGGCGAAATCTTTGACGAACCGGCGAAAGTAGTTGCACATTCCGAGGAATGAGCGAACTGCCGTAGGAGACCGAGGCTGAGGGAATTGGTTCAGGGCTTCGACCTTCTTAGGGTTTGGTGCGACTCCTTCTCGTCCGATTCGCAGTCCAAGAAACGTGACGTCTTCTTGGGCGAAGTGGCATTTAGAAAGGCGAACCTTGAAACCCAGACGAGCGGTTGTGTTGAGCAGTGCCTTGATGTCTTCCAAGTGATCTTCTGCTGTTTCGGATGTTAGAAGGAGATCATCGAGGTATACAAAGAGCTTTCCTCGTGGAAGTTGCTTCTGTAGGTACTGTACGGCGCTCTGGAAGGTGTGTGGTGCCCCGCAGAGCCCCATGGGCATACGCCGAAATTGGTACGTGCCAGATGGGGTTGTAAAAGCGGTCAGCGGTCGGTCTTCTTCTCGAAGTGGTAGCTGGAAAAATCCAGATATAAGGTCGAGGTTCGTGAAAAATTTTGCTCCGGCTGCGAGGTCGACAATCTCAGAAACGGTCGGGATGAGGTAGACCTGTTTTTTCGTGACAGCGTTGAGTTGTCTATAGTCTACTGTAAATCGCCACGTAGAGTCCTTCTTTTTAACAAGGACAACGGGACTCGTGAAGGTCGATAACGAAGGTTCGATGATTCCTTGCGCTAGAAGTTCCTGTACTTGACGTTCGACTTCGTCTCGTTTTCCTAGTGGTGTTCTGTAGGTCCTCGGCTTTGGAAAAGGCAGGTCGTCCCGAATGTCGATTCGATGTTGGATCGGGCCGGTGAACATTCCAATGTTCCCATCGTCGTTGAAGAACGCGCTGCGATGATCGAGGATTATTTTCCTCAGCTCTTTTTGTTGAGCTTCATCGAGGGCGCAGCGTTGAAGGTTCAATTCCTTGAGCAGGTCTTTCGGTAGCGATGGGAGCTTGCTTTCCCAGTCGGCTTCTGGTGGGGTGTATTGCTCGACTGGGATTGGCGGGAAAGTTCTTGGCTGTTCGGGAATCCGTAGCACGCAAGCTTGTCCGAGGGTCGTTCCCTTTTGGATTTCGTAGGAGTTGTCAGAAACGTTCGAGATCCTGATGGTCATGATCCCTGGACTGGTGATGGTGTTCATGAATGTGATGTCGCCGTTTACTGGAGCGCGTAGCAGCAGGAGCTGATCCTCATTCACTGAGTCGTTAGTGAGGTCCAAGTGAACTCTCCGAGTAGTGTTTGCTGGTATCACCACATTTGCTGCGCCGATGACGTTGATCTTCTTTGAAGTCGTAGCAAAAGGTGATTCACCTTGTTGAAGTAGGCGAACTGTGGTGTTTCCGACTTCTAGCGTTCCTTCGCTTGGGTGGAGGACGGTAGGTACTCCTTGCTCGTCGAGGGCGGTCATTAGATCATAACCAATGAGTGCTGGGGCAGGGCATGTCTCGTTGTCAGAGACAAGAAAGGTGTGCTGAATCGTATGTTTCCCAATGCCAACACGGAGGTTGACTTTCCCTAAAAAGCTGAACTTGGAGCCGTTGGCTGTTTGAGCGCTCCTGAGGGAGGTCTTCTCCATGTGACTGTCGGTGTAGTGGAGTGTAGACTGTGGAATATACGAAATCGTTGCACCTGTGTCCCATAATGCGACAAGTCCTCTGGATGCTAGAGTAATTGCTACATATGGGAGTGTAGTTTGAGGTCGCTCTAGCATTGTTGTCGCGTTCACTGTATCTAATGCCAGCGTACAGACGAGTGGTATTGCGATGGGAACGTACGTCATCAGACGGGGGAGTAGTTTCCTTTGGTGGCTCCTGTAGTAGGCTATTTCTGCTTCTTCCTCTTCTTCGTCGTTTCGTTCTTCGCCGTCGATGGTGGGAAGATCTTGAAGTTCCACCGCGTTTATGGGTAGACTGGCGGTGACGCTTCGGAAGATGCAGAGTTTGCAAGCGCAATAGGTCAAGGCGGCAAAAATCATGGCTGCGGCTATAGGGATGCCGACGTAGAACACGTATTTCATGTACCAATCTTCCAAGTTTTCCATGATGTCTTCGATAGCGCCGGTGGTAGTGTTGACAATGTATCCTCCTGCGGTTGCGATGTCCCGGAGAGAGGCGCGATCGATCAACCGTGTTCCGTGAAGAACGTTTACCAGCCGAGCTTGGTTTTGTTGAAGATAGGCAAGGTTCGTACCGAAGGACATTGCCATCATGAAGGGGAAGGCGGATCCTTTGGCTGGACCATAAAGGTCCGCTGCTTGGAAGACGATTGGTGTCATTTGTGCGTGTCCTTTTTCATGCCAGTTAGGAAGTTGGGTGACGTTAGCTTTTCCCGTATCCGTCCACCAGGTGCCATTTTCGTTCCATACGTGAAGAGAAGCCGCGGGGCATGGTATTTTTGCTGAGCGGTACAAGAGGTCACGGGAACCTGCGACGATGAATGCAAGTTCATTTTGTTCTGTCAGGACCGGCGTTTCCGAGTAGCAGGTGTTGTTGACTCGTTTCGAGTAGAAGATCTTTTTAGCGTATACTGGTTGACATTTTGTTACTGCTACTACGCCGTTGCCGACGAAGTGAGCAGCGATGTCTACTCTGCCTAAGAGACTCCTTACGCCGACAGTAGGGTCGAGCTGAAGGAGGCCTAACCAAAGCTGGAGTTGCTTGTTGTTGTTCCGACAGAGAGACTGCAGTAGCGTTTGAAAGTTAGTTTTCATGCTTTGTGCAAGTGAGTCTGCCGTGAATTGCAACTTTGCATTAAGTCCAGTGTCAGTGAGGTTTCGGCGAGTGTCTTCCTCAAAGTCGTAGGTGGATTTCATCAGTGCGAGCTGTGCGTCTGACCCTACAACTGGTGGAAGAGGTGTTGGTTGGTCCAGTAGATGCTGTTGTCGTACTTCTCGGATGCTGGGGGCCTTAGAAGTCATCGTCGTAGTTTGGCGGATGGTGGGAGAGATGGTGGTCGGAGTTGTTTTGGGTATTTGTTTAGTCGGGGTGTCAGGACGGAGGAGGTTTTCATAAATGTCTCTAGCGTGGTCAATGATGCGATCTCGTTGAGCTTCCGTCATGTTAGGTGTTGGGGGCAGGCCGTAATGGTGGAGTAGGGCCTTTTCTAGATTGCTTTCGTCTGGTCCTAAGGCTATGTGGTATGCTATCGATATTTTGGCTGATCTGTCAGGAATGTTGACTCCGTTCTTGTAAGGGTCATGTTGCCGTAGCAGGCTATCCAACACGATTTCTTCTTGTTTGCGGATGCGGTTCATTGTTGCAAGAGCGAGTTCTTTTGCCGCAACCGTGTGCAGGATAGCTAGGCTGGCGTTGTTATATCGGTGACGGACCATGCGATCCAGTACTTCCTGATAAGAGATTCGCCAGTCGTAAAGTAGACGGGCGATCGTCCGAGGGCTGACGTGTGTCGCCTGCAGCTTCTCGCTCTGGGTTAGTGAGCGGTTGGATGGTAGAAGGCTGCTTCGGAGGTTGGTCGCGATAATCAGTGCGTTGAGCGGCACGTCTGATGTTTCGATTATTGAGCCGCTGTCCCTTTTCGAACGAGGTCTCCTCGTGATGTCAGCCAGCCTTGTGGCTTTTGGGAATTCCGGGAACTGTATTATCGTGCCAGAGGTGCTTACCAGGATACTGTCTTTGAAACATTGTTGGATCTCGAGCTCAGTTTCATGGTCGTCGACGATCAGCGTGCTCTGCATCGCTTCGATGGCCACTCTGTCTGTTCCAACTAAGGAATCGAACTGGCCAAGTTTGATGAAAGCGCATTCAGGATGAATGTTCTTCGGCGCTTCCCAGACTACGGTGGCTACATCGTTGGTGCAGAGACCATCAAAGATCGAGCATGCCTCAGTGTTTAGGAGCAGATTGGTGATTAGCTTGTCCTTGGCGATTGAGGTCGCGATTCCTCTGGTCAGGACTAGGCGTTTCACGGTTATGCAATTGTCTCCCCAAAAAGGGCGAGTAGGATACTCTGTCGGCTCACTGGTCCATGTGTCTACATTTGTCTTGCGGAAGGTCCTCCCCTCTATCGTGTGCTCCTTAGTGGCTGTGAGGCAGTGTTCCGAGGGCATAGCTGTGATCGTCTTCAGGGTTTGGTTGTATTCTGGGAACCATACTCTTGTGCGGACGCAGCGTTGGTATTCCTCGATAGTGCATCTAAAAGCCGTGATCTCGGTTAAGGAGTGATTGCGTACGTAAAGCGTGACTCGAGCCTGAGTTGGGTGTTCTGTATCTACTTCACAGTTCTCGAGTTGTGGTGGAGCCACGAGGACTCCTCCTCGCGGGGTGCAATCATAGAAGGTGGGTGAGGCCATTGTTCCGATAGTAAGTAGTGCACAGACGGTGGCTAAGAACCATGGCTGAATGGCGTTGACGTGTTGTGGGCGCCTCTGCCATGGTCGGCGTGGATGTTGGTTGTTAGGTCCTGATCGACGTTGTTGATTGCGAGGCTCTGATCGGCGGTTGTCGTCCTGGTAGTCGTTGTTTCTTCTGTTTGGAGAGTCTTGGTCTCGTCTTCCTTTCTTGAAGAACCGCGGACGGTTATTACGATCCGGGCGGTTGAATGGGCGGCTAGCCCGTTGCGGCGAGTTATTCCAGTTGGGGAACTGTCGCTGGGCTGCTCGACCTTCCATAACCGCGTGGACGACTTCCGCTGTGGTAGCGATCTGCTCTTCGCGTGCATCGATACGTAGGAGAGCCTCCTCTCGCTTTGCTCGGTTTACGGCGTAGGTAAAGGATTGCGGCTCTGCTCGGCGAACCTTTTTTCGAAGTTTCGGCTCCAGTCCGGCCATGAAGGCGGCCAGCGCGGCGGCATCTCTTGCGTCAGCGTTGCCAGGATACGCTCCCATAGCGAGTTCGCGGATTGTCGTTGCGAATTCATCGATGGGGCGGTGGTTTTGTGACGCTGCTGTAAGTGCAGAGAGTGCCTCCTGTGACCGCGCCTTCGTGTGGTAAGCGCCTTTGAACGCGTCAATTAGAGTTTGCCATTGCGAGCGTTGGCTTGATGGAATGTCCTCCAAGAGCTCGCGAAGTTCTCCGCGCAACATTGTGGGGAAGGCGCGACGTGCGTCTTCATCCGTCAACTGTTGTGCGTTACAGTAGTCATTAACACGCCTGATGAACGTTGGGAAGCTTTCGTGCTCCGGCGCAAAAATTGGCCAGGAAGGACGGTTTTGCACGCCCATCTTGGCAACCTGTGCCGTGAGTGCGTCGATCGCGTTTTGCATCGTCTTCTGTGAGTTTCGACCAAGTAATCGTAGCAGCCGCGCGGTCGGTTTTGGTTTTGTTGCCGTGACCTTGTGAGCGATGATCTGTGCTCTAGTTTTAGGCGGTGCTTTCGATTTCGGTCTCGCCGTAGTGGCTTTTTGAGCGGTGTTTTGGGCTCTAGCTGTTTGTGTTGCTTTCGCTTTCGTTGGTGCTGCTGGAACTTTGCGAGCAAGGTGTTGGGCTCGTGTTCTGGGCGATGCTTGTTGCTTCGATGGTACCGTCCTCAGAGGGAATTTGTTTAGAAGTAACTTAGCACTGCTCGCCGTTGTAGTCGACAGGTTTCTGCAAACCGGACTAATGTCTCTGCATGGGCAGCAACGACGAAACGCGAAACGCAAGGTGAAAGTTCGGCTGTCCTCTGACTCCTTTTTCTCATTTTTCATTTCTCTATTCTCTTTTGAAATTAAGAAAGATTTTTTTGTATCCTTTATCTAGGGGCGACGTGAAAACATGCAAAAGAGGTTTTTGAAAATAAATGGATATGGAAGAAAGAAAAAAATCATAAGGACAAAGGAAAAAAAAAAAAAGAAGGTAGATGAGTTTTAAGAGAAGCGATGAAATGAGGTCGAGTGATCCTGCAGCCTGTGAGTCCTCATGTCCGGATGTCCTCGAACTCCAGAATTGGCTCTGAACACAACGAACTGTTGTGTTCATCACTGTCGCAGTAACGACATCGAGTGCGAGTTTTGCAGGCGCCTCGATGTCTTCGCAGACAGATGGTGCACGCCTCCTGGCGCATCAAATGTCTTCTTCGGTCCACGGCGTGGACCTTTACCCAGCATGAATCGCTGAAGTGGGGTTGACGGCAAAACGCGCAGTCAGGGCACCCCGGACGCTGTCTCGAATTTGGGTGTGATATGCGGCGAACTCTTCCTTCTTTTTCGGCTCGCCTTCTCCGAAGGAACGTGTTCGTCGGGGACCGATGGAGACGACTTGAGGCGTTGGAAGGGGCTGGAGAAGAGTTCCTCGATTGTATCGGAGAAGCGTCGGGCTCGCTTTCTGGTTGGACCAGGTCCAAGTATCCTTGTGGAGGTGATGGATTCCGCGGCGGTGGCGGCGGTGGTGGAGTGGGCGACCGCTTTGGTGACGGTGGCGGTGGTGGAGGATTTTCGCTCAGTTTCACTTGAAGCTGTCTCAGTTTGTCGTGTAGAGCTTCTTGGTGCTTCATGAGATCCACGATGGATTTCTCCACCGCCTGAATCATCTCGCCGACGTCGGAGGAGGCGCAGTTGAGGTTGGACATTAGGCTTGAGGAGTAGAAGAGTTGGTTGGGAGTGAGAGGATGCCTTCGTTAGTGCAGGTGCGTTTATATAGTGTACTCCGCAGGGTGCCGTTGACACATTCTTGACCATGTTTGATAGTGCGCTCCGCAGAGTGCCATCCTTTGTTTCTTGTCTGATGGCTCGCTCCGCGGGGGTGCGTTGGCACACCTTTTTCGGCGTCTGATGGCGCGCTCCGCGGGGTGCCGCCGTTTGCATGCTTTGTTCTTCGCCTGCTGGCGCGCCCCGCGGGACGCCGTCGATGCGCGTTTCTTGTTGACTGATAGCGCTCATGGAGTGACAGAAATTCTTTCCTTTGTCTATAGGCGGTTCGAATTCTGGTGAATGTGGACGGCGCGCTCTGCGGGTGGTCTGATTGTGCAAAATGTGGACAGACGGGAGAGATCATGTCGGCCTGTTCTGTGATTACAGCGCGAGTTTCAACAGAGATGGTGTTTGGTTTTACTATTCCTTCCGTTTGCTGACGACGACCGAGGAAGACTTCTGGAGCGTCTCAGGTCTAATTAAAGACTCTGCGGAGGGACGACGTATGTTTATTTCATCTTTTGCGAGCGACGCACAAGGCCTTTGCGCGCGCTCTACCACATCTCTTGTTTCCATCAGTGATTCTGCGAATTCCGAACGGGCGCAGGTCGGATGATTGGCAGAATGGGCGCGAACGTCCTGGGCTTTAGCGCTCGGACGGCCTTCCTCGTGCGCCTGATGGGATGTGGCCTCCGTTTTCTAGTGTGCATGCAATTTCCAGCGTGATTTCGGTCGTGGTGGCTCGTGAATGAATGTCTTCGACGGTTTCTTTTTCCATAGCAAGTTCGCTAGACTTGCTTGGAAAGGGAGAACCCGTCGGTGGCGCCAGAGGAGATAGTGGATCTGGCGCGCATCTCTGGCTCGGTTGGCGGTGGTAGCAGCCGAGTCGTGTCTTCACTGGTTGGAGGAGTGAAGCGAGGTGGGACCTCCATGTTACCTCTCCACTGGTTCCCTAGCATGGAGAGGTACTTTCGGCTGTGTACAGAACAAGGTTTGTGCGGGATGGTGCGCGGGCGACAGACTCTCTCAGCGTCGGCTGCGCCAGCCCCTTAAATAGGAGCTGGAGCAGGAGGCGCCTTTGTTGGCGTCCTCAAGGACGCTACAACAGGCTGCGCCCAAGGGCGCGGTTCCGTTGTAACAGTTCATAACTTCGAACTTTTTGATATCTTCAAACTTAAAAGGAAATTCAAGTCCATCAAAAATTAATTCATCCTTAAAAGGTGTGTATTTAGTAACTCTTTCTTTATCTCTTTCAGCAGGATGTAGATGTGCTAACACTGACCACTTGAAACACATGTTATCTTTGTTCTGGATATTATTTACTGCTTTTTTTCTTTTAACATATTCTGGATTCTCAATATAAGAAGCTCCTCTCATTGCATCAGTTCTAGTTTGAAACATAGTCAATCTCAAAAACCTAGTTATCACTAATCCTGAAGCATGATGTTCTCTATTCTCCACGTCATTCATTAATGTGCTACATGCTGCTTGATAGAATTCTTCCCTACTTTCACCAGAATGTAAAATTTGACTCGTCGTGTTGACATGAAACTTTGCTGCATCAGTAGAATCAGGCTTCTTTGTTTCACATTCTAAATAAAGCATTATTTTTAACATTGGTTTTTGTAAATGTCGTTGACTACAGTATTTTTGCTTCTTCTTGAGAAAAGAAGCAAATTTTTTTTCTACAAGATCCATGTAAAATTCAATACCTTTCTCTTCGATCAATTCAAAAGGATTTTCTAGAAAATCTTTGTTGTTCTTGCTTCTATAATTTGTTACTCTTGAGTTAGCATTTTCTCTATCTTCTTGTTCCATAAAAATCAAATCATCAATAGGAAAAATCTCATCTGGAGGTGGTAATGGATTTTCTTGATTTTCTTGAGAATGATCATTAATAAATTGCTTCATTTCATCCACCTTCATCTTTTTTTCATTTGAGCATCAGTCATTAGTAATCTTTTTCTTTTTATTAATTTTTTTCTAACTGTACGGAGAAGTTCATCTCTCGACATTGTCAGACGATTTTTTTCTCAAAACAATTACTTTTTTTCAAAATCTTAGAAGGATGTAGGACTTCCTTTTTATATAGAAAAATTTTTAAAGAAAAAAATCTAAATTTCACACTCAGCGAAAGTAATGTCTCTAAACTTCATAATAAAGTCAATCATTTCTTGTTTTTCTCATAGTTTTGGATTTCTTTGGATTTGAGAATGTATTTTTCTCAATTCACTTCCAATCATTGCAACTTTTTCTACGAACTTCATCTTTTTTTCATTTTTCTTTAAATCTTCTTCGTGTGAAGAAATATTTTTGGAAACTTACTTCTTGAGTAATTTCTTCCATTTATAAATACAATAATTTTTTTAATAAAGATTGTAAATCTCCGGATTCTTCGAATTTAAATAAATTACTTTTTCAAAAAAATGCCTTCCACAATCGAAATCTATGATCCTAGGAAGAGAAATGAGATAATAAACAGTTTTTCTAAAGAATAGAAAAAGAACACCATCTAAAAAAATCTTCAAGAACGCTCAGACCTAGAAAACGTAGAAGATCACCGTGTGGAAGTTTTTCAAACCCATATTAGAATCAAATAAGAAATTACAAGAAGAAATTATTGATGAAAAGAATAAGATAGTTCAAACTCTTAATAGTTTCAAAGGAGAAATTAAAGGACAACCACAATTTTTACAAAGTACTCCATTGAAGCAAATCCAAACTGCAAGTAGTCCAAGTAAAGTAAATTCTCCTTCAAACGAACCGAAGGTTCTAGGATTCTCTGAATCTGTAATCAAAGTTTCCAACTTAATCGCAACTTATCTTCAAGATCCTAGAGATAAAAGTAATGCTGGATATTCAATAAGGTATTCCTCAGAAGGAGGTTTAAAAGGTTATACTATTGGAAATAAGAAAGTCATGTTCGATGATAATACAATTGAAATAAATGATGTTGTTTATACAGCAACACCTGGCCTTATGGAATTATTAACTAAAAAATCTCCTAATTTGAGTAAAATTAAAAATGATGACACTCAAAATTATCGTGATATCTTATTATGCTCGAATGCTTTGTATCAAGGATTTGATAAAAGTAGTAAAAGATATAATGCTGATCCAAGTGATAAATGGAAATTCATTAAATTGAATTATTTTGTCGCGAAAGCTCAAGCTACTGAAACTAGTGTAACCAAAGAAAAATCTTCTCAAGGAAGCTCTAAGCCACAAAGTCCAAATGTATCTAAAAGTCAATCCCAAGGATCTGTAAGACCTTCACTACTACCTAGTGAAGGTAGTAGTATATCTAGGAGCCGCAGAGCCACTTCGCTGTTCAAAAAACGTCGTCATTTTCGTTGCATTTTGATTGTTTCAAACATTTTAAAACAGTTTCCTTGTACCGATTTGGAAAAAAATTGGGGGAAACATACAATCGACTATGCTTAACAATCCTACATAGAAGAAAATACCGAAAAATGAGAAATAAGAATGTATGACGACAGTTTTTAAAACGCATTTGTGGCCGAAAACGGATAAAAATCCCGTTTTTTCTTGAAAGTCTCTGGGCAACTTTTTTTATTCTTGAATATTATAAAGCAACTAAAAACGCATATTCTGGCAAAAAATAAAAAAATTCTATGGTTGGCCTCAAAAAATAATGCAGTTTGAAAATCGCGATTTTCGAAATTCCCTATTTTCGAAAAACGCAATCGATAATTACTGATTATATTTTTAAACGGTTGTTTGCAGTTGATTGTAAATTTTAAAAAGAGAAAACTAAGTTTTCATCGACTATATAGTTCATATGAAAGCTTAAATTTTTTTTTTTTTTGTAACGCTTTGAAAATGGCCCAAAGCGTTCTGGGCAAGTTTTTTTATTTCATAATATCAAAGATTAGACATTTCTCTACAACATATCAAAAAAATAAAAAAATTCCAAGGATGGCCCGAAAAGTATGGTTGATTTGAACGCTCAAATTTGATATCAAAAAAATTGCGCGTCGCTGGAAATCTGCAGACACCGCGTAGGGCCCGAAATTTTTTTCGAAAGCGTGAAAAATTCTTTTTTTAAAGTTTTTTTGTATTTTTATTCAAGTTTAGAATGAGTTATGATTACTTCATCGTCGTTTTAGGCAAAACTTTAACTCCTTTTTACAATTAGGAATTCTTTTTCAGCGTAATTATATCCATTATAGCAGCAAAAAAATATTAAATTTCGCTTTTACTAAATTTTTTTCGAATTTTCACAGAATCTCATGAAAAGAAGGTCATGTAGACGCACATCGTTCAAAGGAAAATGGAAGATGTGAAAAATCAAAAGTAAAAACGCTTTCGCGCTTTTTTTTCAAAATGTCTCTGAACAATGACTTAGTGATTATTCATATATATGTATATATATATGTATATATATATACATATACTTCAGTAAATGTTTATGTAGAATTTCGCATTTTTTTAATTCGGTTTTTCGCTGTTCCTTCTATGCAATTGTCTTATTTCGTTGGTTGTTCTCTTATTTTACGAAATGCGTTGGAAATATTCTTCAAAACTCGCTTTTCGGCAGTCTGAGTGTTCGAAGAGCAGCCCCATATTGAATAGGAAAAGTATTCAATATGAAAAACTCCAACATTTCATTTTAAAAACTCAAATTAATATATTTTTCGAAACTTCTCCGGGGTGAATTTACGCGCAGCAAGAAGCGCGCGGTATCTATAAACACGCCCCTTTTTCCTGCGACCCTGACGAGAGTTTCTACACAAAAAAATGGTTCCCCGATTTCGCCACTCTTTTGCTCATAACTTTTTTTCATTTTTTTCATATTTTTTTCTTTTCTGTTTTTCGCAGTTAGCTTTCGATTGCCATCAGCTTTCTTTTTCATATAGGTTTCAACTTTATATCACTGACTTTGGAAATTGGCCTGCGGTCCCTAAGTATATCTCAAGTCTTTGATTTCCTACCAGAAGATATTAATGCTCTTATGGATTCATTAAGATTATCAATAGGTTCTTTTTCAAGCTGGAAATAATGGTGAATATAATAAGATTCACGCTATTTTTAGATGAATTAATTCGTAGAAAGAAGATAAAAAAAGAAAGATTTACCAAGTATTTATTTAGGTATTGGTTTTTTTAACTTCTAAAACTTTTTACACTTCTAGGAAGCTTGCTGACGCTGATGACGCTGAATAATGTTATTCTCTTTATTTGTTCCCTTCTTTACATATGCCCTGGAAACATTAGGAAATTCTTCTGAAACACCAACTCTTTTTAAATTTATCACTGAGCACAGTTTCTGTGATATCCAGATCATTGAGAAAGTCTAGACATTCTCTATTTGTCAATGTCTTCTTATTCTTTAGAGTAAGAGAAAGATCAATTGAAGGTACTTCTACTATTTGTCCCTTTTTGTTTTTTTCATTATATTTTTTTCTAAGCTCATTGTGCTCATCTCTTTCTTTTTTTGAAATGCTTTTTTTGTTGTTCATTGAGCATCAATGATTTTTTTCTTATTAGAAATTCCGAGACAATTGATTATTATACTCTTACATTCACTTTTTACATTCACTAGTCATATGTTTTTGTGAAAGCAAACTTATAATTGAATTTATCACTTTGAGATAACTTCGATTCATCAATGCTTGTAATCATTTTTTTCTAATGCATCTAAATAATTTTTGAGCTGTTTCTTTTTGTGTAATCATTTTTTTGTGTATTCCAATATTTCCGAAAAAAATCTAGATCTTTTGTTCCATCAATCTTTTGAATGTCATTTACAAAGGTTTGTAATTTTAATTGACTCATTTATATGTTCAAAAATTTTTTTCTTATTTTTTTATATGAACTAAAGTTTCTAGGATTCTCTGAATCTTATTCATCTTGTTATCAATTATAATCCCAACTTCGCCGCGCCTAACGCTCCCCTGTTTCCAGCTTTTCCCTCACCGGAACCTATCAACTGTAATGTACCAGCCCAGCGATAGGAGAACCTTCGACCACGCCCCCGCGTGGGCGAAGGTTCCTCAGTTGGTGGGTTGCTGGTTCCGCGTGTCCCCTCTATCTCTCCTTAACTCCTGCCTGCCTGTATTTCCCTGTGTCAAGCAGCTGACATCCCAAACAGGAAGGTCCAATACGCCAACCTTTAGAATTGTATCTGGAGGGAGTCTCTAGACTCTAAAGGCGGACTTTTGGAATATGGAGGTCCCACTTGAGACTCGATTCTTGGGTTTTCTTTCCGAGCAGTCCAGTGCCACATAAGCAGGTGAGTCGTGGACGTGCTGTTCGGAAGTCTAGCTAAACGCTACTTCCCATCCGCTGTGGACATATTTCTTCTGTCTCTGGAGCTAAACACAGTTGGCGTCGCCATGGCGTCCTCTGGAAGAGAGGTGGATTAAATCATACAGCCCTTCGCGCCTATTTTTGTATGGAAGCCGAAAGTGCCTCTTTCTCGCCAGGATCGACTACGGTTTGTGAAGCACCCCTGATCAAGGTGCCGACCATCTCCGGACGCTTTCATTAACGAGGAGACGCATCACGTGGATCCGCGGTCGCTCAATGTCCCAGGGCCCATTCCACGTGTAGAAGTTGCGATCCTGCTCGTACCTTCTCGACGCTGTCCCTTTATGAACGGCCGCTCACCGTCCAATACGGCTCAGGATTGAAGAGGAGACGTCGCGAGCCCACCAACTCATTCCCCCTCCGGTCAGCCCATTTTATTTTAATTATTTTTACTTTTTGTGTATTTTTCGTGTATTTCTGTATTAGTTTGGTTCATTTTTCATCGTTTTAGTTCAAACTCTCAAAGGTTCTTTTTCTCACAATTTTTTTGTTCAAATTTTTCAAAAACCCATTCCTTGCAATTTTTCGTTTAAATTCCAAACCCTTTTTTTCTCATAAATTTTGTTTCAAATTCTCAAAAAAACTTTTTTTATTTTTTTCTCAATTTCAATCTTCAAACCAAACCTTTTTCCCACCATATTTCGTTTAAAGTTTATTAATTAAAATTCCACTACACAACCAAATTTCCCATATAGTCTCACAAATTTTTTTCACTTGTTTCTTACAAAATTTTTCTCATCAAAAAAATATTATTTTTCTGATTTTTCAAATTTTTCAACCTGTATTCTTTCAATTATTTTTGTTTTTCTACGCGTATATATTTTCTTTTGTCACTCAAATTTTCAAAGTTTCTAGCTTATTCCTCAACTTCAATTAATTTTTCTTCAAATCAAATCGTTCAATTTTCACCATTTATACTGTAAAACAACATATCTAATCTCTTTCCCAGGTACTGTATCGTAAATCGTCTGCTCATATCATTTATTAGGCGCTAAGTTTCTTTCAAGATTGTTTTTGGGTCACGCTACCAAGCGTCCCACGCCACATGTTCGTGTCTCATACCGTACTCAAGTATTACAATCACCCTAATCTCCTAGGTAAGGTCACCAGACGCTTGCTTGAAGCGCAAGACGCCGACTTAGGACGCCAGACCCTTAGCAACTATTTATCTTTCAATTAATTCCCACACCTTTTCTGACCGGAGCTTACTGTCCCACCCCCTGGTACTTTAGTCACACACTCCCAGCTCTTGTTTTCATTATTTGATGTGTACAGTTTTCAACTTCTTTTATCTTTTTGTATTTTTTCTTCTTCTCACAAAGGCTCTTCAATCTCAAGTTGGACCAAAGAAATCCTGACGCGTTTCAAAAGGCCAACCCAAGCTTCTCAGCTGGGAAATCCTTTCATTTCATTTTTTTTTTCTTCAACTTTTAATTCAAAAACTTCAACTATCAACCAAAATTCTTCAAAATTTCAAATTCCAAAATTAACTTCAAAAAAACCTTTTACTAAACATTCAAAACTTTCAACTAAATACGCAAAAAGGAATTCTTTGGGCCAAAATTCAACAATATCAAAACCAATCTTTTTCTTTCTCACTGCGGTCCTTTGAAGCTCTCAAACCCATCAAAGCGCCAGCAAATGGATCTACGATCGGATAAACTGAAGACAGATCCCGCAATTAAAATCCGCGACACGCTGGTTCTCTCCGACGAAGATCGAAGATGTCAACGACCGAAGAATACGTACCACCAGAAGCTGAAGGGAAATCCCGACTCCCGCATCCACCAAAGGACGAACAGGACTTCGAAAACGAGCTGAATTTCGAAAAAAAAAAATGCAAACTGGCGAATCTGATCAGGAACGCCTGACGGAGATCATCGAAGAACACCGCGAAGTTTCACAACGAGGATGCTTCGAAGGGCCTGTCGAGCACAAGATCAAGCTCCAGCCCGAAGCGACTCTTCCCCGGCCAAGAAAGAGTCGCTTCGGTGCCTCCCTCTAGGACAACTCGCCGAGATCGACCGCCAAGTTTCAGAATTAGCTCGATAGGAAAAAATATCACAGCTTCTGCTTCACCGTGAACTATCGCAAAACCATCGACTTGACACGCGGAAGCCGTTACTTCACCTCGTTCGACCTGTTTCATGCCGATGAAGACTTTGGAAGTCGAAGATCTTGCGCCTCTTGTCGAAATCGACCTCGACAAAACGCCGAAAATCGCCGAGAAGCAGTGAAGATTCTTCAAAAGAGTGCCGAAGACGACAAGAAAGCCAGCAACGCCAGGAAGCGCTACACCCTCGAAAATGGTCTTCTCTGGGAGCGGAGAAGTCCCCAAGAAGGATTCCGCAGCCGTTCTCCACGTCCCGTCGCCGTTTCAGCTAGACGAACCTCCAAAAAGACGTCAATTCTTCGTGAGTCATTGCATTCTCTGCCAAAAGAAAAACAAACCCTCACGAGACGACAGTCGAGCCCGCAGAGAAACTTCCAGTCACTTCTTCGCCATTTGCCAATCACGATCAACGAGAATCGCTACGTCTTGACCATCGTCGACGCTTTCTCGAAATGGACCATCGCCGTGCCCCTTCCGAAACAAGATTCTGCCGCCATCAACCGCGCCTTCACAGAAAATCTTGTCCTGAAGCACGGGCCGCCTTCGATGATCATCTCCGACAATGGAACGCAGTTTGTGTCGAATTCCTTCAAAAATCTTCTGAAAAAGTGGAAGATCCAACACCAGACGACAGCTCCATACCACAAAACTTCCAACGGACAAGTGGAACGAGTTCATCGTAACCTCGAGGAAGCTTTAGCTTCTTTTGTGAACAATTTCCAATCAGATTGGGATAGCTACCTGCAAGCAGTTGTCTTTGCTTTGAACACCCTACCAGGAGCTTCCACAAAACTTGCGCCGTTCCACGTCCTTTTTGGTCGTGAGCCTCGTCTGCCAGAAGACTCAACTTGGAACACGAACGTTGGACTTTCTTTCATCGACAAAGAAGACTACGTTGAATATCTACAACTTCAACTAAAGGAAGCCTGGAGTTTCGTCAAAGAAAAACTCCAAGAAACAGCGGAGAAACACGCCAAGAGGTTCGACAACGCAAACAGAACAGCGCCAAGGAAGATCGTCGCCGGCTCAACAATTCTCGTCAAGAGAGCTTTACCGAAAAACAAGCTTTCTCCATTTTTGTTTGGCCCTTTCACCGTTGTAAAAGTCAATGGTTCGAATGTAGAGTACCTGGACCATGGGAAAACATTCGTGGCTCACAAAAATGACGTTCGCCAGCTGAAATCGAAGCCGCCTACGCCAGAAGAAATCATCGACGAGGACGTCGAAGAAGAAGAAGAAGAAGAAGAAGAACCTGAAAAAGAAAATATATTAGAAGAAGCCGAAAACCAACCGAACACAGCTTCACCGTTGTCGTTGCCGCAGTCTTCAACCACGAATCCAGCCGCCAAAAAGCCGCCGATTCGGAAGACTCGCAGCTCGACGGCCAAGCGACAGTCGCCGAATTTTTCCGCTTCTCCCTCGCCGCCGTCGCCCGTATCTACAAAGGACCGCACCGCCAGTTCGACACTCCAGTCGACTAGCAGTCCGGCCAGCAGTCGCCAATCGTCGCCAGCCAGCCGCCCTCCAGCCCGTTCGACTACACGCCGAGCAGCAGCTCAGCCATCAACTACAAAGCCGAGAACCCGCCGAGGAGCAGCCACGCCGACGCCGCAGAGGTCGACTACTCGTGATGCCGGACGTCATCGTGGACCAAGCATTGAGAAGAGTGCGAATCCAGCCGCCATCGATGAAGACCGCCTTCGAAGAGCCACCCCGGAGGATGACGATCCTTGCAGCTCGAAGTGGAGCCGTCTTCGTCCATCGCGATTTGGACGACTATAGTCTCTAAGACAGTAACCTATAAGTTTGTTTATTTTTTTTTATATATTTGTACTTGTTGTATTTTGTGTTTTTTTGTGTGTCATTATTTTCTGTATTTTTTTGTTTGTTTGAGTGCCACTATTTTTAGCTAAGTAATTTTTAAGCGAAAGCAATAATCTAACCTCCCTTTTCAGGAATTTTTTTAAATTTTTTTCTCGCTGTTAAGATCTCCCTTTTTAGGCTTATTTTTTTGCTTTTAACAAAATGCTTTCGCCAGTTAAGAATCATGTTTTTTTGTCAAAAAAATTGTCTGTTTAATTTTTGTTTCGATAAATCACAGGAGTGATTAAAAAAACAGGAAAAAAATAGGGGAGATGTACCAGCCCAGCGATAGGAGAACCTTCGACCACGCCCCGCGTGGTGAAGGTTCCTCAGTTGAGTGGGTTGCTGGTTCCGCGTGTCCCCTCTATCTCTCCTTAACTCCTGCCTGCCTGTATTTCCCTGTGTCAAGCAGCTGACATCCCAAACAGGAAGGTCCAATACGCCAACCTTTAGAATTGTATCTGGAGGGAGTCTCTAGACTCTAAAGGCGGACTTTTGGAATAGTAACATCTCATTCTCTCCTGAAATTGTATATAAATTTTTGACCTCCTTACCACCAAAATGCGGTTTTTCTACGGATAACATAAACTTTCTAGTCCTGAAAAAATGTGCCTTTTCAATTTCTCTCCCTTTATCTATCATTTTTAACGAATCATATCTTACTGGTATTATCCCTTCTTCCTTCAAAACCACTACGATTATTCCTGTTCACAAAAAAGAAAATCTTTCAGACCCGTCCAATTTTCGTCCTATCTCCCTTACTCATCCAATTTCCCGTGTTTTTGAACGGATTGTTACTAATATGGTTAGAACTCGCTTTTCTCATAGATTTTCTCAATTTCAATTTGGTTTTTTAAATCGAAGATCTTGTAAGCTCTCTCTTATTAGCTCAATTTCCGATATTCAGAAATCCTTGGCATCTAAAATTTCTGTTGATACTGTCTACTTCGATTTCTGTAAAGCGTTTGACAAAGTCAACCATGACCTCTTACGCCTCAAAATGCATAACTTTGGCTTTGATCAAACTCTCAGTCGTTGGTTTTCCAACTTCCTTTCTAATAGAACTTCGACTGTTAAAAGTAAACCAATCCTTTGCTGATTCTAGTTTCCCTAACCCCTCCGGTGTCCTCCAAGGAACAGTAAGTGGTCCACTTCTTTTTTTGATTTTTATTAACGATATTGAAAATTATATTGATGCCTCCACCTCCATTTCTATTTTTGCAGACGATATAAAAATTTTTAGTAACTGCCCCAGATCTCTCCAAAGCAGCATTAATGGTATCCTAGAATGGTCTCGCATTTGGTCTCTCCCCTTGCTTCCGAAAAAAACTTTCTCAGTTCATTTTTGGTCCTGACAACCCTCGAACCCGATACTTCGTCGACCGTCTTGAAATCCCTCAAAGTTCCATTGTTCGTGATCTTGGTCTTTTTATTGATGATAAACTCTCCTTTAAACAACACATAAATCGAATTTCTGCCTTTGCCACCTTACGCTCTAACCAAATACTTAATACCTTCAAACTTTCTTCTCCTCTTAACTACTTTCGTATGTTTCAAACTTACGTGGTTCCAGTCCTTGAATATTGCTCCGAGCTTTTCTCACCCGCTATTTCATCTGATGAATCCTACAAACTCGAATCATCTCTCCGTCTCTTCAGTCGGAAAGTTTTCATCCGCTGTAATGTCAGCTTCTCTTCTTATTCCGATCGCCTCAATCAGTTTAATATCAAACCTTTGTTCATTCGCCGTAAAATTTGTGATATAATCACCCTACATAAAATTGTCTGTGGCTCTGATCATTGTCTCGATCGCAATAAGTATTTCACTCAATCCCTGTTACAGAGAAATCCACTTCGACTACGGACAGCTGGTCAGTTTTCTAATGACTACTTTCTAGGACTATTCCTCTTTGGAACAAATTAACTTCATATTTAGATTTTAACGTTACCCCAGAAACCCTTCGGAACAAATTGAATAATCTTCCGAATCAAGCTTTTTATGAAAATATCCCTTCTCGCCTACTGTAAAAAATTTCTTCTTACTTCCGGGTACCTGTCAACTCGTTGGGGTTGACTCCTTCCCGCGTATTGTTATTCTCCTGCCCGTCATATGTAGCGACCGCAAAGCCACGCCCCTTTTCGCGAGGGAAAAAAGGCCATTTTTTTGGTATTCCGTCTTTGATTGTTTCGTACAGCCGATAGAAACAATGAAAAATGATGAAAATTTCAGCATAAATGTGGAAAAGGTTCCTCTTTCCGTTGAAAAGGTTTTTAGGTGCTTTCCATGTGTTTCAACGGAGTGTCGTACGGAATAGTGACGCGAGTTCGAAAAATAAACTTAGTTTTGCGTTTTGATATTCATCTAGGTCGCGGACAAGGTTGATTTTTTGAAAACTACTTATAAACAGTAAATGCAATTTTTTTAAGCCAAAAAAATAAAAAAATTCTATGATCGCCGAAAAAAAATTGAGAGGCGCGCAAAGTCAAAAAAATTGTTTTTCTCAATTGCAATGCAGTATTGAAAGGTTTTCATGCTTTTTTCATATTGAGAAAAACATTACTCAAATAATACTTGTTGACAACTACAAGCAAATGTACTGTTTTGAGTGGTAAAAAAGCTGGAGAATTTTTTGCGAGTTGTTTTGAAACATTTCCCGGTCGAGGACACGCGTTTCTTTCTACTCATTTATAAGAGTTTTTTTAATTTTTCAAACAAACAAAGCAATAAAATCAAAAAAATTCAAGATCGCCGAAAAAAATTTTTTTCTTAACAAAAAGGTGAATAAAAGTAGGCGAAATAACATTTTTTTATGGGATTCAAAAGAGCACAGTAGGCTGTATTTGTGCAGTCACTGAGACGAAAAGTGATGGTAAAGTGGAATTACAGCTCGTAAAAACCTTCTCTTTTGGCTCCTGAAACCGTGCCGACCTTGCAAATAAGGGTGCACGCAGATTGCATGCGAATTCGCAAAACCAAAATTTTCAGTGCAAAAAGTTTTTGCTTTTTCGATTACTTTTTAAATATTGTTTTCTCCTCTTAATCTTAATATTTTTTTCGTTTTTTTCTTTTTCTGTTTTTCGCATACTACATGTTAAAATCATTATTTTTTTATAACAAAAAAACGAGGAGCTAGCTTAAGTTCGAAAAAAATAGGTCTGTGGTCCCTAGTCATATGTTGATCACTTATAATTTTTTTCTATACTACCTAATGTTTTTATGGCAGTGAATAAACTATTATTATAATCCAATAGTATCCATTATAATCCAATAGTATCCATTATAATTCATTAGTATCAAATATAATCTATTGAAATTTTTTTAAATGATTTAAATGAGCAATAGAAAACTATATGATGCCTGGAATGATTACAAAAAAATAAAAAAATGTTTATGTCAAGAAAAAGTAAATTCTGCAGAGAAATCGGCTGTAGTGTAGATTATTTAAATAAAAACGATTAGAATTTTTTTGAAAATCCGAGAAATTTTTGAGAATCTAGAGGTTAATAAAAAAATAGAAATAGCAAAAGGTAGATTTCAAAAAAAGTTGAATCCTTGAATGTTATAGAATCTAAAGATCACCATCAAAAAGAATGTAAAAGAGAAGTAGGATCTATAAAAGTAATAGATATATCAAAAAAGATTACAAAAAGAACACCAGAAGAACAAATTGCTTACATTCAAAAAAGTATTGAAAAAGCTTCCTAGAAGAAATACAATCAAAGAAAGGCTTCATGCGTAAGCAAAGCTTACTACAAGTGTTAAAAGACATCAAAATTGGAAAATTTCAAGGGTTTACTCTGTAAACACATAAAAATACTTTAAACATTTCCTGAATCTTCCATCTTTCAGAGTACTAGATTTATCAATAGTTAAAAAAATTATACTTTTTTTAGACCAAATTTCTCTTGTAAACTCAAGAAATTCTTCTTTTTTTAATTTCATTACAATGATCTCTGTAGATGTAATCCAAATTCATCTTATCTTGTGGGAATATTATAAAAGAAGTTAGCGTTTTTCTCTAATTGTATTCTTTGGAAGCTTTTATATAATTCTGTGAAATGTAAAAAAACAATCTACACTAGAGTGCCTTCCTCTAGTATAATATTGTTCTATTTTATTTTTGTTTTTTTCTAATAAAAGATCATCAAAAATTATTAGAGTCTTCTTATTTTTTTGATCAAGTGTTGAAGGATCTGGAATATTTTTCTAAAGAAGAACTACACATAACATCAATAATTCTTTGTGACCCTGGAGATTATTCCACCTTCAGGAGATTTTTTATAATACCATATTTTATTTTCTAGTTCTCCAAGTCCTGTTATTCTCATTGGAACTTGATCAATAAAAATTTAATGTCATTAATTTAACATCTTTTTTTCATTAACTATTGATATATTATCTTCATCAATTTCTTTACAAAAAAAGTAACTTCTACTACACTTTGATCTCCAATAATTGGTCTAACTCTGATGGCAGAAGTATTTAATTGTTTTTTTGTAAATATCTTCTAGGATTTTTCCAGAAGTAGTGACTCCAAGATTTCATTTTGATCATTGAAAAATATCACAAATTATTTCAGTTGTATGTCTTAAAAAGATTATTCGAATTTCTTTTCAAGATATTGGACTTCTCCAGCAGCTTGGAAATCCGTGTACAATTCTCTCTTAGATCTCTTCGAAGTCCTATTTTTTAGGTCTTCTAGTGCATATTCTGCAAATCGATTTACATAATCAGTATAATTTGGAAAAGTATTACAAGCTTCTCTAGTTTTAACAAAATCAGAGATTTCTTCATCTTTAGATCTTAGATACTCAGCATACTTGGTAAAGTGTCACATCCATTTTTTATCAATAAATAATCTTCGTATGTAGGTAATGGAAAAGGCTCGAGGTTTGTAATGTCAATGGCTCTTCTTGTTCTATTAGAAGTATAATTATTGGTATGATTCTGTTGTCTCAATATTTTTTTCCTGTTTTTCTTTTCTCAAATTCTAAATGTTTCTTCATCTTTTTCTTCTCTTCGTCTCTCAAATTCTTTCAATTCTATTTCATATTTCTCACGTTGTTCTTTTTCTTGTTGTCTACGCTGATTTTCATAAAATTCTCGACTTGGTGAATTGAGAGCTTGTGGAATAGGTAATTGTTGTGGTTTTATTGGACGAACAGCAAATCCTTCTTCACTTAAAAGTAAAGATTGACCACAACTACAGGGTGGCCAATAAATATTGAAACCGTTTTTTGTTTGATCGCTGCTTTTTGCACAAAGGACTGGCCTTGGGATTTTTTTTGTTTATTTCGTTCATTCATGCTCACTTATCATTTGTTTGAAGTTACAGCTCATACTTTTCAGTATTCAGGTAATGGTGGCCCCATCTCCGTACCGTACCGCACTCATTGATTGTGTCAAAAGCGGAATGACAAATTCAGAGATCGTTAAAAAGCTGAAAGTGTCTCGTGTTCTCGTTTTTCGAACTGCACAACGCTATCGGCGTCTCGGTACTTCAGATGACATGCAAAGAGGGGACGTCCAGTCACCGTCACGACTCCAGAAGCCGTCAAAGCCGTTCGAGAGAAAATCAGACGCACTCCGAAAAGAAGCATGAGAAAGGTGGCAAAAGAATACGAAATGAGTCGAGAATCGATGAGAACTATTGTCAAGGACCAGCTGAAGATGATTCCCTACCGTATGCAGAAAGGAGCCTTCCTTAATCAAAAAAACAAGACATTACGGATGAAAAAGGCTCGAAAGCTGCTCGCTGGCACGAAAGATGGCTCGCATCTGACGACGCTATTTACCGACGAGAAAATCTTCACTGTGGAGACGAACAAGAACGGCCGAAACCATCCGATCCTCGCTACTAACTATCAGAGTGCCTGTGAAAAAGAAAAAATTCTGAATAAAACTTTGCATCCGGCTTCCGTGATGGTTTTTGCCGGAATTGCCGCTGACGGCAAAACTCGGCTGATTTTTGTGGATCCTGGAGTCAAAGTGAACCAAGTATACTACAGGGAGTAGATTTTAAAGTTGAGGGTGTTGCCCTGAGCCAGTTCTCACTACGGAAACCGACCATGGACCTTCCAGCAAGACGGCGCCCCCGCTCATCGCGCCAAAGGGACTCAAGAGTGGTATCTCATCAACGTGGGAGCATGCGCAATTCATCCTACCGAACAAATTGACTGGCAGCCGAACATCTATGTAATAATATTGAATTGTTTTTCCGATTTAAACGTTACCTAAACTTCAGGTATATCGCAACGAAATGGTGTGACAATTTTGTCCCTATTTCCCACATCATCATCGACGGCAAGGTCCTCACAAACCTCCGCTTCGCCGACGACATCGTACTCTTCTCAAGCTCCACCACCGAACTGTCCTCCATGCTGAACGATCTGGACGAAGTCGGCAAGAAGATCGGCCTTAAGATGAACGTCAAGAAGACGCAGTGGATGAAGAACCGCTTCTGCGACCAAGGCAAAGTCACCCTGGAGGGTCGCGACCTTCAAGAGGTCACATCCTACATCTACCTTGGCCGCGAAGTAAACATGATGAACGACCTGCAAGCAGAGATCGGCAGACGCAAACGCGCTGGATGGGCCGCCTTCAACTCTATCAAAGAAGTCACCAGTCAGCTGAAAGACCCGAAACTGCGAGCTCACATCTTCGAAGCGTCGATAATCCCTGCCATCTCCTACGGTACCGAAGTTTGGCCTGACACGAAGAAAAATGCAACCGCCCTACGAACTTCCTACCGCGCACTGGAACGTGCTCTCATCGGCACCACTCGCTTCGAGCAGTAGAAAAAAGAACAGAGGAGCACAGACCTCCGTCAACTATCCCAAATCCGGGATCTAGAAGAGCACATACAACGCGGGAAACATCGTTGGGGCGGCCACATCATCCGCAGACAAGACGACCGCTGGTCCACGAGATTAACACACTGGATTCCGAGAAACATCAAGCGCCCACTCGGGCGCCCACCGACCAGATGGACGGACTACTTCCGCAAGAACATCAGTCAGCCAGGCCGCCACTGGATGACCGTCGCGCAAGACCGAGCCGTCTGGAGAACGTGTGGTCCACGCTGAGAACATCAGCGAAGATGGACCATCAAAGTATCAAAGTAAGTAAGTATTTCCCACATCGAAGAAGAAGATGTTAGTGCAGATATTCTTGTGCAGATTCTCTTGCTTGGCACTTTTCTTTTTATCGACGATTTACATTCTGATAATTGCGGTCAGTTTTTCAAAATATGAATTTTACTGGTTAAAAAACAAATAATTATTTTCATTTAGGTCAGTGGAAAGGCACCAAAGAGGCGGCTATCGTTGACTTTATGCCGAGAGCATACACTTCGTACACGAATGTTAAGAAGGTCTTAAATTTTTCAATTTTCTTTTTTTCTTTTTCCTTTGTTTTTTTTTTTGCTTGTTTTATGTTATTTTTCCATTTCCAGGCTCTGCTCGACAACAGTTCATCGGTGTATTGGGAAGCGATTCATATTGACGCGTTGGAAAAATGCAATGAGAAATCGCGCTTGGAGATGGCAAAAGAGTGTCTGAAGAAATGGGATCTGCTGTCTAAGATCGAAATGGCCAACGAACAAATCAAGCCCGAGAAGGATCGAATGAAGCGACAAGACATCGGCTTCAAAGGCTTCAACAGTCCTACTGAAGAACTCGATCAATACATAATCGCTGTCAAGGAGAACCTAACGAAATTGACTGTGGTGTTAAATGAAATTGACTGTAATGTTAAATGTTGGCGAGTAGTTGTTGATAAATTGCATGAATATACCTTTAAAATTCTTGATTTCCAATACTTCGACTAAAGCAAGGAGATCTAGATTTGTTAGCGCAGGCAGATCTTTCTCTAGCTTCACCATTTATTTAGCATTTTTTTTTATTCACCGTTCTAGCGCATTTTTCTCGACCATCTCGACCACGGAATTTCGACCATATTTTTTATAACGCACTTTTCGACCTTTTTACCATTTTTGAAAATTGTTTGAAATGACACATTTTTGATGACCGAAGGTTAGAAATCAATGAAAATAAGCCTTAAAATGGCTTAAAAATGAGAAAATTGAGGATGGGCGAAAAGGTGCGCTAGAACGGTATTTTATCTATTATTTAAAAATATCACGGGTTTCAGGAAATTCTCCATCTTTTTATGCGTTTAAAAACTCGTAAAACTGAAAAAATCGGGGAAAAAAGGCGAGAAAAATTTACAAATAAAAGAAATTTGGCTCGAAATTTGCTTGGCGACTTAGTTCCGTAGTCCTTGAGCTTTTCGAAAAAGTTTCTGGGAGTTGAAAGATCAATGATCCTTGTTCCAGAGGGTCTTGTAGGTGAGCACGAGGTTGTGGCCGAGGTTTGTGAAGCTGTTGGGCCTTGCGGGCGGTTGGCGGGCGTCCAACTCTCCATTGGGAGATCTGGTCCGAGCTCGGCGTTCCGAGGCTCTCGCGCCACGTTTGAAGCTGCAAATGGCTTATTTAGACTTTGAAATGAGGAAAAACAGGCTATTTAGAACCATAAATGGGCAAGTTTAAATTTTCAAAAAAAATCCTACTCAGTAATTCTTTAAAAGTTTTTTAACACGCGTTCTCCCAGACAATCGAACAAATGCAAAAAATTTTGGTACAAAAATTTCAACTTTGTTCCTGAGAGCTCTTCTTGCTATCATAGATAGTGAACAATCTCTTGAATATTTAGAACCAGGTTTTATTAGGCTCCGCCCACTTTCAGGCTTACTGTATAAAAAACACCGTAAAAACCAAACTTTTTTCCTAGTGGATCAAATTGGTCCAAACAAATTTTAAAACAAAATAGGTTCTCATTTGAACATTTATAGTTATAGAACTGACCCTGGGAAAAATTTTCTTCCAGAAGAAAAAAATTAAAGTTTTTTGAAAAATGACGATTTTCGCAGTCTTTGATTCATAACTGCTACTAGAACCCCCGAATGCCTGGATTTTTATTTTTTCAATCGACGCATTAGGGTCTTGTGAGTAGAGGAAAAATGTCTAGAAACTCTGAATCCGGGTGATCCAGTTGACCTCCATGTCGGAGAACGCATCCAACTTGAAAATCGCAAAACCTTTGAAAATTTCTATTTTTTGTGAAAGCCGGATTTCGTCTTGTTTCTTATTCTTGTTCAACATAACACAGCTTGCTGCAAAATTACAGCTCAAAAGTAGCAAGCTGGAACCCTTTGAAAAAAAATTTCTGACGTTTTTCTAATTTTTCGTTTTTTCGGCATTTTTAAACTTTTCGCTCTAACTAGTATTAGAACCCCCGAATGCCTGGATTTTTATTTTTTCAATCGACGCATTAGGGTCTTGTGAGTAGAGAAAAGGTGTCTAGAAACTCTGAATCCGGGTGATCCAGTTGACCTCCATCTCGGAGAACGCGGCCAACTTGAAAATGACTAAATTTTTAAAAATCAGTTATTTTCTTGGGAGCAGGATTTTCCCTCACATCTTTTTGCCAATCAGACACAATCCACTCAACACAAAATTGGAACAAAAAGTTATGGCTCTCAAGCATGACGAAATCCAATTTTTCACTTTTTCGGATTCATTGTTTTTTTCTTTCCTTTCCAAGTATTGAGCTCTAGTGGATTAGGATACCTGGAATGCTTAGAGTTTTTTCGTTGTACTGATCCGTTATATCTTCCCAAGTTCTTTAAAAATATTCCCAAGCTCTGTTTCCGGGTGATCCAGTTGACCTCCAAGCAACCGAAGCGGTCGACCTCGAAGTCGAGCGAAATTCAGAAAATTTTCCAAACCGTTTTTTTGCTTCCTAACCAGTAGTTCTCCTCATCTGGAAGGTTTTCAATGGAGTTTCGAAATTTTGTAATAGGAAAAAATTCAAAAAAACGCGTTTCTACTCGAGGAAATTTTTTCACAAGGAAAGGCATTTTACTTTGTGGTTAATATTTCTCAGAAAGTTTGCCAGATTACTCATCGATGTACCAGAAAAATATCCTGAAAGTTTTAACCTGAACAACTTTCTAGTTTTCAAGAAATGAAAACTCAGGATCGAAAAATGGCTTATTTTTGAAGACTAGGATTGTTTTATTCAGCGTTCAGAATTTTTCTCGAGAACTAAAAAGTTGTTCAGGTTAATTTTCTTGCAGGATCTCTATCTGGTACATTAAGGAGTATCCTGGCTGACTTACAGGAATTTCTCAACCACAAGTGAAATCAACTTCCTTGTAAAAAAAAATAACTTACCTCTTATGAGAATGAAGTTTAGACGCAGATATCTTATTGTATTGAAATAACTTACCAGGGAACGTTTTTTACCCCCCGGTTGAACTTTTGCTGAAACTTTACTGAAGTGTACTTTAGGACCCCCTGATTGCAGTTCAAGAAAAAAATTTCTCGCAATAGATCTTGTTTCCGAGTTATAGAGCTTCGAAGTCCTCGAAATACGCAAATTATGACAAAAAAGCGCTATTTCGGGTTTTTGAAGTGTCATAACTGGAAAACGGGATATATTGCGAGAAATTTTCTTTTTGTTCTGGAATCGGGAAGTCCTAAAGTACAGTTCAGCAAAGTTTCAGCAAAAAGTTCAAGGGAGGGTTATTTTTTTAATTTTGATTTTTTTCGGTTGAAATAGTTTTTTCTTTTTCTGTATGAGAAAATTTGTTCAACCTCGAAAATAGGAAAACTTGAACATTTTTCCGTGCAAAAATACAAAAAAATGATTCATCTTGAAAAAAACTCAAAAATTCAAACAATTGGTATCGACAAACAAGATTCTTACTTTTTCACAAAAATAGTATTCACTATTTTTTTCGTAAGTAGTGGCTTTACGTAAGTTAGAACTTTTTTTAGGCGAAATACCAGGGAATTCCAGATTATTCGACAGACAGGGATATTGCTGGGGCTGCGTCCCGTCGAAAATTTTTTAAAAAAATTCTGACAAAAAAATAAAAAAATGAGCTAAAAAAATAAAAAAATTGACGCTAGCAATTGGTGGAGACTACACTGAAAACCCTCCAGATGAGGAGAACTACTGGTTAGAAAGCAAAAAAACGGTTTGGAAAATTTTCTGAATTTCGCTCGACTTCGAGGTCGACCGCTTCGGTTGCTTGGAGGTCAACTGGATCACCCGGAAACAGAGCTTGGGAATATTTTTAAAGAACTTGGGAAGATATAACGGATCAGTACAACGAAAAAACTCTAAGCATTCCAGGTATCCTAATCCACTAGAGCTCAATACTTGGAAAGGAAAGAAAAAAACAATGAATCCGAAAAAAAGTGAAAAAAATTGGAAAAATTTCGTCATGCTTGAGAGCCATAACTTTTTGTTCCAATTTTGTGTTGAGTGGATTGTGTCTGATTGGCAAAAAGATGTGAGGGAAAATCCCGCTCCCAAGAAAATAACTGATTTTTAAAAATTTAGTCATTTTCAAGTTGGCCGCGTTCTCCGAGATGGAGGTCAACTGGATCACCCGGATTCAGAGTTTCTAGACACCTTTTCTCTACTCACAAGACCCTAATGCGTCGATTGAAAAAAATAAAAAAATCCAGGCATTCAGGGGGTTCTAATACTAGTTAGAGCGAAAAAGTTTAAAAAAATGCCGAAAAAAACGAAAAAAATTAGAAAAAAACGTCAGAAATTTTTTCAAAGGGTTCCAGCTTGCTACTTTTTGAGCTGTAATTTTGCAGCAAGCTGTGTTATGTTGAACAAGAATAAGAAACAAGACGAAATCCGGCTTTCACAAAAAAAATAGAAATTTTCAAAGGTTTTTGCGATTTTTCAAGTTGGATGCGTTCTCCGACATGGAGGTCAACTGGATCACCCGGATTCAGAGTTTCTAGACATTTTTCCTCTACTCACAAGACCCTAATGCGTCGATTGAAAAAAATAAAAAAATCCAGGCATTCAGGGGGTTCTAGTAGCAGTTATGAATCAAAGACTGCGAAAATCGTCATTTTTCAAAAAACTTTAATTTTTTTCTTCTGGAAGAAAATTTTTCCCGGGTCAGTTCTATAACTATAAATGTTCAAATGAGAACCTATTTTGTTTTAAAATTTGTTTGGACCAATTTGATCCACTAGGAAAAAAGTTTGGTTTTTACGGTGTTTTTTATACAGTAAGCCTGAAAGTGGGCGGAGCCTAATAAAACCTGGTTCTAAATATTCAAGAGATTGTTCACTATCTATGATAGCAAGAAGAGCTCTCAGGAACAAAGTTGAAATTTTTGTACCAACGGTTAATCGAAAATCTCGGAGAGTGTTAAAAAAATTGCACGATCACCATATAAAAGTTTATCCGATTAACCAAGTTTTAAAAAAACTCATTCTTTGGCGGAGAAGGAAGTCCTTACCTTAAATTGCGATCCATTCCCCTCAAGCCAGTCTCGAGGAAGGAGGAATTCTGCTCCAGCGACACGGAATGACCGTAGTTCTCGAGCCAGGACTGCCGCCGGCCTCGCGCCGAGTTCCCCGAGTGGACGCTGTCGTCCGAAATGTCCGACCCGTTGCCTGAAGCTGCAAACGATACGTTTCAGCCTTTTCCTGTATTTTATGAGATTTCTACTTTTTTTTGATTCGGAAGTATATTGAGAAAAAACTTGTACATATCCTGAAACGCTCAAAAACGGGCAGTATAAAATGGTGGAATTTTCTCCGGCCCACTTGAATCATAAAATACTAGGATATTGCGAAATTCTCAAAAAGCTCCAAGCTTCCGTTTTTTTTCCAGGTAATTTAATGAGCCAGCCATTCTTAAGAAATCGACTTAAAAAACTAAAAAATAACTAAAAAAATATTTTTAAAAATCACAAACAAGCTGGAGCAAAAGTGCCGCCATTCTGTATAGTCTGTTCAGATTTTGAATGTCAAGTCGTCGCTCAAGCTCCGCCCCTGATGGCGCGATAAACCAATCAGAAGGCGAGCCATCCACGGAGCATTCTCGAATGACGTCATCGAACTTGACATTCAAAATGTGAACAGACAATATGTAATGATCAAGTTTCAAAATGAATTTACGGGAAGAGAATCCTTCTGAATTTCTCGGGTAATGTTAGAAAACTCTGTCCCCTCACCTATCCGAATACTCATATCGCTCTCCAAAGATCCGCGACTGTCCCGTGATTCCCTCCTTCCACGGTCTTCCAGTCGGCCATCAGCCGAGAGAAACGACATTTTCCTCGAGTCACTCGAGAAAGAAGGCCTCGCCGCGCTGATCATCACCCTCGGCAAGTTGGTGCTGCTCATCGACACGCGCCGGTTGCCGAGTCTTCTGAAAAATCAGTATTTTCTCCTCCTTCCTCCCCCTTCCCAAACTTGAAAATTTCTGAATCTCAAGGCTTCTTGTGAGCTTTTCATTCAATTTTCTATTTCACTGAATAAAATCTAGAAATATCTAGAAATCAACTACTCTCGAAAGGTTGTTTTTCCACTACTGAGAACCATATAATGCTCTCCATCAATCTAAACCCTACTGTAGCCGTTTCCCTTCTCTCGATACGGTACACAATCTACCGTAACCACTCACCCGAGGCCCAAATGTTGCTGTTGTTGCTGCCGATCGTCGTTCTCATAGCGGAGTTGCTCTACGACGTCCAATAAGATCCTCACGCTGCTCATGACGTCATCAAAGTGGGCGGAGCTTAAAAAAAATTCAAGGATCACATTCAAAAATCACAAGGAACTTCTGAAGGTTAAAATTTGTTTAGAGGTATGAAAAGAGCGTGAATTGGAAGGTTAAAAATCTTTGAATGAATAGCCTCAATAGAATGGATATTCGCTGTGTTTTAAGCTCCCAATCGAAGCAAAGAGCAAAAATACCTATGAATTCTTAAATTAGATTTAGGAGTTACCTCAGTTCTCTACAAGAAAGGCCAATGACGAGCGGGTTCAACAAATGAACGCAAACTTGCTGGGCATCGCGCATCCTCACGGGGTCCCGTGTCACGATCCTTTGAACAATCCCTACAAAATCTCGCGTTTCAAGACGGTCTTCAGGGTCTCTATTCACTAGATTTGGCATGGATGATGACAGGATGATGAGCTGAACACAGCGATACACACTGCATGAGTTGTTGGAGCGAAGCGTTGTCACAGCGGTCCGAAAGCTGAGCCAACGTCGCCAAAAGGTCCAGTTGTCTCTAGAAAATATTCAAAATCGAGAAAAGATAGCTAGAAAAACTGTGTATCTAACTGAACATGTTGAAGGATGAAGTTCAACGACGAAATTTTCAGAAAATAAAAAATAATTTTGTAAAATCGATAATGGACATTAAGAAGTAGACTTTTTTCAAGAGATTTTCTATATCTTATTCACCGGAACGTTATCATGAAGATACGGCGGAAGGCACATGAAGGCTGGCATCAGCTTCTTATTAATGAAGCTGAGGGGAAGGTAATCGGCGACATGTGGTAGGCCTCGTATTGCCGAAGACTGAAAATGTTTCAATGAATCATGAAAAAAAAAAGTTACTATGCCGTGATCAAAGTGATTCCATGAAATAAAAAAAAGGCGTCACAAATAGAAAAATATAACTAAATTTTGGAGAGTCAGAGACCATTTTGCTTTCATGAGAGTTACTTTGCACACGGTATTACTTTCCTTCTATTTTTCTCAAATGATTGAACACCTAACATCCGAATTCATATTATATGGATTTCCCATTGAAAAGGTGCTTTGTTCTGCGGATCGATTGCGCATTTCGAACATATCCGATTTTCTTTTCGTTTTCTCAGCTTTTCTTGAATACACGTTCTCTTTTAAACGGAAAACGAACCTGTACACTGGTGTCGTCGGACTTGAGCGAATGAACGATCAAATCCATGCATTTGTCCTCCACGAGGTCGTCGGAAAGCCGCCGGAACAGCACCGACATGTTTTCCAGGACAAATGCTCGAAGCTGGAAAATTATATCATTTTTCTTTTTTTTTTCTCTCAAAATACTAATCAAAAATTCAAAAAAGGTTCTAAAATTTAATTAAAAAAGAACTAACTGTGAAAAAAGCTACTAGCGAATCCAAGAAAAGATTTAACTCGAAGGAATTTTGCCTTGGGCGATTTTTAGCTATGCAAACAAAAAACGTGATGTCAAAACGAACGCAATGAAATTTTCAACCGAACTTTAGAACGTCGAAAGCTTTGTGGAGATATATTTCGTTTTTTGTTTTAAAAGTATTTTTTTGAATTTTTAGGTGTCTAAATTTTGCATTTATTTTCCAGCGGGATGACTTTTCAAATGATTAGATTGAGTTTTTGACTGTATTTTGCGTGAAACTTACCTATATTATCAGCTTCAAATGAAAGAATTTAGTATTCTAAAACTTAAAAATTTTTTTTCTCACTTTTCTCTCTGAACTTAGACTCATCTCTCAAACTTGTTCGACGGAAATTCTTTCAGAAAAGCAGAAATTTAGAAGAAAATACGCCAAAAAAACCGATGTAAATACAAAAAAAGGGGTGCCGGGAAAAAGAATACAATATATATTTATATCTCAGTCAATTAAAACGCCCTTATTCAGTTAGAGACGTCAAACACGTTAATTGTAGTCATCAGAGAGGTGAGAGAGACGAAAAATCCAAACGGATGACGTGAACTTTATTCTTTTTGGAGTAATATGCAGAAACGCCTACGGCGCTACAAATTTATTTTTGCTCTTTTCCCTCTACATTCCTAAAATCGGATAATTGGAACTAGGGGAGAGAGTTCGATGACGCAGAGATTTCTCAAGGGCCTCGAAATTTTTTTATTTTTGCTTTTTTCTCGAAAAATTCTCTGAAGAGAAAATACTTAAGAAATTGTCGAAATTTGAAACTTTTTTCTCGCTTAAGCCTCCGTTTTTTTTTATCGAAGCTGCAAAAATGGAAAGATTTACTTGGCATTCAAATATCCTATGACATCATTTAAAACGAAATTTTTAAGGATTGTTCTGTCTGAAAACTTCTCATAAAAACCGAGAAAAAGTGCACTTTTGCCCACACTAACTATTTTACAAGATTTTCACCGATTTCTGCGATGTCTGATCCATAATTTTCCGCATCCAGGTCCTGAGCTTGTGGATATTGTGACTTTCACAGTGTTCCAACATAAAAAAGAGCGGTTTGGCGATCGCCGAGCACAATTCCACTGAATCGAACAATTGCTCGTTGAATCGCGGCAGGACCCGTGTGAACCAGACGATCTGGAAAGTGATATAAATTGAGCGCATTTTCTTGAAAAAAAACGTTTGATGAGCATGAATTTTCGAAAAACGATAAAGTTTAGATAAATATAAATAAATGTAATCAATTTTCAGCACCGAAAATCAAAAAATCTGACGAAGTCAATGATAAGCACCTCAGGAACGTTGGGAAGAGCCGCATGCAGGGTGTGGCTCAAAAAATGGGATTTTTGTGACGGATCGAAGACTTGGGATATGTCGTCCAACTGTCGCAGTGCAGATAGAGCCGGATCGTCGAAGTGCTTGATCTGAAACTTTTTATTCAGTTTGGATTTTTGTAGTTGTGTAACTTTAAAAGAGAAACGTTATTCGAAGTTTCATAACAATTTTGAGACACTTGAGATCATACTAGGAAGTTCAAGGTAATCCTATTCAAGCCTAAAGTCTGAAGAAACAAAAAGTCACTTCTAGCATGTAGAACTCCCTCGAGGTTTTTCAATAAAACATAAAAAAATATATTCCAATGATATTCAGTCTGTTCAGATTTCGAATTTCCAGTACACTCGGCCAAAACTGAAAAGCTCCCCAAAAGCTTTTCTCTAAGAAAGCCCTTGAAAGGGTCCCCAGCAGATCTTTTTTATATCATTTCAATTATTTTTTGCATCTTTTCACATCCTCTAACAAAAAGGATGCTGGGAAGCAACTAAAAAGATTCGAGAGGATTCAAAAAGGATCCTATGAAAAAGGTGCTCAAAAGCATAAAATTTACATCATTTAGGAGCTTTTAGAGGAAGCTTTTTATCTCCCTCTCTGGATCCTTTAAGGATCCTCAAAGGAACTTTTCCGTTTTACCTATGCAATGACGTCATTCGAAAACGCTCTGTGGGTGGCTCGCTGTCTGATTGGTTCATTGCGCCATCAAGGGCGGGGTTAGAGCGACGACTTGACATTCAGAAACAGAATACCGTTTTCGAATGAAAACAGCACGTCAACATGAGAGAGTCGCAGAGAGACGCGGAGGGAGCAGAGAAATCCCTCCCTTTCAAGTAACCAAAAACGGATAATATAATCACTTCGAAGCCACGAATTCGCTTCAGTTTCATTTTTCGAAACTTCGAGGAACTGTTTTTAATGTATGCAGAAAATGTTGGCGTCGAGCATATTCTTTCAAGTGTTCACAGATTTGTGCCATAATCAACTTGGTTTTAAATATCTACTTATTATGATTCTATGTTTCTTTTCTTACACAAAAAAAACTTTTTTCTTCACAGGTGGGGTTAGTTAATCCACCTAGTGGTCTTTTTCCCTCCCTGCAACATCACCATACCATCCCGATGTCGCGAAAAATAAACAAATTGATTGATTGATTGTTTGATTGAACTCTCCAGTCGAAATTTCAACCGAATCAAGTCCCCTTAAGAGGTCACTTGGGTCTAACCTTACCAATGACAAAAGCTGAACGGTAGGCCTGACGTCGACTTCCAAACTCAGTACTTTGCTCAGAGAATCCTTCAGATTCGGTCCGAGTTCCTCGGATATGCAGTTCAATGCTTCATTCAACTGAAAAATTAAAAATTATATTTTTGCAAGGATAAATTATCACCTGCCCGCAGATGATTTGATATGTCTCGAGGTTGTTTTTCGCGTCGATCAATTTCTTGCCGCCTGGAAGGAAAAAATAAATGGCTCTCAAAATTTTCCGATGCGTCAAGTGCAGTCTGTTCAGATTTTGAATGTTAAGTCGTCGCTGAAGCTCCGCCCCTAATGGATGAACCAATCAGAAAACAAGCCACCCACAGAGAGTTTTTAAATGACGTCATTGAACTTGAAATTCAAAATGTGAACAGATTACAAGAAAAAAAATTCGAAATTTTTAGAGTTCGAGAGAAATTCGAAATATTGAGCGCCTTTGCAGTGCTACTTTTCACGAACCAGCATAGATCCAACAAATCAAGACGCCGAGGGAGAAGACGTCGGCGGCGCAGGTGACGGTGTGTTGATTGGCGGCCAGGTATTCCGGAGCCAGAAAATCCAGATCCGGCTGCAGACACGGCGGCAGCTTTTTCGTCCAGGGGAAGCACGGGTAGGAGTTCTTCAAGATGAATGATTATTTATTTGCTTTCGAAAAATAGGTTGAAGAAGGCGCTCTACTGGAAAGAAAAATTGGAACTCTTCCAGACTTGAAAATGATGAAAAAAAGATAGGAAACCTTCAAAAAGCCTTTCGTCACATGCCTCGTTTGAAAAAGCTCAAAGAGTATTTTTGAAGACCCATTTTAAAAAAGACCAAGAAGCTATGAGAAAGTTAAAATTCACGGCTTACAAAAAGGGTCTTGTCAAGATGAAGAAAAGAAACAGTGTGTGCTTTGTGGAGAGCACAGACAGGCCACGCCCACTTGGCGACCCAAGTGAGCTGTGAATCGGGAATACATTGTAACGATGAGGTCACACATAATTTTCAATAAATGTTCATCTTAACATTTGCTGAAAATCCTCAAAAAATGCAGAGACGAACAGGCTCCTTGGCGCTGACGGCGAACATGAAGCCGGCGATTTTCCAGAGCCTCGTGTTGGTCACGTATATCGCGGCTGGCGTCAGGTTTCCGTGGAGGATTTTCGCCGAATTGTGCAGATATGAGAGGCCGTCGATGATCTGAGAATTATTTATCCATTTAATTGTCGTCTAAGGAAATTTTTGGATCAGTAATCGCTGTATGATCTCAAAATTACTCTTAAAAACGCCTTTTCTCTTCGATTTTCAAGCTTTCTCAAACCGTTCTTGACCTCAAGGTATCTATCAATCTCGAAATGCTCCAAATGGGATCGAAAACGACGATTTTCGCAGTCATTTGTATCAATCATCAAGAAAAAAAGGGTTATTCTGGATCAAAATGAGCAATTTCGCAACGATTCTCACAAAAAAAGGAACCTGCAAGACGCCCAACTTGGTCTCGAGCCGATCCACCGTCTCCTCAGTGACTACCGTATCTAACGAGGAATAAATCATTTCCGTGGCGAACGCCATGAAATCTCTGAAGAATCAATCTTGCTCTATTGATAACAAATTCGCTCACTTCGAATCTTCCAATCCATGCTGAGTATGTAGGATTCTTGGGTGGATCAAGGCGCAAAGTTGGTTCACCTCGTACCTAAAAAAAATTACATATTTCTAAATTTATCAATATTCAAAGCTACGCGAAATTTTTTTTCTGATAGTGTTGAGAAAAGAACCGAAATGATGATTTAAAAATGACATTCCTTTTTCAAATAAAAGTAAAAGGCGTGGATGCTCTTGAAATGGCTCAAAGCGTCGGGGAGACACATAAGATCGAAATAATGTTTTTGAGAGTCTAGAGCGCAAGTTGTTTTAAGTCGGGCGCAACTTAGATGTATTTCGAGTGTGATCATGATTTAATAAATAACTAGCGAAATTTCAAAAATCGAAATATCGATAAACTTGATGAGGTCCGACAGGGCGAACTTGTTCATCCGGCCGATCCTCGGCGGCGCTTTTATGTTGTTCGTTTTTCTTGTCAAAAAAACCAACACCGAGGCTTCCTGAAAAAAATATTAGCTTTGTGAAATTTTAAAAAAAAATCGAAAAAAAGACGTTTTATTGAAAGTTGTCAAACTTTTAATAAAACCGTCATTTTAGGAGAAAACTCCTGTAAAAACCTTGATTTTTTTCCTAAAGTTTTTTTGAAAAAAAGGAAAAAAAATGTTTCTGTTAATGAGAAACAGTTATAAGATATATGAAATTATGTTTATTCATTTTTCCTTCAAAAATTAAAAAGAAGAACCTTGTCGCCGAACTGGCTTCGAGCGTTGAAAAACACTCCAATGGCCACATTGGAGCCGAAAATCGAGGATTTGGAAGTTCTTTTCGAGCGGGACAGGTCCATTTCCAGGTCCTTGAAAATATTCATATATGAAAAATGAGAAAAAAAAACTTGAACATTTCCCTCTAAGGCAAGCTTGTGCGTCAGGGCGGGCGACCCGGCCCGTGCTTAGAACCTCATTTTTTGAAAAAAGCCTGCGCATGCTTGGGCCAGACAAGGCTTCGGAAAAATTTGTTTAAATTTCGTCCAAAACTTTTTTTTAAATTTCAAATCATAGTTTTTGTTAAAATCTACGTGAAAAAATAAGACAAACGTGACTTTTAACGTAAAAAAAAACTCAATATTTGACTTGAAAAAAGTTGAGCTCTTTGGGCCGGCCATTTTTTTTCAAAGCCACGCTAAGGCCGGGCCGGGCTTAGAAAATGACCAGGGGGACTATAGGCTGACGGGCCGGCCCTCGCACAAACCTGCTCTAGGGCCCTCTCTACAAGAAGCGTGCACGGTGCGAGCACTGATTTTGCACTTTTTTGTTGCACGGTGCATGTTGTCGTTTTGCCCCTCGCAATTTTGGGTCTTTTTCAGTGCGGGTGTGGTGCAACACCGCACGGTGCTGACACTCTGGACCACAAAACTAAACATGCTTTGCTACTCAATTTAGGCCTTTTCTTTCTTCATCATCCGACTTTTCTAACGAAAAAAATCATCACTAAAACGAAAAAAAAAGTATAAATAACATGTAGAACTGATGGAAATAGACTGAATTGACAGGATTTCGAATACCCAATTTTCTGATTCGGAGTGTCAGCACCGTGCGGTGTTGCACCTCATACGCACTGAAAAAGACCCAAAACTGCGAGGTGCAAAACGACAACTTGCACCGTGCAGCAAAGTAGTGCAAAATCAGTGCTCGCACCGTGCAAGCTCCTTGTAGAGAGCTAACCCTAGGCGTACCATTGTCCGTTGAGCTATTTTTTTCTTTTATCCTTTGATTTTTTTCACTTTTAGCTGATTTATTTGTTTTCTGCTCAGCTTTTGTAAAAAAAAAAGTTCATTCAAAGTTTGCCCTGAGGTTTCAAAGACGTAGAAGTCCAGGAAGTTCGAAAATTCCACTGCGCACGGCTTTTTGTCTCAATACTTTTATACAAACTGATTTTTTTATAAGCCCAATAAAACTTTTTGAACAGATTTTGCTCAAACTTGAAGCGTTCATTTGATGAATATTGGAAAATATTTTTCAGGATAAGTGCTGTGAAAAGGAATTTCGACGAACCAAGAGGTGAGACGAGCGGTGGCGAGACGGCCGGTCGATTTGGAACAAGAGAAAGTTCCTGAAAGTATTTTTTTTCGAAAAGAGTAAAAAGGCTAAAAATTATTGATTTTCCCAAAAAGCAGAGTTTCTTCAAAGAAAATGAAGAAAAGCTGTTCAAAACTTTTTTCAATCAATACCATGATAGAGATGATTTCAAGATATTCACATCAAGGAAACATAGAAATTCAGAAAAAAAAATCAAAAGTTTACTGATACTTATTCTCCGAAAAGCCATAACTTCCCTCCAACTACTTCACATTTTGAGAAACAAACACCCTTCGAGAGGAAATTTCAAGATCTTCCCAGCAAGCCCAAACTTGGCAGGTAAATGGAAGGATCAATGACGAACCGGCGATTTCGCGTGGTGCTCACTCACCTTGAGCGGAAACCCGAAATTCTTCCGAAACGACGACGCCGGCCGACATTTGTGCATGGCCCAAGTCACCCTTTTACAAGATTTTTCATGAAATTTATCAAGATTTGACAAAAGCGATGAATGAAGTGAGAAATTGGTGAAAAATGAAGAAGAAAAGCGCGAAAATGATAACAAAAAGGTCGGAAGCTTCGAAAATATTTTTCCTCTTCAAAATCAAAAGGACTTCTATTTTGGTTGATAATGAGAACTTCGATATTGAACTTTGGTTTCCATTCCAGAAGACAGAAAAGGAAAAATCGATCAAAATTGTGTTAAAAAAAAGCGTTGACTATTGAAATGAAATTTAATATAGATAAAAAATGGACGAAAACTGCTAAGTGTATCAAAAAAAAAATCCGTTTAGAAAGAATTGAAACTCAACCTTCAAAAAAAAAACTTGCAATTGAAAAAATGAAAATACAATTTTTTTGAAAAAAAGGTATAAAACCGCATCTGGAGGTGCCGGGCAAAGAGCGTTATAAGTAGTTTGATGAAAATGTTTTGATTGAATGTAGAAAGGTCTTGAAGCGAAGCCCTCTTCCGAAGGTAATTCGGGCTCTTCGTCTTTAAAGTTCCCAGAAGGCTTCACCTTCTAAAAAAAGAAAAGTTAGAAGAAGAAGTGCAAAAGTTAGAAGGCGTCGGAATGTCTCATCTGGTCGGATAGCTCATCACATCACGCGATCCGCTCTTCTTCTTCTTTTTTCCTTTTTTTTAATTGGCCGCTCGCCAGGAGCCATCCTTTTCTCGCTCTTCGCCTTTTAATTCCAGGAAGCGTCCATCCCAAAAAAAAAGGATAAAAACTAACAGACACTGGGAAGGATATCTGCTCCCGCTCCTCAATTATACTACTAGTTTTGGAGCGCAAACATCGAAGCCAAGTTTCGGGAGAGAAATCCGAGCTTTGAACTGAATGAAAAAGTAAGAAAAAGGTCTGGGATGGTGAATATTGGAAGAACAGTGAGCTGGACGAGTCTTTGAGGAAGAGATTGAGCTTCTAGAGCTTCTAACTCCACCTCGAAGTTGATGAAATCAAAGGAAAGAGCTCCCATTTTCAAAACTTAATGTCTTGGACGAGTAATGTTTAGAATTCGGAACTTTAATGATTCGAAATTGACCAACTGGCTCGAAATCTCAATAAAGGTGAGCTGGACTAGACAAAATCAAAATTTTCGGAGCTTCGAAATCAATCTTGACGTTATAAAAAAAAAGAAAAAAGTTCAAGATCTCCGAAATTGATAATGAGGGCCTATATAACCTATAATCAAGAGTCCGCAATTTTGGCATAACCTTAAAATGATCAAAAATGGCAAAAACGGTAGCTGGAATTGAACCTCGGACTTCTCATAAGCCTGAAGTTTCGAATATGCTTTTGGAAATCAAAAAGAAATACTAAACCTAGCTAAACACATCCTTTTCAATACCACTTGAAATCCCCGTAGCCGCACTTGGAATGGTTCAAAGTGCCGCGGTCGCGTTGCGGCCTGCTTTATTGCATTCTGAATCTTTCGAGCGCAGGATGTTTAGGGTCGGACGCGAAAAGCAACAGTTTGAGAGCGGTAATGAGATTTAAAGTTTATTTTATAGATTCAAACAAGCGTCATTTGTTCTCTGTTTAACAAAAAAATCGGATCTCAAGTCAAAAGTAAGGAAAATCTCAATAGAAAAGGGCAAATTCTAGAAAAAACTTCTGAAAAAAAAATGAAATTAGAATGGCGCCGACACTGGCGTTGCCACGGGCGATTCGGAAGTATTGCCCGAAAATTTCTGAGTACACTTTTATTTATTTTTAGCCGTCAAGTGATTGTACATCTAATATTTAATGTGATTCTCGGCGTTTTTCACATCTTTAGTGGACTCTTACGGTGTTCTGAATGTTTGTCACAGCGACCTGAATCAGAAATAAAACTTAGCAAGTTTTCTCAATGGTACTTCAGAAGAAAAGTCTGATAAACTATACAAAGACCTAATTAAGCGGCTGAAGTTGGGCAGGGAAAAACCAAAAATGGCGGCTCAAATGTCCAAAAATAAGACGACAGGAGGCCTCCGAAGAAGTGTAATCGAAGCCACACGACGACGTCTTCATGTGACACAAACAAGTAGAAGAAGACGACGACGACGAAGAAGGAGAAGCTGAAGAGGAAGAGTTGCCCCAGGGCATTCCATAGAGATATTTTGTGTTGTAAAAAAGAATCTGAGACAGCAATGAGAGCTGGATATGTTCCTAGTTAACAGGAAAAAACAAGAAGAAGCATTTTTTGCAATCAGAAGATCTCAGGGTTGATATATAGGAGACAAATTGGTCTGAAACTGCGCAGGTTCGAGTCCGTTCAAGGAAACGTGATATTTTTTATTTAAACTTTTTACTTTTGACATACAAGGGGAACCTCGCAACACAACTGAATCAAATTTAGATATTTTGGACGTGAAATTAGAAATCGGCGACTACGATTCTTGGCGAAGATACGGAGAAAAGGGCAAACTGGCGACAAATTGCTTGTTCGAGCAATTTAGAGAAGGTCGGATAACGTTCTTGATGGAATCTGGAGAAGATTGGTGAGAATTTCGGTGTAAAATGATATGAATGAAGTGAAATTTGTTCTCGGAAGAAAAAGGAGATGAAAATGGCAAAAACGGATAAAGGATGCGAACCTATGACCCTTGGAGGCAAAAGAGAGTTTCTTAATGTTGAAAATCAGAGATGAAGTCCCATGAACCCGTTGATATTTGTTTGCCCAAAAATGTCGTGAAAAAAATCAAAAAAACGAGAAGAGAAATCGAACTTAAGACGTTTTTTTGACGAAATTTTTTTCGAGCAGATTTTTCAACCTTGAAAAAGATTATATGTAGTTTTAATAACATAGAAAAAAATGTTTGGATGAAAGTCAAGATTAACAGAGTATTCGAACTGTTTTTCATGTTTTTCGACCGCGAAAAATATTGAAACTCTTTTTTTTCTGTTATCAAAATCAAACCATGTTTCTTAGAAACAAAGTAAAACAATAATCAACCCTTAACGAAATTTCAAGCTCTCCCTACCAGTTTTTAAACTTGACTTAAAAGTGGAGTATCTGGAAAAATTTTTTTCAAAAAAATGGTTCAAACCCACAAAAAAGGTAATAAAAAGTTGAACAGAAGTAAGAAGGAAAAAAAACAGAAGCGATAGAAGAGAAATATTGTGTGAAACGAGGGCTCGGCGAATTAGGCGACGGCTCCGTGGCAAAATGAAATATTCACCGTCCGGCGGCCAATTTGATATATATTTTCCTCTCCTTCTACTTTCCCCACTTCAATTTACTTACTGCATTATGATCTTTGTCGAGTTGAAAGGTTGAGAAGTTGAAAATTAGAGAAATAATAGAAAAAGGGACAAAAAACATGCTTTTGGACCAACTTTCAAAACTCATTGATAGAATCGAAAGCTTAAAACTAATGTAAGATCCGAAAAATCCGAAAAAAGACGAAACTGAAAAAAATTAAATTCACAAAGAAATTGAAGGCGCAGAAGCCTGAAGCTTCTGCAAGGACCTCGGTCAACCAGAACGCTCCTGGGTGACCGTTGTCGCCTGGAAAACGTCAGGTCCACGCTGAGAACATCGCCAGAGACGTTGGACCATCCAAGTATCTAAGTAAAGAAAAGAGGACTGAAGGCAATTTTCGCGGCAAAACTCTTTTCCGGATTTTTGGAATTTTCGAGCTATTCATTGTTGGAAACGCCCGATTGGTCCCTATAGGAGCAACCTTAGGCCCTTGAAGGTCCCTCTCTACAGACGATTTCCCGTGTCCCTACAGGGGGCACTAAAGCTTGCAAAAGTGGCTCCTATAGGGGCTCCATAGAGACCGCTTTTTTGTCCCTAAGCTGTTTTTCATGCCGCTATCACCAACTAAAAAGTTAAACTACTAAGAGAAGCATCAAAAACTGTGAAATATTATAACAGTCCAATAATACCATCTTTAAAAGTTGGACTTATTTTCCGAAAACTAATTTTCCTGAATTATGTATTTGCTTATTGGCAAGTTAAAAAAATTTCATAAATGAACCCTACAAGATAATTGTTCTACTAAACGAAAAAAAAAAGAAAAAACTAATTTTCCGTAGCAGGAAAGTAATTCTCTAGGGCCAAACTTCATTATTCTCCATTCATTATTTTTCATTTTGTGTCATCACTCGTGTTTTGTTCAAACCGCTGCAGGAAATTAGAAATTTGCAAAGAGAGGAAAAAAGTTAAAGAGCACAGGGGGAAAACAAGGTGGCCAACGTGGGCTATAACTAGAAAAAACTCAGGATTTTTGGGTTTTTTTTATTCTAGAAATGATGAAGAAACCACGATTTTTCTTGAACTGAATGAAACTTTATTAACCTTGAATAAATTGAAAAAAAGGGTCAGATCGAGAGAGAGAGAGAGAGAGAGAGAGAGAGAGAGAGAGAGAGAGATTTGTTTTTGACTCTATGATTGAATTTGGAATGGCTAAACGGGTTGCGGTCGCGATGTGGTTCAATGTTAACTACGAAGCTCACCACAGTAGATTCATAATTGGGTGCAGACGCATTGAGCCATTCTCCATGCGACCCTTTTCCATTTCTATTTATATCTCTCAAGATTATAACTTTTTTTTCTCCCATGTTTTCTTTACTTTTTTTTTCATCAAGTCCAAGCGGAAATGCGCTCAATTGTATTCTTTTTTTTTCTCTGATACCCAACAAAAAAAGAGGAAATGAAGAAAGACGTCAATGGAACTTGAGTCATAAGGAAGTTATAAGTCACAAGTTTGAAGGGTCATAAAAACAAATTTAGAGCTATGAAAGACGAATTAGAAGCTTGAAAACTCTCACGAATGGCATATATGTCCAAAAAATATCTTCCTTTATATTTTTATGACTTTTGAAACTCTTTTTCTTGACACTAGATTTAGCAAAAAGCTGTTGAAGCTGAAAATAAAAATAACAAACTTTCAAAACTTTTTTCATTCAAACCTGGGAATACCGGCGGATGGCCTCGAACATTTACCCTCACGGAGAACTAGAGTTGAACATTTTATTTCCTGAAAATGAGAGTGAAAATGATGAAATCACCTTGACACAGGAGGCCGACGGATGCCGGAGGAAAGGCAGCGGCGGAGCGATGCCGCGTTGCGGTATCGTCGCCCGCGAGACGGACAGCTGGCGGCCGAATCCCGCCGCGCTCATCGCCGCTTCGCGAACATTTATTTCTTTCTGATTTTTTGAATTAATTTTTTGAAGTTTCTGACTTTTAAAATTATTTAAGACAAGGAATCATATCGCGAATATAAAAAATGTGAAGAAAAGGTGGTTTTATATAGAGAATTGAAATTTCAATCGAACGCGTATGCGGCCGCGTCGCGTGTTCAATTTTGTATTTAAAATTAAATTTGAATTTTTTTCGTAAAATATAGAACCGAGAATAAGGACAAGTCTAGAACATCTTATTATATGAAAAAAAAAGTTCTGCCTAATATATTAAGATAACAACGAACTGTCAAGCTTTCTTGGCCTAGCGGCTGAACACTTCAAATATTAATCGAAAGGTCGCAAGATCGAATCTTTTTTGCCTTTTCCCAACTAATCTCTACTTTGAAAACCGAACTTATTTCGTAACATCCAATTAAATCCGAAAGTCTAGACTCCATTAAAAAGAAGCCAATGAATTCATGGAAGCCTTAAATTGGAGTTAATTTTAATTTTTTTTTTCTCAAAAATTTTCTCAGAGCTTTGATGTTTCGAAATGACGCAGGAAGGCCTGGAGTCAACAATGGTTGGAAAAGGTGGCAAAAATGAGTAAATTGCGTTGCTATGATAAAAGAGGTGAGAAAGGCGGCGACGTGTGTTGAGCGACGGCCGGGGAAAAAAAGAAGCAGATATGCGTATAAAGTAAACGAGATATACGTAGGTATTTGCCTAGCTCAGCCTCCAGGAACAAAGTTTCCAGCCCGGCCCCTCAATGACTTGAAAAATAATTGAAATTTCATAGGGCCGCACCGCGCGACTTCAAACTATGGAAACCATGAATATGAGGATATGGGAGTCGATCCAGCGACCTTTGGAGTGATAGATGAGACGTCTACCGACTGCGCCAGGCTTGTTTTTCGATTTGGAAGGTTCGCTGAAATTTTTGCCGCGAAAGTTTGAGATATTTTTGAGAAACCAGTGACCTTTGGAGTGATAGATGAGACGTCTACCGACTACGCCAGGCTTTTTTTTAAGTTTGAAAACTTTCGAAGAATTTATGAATTTTTTTTGACAAAGACAGCATGGGCTTGAGCCAGCGACCTTTGGTATGACGGTCAAGAGCACTACCGGTTGAGCTATGACTTTAGTTTGATTTGAAATGATTTGTGAACTTTTTGGGGCAAAAACTTATATGTTAATTGAGATTTTTTTGCAAAAAGCGGACATGAAATTGATCCAGCGACCTTCAGAGTGACAGACACGAGCTGTACTGGCTGAGCTATGTACCTTCGAAATTTCAAACTTAACGCTTTGAAAATCGATTTTCTAATAAGGACTTAGGTGTTTATTACCAGCAAAACTGAGTCATGGTTTATGGCAAAGTGGCTAACTTTCCAAATATGGCTAGGAAGGTCGCAGGTTCAATCCTGCCGCTATCTTTTTTGCTTTTATCGATCAAAACAGTTGCCAAAGTATAACTTTTCCCAAATGTTCGAATGAAAAATAGCTTCTCCATCATAAAAAAAAGAGGAACTGAAGAAAGTGTATCGGTTTTAGGTTCAGAGAAGGGCTTCAGTAGAGGGACAACAAGCTAATTAGTCGCAAATAGGTTCAGCAGGCGCCACTGTGTGTGTATGTGTGTGTGAGCCGCAAAAAGCTTTTCCCACAGCTTTCCGGGTTTTTCCGTTTCAAAATTATTCAAAGCTGGTATATATGTCATTTGAAGAATTGGCAAAGCTTTCGGAATGAAAAAAAAGAGCTTCTCGGTCAAAAAATTTCCCTTTTTTATTCAAAATGATCCTTTTTAAAGCTTTAAAAGCTAATTTAAATCACTTAAAACTTCATTCAACCACCTACGTAGTTCAAAATCAAAAAAAAAACCGCTTCAAAAAGTAAAAACGAAACGAAAAGGGACAAACGTTTCCAGTCAAACTAGGCCTATTCATTTCCGGTTGGAAGGATTCCAGAAAACATGAAATGTGTCACAAAATTCAAGCTTGAAAAGGAATAAATATGGGAAACCCTCGAAAAAACGTAAACAAGGCTTTCCTGTCGGTCATTTGCACGTGGTGGACGCAAGGACTTTTCAAAATCTTTTTTTGAAAACATGATTAGTGAAAGATTCTAAGGACTATTTCGTTGAAAAATGGAAGAAGGGATGTTCCTAGTCAATAAAGTTGATTATTTGGGATAAATGATTTTTTTGCATTCAAAATTTTTTTCTGTGTGCAACTTCTTCATTGAAAATTCTCAGGAAAAAAATTATGTTTTTAAGGTTGTGAAATGTGAATTTTTTTCCATCTTTCCCAGATTCTTAAGTAGTGAATGACCACTGCCGATTTCAAAGGTTCTTTCAAAACCATCATCCAAAAACTGTAAAAATAAACTCAGTCAAAGAAAAAAAAATAGCGTCCGTATTATAAAAAAGCGACGCCCTGAGACAAACTTTCCGGGTGAGAACAATTATAGAGCCTATTAACTTGAGGACAAAAAAGGTGAGGTAAAACGGAACAAAAAAGACAGGAGAAGCGCAAAAAAGGGAGGAAAAGGACGGCGAGGGAAAAGCCTAATCCCCTTGGGTTTTGAACTTAATTTACCACCTCTTCTCCACTTGAATGTGTGTGGTTTGTTTTTTCAATTTTCGAAGTTTTCCTGGAAATTCGTTAATAATTATAGTTTCAATTAAAGATAATGACTAATTTGTTTTCGCGCCTTTCCTCCAGCCGCAGCCGTCGAACATTGGGAAGGGTATTTCAGACAATTCCTTGGTGATTGAAGGAATAAAGACAGTTTTTCATTGCCGGAAGTCTAGGTCGTCTGCGCTCTCTTTTCTCACATCGACAAAGTTAAAAAATCGTTGAAATAGCACATTAAATCGAGAGTGTCACTGAGAGAAGAGAAGGCGCAGAAAAAAGTTCTCAAGCTACGTCGTGGTCGCGAAGCGGTTCTATGATCTGGATCCTCCAACAACAAATAACTCGCCTAAGACGTCATCCTAGAGCATAATGAGAAAACCGTTTGAGGTCGGGCGCAGGTAAATATGAAGATAAAGACTCAAATTTGAAACTACAAGGCTGCAACTGCGGAGCCTTGAGCCCTCGACTTCGAAAAAAGTTTCTTCGAAAACAAAAATCAACACATTTAATAATTACAGGCATTTTCCATCCAATTTCTTCTCCATTCTCGGTTTTTTCTGTCCTACCTTCAATCACAAGTACTACTCTCTGAAATACCCCTCCTATTCCTGTAAAATTGTTAACAAAACGAACAAAAAATCGACGAACAAAGAATACGAAGGACTACGGTTACTGGCAGTAGAAAACAAGAAAAAAGGGATAATTGAGGCAAAAAGAAATAAACTTTGCGGGTAAGGAGTAGGCAATTCGGGAGGAGCCAGAAATGACTTGGAAAAAAGAAAGGTTAAAATGAAAATTGTTTTTGCTCTCGCAGGAAACTTCATGAAGGGAAGAAAAACGAGAACTTTAAAAAAAATGATGACTCGAAAACGCTGACTTGTCTGCGTCTCTTTTGCCTCACGGATGATGTCATAGAAAAAGGAATAACACGTCAACAAGAGAGCGCAGAGAAGTCAGAATGTTTCGAGCAATGCCCAATAGAGTATACCAGAAGTTCCATATTATGAAACGAAATTTTTTCAGGAAACTTCTGAGTGACCTCTTGAAAATTCTACCCAAGCGATTCATTCTTTTGAGAAAAATGCTTGAAAATTTTCAATTTTCTACGCTTCCGAGCTATCAATAAACTCGAGACTGTAGAAGAGCTTTAAGAACGTTTTCGAGGGCTGGTGATTTCTCTCTTTCTTTTTTATAATTTTCGCATTTCCAGACAAAGAAGACTCTCCTGTAACCTCTAATCCCAAATTACACTTTTTGAAATTAATAATAAAATGAAATAAAATCTGTTAGTAAATATTCGTTAAGAAGGTGCCAAGATGCTATCAAAAATTTGAAAAAAAGACGAATTATTGGCTCGGAAGTTGACTAATCTGCCGCCAACCAAAAATGGGTCAGGTGAGCTAAGAAGTCGAGGAGACACGCTTCCGGCGGCCGCCGCTTTCCCCCGACTTTGTGGGGTTTCTCCCTTTTCCAAAAGTAATTACTGAGAAGGTTAGGTTGGAGGGGAAGTTGGTTAGAGCTTCATGTATGGATTCTGGAAGTGAGAAAAATGGCTGAGAAAAAATAGCCGAGCTGAAAATTTGCTCTACTGAAAGAAAGAAGATCGCTCTTTGAAGGAAGGTGATGTGAAACTGATAAGATACTTCGGATAAGAACAAATCAGCGGAGAACGATAATGACACAACTTCGGCCTCTAAAGGCACCACTTGAGACTGAAATCCCTTAAGTGACCACTTGAAATCTCTCAAGTGACCTCTTGAAAACTCTTAAGTGACCGCTCGATTTCTATCATTTCATTAAGACTACTCAAACCTACTGCTTGAGATTGAGAAAGTTGTTTGAGCCTTCTTATACTTACTCATATGTGAACCTCGACTTTTAAGAAATATTCTCAATGGAGCATACTATACAGGAAAATTGGCCGAAATTGAGTCCCAAATCGAAACTTTCAACTTCCACCTATTTTACGGAAACCATCTGATAATTTTCTCGTTTCAAAAAACAGAACAAAATCTCAAACAGAAAAATGCGTATTGGTCCCAGAAGTGTGATAAATATGGAAAATGCGAAAAAAGAAAAAAAAAGCATCCCAAGAGGAACCTTTTTTTTGAAATGTCTAGAAAAAACAAGTTCGAGAAAGCCAAGTTTGTGTCGAGTTTTGTGTGGAATTGCAAATGTTTCGTCGCCGGAACGCCATAAAATCCCAAAAAGCTTCTTTCTGGGCTTTCAGAGAGGATATAAGGAGAAAAAGGAGGAAAACTAATTGATTTTCGGAGAGATTTCAACGTTTTGGAATTGATAAACAAAAGATTTTTTTTTGGATTAATGAGAAGTGCGGCCTTTCGAACGAAAAAAAAGCTTTTGAAAAATGATTTTTTGAATCTAGAAGCTTGTAAATTGCATCTAGTGCGGATTCAAAATTCATGGTCGCAGTGGGAATGGCTCTAGGCGTTGCGGTTAGAAAGTTGACTTTTGTAGGCTTTCAAATAAAATTGCTCGACGAAAACCTTGAAAAAAGTGATTATTTGATATATTTGACCTTCTGAACCGAAAAAAAAGCTGTCGAGAAGGGATTTAATTATGGGCTTTTTTTATAAAAAAAGTTGATACTTTATTTTCCGTGACTAAAAATGCAGTGGCCGCACGTGGAATGGCTCAAAGAATCTGAAACTTTCTTTAAAAGTTTCTTCTGAGAGGAATTTCGTATTTATTTAAAAAATTGATCCGAAACTTCTATCAAAATTTTTTGAGCTTGTGAAAAAAAAATTTTTAATAGTTATCAAGAGAGAAGTTTTTAAAAGACCGGAAACCCAAAAAAGGTGAGTAAATAGAGAGATTTTTTCTCTCCGCAAGTTCAATGAATGTAGGAAAAATTAGCGATTCAGGTTTTTTCAATTTTTCAAGAGTTTTCTTTTCCGAAAAGGATTTCGTCGGGAGAAAAAGTCCAAAAGATGTTTCCTAAACTAAATCCGTTTTTCTGATTTTCTCTGGTCGCAGTTTATATGGAAAACCACCGACCCGAAACGGCGTGCGCTCGGTGTCCTTCAAATTTATCAAAGAAACATTATAACCGTCGCAAATCTTTCGAATCAAAAAAAAATTACCCAAAAAAGCTTTTCTTGTCCTTATGTTCAAAAACATTCAAAAACATTTCTATTTGAGGATGTCCTGAAAAGAAATTCGACTGTAAAAGTTTCAAACTTTATATATGTAATATCGCGACGCGTTTAGCCAATCCAAGCGCGACCAGGCATCGTAGACTATAAAGATCATGTAAAAAACTTCAACTTTTTCAATCAATAAAAAGATTTGAAGCAAAAAGCGCGAAGAGAGTTGAATCAAGGCAAGGAAAAAGTTGGCTTCTCTCTCTTCGTGTAAGGACAGAAAAAGGCGAAAAAATTAGCGGAAGACGGCTTATTAGAATTTCTAACCATGAGAAGCAGCTCGAAAATTTTTTTTGGCGCCGAGCCACGCCCCGCGCGACGACGCTTCTCAAATATAAAATGGGATAAAAATAACTCGCCAATTGCACTACAAATATCAAGTATATTTGTAGATATTCGGTTATGTGCCCTTGGGCCAAAAATCTGGTTCAAAAAGCGGAGATTAGTTTGATTCAAAAGACGCAAGGAAACACTTTTTTTGTGGATATTTTTTTGATAAAAAAAGAAAGTTAATTTATTTTTCAAATTATTTCAAAAGTTGAAGTATCTTCAAGTTAAACTATTTTTCTTAAAAGTTTGATTAATATTAGTTCAAACGCTTAATTCATGATTGCCTACTAAATAACTCCGAATGGCACATTTTCTCAGAAGAAAAAACTGATGAAAAAGTAAATAACTAACTAAAAAATTCGCAACGTGCTAAATTATAATAAATTCTCATCAAAATGTCCATTTTCCCTTTTCACTTACTTCCACTCTACACTATACGCCTCTCAGAACAGGGAATATGTCAGCGAAGAGATGGTCACCCCTCATCAGCGTTCGTGGTGTAATGGTCAGCATGGATGCCTTCCAAGCATTCGACGGGGGTTCGATTCCCCCCGAACGCAGAATCTTTTGCCGTTTTTTTCTGACCAGAGCTCAATGAGCGTCTGAATTGGATGATGAAGGGAAGAAAGAAAAGGAGCTGCGAGCCAATTAGCGGAGCACAAACATAGATATGCATTTAATATGTAAGCAGTGCTTTTTCTCCACTTGGTCCGGATAATCGTTGGTCTTTCTTTGTTTTTTGAAAGTTAAACGGGAAAAATTGACAATGAAAAAAAATATTAATTGACAATGAGAGTGAATTTCAAAAGAACCACTAGAAGCTTTAAAACAGATTTAAAGAATCAAAACCGAGAAAATTAATACAAAAAATTTTAAGAAAGAGAAAAATTAATTTAAAAAAAGACTCACAATGACTAGAAAAAATTTTGAGGATCAACTTGTGAAGTAAAGAAATGGATCATCAGCTTTGATGGCGCCTGAAAATCTCAAATATTTCAAGAGAACTTTTCCGGAATTTACGTGAATTTTGACGAAAAAGTACGATAGAAAGTCAAAAAATGACTCAATTTACAATGTTGATACTGAGGATCGAGTATATTGAAAACCATGAAAATAATCAAAAATAATGAAAATATTCACGCAAAAAAAAAGCCGTGCGGATCGTGTGTGTGTGCGGAGCTCTCATCTAATTGTAACCACCAGAAGATTACCCCATGGGCGTCGCATTTTTCTCTTCTCTTCAGAATACGCTTGGTAATCAACTGGAAGAACGAATGATGAAAAACACAGCTAAAGCTTTTCGGAAATTAGAAGGAAAAAAATGAGATGGGACAGAATATTGATTAGACAAGTCATAAAAAAGTATTTTACCGAAAAATTCTGGTAGAATAGTAGTAGTTGTAGTCAAAAAAAAATTAAAAAAAAAAAAATTTGAACGGAAATAGGCAAAAAAAAAGGAAAAGCTTCAAATTTAAAAAAAAAATTGACTGGTTTTTCATTGCCGTGTGCACGGCTACGCAACCGCTCAAATTTTTCAAATTTTTAAAATTTTATCAATTATTTTTTTGCTAGTTATCTTTTTTTCATAAACTTAGTTCTTGATTTCTAACCACATTTTTCGACATTCCAAACGCACGTACACGTTATTTCAAGTCGATTTGTTTTTGAATGAAAATTTAAACGTTTCATGTTTTCAGTTGTTCATGCCATGGATTCAGGCCGTCAATTTTCATCGAGAAATGGTAAGTCAAGCTTTGATTTGGAAAAGATCAACTTTTATAAAGAAAAGTAATAAGAGAAAGCTTTTTGAGCGAAAATTCCAAGAATTAGTGGAAATAGCCGTTGTTTATCAGTTTGCACTTGTATTTGTAGCTATAAATCTATTGGATATTGTTGTTGGGAAGTTTTTCGCTTGGAACAAAGTTTTCTTTAAAAAAAAACATCAGAGAATTAGAAAAGGTACGGTTTTTATAAAAAAGAAAATAGTTGGTCTTAAAATCCTCGCTGAAGTGTTTTAAAGGAGCAATTGCCTTGTAAGATTAAAAAAGATTTTTCTTTTGAGAACTATTATGGAATATCTGTATGCTCTTTAAAAGTTACAGAAAAAATTTTAGAAAAAGTATATAATGTCAGCACAGGAAATTCGCTGATACAGCCGCTCCTTTTTGTCCCTTTTACATAGGTAAAACGGAAAAGTTCCTTTGAGGATCCTTAAAGGATCCTGAGAGGGAGATAAAAAGCTTCCTCTAAAAGCTCCTAAAATGATGTAAAAAAGCTTTTGAGCACCTTTTTCATAGCCTCAGAGGATCCTTTTTGAATCCTCTCGAATCTTTTTGGTTGCTTTCCAGCATCCTTTTTGTCAGAGGATGTGAAAAAGATGCAAAAAAGAATTTAAATGATGTAAAAAAGATCTGCTGGGGACCCTTTCATAGGTAAAACTGAAAAGTTCCTTTGAGGATCCTCAAAAGATCCTGAGAGGGAGATAAAAAGCTTCCTCTAAAAGCTCCTAAAATGATGTAAAAAAGCTTTTGAGCACCTTTTTCATAGCCTCAGAGGATCCTTTTTGAAACCTCTCGGATCTTTTTAGTTGCTTTCCAGCATCCTTTTTGTCAGAGGATATGAAAAAGATGCAAAAAAGAATTGAAATGATGTAAAAAAGATCTGCTGTGGACCCTTTCAAGGCCTTTTTTTGAGAAAAGCTTTTGAGGAGCTTTTCAGTTTTGCCCGAGTTTCAAGGTCTTTTTTTGAGAAAAGCTTTTGGGGATCTTTTCAGTTTTGCCCGAGTATTAAATTGCAGACTTCTCTAGTGGTCACTTCATTACATAACCAGCCATCGCCCTCTCCAAAACGGCAAAGGTCAGCGGCCACATCAAAAACGAGATGCAGGAATGAGACTTTGGCGGTTTTCCTGTTGTCGACGAGAAGGCGAAAGCCGGTTCGCGGTCAGGCGCCATTGTCCCTTTCTGGATTTTTCTCTCGACGGGAACATCTCACTCGTTACGACGATGCGTCGCTTGGGCAGGTGCGCCCAGCTGCTGCTGCAGCTCGTCGTTCTGAGCTTTGCCAGAGAAAATGGCCTTCCTGACGACTTTCCGGAGGACCACACCGACCTCGTCATTCCGCTCAGGCGCAACCTTGGTGGGTTTGAAAAAAACTATTTTTTTGGTTTTTTGTTGAGTTTCCTGTAAATAAAATTGATTTACCTGGAAGCAGGGATTTTGGAGGTATTGTCTTGAAATGTCTCGAAGTTTCTGTGACGAGATCTCGTCTCGGTAAGAACTTCTTTCGTCCCGTCTCCTCATCTCATTCCCCGAGACTGGTCTTAGAAGCGTCTTGCCTCGTTTCGAAAAATTGTGACACGAATTCATATCGCGTCAATTTTCCGAGAATCTGTGAAAAACTGTAGTGACTTCCCTCAAAGACTAATTGGAGAGGAAACTAAAGTGGCCACTCCAACCATTACTATAGAAGCCGCAACAGTGGTATTTAGTGATCTATTTGCACCTATTAGACTCCCAAAGAGGCCACTGGATTCAAATCACTCAAGTAAAAACTAACTCGACTACTATAGTGGCCAAAAAAGCATTTCCTAATTGATTTTTAATAACTCCTAGAGTCGTAAGTTTTGTAAAAATTTTTCATTTTGTTCTCGAAATTTACAACTTCAACAACCCTGTATGGGAGATAAAAATTCACTTTGAATTTCAGGGAGAATTATAAAAACTGATTGAATTCCATTAATGTCATATTTTTCAAGGCTTCACAGCTTGCAACTTGTTAACGATGTTTTACGATATTTTGCAGTCAAATACGAATCCCATGTCCGTTCGGCTGACGTTCCTCCCCATTTTATTGGGGTCGATGAGAAGGATATCGTTCCACTGACTCTCAGGTTTTGAACTAGAGAAATTAATTGAAATTGCTTTTATTAGAAGCGAAAGAAGAAAGAGATGTTCTTGCGGTTGCTCCGGCTGTGATCTCTTCCCGAACAGGAGCTGTTGCTCGAGCTGTAAGTTTTGAGAAAACCTAATGAATCTTTGTTTGAATTCTTTGCTTGCCACCCTGTTCAACTTTGTTCATGATTTCTTCGAATTCCTCACTTTTAAGCCTGCTGCTCCTCCCAAAAACCGATCCCTCTCGCTTGCTGTCCACCACCGCCACCTCCAAAGCCTTGCTGCCAGCCTGCTTTCGGACCTTGCTGCCCAGCCACGCCAAACTGTTGCCCCAAGAAGTGCTGCAGGTTAACTGCGAGCGAAACTTCAAGCTAAAAAGCCGCCGAATTCAGGGGCCGCCGACCGGAGTACGAAGAGTATGAGGAAGAAGCTGGAGGAGGTCCGGCTGCAGTGAGCTTTCCTGAGCTTTCTCATTTCAACTTGAACCTTTTTCCAGCCTCCACCGCCGCCACCTCGAACTTGCTGTCCTCCGCCAGTTCCACCGCCACCGCCACCGCCGCCTCCTCCGCCGCCGCCAGAACCAGAACCGCCGACGCAGTGTTGTCCGTCGGCGCCCTACGGTCGGACTCCTTGTCGAAGTGGATGTCCTAATGGAGGTTTTTCTCCAAAAATAGAAGTTTCATCGAGATTTCCATGCGTAGATTGCGGTTGTGGACGTCCGTGCTGCTACTACCAGAACCCGTCGTGCTGCGACCAAGGCCAGAAGGCCTGCTGCCCGCCGGAACTTCCCTGCTGTCCTGCCCTGGAGCTGAACAACTGCATCGCATCGGTTCCGCCTTGCTTGAGGTAATTAAGAAGAGTTTAACAAAAAGATGTTCAAAATTCACAGTCCATATCCTTTTTAAAAGTTCCTTCCACTACTTCTCCCCTTAGGCTACTGTTTTTCCTTCTGTGCTGAAAAATGCCGCTGTGCGTGAGTAGTTAGCATCGAACACGCTGAAAGCTTCGAACAGCTCGTAGTCATTCATAGATATTACCAAACTAGAGGCTGTACAGTTTTTGAATGTCAAGATGTCGCTCAAGCTCTGCCCCTAATGACGAGATAAACCAATCAGAGAGCGAGCCATCCACAGAGCGTTTTCGAATGTCGTCAGTGTATATTCTAAATTGGAACAGACTGTACCTTCTGCCTCAAAATGTGCATAACTTCATTTTTTGAGAGCGTGTCCCTCCTGCCCCTGCCGGAAGCACCTGGCCCTTGGAAAACGGATCAAACGCGACGACGCTAATCATTGTCAGCCTGCCGGGCTCCTCCCCCCACTTCTCGGCCTTGGACTCGGTGGTCAGCAACAACCAGCAGCTGCAGCCAAGAAGCAAGTCGTCAGAAAAATCGCTGCTGCTCCAAATCGACCCGTTTCCGTCACGAAGAAACTCATCGAACAATCTGAGGTTGGTCGGATGCATCTCAAGAAAAGGAGCTGAAGTCAAGAATCGTCATGAAAAGCATGAAGAGCTGATATTGAGGCTGTGAATCTTGTTTGGCAAGATAGAAATGATCTTTGAAATTCCAACTTTTGCCATCTTTTCCATTCTCTAACGGTCAATCCTCCTTCACTTTTATCGCTCTAAAAATCCCATATAATTTATATAGCTTCTGTTAGTAAGTTCAGTAATGACGTCTTGAAGCTTAGCAGTAAAGCGTCCTTCAAAATGATGTGATGCAAAAACAATGACGTCACTTGCAGGACCACGTCGAAGCTCCGCCCACCGCCGGTCGTCTCTACGAGTTCCGCGGTGCTCATGCTCGCGTCAAGCGGAATTTCGACAATGGAGGGGTAAATATTGATAATTTCCTGGTTCAATCTTGCTCTAACGAATTATTGGCTTGACACGCCTCTTTTTCTCCGCTTTCTAAAGCTTCATCTCATTGCACTTCAGTGTCAACTCTGCTTGGCCGGCAAGCCGCTGAAGCGGACCAAAAGGTCTTCGGACTGCGTCAGGTGCACCTACCTGCAGCCAATGTACAGCGACAACAACCCGTTCCTGGGACCTCAGAATCCCAGATCGCCCGTCGGAGTCCCGGATGAGGATGAGCACACGAGAACCAAGAGAGCCGGGGTTGGATAGATCATCTTTTCGTACTGGAAGAGCTTGAAAATGGTGTACTTTCTCCGGGGGATTTTCAGCCTCTTCGAGTAAAGTGGGAGATCAGTGGCGGCTTGAAGAGACATCAGAGAAGCCAGAGCCTTTTGTTGTCTGGAGTCTCTTGATACTGGCATTGTTCTATCGCTTTTGTTTTTTTCTATCGAATTTCCGGCAGTATTTCTTAGGAAACATTTTTCACTTGAGATCTATAAGCGCATATTCTTAAATAGAGAGTCAATTTCGATTTTTGAATTGTTTCGTACAACTTTCAATGATTCCAGTGCCTTCCCCACCCACAATGCATGATGCATTCGCGTCGGTACAAAAGAAATCTCCTTGGATCTCAGTATTGTGAGCCCTGCAATGGTCACTACGGAAGGAAAAAGCGCGAGGCCGAACGGGAGGTTTTCGGCTTGAAAAACACGGGAAACCCTGAAGTGATCACTTAAGCAATGCCTTCAAAGGGAGAAACGTTACGCCGATGAACAGTGCGACAACGACGAGTTCAGCATCAGAGAAAAGCGACAGGCCTACAATCCGAAAGGGATTCTCGATATTGTCAAGGTCCTGTCTAGAGCTTCGGCTGCTGGAGGTTAGATTTTCTGGAATTTTTTTTAGGGAGTTCGAGGGAAAAAATACTCGAGTTTTTGTGAATTGCATGTTCTTGCCATAGCTTTGATCGTTACAAAGGCCCGAGAAATATCGAATGAAATCTCAGGCGAAAGCGTCGGCGGATGTCTGAAGTTCCCAGCTTGCGTTCTTGGCGCAGAAGAAACGAAGGAAGCGTCAGGCCGACCGAAGGGAGAAGTATCATGAGGTGACGTCAACTGAAAGCTCCATGACGTCATGAATACTACTTTAGGCCGTCAAAAACTACAAACAAGCGGTGGAAGATCACGCAAAACTCGTCGAAACTCACGAACGTGTCAAACGACAATTCTTCGCTCCAGACGCCGGCGCGGTGACGTCATTATTATTTTCAAAAGAATGACGTCACGTTTAGGCTTGTGTCCCTTGTCCGGCGTGGGTCACTTTGGCATTGGCCAGTAGAAAGAAGAGGTCGGCCAATGAGACGTTCATCAAGTTTGACGATGAGGACGAGGAAGAGAAGGGAGAAATGGTGAGGATATCAAGTCATTTCAGAGAAAAAACAACGCCGGGAAAATGCTTTTAAACTCCACATGAAGAAACATTGATTTGGGAATCATTATGCTTGAACTTTGATGACGTCACTCGAAACTTTCTTTATTCTTATTCTTTGACCTCAAAAATTCTATCATGGCGTATTTTCTGAAAGCCTTCCGATGTTCCATGTCTTCAGAAAATCCGACAAATGACGCTATCCGAGGCGATCGCCGACATCCGCAAGAAGGAGGGCTACAAGCGCGGATTCGACGTGAGAATCTTCCAGAATCGGGATATATCATGACGTCATCTCCAGGGCGAAGGCGATTCTGAAGATTCTGAAGAGGGAGGCGAGCTGCGTCGGAAGCAGTCGTGCCATCAGACGGACGACTGTCTCAACACTGTCGAGTACGCCATTTTCCAGAAGGTCTACCAGGAGAGAAGGTCCAAGCGAGAGGTAATCCCTTAAGTGACCGCTCTGCCTAACCTGCGCTTTTTGACAAGGCGGTCTTCCGTCGGAAGAGGTGTCAGCGCTGCGGCACCGGCTACGATGGGTCGAGAGTCAAGAGAAACATGGGACGGCCGAATATCAACGTCTCCGAGGTTGGAGCACTTAAAGGACCACTTGAACAGTATCACCTTTTGCAGCAAAACTGCATGGCGTTCCCACAATGTCGGCATCGCGTCAAGCGCAGCTTCTTTGTGAGTTTCCGAGGGGCACTTGAGGGTTTTTGAGGCCTTTCAGCTTGAGAAGAGCTTTAAACTCAAAATTCTATTTTGGTGACTACATAAAATTGAGGAGAGTTATTAAAGTGATTACTTCGGGATTACTATACTATAAATTTGATGAGAATAGTTTTTTTTTTTCAATTTAAAGGCATATGGGCAGTAAAAAACGGTGTTTCAGTTCAAAGCAGTACTTTGTAGAGCTTTTCATTGCCAATCGAACCGTGAACTTGGAAATGTACCAAACTTCCTAGTTTTGGAGAAAAAATAATTCAAAGTCGGAGAGAGGAAAGGTTGAGTTCCCGCGGAAAGGGCGCTTTGCAGTAAAGTTGCTCTATGGACAACAGGCTTCGCCTTATTCCGGATTTTCGCTTTTTTCTTCTTTCCTTTCAATTTTCAATTTTTTCTGTTGTCACCAAAGTTCTTTTCGTCACAAAAGCTTTTTATTCATGTATAATTTGCAAACTTTGATCGCAAAAATGCTTTTCTGGTGAAAAAGGATGATTTTACACAGGTTTCGATTGGGATAACGATTATTTGTGTTTTCTTTATTATCACTGTGTGTTTTCTGTTTTCTTAATCGATTTTTCAGAGAAAAAACCCTTAATTTGAAGAAGCCATCCGGTTATTTCCCACAAAATGCGAGTCTAATGAGACGTCCGCAACATCGCGTGCACGGCTACTGTAAACATTTGTCCGTGGACCGATCCAAAGCATTTTTCAAAATTTATGCCTTGTTCAAAGTAATTTCCGCGAAATGCAAAATGATCTCTGACTCTCCAAAATTTAGTGATCTTTTCCTTTCTCTAACGGGTATTTTGCATTTCGCGGAAATTACTTTGAACACGGCATAAAGGCGGGAAAGTAAAACCGCGTTTTTCTTCAAAATTAGTCACACCAGTAATTTTTTTGAGTACACCGTTGGAATCGCAAAGAAAAACTATATAAGATACTGCTTTCACCTGAAATCCCGTTTTTTACTGCCCCTATGCCTTTAACGTACTCAGAAGATTTCGGAGTATATGCTGGGAAGGTAACTAGCCGGTGGTTGGAAAACGAATGGAAGCTAGAAGTTTTCGAAAAGGCCTTGGTAAGGCATCCAGAAGGTAGTTAGAAGGTCTTTGAAAAAAAGTCTTTTAAAAAGGTAACCAGTTGAAAATGGTTGCCAGAAGCCTTCCCAAAAGGCTACTGGAAGGTGATTAGAGGTGGTGGGAAGGTATGTGGAAGACGTTTGACTACTTGCTGGAAAGTTTCCAAAAACCTTCCGAGGAACCGAAGCAGAAGCTTCCCAACTTTTACCTGAGTAGTTATTAAAAGAGTAACAAAGAGATAACTCCTTTTACTTCGAAGTTGAGAATATTTGTAGATAGGGAGGTTTTTTTAGAGAATTTATAGACTTGTGATGCTAAAGATCCCTAAAATGACCACTTTAAAAATGTCTGCTTTTCAGGACGATTGCAACGTTTGTACACCGAATGCTGACGTCAGACGGCGAAAGAAGCGAAATATGGGCCAAGCGGTGAGTGATCCCTTGAGGGCCTTCAAAAATGATACTTTCAATGTTTCAGCAATGCTATCCGTGCCCAGGAACTCGAGCATAAACTTAATAATAATTTTCTTCAAACTTGTAAAAAATATACCTCGTGCAATAATAATAAATTTATTAAAGCAATAGAATCTCTTCTCTGGTGAAAGAAATGTTTTTTTAAAGCGGATGATGGATGGGGAGACCCGTGAATGATCAAAAATAAAGCCTAAGGGAAAAAATAATAAAAATAGCCGTCGGAAAATTGAAGCTAAAACAAAATACATGTCTTATCTTAGTACAGGAAATGGGTATAGAAAAAAATAAACTTTTTTTTTCTTTTAAAACTCGTGACGAAAGTGTTGGAGTTCGCTGAGCTTGTAGATGGACTGAGCCGGCGCCAGAAGGTGGATCTCTCGTGGCAAACTCGCGAAATATGGGTGGAGCATCGCGCTGGCGGCGCTGACGCGGTTTTCCGGTTTCAGCTGAATGATAACTTCGAAACTTGAGTGAAAACAATTATCTACGTGCCGTCTTCAACTCCGACTTCGGCAAGTTTCATCAGAAATTCAAACGGAGGTAAAAAGAATATTGTGAAAGGCACGAGATAACGAGGAAAAACGCATAGTTTTGGCAATTCGGTTGTGCTTAGGAACACCAGAGTGGTCCCTAGAGGGGCTAAAAAACCTTTATAGGGGACAATACAAAGCTCCAGGTATGGCCAAAACTCAGGTGGCCCCCATAGGGGTTTTGAATTCTTACCCCTGATCACCTGAAGCTTAAGTGATCCCTAAATAGAGGTCTTCTAATCATTTTGTTCAGATTTTGAATCAAAAAAGACGAATTTAATAGAAATTTATCGATTAAGCCTCCGTTGCTATGTTTTCATTGAAAAACAAAAATTGATTGATTTTTTTCACACGGAAATCAGGGTTGGCGAGATCTCGATCTTATATGGAATTTTCTCGAGGTTTTTGAGAATAGATCTCCTATCGTGCCCGTCTCGAGGAGAAATAACTCGTCTCTTCGCGAATTACCGAGACAGGTTTTGACAAAAGTTCATTCTCAACGAGATATTTTTGAGATTTTCGAGCAGCAGACATTTTGAGAAATGAGGTGACAAATAAACAAATCATTTCAAAAGAATAACGAGTAAATTTTGAAAACAGCGAAATTTTTCAAACACGTCAGAAAATTGTTTTTTTATTTCTTATTTACTTTTTTTCAAAGTGAGTGAAATGTTCAACCACTCGACTCGGATTCAAAAAGTCCCATCTCGCACAACCTTGATGGAAATGCTTCAATGTGGTCTCTAGAGAGGAACCTTTAAAGGTCACTTAGATTGCCTCTCTAGGGACCACTCAGGCGTTTCTAAGCTCGACAACGAACCTGTAAGAACATGCTGAGGAGCTCCTGTCCACTTTTCATGATTTTCGTGAACAGTGGGCTGATAGCCATGAAAGCCAAGCCTTTGTAGGGCGGGAAAGTCCCGGGCGTGTAGTGAGGCAAGGAGAGTACCTGAAAACAAGGCAAACTATCGAAAAATCAACTTTTCCCGTGCCTCGGGCCACTTTTGCTCATCCGGCGACCCACGAATCCGGAAAATCTTCTCCAATTGGTCGACGACGTCTTTGGTTCCTGGGAAAAGCGCCTGACCTATGCAAATCTCCGCAAATATGCAGCCAACGCCCCTGAAATCAAAAATTACACTAATTATCAAATGACCCCAATCAAGATAGGGGTTTACTAAAAAACCCCAGAGTGGTCCCTATGGGGGCAACCTTACGGGCCCTCAAAGAATCTTCTCTAGGACCACTTTATCTACTCCTATAGGGGTCCCTGAAGCTTGCAAAAGAGACCCCTATAGGGGACGGGCTAGTCTATTATTGTTAAAAAAGAAGCATTTCCATACGGAAAACTCAATAAATTAGCATCATTTGAATGAAAAAATATCAACGGAAGTTCAGTTGTTCGAGTTTATCATTTTAATTTTGACATCGGAACAAAAAATTCAAAGACCCTAAAGGAAATGCTTGAGCTTCATGAGGTCAGGGGTCAGATCCTAAACCCCTATAGATACCATCTAAACTTCATTACTGTAAGGGGCACTTTTTTGTCCCATATGAGGCTGTTTTTCAATAATGGCGTTCCTAAGTAGTTTCCGAAGAAATTAAATCTGACCACATATCAAGTTGGGTCGAGTAATTGGTACTTCCGAGCAGTACATCTGGCGGTCGGTACCATAAAGTCACAACCTAAAAATTTTTGCAAATTGTTCTTTTAAACAGAAAAAACTCAATGAAAGAAGTGGTATAATAATTTTTTGATTGAATTGTCATCTAATGTAAAATCAAATCCAACCTCATGAGAATAAGTTCTGCTTGGGACCGATTTGGCTCGGGCCAAGCCGAAATCCGCCAATTTGAGTACTCCATCTTCATCCAGGAGCAAGTTTTGCGGCTTGAGATCCCTAGAAAACTTTGCTTTTTCAACCAAAAACTAGTTAGTTCATAAATAATTAGGTTAAAACTTTCAAAAAATGAACTCGAGGTCAAATTTCATAGAAGAAATTCTAAAAATACTCTACTGAGAACCTTTAGAGGGGTCCCTATAGGGAGTGTAATAGAGGTGTCTCCGCTTTGCTTATAGAAAGCACTAAAACGCTGTCGTAGGGTTCTTCATAGAAAACGGAAAGTGATCCCTATAGGCCATTGAAAAATCGACTGATACCCATCTTAAGACAATCTGAAATTAAAATGCTTTTGAACCCTACAGGTGTGTAGGTGTCAGACACTAAACCCCTATAGGGACCTCTCAAGCTTTGACCCCTGTAGGGACCTTCAAATCCTCCCTAACAGTTCTCCTTAAAACAACAAAGCCCTATAGGGACCTCTAAATAATTTCTCATTCGCTTTCCAAGCTATTGTAAATTGAACTTCGGTTTCGGGAAAATGAATATAAAAAACTCCTGAACTCAATTTTTATAAGCCATCCTTTCAATAAAAGTCGAGCTGAAACACCAAAAGACCCGAAAATCCTAAAAAATCTTCTCAAACCTGTGCAAAATCTTCTTCCGATGACAGAAATCCAGGCCTCGAAGCAGTTGGAAAAGTAACAATTTGATCTGGAAGCTCTCCAGGCCGTACGGGTTGTTCTCCAGGTACTTACTCAGGTCCATTTTCTACAAAAACCACAGAAATGACAGTAGAATTACTGTAGAAAAGCTACCATATACTCAAAAACAAAGGTCAACTGATGATGTTGGTAGAAAATGTCGTGTAGGCAGACAATGTTCGCGTGGCGCAGTGTTCGAAGTAAGGAGGCTGGAAAAATTATAGGAAATGGTTGGTGTAGTTGTATGAAGCTCAGTATAAGAAGAATGAGACAATGGTTCAACCCCGGTCAGTGAAAAAAGCAAAATAAACTTCTTTTTTTTCGTCAAATTACCTCTAGTCTTACTAGATGACTTTCTCGGGACATCGAGAAAGGCGAAATAAATTGATTGACAATGTGGTCTAGTGGATAAAATGTTTGGTACGAGAAAAAAAGGTCGGTAATTCGATCCCGGTCGGTGGAAAAAGCAAAAAGGAAATTTTGATCAGAATTCGTATGCAATAAAGTGGAAGGCCTGAAACTCGCTAGGATATAATTGGATTTGACTTTATCTGATGTAATCACTAAGAATAACTGCCGAGATAAAAGCGAGACGCTGGCGGTAGATTGACGAGCTCGCAAAAATCTCGCTTTTTTTTTCTCGCGCCGGTCTCGCACTTTTCTGGGCGCGAGCTCGCGTTTCTCTCGCAATTTGAAAATTTTGTAAATTGCAAGATAAATGCGAGGTCGCGCCGAAAAAAAAGCGACATGTTTGCGAGTTCGTCCATGTACCGCCGCCGACCTCGCGTTTATCTCGTCACTTCTTCTTAGTGATTACATCAGATAAAGTCATTTTCGAGTTTCAGGAAAATGGCGGAAAATTTTGGACTTTAGTGCATACGGCCTCAAGTTTTTTCATCAAGTTTTCTTTAAAAACCGAGATCTTATCAAATTACTTTCTCGTTAAAAAAGAAATAAATGAATTGATAGTGTGGCCTGAAGGGTAAAAGACTTGGTTCGAGAAAAAAACGTCATTGATTCAATTCCGAATGGCAACAAAAGCAAAAAAAAAACTCAAGAATATTTTTGCTTGGACTTTGGTAACGCAAACTGGAAGCGCTCCAGACGTTTTTGAAGATTTCTAGTGATCACTTTAGTGAGTCAGATTTGCACTTTAACATCGTCGAAAACCTCAAGAGACTACTAGAAATGCCCAAAAACTTGCGGTTTGCGTTATCAAGGCCCTTGATGTCAGATTTTCTTGAAAAATCTCGAATTCTCAATGAAGCCCCCTCTACCTTCTCGGATGGCCGTGAAGGGCAAGCCTTCCTGAAACTGCAGCTTGATCTCTTTCAGCGCGACTATCGAACCGTCGAGTCTGAAAAAGACCATTTCATTGGAAACCATGGAAAAATTTAGGAATAACCTCGATTCGCACTTAAAAACAGTCGCATAACTGCCTTCGCCGAGTTTTTCGAGTCTTTTATAGAGGTCATTAACGTCTTGGGTCGTCATCTCCTGAAGACTTTTTATACTTTGAAACAACCCAAAACTATTCCGTTCTGCTCTTCACGAACCTCCTTGCTCGGCAAAGTGATCGTGTTCGGATCGTAGTGGGCACTTCGGGGACGCCGTTTCCGGAGATGGGTGAAGTCGGCGACGGTGGAACTCGTCGAGCATGCTGGAGCAACGCCGTTGCCCCTTGTCGACGACACCAGAACCATCTCGTTGGCGTTGTTGGAGCGGGACCGGGCCGGCCTGAGAACATTTACATATAACTAGACAGAAAAGACAAGAAATGTGGATGCCTTTTTCAAAGAGATCCCGCTAAACTCAAGATAGCCATCAAAGAGAGAACAAGACAACTAAATCTTGGAGAGTCAGAGATGATTTTGAATTTAGAAGGATTTTTGAACACGGCATGAGTTTCCTACCACAAAAAGAGCAAAAAGTGAAAAAGGCCGAAGAAATGTTTCTTTTGAAGGGTTTCCGAAGCCCCTTGAGAGCTTTTTGAAAAAACGTTCTTCTTGAGGTCATGACGAGAGAATACACTGGAATTTAGGAAAAAAAAGAGTTTCAGTAATTTTCCATAGGTTTCTACCATAGCTTTATGAAAAAAACCTTTGCTGTGTTCTATCAAATCGAAAAAAAACCCGAAAAAAGAACCCAAAAACAAAAAACCACGAATGGTGCCGAAGTTGCAAAATGAGAATCTTAAAACTTGATTTCAAAGCACGAAAACAAGAGATTTGGGAAGAAAGCGGCAAAGAGACCGCAAAAAGTTGAAGATGGTCTTGGTGGGCGTGGCAGTGGCCGACTGCGGCTGGCCCCCGTTGATCTGATTGACGCCGTTGCTGTGCCAGGACTGCGTCATGTCGTTGAAGCTTTTGCCGGCCGTCATGCCTGCAAAAAAGCCTTCCAATCCATCTTTCAACTCTCGTTTTTTGGCCCCTCACACCTGTTGGTGTTGGTTAAACTATACGTGAAGTGTTGCAAGAGATTGAACTTCCTCGTCTCGTTTTGCACAGGAGATTGGTTTTGGGGAAAAAAGAGGGTAACGTTTCAGCTTTTGAACCGGAGAAAGTTCGAAAGATTGAGAAGAAGAGCTTTTTCTTAAGTTGAAAAGTTGAGAACGGAATGAAATCTTGTTCTCAACGCAGAAAGGGATTTTCATCATGTTTCGGAATATATTCTGTTCAGATTTCGGATGTCAAATCGTCGCTCAAGCTCCGCTCTGAGAGTCCGAACTAAAAACAAATTAACGAAACGCCCTTTTTTTCCAACTCAGCCTAAACCCAAATCTTTATTTATTGAATCCTTATTTTGTTCTGGAAGTGAACCTATAATAAAACAATGGAAAAACTCCTTTCGGATGAAAACAACACAAATCATTCTTTATGATCCTGCTAGCAGAAAAATTACACTCCGGAATGATTCAATAAAAATCAAAAATGATTTTTCAAAAAGAGAAGAACTGTTCGTAATGAACGATCAATGCTCTCCAAAGCCACTAACTAAAGACAAAAAGTTCATCATTTTTCGGTCTAAAAATCGAGAAAGCTAAGAAAGAGAACTACGAAAAAGAAGCCCCTTTTTTCCGAATTTTTCATTTGAAATGAAGTGCGATTGGGCGGAAATGAAAAGAATAGCCAGGGAAAAGGCCTGGAAGAAGATGATGAAAAAGAAGAGAATAATGAGCTCGACTGGTGCTGCTCTCGGCGAGCAAAATGAGCCTCTTCATGGCTGGGTGCGTTTTGTCCGAAATTAGCGGTGGAGGGCCTTCTTTGTCGGAAAAATTGTGAAAGGACTTTTCGAAGCTTTTTTTTCTGTTTAGAAGTGAGTGCAAGCTTTGGAAAATGTATCGAAGAAAAAAAACAGTCCGACAGATAATATTTATTTTGGAACTATCAATTAATTTTTTTGAAGCATCATGTGAAAACTAATTCATGAAACTGTTCAATTTTCACACTTTTTCTCAGTGAAGATACACAAAATCCAGTGGTATGAAAAAAAAAGCCGGCGAATTTCCGACTTTTCTCCCCTCATATTTTCCGGTCTACATATAGATCTATTAACATGGTTTTCCTTTTTCTTTGTGTTTTGAGCATCATTCACCTACCTATTTTACATAAGAAAATTCAAAACGTAGAGATTATCGAGAAAAAAAAGTCGGAAACTTCGCAGTCGGAAAGTTCCCTAGCGATATGAAAAAATCGGAAAAGTCGCCGTTCGAAATTTCACTGGTTTTTATTTCAAACCTCCCAAAATTAACTTGAAAAGTGAAAATAAATGTATTATACTTTGCTCCCTTTCCAATTGGATTTTCAAAACAAAGTTTTCATTTTCCAACTTGAAATTTTGCTTTTAGAGCCAAGCAAATTATCATCAGTTAAAGCATCAATAGTTCAAAATCACTTTATTGAACGAAACTTTATGACCCGAATATTAGAAAACCTTCTTTTTAAATTTTGGCTTTGAACTAGAAAAAAAAACACAAACCATCGAGAAAAAACCGCATCTTGTACATTCCGAACAGAAATAGAAACTCGAGACAAGAGGAAGCGAATCGAAATATGGATAAATAGCTCAAATTATTGAAAAATTAGCTGTCCCTCGTGACAATCTTGTGATTTTTCAAAAGGGATGGAGGAAAAAAAAAATTACCATTCGTTTTGTACTTCTTTTCCTTGTTCCGACTCCTCCGCAAGGTGAAAATCGTTGACTGAAAACTCCTTTTTGAACAAGTTTTCTCCTTCGAGTAAGTTTCCAAGTGAGCTGACTAATTTCAACCAAAAAAGCTCATAAAATGGCCGATTGCGTGCCGATGAGCAATGAGCAGAAAACATTGAAAAACATGAGTCGATTGAGTCACAAGACAATGGAAAAAAGGAACGAAGCCGAATTTGCAAAATTCAATTATTTCCCCTCAATTTTTGGTGTTTGGTTTCATGAAAATAAAAATGAAAGCTTTGCTTAGCAACTTACTTTCCTGGAACTTGGCGAGCTTTCGCTTTCCTTGGATTTTTGTGTTGCGATTGTTACCTGGAAACAAGAGAACCCCATTTTAGTATAAAGAATCTTTATTTATTGACATCATGATGAAATGCGCGTCAAAACCGCGTTTTGTCCGTACACGCTGAACGCGTAATGTGACGTTGGAATTTTTTTTTTATTTTTTACTGTTTTCGATCTTTCAATGAAATTTCTTCTTTTCGAAAATCATCGAAGTTAATTTTGTTTGAACATCCTTGTTGCAATACTTGAAGGAACTAGATTATTACTGGAAAAGGCTCTGTGCTTTTATTGTTTTTGAAACCGCCGTCAATCATTTCCTCAAGGACTTTGTCTTTCTCCTTCGAAAATGAAAATAACCAACCCGATGAAGATTTTCCGAGCTTTTGGAATTACGAACGGCGTTGACTTGTGGGTGGTGGAGCATCGAAAGAGAGCAGGAAGCACGCATCGGCCGCTCCTCCTCCAGTCCAAGCCAAATGCCTTAATTAACGATTAACAATTAACTGAATAAATTTCATAGCAACAAACCGATATGTGAGGTGATTTTGCCCCACATGGTCGGCGCCGACGACGACCGGACACGACGGCGTCTTCTGAAATCATTAGAATGGGCCTCATAAAATTGAGCGATTAAAAACGAGAAATTTCCAAGCTTTGAAAGTGAGTTTGGGTTTTTTAGTGGAGAAATTTTTTGATTATTCAGTTGGAAAATGAAATGACATGAAAAGAGGAAAAGTATCGGCGGAAGACGTCGGGATTAAGAAGCAAGGAAGAATGAGAAGAATGAGACACAAACATACGATGAAGGAAAGCGGCGGAATTGCGATGAAAAAAGTCTCATTTCGGCGCCTTTGGTGGTCCCGAAAGGAATCAAAAAGCTCTACTGAGGTTTTTTTATTTATTTGTTTTTTTGAAGCTGAATTTTTTTCTAAAATTATTAGAAAACTCTGATTTGGCGTTTTTTTCTCGAAGTTTGTGTTGGAATTCTTCTGAAGTTGAGAAAAGAATTAAATATTGAATACAAACAAGAATTTCGGTTTTAAATGGGAGAAAGGACTGATCTTGACGCTTGTAATAAACAGGAAAGGAGGTTTTTGGAGCAGTTTTTCACTGGGAATTTTTCCAATGGCTTTCAGTACCCAGTGTAAAAAAATTTTTATTCAGTGTGTATTCATTTTTTTCAAAGAGTGGAATTTTATAGAAAAAAAGTTTTTTTGAGATCCTCGATTATATTTCAAAAAAATGCATAAAACTCCAACATACTTCATCTTTTGCGACGCAAAATGCGTTTGTTTTTCCTTTTTTTTTTCTTCGTGTCCAAGTTGGTTTATTACTCTCTTTTTCACTCGTATTCAAGAGCGTTGAATTTGAACGAGCCATAAAGCCGCCAAATTTTTCGATCTTTCATTTCATTTTGGGCTCGGGGGAATTTCTCGAAAAATGATGCATTCCAGAGGCATTTTTTGAATTTTTGATAGTTGTTTGTTATAAAAAAGGACTGCTTTGGAAGATTAATGAATGAACAGAGGGAGAGAATCAGAATCACCAAAGAAGTAAATAAAAGTGGTGAAATCTCTTTCTTCTAGCTTTTTTTTTTCACTAAAAAGAAAGTTTACTGGAACATCCATTAAGCCATTCAAAAGTTGAAGAATTCAAAGTTCAGAAGGCCTGTTTTCACCAATTTTTTAAATTGTGAGTCGATAAATACCCAAAACTAGGTCCTTAAAAATAGCGATGTTTATTGAAACAGGAAAAATCATCAAAAATTTCAAAAAGAAAAATTGAAACGTTAATTTTAATTAGATAATACTCAAATCTGTGTTTGAAAAACTAGAAACAAATTTTATTAGCTTTTTCCTTGGATTGTAATATACTCTGGGCTTTTCAAAACATGATATTCCCAACAAAAAAAAAACACATATACAGAAAGCAATCGAAAAAAAATGGCCAGACATAATGTCAAAAAAGGAAGATATAGTTGGTTAGGCATGTCCTCAGGGCGCCACTTCATTCCGGACGACGTCTGCGGGGCCGTCCGTAATTCAATTTATCCCCATTTTCGCCCTCCTTTTGCCATCCAGTCGCGGCACAAGCAAATTACAAATTTTATGCGATTTCAAGCCACTTTTTTTCGCGTCACGCAATGCAGCTGAGGCTCCTATATTAGTTGGCAGTTGGTAGTCAGGTCGGTTAGAATGTTGTTTTATGATCGTATGGTCATTGGATCAGTTCCTCTTGTTGAAGATTTTTTTTTGCCTTTTCTGCTTAACCTCTCTGGAGGGGTTTTTTTTATTCTTCTTTGGCTGAGTCTGTTGTAAAGGCTGGTTGAGGTTCTGGCAAGGGAAGTCATTTTACTTTGTGGCTTGGAATTTCCTACGAATTTGATCAAACACTTTCTGAAGGTCTAGATGAAAATCCCTCATAGTCGCTACCTGCGCAAATTTCCAGTTTTTGAGTTATTTTTTTTAAGTTGCGAAATACAAGCTTTAAAGCTAACTTTTCAAATTTCAAAATTAATTCTTTTAAAAACTGGAAGCTAGTGTTTTTTGCAACTTTGATGGATCTTCATGTAAACCTTCAAATATTTTTCAAGCAAAATTGTGGAAAATTCCAAGCCGCAAATCAAAATGAGCTTCTTGTGAGGACCAAATCTGTGTTAAAGGCAGGCTTTAAAAACTGATATCTCAAAAAGTGAAAAATTGTGCGGGTAGCGACTATAAGGGATTTTCGTCTCGACATTCAGACAGTATTTGAGCGAATTTGTAGGAAAATCCAAACCGTAAAGTAAACTTACTTCCCGTGTGAGGTCATTGGATCAGTTCCTTTTCACTGAATCTTTATTATTTCCTTTTTAGCCCTGCCTGAGTCTACGTAGAGCATCGAAGTAGTTTATCATTTTCTTTTGGTTCAGTCGGTAAGAGGATTGTTTCAGGGTTTTGAAAACATTGGATCAGTTCCTCTCGCGGAAGTTTTGTCTTTTTAACGTTGCCTGAATCTACTTAATCTCTCAATGAGTACTCTAGCCTCTGTAGCGAATTCGGTTAGAAGACTTCTTTAGGACCTTGAGGGCATTGGAACAGTTCCACTAACGAAAGATTTTTTTTGTCTTCCAGCATTTCCTGAATCGGCTAAGGCTGTCTTAAAACAGTTTAACCTTCCCTAGCTCAGTCGGGTGGAAGGTTGTTTGAGGTTCATGAGGTCTATGGATCGGTTCCCGATGCTGAAGATTCTTTTTTGCCGTTTCAGAAGCGGCAAATATCTTGTGAAAGACTTTTAGTTTTTCAAGGCCTCGTCGGTTAGAGCGTAACATAGAGATCTAATGATCACAAGTTCAGTCTCTCTCAATTAAACATTTTTCCCATTCTTGAAGGGCCTGGATCACTATATTTCTTTGGTTAAGTCAATTGGAGCCTTGGATGCAGATTTAGTCATTTAGAGAGCATCTTCTCAACTCCTTCAGTAGATTTTAGCTTTTGATACCTAAAAATTGCAACGCCTTGAATAATTGCCAGGCTTTCATGTTTATCAGAGCCTTAGAATAGCATCTTATAAAATATTTGTTACATTTAAGCATCTTTTTTGTCTGCAGTGAAGAGTATTTTCCTGGAAAAAAAGAACAAAAAAAAGTTGAAAAAAACAAAAGCTTTTTCAATCATCAAAGTTGAAACCAGCATTTAAATGAAAAAAATTTTTCAAAAAGTAACTCGAAAAAAAATTTGTCTAATTTTCACTGTTTAGTATCAAAAAGTGAACTATTAAATAGATATAAACTGAAACGACTGGAACGTAGTTTTTCGAAGTTTTTTTTGGGATGGTTCTGAAAAAACTTTGTTCCGCGTTCGATCACTTCGTTTTTTATTTTTATTATCTATTCGATTTCAAATAATTTCTAAATAAAAAAACTTTAACTATTAGTTGGCTAAACTTTGATTTTCAACTTTTTTCTTACTCAAAAACCAAAAAGGAATGTTTATACTCAATGCTCAAAAAGTTGTCAAACAGCGGGTTGAAAAAAAAACGAACGATGGGGCGAATAATGACCCGAAAAGCCGCGAAACATACATAACATACATTGAAGTCTGAAAATTCCCAGTGGACAAAATAGTCCAGTGCAACAAAAGACAACAAACAGACACACGCATATGCGTAGTTGGAGGGAAAAAAAGTTACGAGGGGCCAAAAATGGAGAGGCGGACCGGAGGAGGAGCAAAAATGATGAATGGCTAATGGGCCGCGACATTACATTTTCGGAATGGCCGTTTTCTCGGTTTCCCGATCAAAAATGGATAGGAAAATGGAGAAAAACATGATCACATTTTTCTTGACTGAAAGCTGTTTAAAGTGATTTCGCGATATTCAAAATAGTCAGAGATAATTCTGCATTTTGGGAAAATCACTTTGAAAACGGTTTTTGAACAATACACCGGACAAACTTTAATAAAATTAACGAAAATTTTCCAAAAACCATAACTTTGATATCCAATCTTGTTAAAATACATGGAAAAAAAGGCTCGTTTTTTTAAGAAATATTGCGAAAAAGGTTCCTCAAAAATTTTTTTAAATGTTCAAAATCTGAACGGAAACGTCAAATTTGAAGGGTAATAATTTTTTCCAGCTTTACAGCTTAAACATTTTTTCTCCAGACAACACATGTGATTTTAAGATCTTCCGGGAAAATCAATGTGTCTAGTTTGATAATATACAAGAAAAATAGAGAATATTGGTTCTAAAACAAAGAAAAACCAGAAAATGAGGAAAAATGAGTCCGGAAGTGCACTTCCGCCCATTGTTTCCGGAGACGGACGCAAGAATGAAATAGAAGAAACAAAGGAGATATCTCAAAGATTGTAGGAGAGGTTTTTTTCTTGAAAAAGAAACTTGAAATTATTATTTTTTTCATGAAGAATAAGAGGGAAAGAAAAAAATAAAGAGAAAGAAAGGAAATATAAAATATTTTTTTGAACTGGAAAAAAAGCTAAGGAGAAGAAAGTTTGAGTTGGAAAATTATTGAATTAGGACCGATCATTAATTTTTCAGTGATTTGGTTGTATTTTTGGCAGGTGTTCATAGTTATGCAAAAAAAAAGAATATTGAGATTTCCTTTTTGAAAGTTTTGAATAACAAGGAAAAATTGAAGTGAGCTCTCTAGGGTTTCAGGAAGCTCAACAAGGAATAGTTTATGGCGTGTTCATCGGAGAAACGGAACATCCTTCAAAACCAAAAATCGTGTTCATCGGCGCGCCAAAGTTGCTCCAAAACAGTACTAATTTTTGTTTTGGAGCAATTTTTTGCGTTTCGAAGAAATTTTCGTTTTGTCCGATGAACACGCCATTAAAATTTTCAAAGGTTGGCGAGTTTTAGTGACGGAAAAATTCCTGTTGCGCCGGTCTTTTAGCAACTTTCGGTAATTGGACCGTTAATAATTAGATTTTCCTTTCATCACCACCACACTATCCGTGTATGCAAGATAAATATTATTATTTCCAACTTTACTAGGTTTTCAAAGAATTTTGCAACCGACCTGCCGTGGTTCACGATCAAATTTTTGTATGAAATGATGAGAAAGCCTATTCAAAACCATAAGAAAATGACTCATCCAAGGTATACACCACTGAACACAACAAATAATGTATAAAAATGTGTAATCGGTTGGCTTTTCACCCGGGGAAAAATTGCCAAAGCCATCGATTAACACCGTCGACAGCTGTTTTGGAATTTATGAGCTTCACGTTTTTTTCCTTCTTCTCCTGTTAGTGGCAGATTGGAAAAACAGAAATCGATTGATCTATAAAACAAGAAAAATGTGTCTTTTTGTAGGTTAAGTTTTGTAGTTTTGCCCTAGATTTCTTGAAAAGTACAATTTTAGTCACATGAGCAATGTTTTTTATCTTTCAAGGTCAAGAAACAGCGTTTCATCGAAAAACTTGTAAAGGACTCTTCACGATTTCAGAACTTTTGGAGCCTGTACTGCACCCGACCTGGTGCGGTTTACGCCCTAAACAAAATTTCTATAGAAGACTAATTTTTCACTGTAAAGGAAGAGCTGTTTACATGGAAAAGACTATTGAGAATGACGAGGAGCAAAGAAAGAGAGAAACAAGGTTAAAAAGAAAATTCAAGAATTTTAAATTCACGACCTGTTTTTTACCGTTGGCCTAATTTTTGCCGTTTTTTCGAAGAAAAAAAAATCTGCATTTTTTTGGTAGTCATGTAGAATTTACAAGTTTCCATAAAGCCGACACTAGACAGACGGATTGGTCAAGAGTCAAATGGAATTTCGAGGGCAAAACGGAGGGGAAAATGGACAAACGAACCAACCAAGCAACGAACCGGGGCTGGAATTGGGTTGCAATGAGTCGGAATGAGAATTGGTTAGAGAGAAAGAGAGACACAAGAAACGAGGTGAAAAAAAGGCAAAGGAGCAGGCGGAAGGAAAATTGTGATGAGATGAGTGCTTTAATTGGAGATATAATTTTTGAAAAAAGCCATGACTGCCCGTGACTCGAAGTGTTTCTGTTCTATTGCATCTAGAGTCCCGAAGGCGTAAGTCGGTTTAGGTCAGTTTTGATGTGATAAGATAAGTGGCTTTAATTGGAGAAGGAAACCGTAGGAAGAAAAAATTTTTATTTTTTATTTTTGAAAGGCCGTGGATTTAGCTCAAAGCGGCGGTGCTCTCATACTTCCCAATATCCAAATGCGCAAGTCGTTTTTGGTCAGATTTTTTTGAAGCAGCCGTCCCGCGCTGAGCCGTCCAACTGAAGCCAATAGTTTTTAGTGGAAACATTGAGAAGTTTATAATGGAAAGTCTGTTGTAAAGTTTATCAAGGGGAACATTTGACAAAAAAATTTAACTTTTTTTCATATTTTTCTTTTTGAAAAAAAGCAGAAGTTCGATAGAAAAAAAGTCAGTTATTTCATTTTCTAAATTTACCAAAAAAATACATCATTTTTTTCGAATACTTTTTTTCTTTTCGAAAGCACCGATTTTTTTATGAGAACATTTGAATGTTGTAAAATGACAAAGAAAGATGAAAATCTCATCATTTTTCCCCAGCTTTTTTTGTTATTTTTTCCTTCTCGTTGAAAAGTTTGGAATGGGTAGATAAGGTGGAAACATGAGTCATCATTAAAAGTAAACATTTTGGAAGGAAAAAGGAATTTGAAACTTTAGGACGCCAGTTATTTGTTGAGTTTTCCAAGAACAAATTATTCTTCAAGTTACTAATCATGAAGGTCACAAAAATGAAAAAGTCCCAGAGGGCAAAAAAAAAATCAGACATCAAAAGCTTCAATGAATCTTCAAACTGTTCTACTTGAATGGTTCTAGTCAAACCTCTTAAACTTATCCTCGCCCTCTCTTTCTAGATTCAACTTTTTTTAATCCATCCTCTTTCACGAAGAAAGAGAAGAATAGGAAGAAAAGCAGACATCCAGACGGTCTCTGTACATAATCCACCATATCTAGATCAAAAAACGACTACTACGAAATAAAGGACAAGCAATAATGAAACTGTGTAAGTGTATTGAGAGAAAGGAAGACATGGAGAGAGCAGAAGAAAGCTAAAGAGTCTGGGACTCACTAAAATTTATATACTCTATCGATTTGGGGGAAAAATGATACGATCAAATGAAAAGACAAAATAAAAGAAACTAATAAAAGAAGGCAGGAACAAGAAGGAGGCAAAACGGTTGTACATAGGGGAAAAGCTCAATTTCGGCTTGTGTCAGCTGTCGACCCCGCGTGGGCTCTTTTGAGCAGCCGAGTCCGAAAGAAAGCCCCGGATATCGTGAAAGAGGTGTAAAACTATTAGAAGGGACAACTCGCTCCAACGGAATTTATTAACGGCCATTTTAACGATTGCCGATGGACAACGGCACTTTATTGCTAGGAATTATTGAGAGGTTGTAGCGGGTTCGGACCGAAGGAAAAGCCTTGGCTACTGAAAGTTCAGTGAAAGCCTAAGGAATATGGTCAATAAAAAGGCGATTTTTAAATAATAATTCCATCATGCGAAATTTAATTTCTAGGATTTTTGAGTTTTTTGTGGATTTGGACGGCAGAAAAGACTTCAACTACTGGTGAACTCATTAAAGTTGGGAGGCATCTGGTCAGTAAAATAGTGGATCGGAAGGTATTCTTTTTTATTATTGAGAGTTTGATGAGGACTTGGACCGCAGAAAAAGCGTGCCTACTGGGAAATTGATTTGACGTTTACTTTTTAAAAAATGGAATGGAACGAGAAGTGAAAAAACAATGTGAGTCATTTTGGAAACGTTGCCAAATGAAGGATCGCGGCAATGGTGGAGGCAATAGTGGGTTTATCTTCGAGATAACTGGGATACTGTAGATTTAAGTGCGAATTCCTCAATTTTCGAAATAAATCCTTTTGCGGTCACGCAAGTTTGAGACAGCGCTAGAGCGGCCGGTCAATATTGTGTCTTATGTTTCGGAGCCGGGAAATTTTGGAAACTTTCGAAGTTTTTTTTTCTTTTTTTTGCAATTCGTTAGCGAGTTTCTTCTCGAAATTATAAGATAAGTTCATAGAAGGCGCACAAGCCTTCAATTTTCTTTACCGAAAACCTATCTTAACCGCGTTCTTACTACTGGCGTTATTGAGAGTTTGTAGCTTCGTAAAGTTTGTCAAAACATGGCGGGAAAATTTTTATTAATGTAGGTTTTATTTTAACTGGAACATTAGCAGTTTAGAAGTAAGGGAGAAAGTCTATTCCCAAAATTTTCAGGAAAAAAAGGCAACAATAGCAGAAAGGTCAACCAGCGGAGAAAGGCCAGCACGAGTACGGCGGTCGGGGGCGCCCCGCCCACCAGAATTACTCACTCTTGCGAATGTTAGGGACTTCTTTCTTTTTCAAGTTGATTTCATGCTGATGAAGGTAGCCACGAAAAAGGGATCTCAGCGGGTGTGTATTAAACCTGTATAAGCGGAGCTGGTGAGACTTTCGACATTTTGTTGACCACCACTGCTTCCCCTGTTTTAGCAAAACTGAGGAATGAATAGCATCAAGAAACACGGGTTTAACACGGGTACACCCGACTTCTTATCTTTCAAAAGGAACTCATTCAGATATACTTTTTCAATTTTTAGTTTTCATAACTTTTCTCAAAAACCAGTTTTTGAGTTCGTTCACGGAATCATTAAAGTTCTTCTTGAACCTAGTCTACTTAGAATTAGTCTCGAAAATCCAGATTTTTTTGTTTCTACAGCTGTCAACTCGGTCGACGAACAGCAGTCTGTGGCTGCGAAAAGCGAGAGGGATAAACCGGAAAAGCCGCTGGACAATTCCATCGTCAGTATAATCATTTTACATATTTTGGCAGGGCGTGCTTTACATTTTACCATTTTCAGTTCTTTGAATTTGTACGGAGAGCTCTGGAAAAGAAGCCGATAGGACTGCGCGCCGAGTTCCTGGCCATGAAGAGGAGCAATGATTTCAGCGTCATGACCGCTTTTGTCGCTGCTAATGAGAAGGGCCAGAACCGCTATAAGGTTTAAAATTTTCAGCTCTCAAGAGAAAAATTGATTGAAATGCGATTACTGTACATTTGAATTCGTGACGTCGCATAATTTGAAGGAGGTCATAATATCTAGAATCCTGAGAAAATGGCTTTTTTGGCAAATGGATTTTCAAACTTACATGTTTTAATATGGAAAAACAAATTAACAGGACGTCGGATGCTTGGACAATTGCCGAGTGACGCTGGGAACCCCTTGGCCGCACGACTACATCCACGCCAACTACGTGTCGACGCCGTCGCGGCCCAAGAAGTTCATCTGCACCCAGGCGCCAATGGAGAAGACCTGCGCCGATTTTTGGTTCATGTGCCTCTCCGAACGTGTCGAGATCATCATGATGCTGTGCAATTTCATTGAAAAGGTGGTTTTTTCTTAGATGAAACTCGCTGTCGTCGCATTTGGAATGGCTCGAAGCCTAACTGCTGCGACGCGGTCGATCTAACTTATCAGCTGCTGGATTTTTTTACAAAAAAAAACCGCGACAACAAAGTTTCAAGTCGGACAAAAGCTTATTTTAGCTCCAAAAAGGGTGCAAATGTAATAAATTATTTTCAACTTCGAAGAATGTGAAGCAGTGAAAATGTGTGAAAGTTATGAAAGTAAACTTAATTTTTGAAAAAATGAACATTTATATAGAAACTCTCCAAAATTTTAGGCTAACGGATAAGTAGGGCTCTGATTTCTTTTGATTGCCAAGGCTTCGAACAAGAATTCGAAGTGAGCAATGAGATTATTTCGCTTTTTTTTTCGAAAATTTTGCATTTATCAAGCTTAAAATGGAAAATTAAGTTTTTTCGCTCATTCCATATTTTTTTCTCACCTGTCAGATTTCTTTTCGGATACATTTTTTTAAACCTTTTTTTCAGAGGTTTTTTTAAGCAAAAAAAATAGGCGTTTCAAGGTTTTTTTTTTGCCTTTTTGCTTTCTTTGGCTAAATTTATTTCAAAAAGAAATAGCATGTTCAGGGCGCGAATAAATGCTGGAAATATTTTCCCGAGTATAAAGAAACGATGACTTTTACCGAAGGGCCACAGAAAATCCTTGTCAAGTGCACGCGTGTGAAAAATGTAGGTCTTATCGGAATTATTTTGATTTTTCGACTTTTTGAGTTGTCATGGGGCGAAAGCAAACTAAAAGAGTCGACTTTTTACGTTGAAGGCGTCGGTGTGAGTTTTTTTTTTCCTCTTTTTGTTTCTTCTTTGAAACAGCCGGACCCATTCGCTCTCTTTTTCTCTTGGCTACGCTCTCTTGAAGAAACTGAAATTTTTCAGTGACCACTATAGGGGTTTTTGACGTTTTAGAAGCAACTATATTCGCCGAATTAATGGCCACTTAAGAGGCGAAAATCTAGTACCTCTTTAGAGGTCTGCGGTACTACGAGACCACTACAAACTACTATAATGGCTAAACGCCAAATAATAGCTTCTAGAGAGGTGGTTTTAGTGACGACTTTATATAGTTTCCTCTCCAAATAGTTCTAGAGTGGTAAGTAGAGTTTTTTCTCAGAAGCGCAGAGAATTCAGTCTCAAGTCGAAGCGAATGCACTAAATCTCTGAAAAATTGGAAATAAATTTTTATGCTCACAGAAGACGATGAAAATAAAACATATACACTGGATTGACTGGCCCGATCGTTGTGTCCCGTCTCCCGATATGACTGTCATCAAAATTCTGGATCGTTATAGATCTAAGTTGGTTTTTATCAGTGGCGGTAGGTTTTTTAGGGATTCCTAATGACCACAAAAGCCGGGAATGCTCAAAAGAGGCTTTTTCGACTTTTTTGCAGCCTTGACATTTAGAATCGACGATATTGCTACAAAATTGGGCAAAAAAAGCGAAATGGGTGGAGTAGGGGTCTGTTTGTGCAGCTTTCGAATGAACAATTGACCTTTCGAATTCAAAAGTAATATTTTTTCCTGTTTCCAGAAACCCTATAGTTGTCCACTGTTCGGCGGGCATCGGAAGGACGGGAAGCGTCGTGATGATTGAATACATTTTGGAACAGCTCGAAAGTCACGAAAAGATTACGCCAAGCGACGAGATTTTGCTCAAAATCCGGAAGCAGCGAAACAATAGCGTACAGGTTTCACTTCCGGATCGATTTCTTCAATAAAAATTTTTTTTCTAAAGACGGAACATCAATACCTTTTCGTTCATCAGGTCATCCTCAATTACTTACTCAAAAAGAAATATCTTGACGAGGTTTGTTGATTTTTCATAATTATAATGTAATTTTTTTGCAGCACGGTGATCGGTTGATTCGCGAATTTTACGAGGAATACAAAAAAGTTGTCGTGTGAAGCGTCTCTTCATTTTTTCGTTTCAATGCAAATAAACTCACTTGCAACTTGTTTTTTGTTGAAAAAAGTCAATCAAAAAAGCGTTATTAAGGTTTTTAGAAGCGCAGAAGCTTTTAATAGCCTAAAACACCACTTGAAAGCTACAGCTGAACAGAAGATATGCAATGCAAAATTATAATTTTTTTTTTGCATCACTGTAAGAGAAAAGTTCCGGCCTGGTGTGTTGCAGTCAAGGCACTTTCTTTAACGACATTTTTTCTGTTTTTTTTTTAAATGTTTTGCTGGAAAATAAAATGTTTTAACCGATTGCTCTGATGCAGTACGTCTTGTGTGCTATGAAAATTTCGTTTTGTTTTGAAACCTTCTCTTTTTTCACTTTTATCTTTTTTTTGTGGTCCTTGATTTGAAATTAACATGTTCTCAAAAAAAAGCTCATTTGGTTGAATCGAAAGAGTAGATTTTATCGCGTATGAATCATTTTTTCCCTGTTAGATGACTACGAGATGATAAAACTTTTTTTTTTCTCGCAACGTTTTCTCGATCAAAGGTCTCAAAAAATTTTTGGCTCCTCGTGTTGGTTGCTACGAAACGGTCTTTTTTTCTCACAGTTTTGACGCGTTTTCTGTTTATACCAACTCGCGTCTCGCTTCCCATTGTATTTTCTCAGACACATGGCCAAGAAGGGGCTCGTTGCTGCCCTCGAAAGCACAAAGAAAGCGGCGGATCGGAAGGTTGCGTCCGTTGCGAAGAACAAAGCGCTGGCGGATAACAAAAACGGCCAGCGAAATGGTCAGAGTTGAGAATTTCAGTGTGATATTTTGTTGGTTTAGCCAGAAAATTCGTCCAAAGTCCTCCCTGTGACGACTCCTTCGGATTTCTTGACACTCCACCGACGGAAAAAGTTTTTTTTTCCCCTTTCTAATATTCCCAGTTCAAGTTCTTGTATATCTTTTTTTGCGATCAGCTGAAGGAGACTTGATTTTTTCAACTCGCAAAAACCAAGCAACCAGAATACTTCAATCAAAAAGAACACTGTTTATATTAAAACTTTACCCGTCTTAACCTCGTGAAAACGAAGCACCATGAAAATGCCAGGTAAAGTAATCTTCAAAACTTTTTAAAAGTTCCAAATTTTTTTTCAATGGTTTTTCATGCGTATCTTTGAGTTTGAATTTTATTTTTTTTAAAGCTTCGTAGAGCAAAAAGGCAAAAAAAGCTGTATTAATTTTAGCTCTCTTTAGCTTATTCGAATAAAATTTTCGACTTCCATTGAATGTTTTTCATCCGAGTTCGAAATTTTCACTGAAGTTTTTTTTTGTTAAGTCAACGTTCCTATTGATACCAAGAACCCAGAACGTGATATTTGTCGTAGAAAAGTCTGATATTTGACTTGGATAAATTTTACGCCCGGCGTTTTGCTTAAAAACCCGCTAAGATCGGGCCGAGTTGTGCTCAGAAATGGCCGGCTGACTATATATACCTTCAAGAACCTTCGATATGGCTCAGATAGAGCTGAAGTGTCTACTGAAGGGGTCAAGATGATCAGATTATAGTATGTATCGCTTGTGTACCCATTCAATCAATAATGCATGTAATATACATCGACTAACTAGTTTCACGTCGAGTTCAAAGCTATTTCCGTGAAATCCTAAACTATTTCCGACTCTCCAAAATTTAGTTATGTTTTTCACTGTCTGATTGCTATTTTGAATTTGCGAAATCAACACGGCATGAAAATTTGAAAAAAAAAACAAATTTCGACCAGACCCAATGTTGAATATAATTAATGATTTGAGTAAATAGTCTTAATTTTCATTTTTCAAGCTCACTATTTTTTTAAGAAATTAAAAAAATTATGTCGAATATTTTTGCTTTTTTTGGGCCGAAAGTTATTCCTGACATCGAAATAAAGTGAGTAAAAAAATTTCATAATACCTTTTTGAGCTTTTTATGAATGAAAAATTGAAAAAAATAGAGTTTTTCCGATTTTCTGATTTGGGTTGCATTGGCTGATGTATAAAATAATCTTTGCTGAAATTTGAAATGATTTTTTTACAGAAGGAAATAGTTTATAGCTTTTGCCGCAAAAAAATTTGCAAAAAAATTCACGCAAAATTATTTTTGTTAAATTTTAAAAAAATATAAAGTTCGCACAAAGTTAGGACTGTGGACAGTGTTCTCATTTTTTTATATCTCTAAAAAAATAAATATTTACGGAGATACTCATTTTTCGAAATCAATGCCCAGTTCAACAGGGCAATTTGAAAGTAAATTTGCAGAAAATTTCTAACCAAGCAGAATTTAAACCAATGTACTTAAAGGCGCAAATAAAGCAAAAATAACCCTGAAATGGCTCTTCGACTTGATTATTTTCCTAAATTCTTCTATATTTCTTCAGAAACCTTATAACAAAATTTCTTCCACTAAAATTCTTCAAATTTGTTCAGAAGCTTGATGAAAAGGATCCCTACGATTTGGACGACTCTCTATTAGACAACGTTTGTTTTATTTAAAATTTTCTTTAAAAAAACTTCTTTTCAGAGTATCGAAACTGACGACAGCAGGCAGCTAGTAATGAGAAAAGATAGTTCAGAAGTTGAAGAGGTTGGAAAAAAGTTTCAAAGTCCAAAAAATGAAAAAAAAAATCTCTAGATGGAAGAAGAAGACGAAGAGGTAGATGATCAGAGCGATTTTCTGTGTAAATTGCACAAGTTGTCCATTTGAAAAAAAATAATTTTTCAGCTTTTTTGGACAAAACCAATCCGGTTACAGCGGTAAAAAGGAAATCTGAACAGGTTTTCTTCTTCTTTTTTTTTTAAACTCACTTTCCAATATGTTTCTTCGCTTTGCATTGAGATATGGTGGATATTGCATGTTTTTTCGATTTTCTAAGGGGGTCAGTTTGAAAAGTCGAGCGAAAAAATTGCGATTTTGGGCAATATCGTGAACAAAATTTAAAAAAAGAAGTTTTTATGCTCGAAAAAAAAAATTTGAAATTGAGTTTAATTATCATTTTTTAAATCTTTGTTTTTCTATCGAGCCGCTTTCTGAAGCCCTTACTTGAACATTAGAAATCTAGAAAGTTTGAAAATTTGGCCATTATAAAACCAATTGATTTGAGTTCTCTCAACTCGTTTTCCCATTCAGAAAGACCTGGAATCTAGTTTTTTGACGACGAAAAAAGTTCGAAGCCAAGAGTTGGAACAATCTTTTGCCGATTTACCGAAAGGTGGTGATTATTTAAAGATTTCCACAAGTTCCAATTGTTCCAGAGATTTTCCCAACAAGGAAGGATACATCGGACGGAAATCGAAATGAACCATTATCACCAATTATCGATTCTACTGCGAGTGATGAAGAAGAGGGAGTCGAAGCGGAGGTTTCGAAATAAATCTTTCCCTGATTTTTTTAATTTTCTTTGGTGATAAATTTTTTTCAAAAAAATCGCTTTTTCTGGTTAAAACCAACAATTTTTTTGTTTCAAATAAAAAAATTTTAATAAGGACTTCGCTAGGTTTGTAAAATCAGCCGAATGTAGAGAATTGAAGATTTTTTTCTTTTTTTGTTTTTCTATTTATTTGGATTGTTTATTTCCAAAAAAAGTGTGAAATTCTATTAAAAAAAGAGTTTTTCATCGTTTGTGAGAACAGTTATGAACGGAAAAAGCGGGTATTTTGCTACAATTATTAGAAATTGGCCAGATTGGCCTTTTCTAATAATTGTAGCACCTCTTCATCATTTCTTGCATTTTCAGCTTTTTTCTCCTTGATAACTTGATTAATCATCATCAATTCATAGAACAACCAAGATGATACGAAACCGACCAGCTTCAGCGATAATTCACTGAATTCGAGTGGTAATTCTGAAGGCAATCGGACCAACGAAACGGAGGAAATCAGAAAAAGCGAGTGGAAGGGAGAACTTTTGGTTTTCTAATTGAAAATACGCATGTAGAATGTTCTAACCCTGCAAGGAATGAGGGTTTTATTAACTAGTTTTCAAAATTTGAAGCATTTTATCAAATTTGTGCTCGTTTTTATGTGGAAAAGTTTCATTTTGAAAAATTTCGGCAGTGGAATTTGAAGCCTAAATTTTCCTGTGTAAATTCCATATCTCTTTGATAATTTTTTTTTTTCTTTCTTTGCTAGCTCAATTAATTTATACTAATAAAATTAAATGCTTCATTCCCCTTATTTCTTTGAAAAAAAATCAGGAGGGGGAAAGTTAAAATAATCATTTTTCTTGAGTCTTTCTGTTTGAAATGCTGACATGAATGTATATTTTTAATTTTGCACACTAGTTATTCTTCTTCGAATTGATGAAACCTCATCTTTTTTGGGGAAAAATCAGGGTTATAGTTTTTGAGTCTTAAAATTTCAATATTAGTGCTACCGCGCCACATCTAAAAAAAAAGAGGTTGATATTCTGTCCTGAAAAAAGACTCGAAAGAAAATAGTTCGGAGGATCAATAAGAACTGAGCCGTTAAGTTCCATCAAAAGATTATCCCTTAAAATTCACCAAAAAAGTTGCACAACGAGCGAAAAGTTCTGAAAAACATCGAGATATAATAATTTTTTGAATATTTAAGTTTCAGTCCCTGTTCCACCACCGCCAATAAAAGAAGAAGTCGACACTCTGTCCTGGAACGAGCAGATCCCCACGGACACGATAATGGAAAGTTTCTCCAACGACGTCTGCGTCGAGTACCCCTTCATCTTGCCTTCGCGCGAGTTCGAGTCACTCAGGGCGAAAATCGAGGCGAAGTTCGAGGTGAAACAAGAAGTCGACGCCTCGCCGTCGACTTGTTTCCTCTCAGATCCCGCCGCCGTCCTCCAGGTTTGTCTGAGCTCCATTCAAACCTCATTGGCATAATTTCTGGAAACCCGGAAAAACTAGTTCGACGATATAATGGATGAAAGAGAAACGGAATTCTCATTCTTTGAGCGGTTTTAAAAATACTTCGAAAGGAAGATTTTTATATTTTTCTTTTCCAACAGCTTTCAGATTTTTGAGAGTAATCTCACATGTTATTTCAGCGGCCTAAACTTTTTCTGTTTGCTCAAAATGCTTTACAGCGGCCTTCTGCCCTTCCCGGACCACTTGTTTCGGATATTTGCTGGTCGTTTTGCAGCCAACGCGAGTCGGATAACTTGTGTCAAAAGGAGCTCGCCTTTGATGTTGGTTTGACCGAAAAGTAGATCACATAAGGTTTAGAAAAAAATGATTGAAAAAAAGTTCTCATTTCGAGAAAAAGCTAGAACTATTTGAGGGACTAAAATCAGAGCAAGAATATTTTCAGTCTTCGACTGTTCTGAATAGCTTGAAAATGATCTGAAATTATTTCTGAAACAGTGGAAAAATGCCTCTAAAAATGCGGATTAAACGGAAAACATCAGTGAAGTGGCTTTAAAATAGTTCAAATCATCTCAAAAATGACGCAGAAGAATTTTAAAAAAGTACTGACTAGTTATTGCAACTGGCTTTGATTTTTAAAAAATGAACGTTTTTCGGTTCAAGATATTCCACACGCTGCGGAAAGGCGACGACCAAGGCCGAATCAAGGTGCCTCTACTTTTGGCTCGAAAAGTCGACGAGGTGGAAGAAATCGCGTCGGAGTTGAACGTCGACAAGAGCTTCGTGATGAAGTCGTGCAGGTTGGGGGCCGACGGGTTGGTCGACGTCGTGGAGACGACGCGACGACGTCTTTCAGCGAGGCCGACCGCCGCGCGGCCGTCCTCCAGCTGCTGGGCCGACGAGAGAGGTTCTCGCTGAGTCTGGAGACGCTGCATCTCGGCGTCGCCCTCCTGGACAAAAGCTTCAACGTGTTCGTCGTCGACCGAGTCGCTCTCAACGACTTGGCCCTCATCAGCATGGTCATCGCGAGGTAATCGGGTTCACAGTGATGAGTTTGAAAGCTGGAACTGTCCTGGAGATGACAATTAGACTAGAAGAAATATTGAAAAGACAAAAAAACGGAAATCAATGGTCAGAATTGATAGGTTTGGCCTTTTTTTTAGCGATTTTCAAACAGAGGTTTTTTTCCCCTTTTTTTTTAACTCGCACGGGAGGGTTGCACATTTTGATATGTTTCTCGTTTCATATCAAGAAAATAAGTTCATTATGATTAATTACCTTTGAAAGTGGGAAATTTTGCTATTTTCATTGAATAAAAAATGATTACAAGAGCTTGACCAAGGCTATTGCTTTCAAATTGGCGCCGAAAACGCATCGCGACCTCTTTGCAAACACACTCTAAATGTCGCACTTTGTCGTTTAAAGCTGGGGAAAGTGGACTATGTCTGAACGATGAAATTCAAGCGTTCATTTTTAACTTTCTTAGAAATATTTTTTTCAAAAGTTTTATGACCCGATCTCGTGAGCCTACATTTCCCCTACATTTATTCCGTCAATTTAGTACTTCTCGAGTTGATTGATGTAACGGGAGTTTTTTAAATTTTGAATTTCATTCTGAGAGGTTTCAATCTTAAATACCAAGATAGAAAATTTCAATTTCAGTAAGTTGATGGAATACAACGCCTTGAAGCTGTCGGACTTGATTTCGACCCGATTGGTCGAGAACAAGACTGTCAAGGAGGTTTTCGAAGGATAATTCCTAGGATTGTATGGTCTTTATAGCTGGGCTTCTTGGAAAAGAGGATCCTGAAAGAGCTGGATTATCGATTGGAAGTGCCCACGTCGTTCACTTTCTCTAACTTCCTTATGTTGGCATTGAAAGTCACCGAGGAGCAGATTTGCCTGACGCATGTCAGTTTGTGATTTTTCGATGAAAACTCAAGATTTTTTGTTCCGAAGGAATTTTCAAAAAAATTTGAAAAATAACGTTTTTCGGATAAAAATGGTTCGCTTTTTGGTGGGATGAGTTTTCTTGAAAACATGAATTTCGATATTTTTCCAAGTCTTCAAAACGCCAGTTTTGTATTTTGATTTCAAGGGAAAATTTTATTTTTTTTCACGATCAAATTTTATTCTAGCATTGTGTCGTTATTTTTCTCAATAGGTTTCTGAATTTCCAAAAAATAAAGTTACATTCGCACCTCTAATGCAATTGATGAGCTAAAAAAATTAAGAACTTCTTTATTTTTTTTTTGTTTTCCATTTTTTCTTCTTTAATGGGCAACTACGGAATCATGATTTTCAGTACTTACTTGAATTGGCCCTCTTATCACTGGATTTCCGGTACTTTCCATCGGCCCAAGTGTCCCATGCGGCCGTCTGTCTGGCCTCGGCGATACTTCCCAAAAAGGTGTGGTTTTTGATCAATCAATATCAATCAATATTGTTTTCGTTTCAGTCAATCAATTGCGTCAAAAACTTTACGACAAAAAAAACTTTTTTGATGTTGCGATTTTGAATATTTGTAAGTTACTGGTAGAATTCCAGCTTCTAGACAAAAATGCGGCTCAGAAAATTTCAGAACGATTGATTCAACAAATGTATCATCAAAGCATTTTAACGTGGATTTTAACGAAGAGGGAACATTTTCAGGAGTTCCCCTCGGCGGTTCTAGCTTTGTGCTACGCGGAACGACGCTTGAAAGATTTCAGCCGGATCGATGGCGAATCGACGAGGAATATCATGAGATCGCTCGTGGTACAGTACGATTTGGTGCGTGAAAATCTAATAAAAGTCTAAATTTCAAAAAAAAAATTGAAACAGATGCTCCATTTCCCTTCATTCCTCCCGTCAATTAGTACTCGTGTGTGAGAAATGAAACATTTTGATTGAAATGAGAAAATATTCAAGCTTTATAGAAAATTGTATTGAATATACAAATTTCTTGTCCTAACACTATGGAGGGGTTCCTTTTGATAGTCTGTTATGCAAAATTTTCAACTTATGACGCGTGAAGATTGATTTGAAGGAAAAGAAAATCAAAACTCGAACTTTTATAGAAACTGTTATTGTAAAAACCATGTAATTTCGCAGTTTGGAACTTATCGGACGTGACTTCTCATTGTTTTAGGGCCTCTATAAGCTCATTACTTTGTTTCGGGGAAAATAAGCTTCAATTTGATGAAAATGGAATATAAGTCAAGCTTTCAGTTAAAAGCTCTTGTAAGGACCAATTGAAATATTTTTTTCTACATTTGATGAGTTTTGACTACACGATAAATCTGTTATGTGCAGTTCCGAAAAAAAAAAATTAAATCTGAATTAATTGAGGCAGTTTCAGGCGATCAAAGAACGGCACGAGAGCTTCAGAGAGTACACTAAATCAGAGCGCAAAAACGTCGCAAACGCTGAAATTCCGAAGGAATTGAGGAAACTTATCCTGGGTAATCAATAGATGGTTTTTTTTTCAGTGAATTTTTCGATCCCTTTCTCGATTTTTTGGGAAACAAAAAGAGAAAAATCGAAAATTTTGGTGGGGTTTCCTTGAATAATATAGAAAGACTATGCGATTTCTCTCGAGTTTTTTAACTTTTTTGAACTGAACTTTTTATTTAAATGTTCAATCAAATGACTTTTTCAGATACGAAGTGAACGGTTCCACAGGACGAGAGTCTCAATTTCTCCGGAATATTTTTTTTTCAATCAAATTTTACTTTTTAGTGATTTTCCCATCCTTCTTTGAGAAGATTTTTTAGAAATTTTGTATACTTCTTCGTAGTTTTATGGTATAGATGTCTTTTTCAAAAGGCTATGGTTCATTTTTTTAATAAGATCTTTATAATTTTTTTCCACAATTATAAAATGGACCATAGTTCAAATCAAAAGCCAAAAAAATGCCATTTTTTTATTTTTATTTTTTTGTCTTTTTCGCTCGTGTCAAATGTTACATATGTTCATTACTGAATGTTTAAAGAAAACGGAAATAAATTAAATAATTTTTCCCTCGCCACTCCGAAGAGATCATTTATTGTTCCTATGATTCTCTATTGTTAGGAAAAAAATTTAATGGATATATTTGCTTTTTTTGAATAAAGTTATATTCTGTTTAAATTTGGGGAAGACGTCCTGATAAGCTTTTTTTAATAGCCCGAAATTTACTTGAATTGTAATATTTTTGGACAGAAGGCTACGTTATGATGGGTCTTCTTCAGGAAACAAAAAGTGAGAATATTTTTTTATTTTTTTAAAATAGGTTAATATTTTTTTAAATCTGAAGAAATTTGTTCAATTCCAGAAAAGTTCAGTTCTATTTTTCCACTTTTTTTCAAGGAAATTTGACAGAAAAATTCGACTTTGGCCGAAAAAAATTTGCTTTTTCATTTATTTTTTTCACTGAAATTTCAAAGTGATGGTCATTCTAGAAGTATATCAAACTGGATTCTGATTGAACAGCTTTTTCAGAAGGTATCTTCTGAAGAAGAGAGGATCCCAGGGTGACCTAAAAAAACCGCAAACAAAAAAAGTATATACCCTGTTTCGAAAAAAAAAATTTTCTTGCTCCCTAAGCTTCTCGAAATTTTTGAAAATAATAGAGATATGGTGTTAAAAGATAAGAAAATAGAGATTTTTGGAAATTTTAGTTTTTTTGTTGATTAGAGAATCACGTAATACTCTACTTTTTACTATATAATCACGAAAAAAGTTCAAAAGTTCCTAAAGAAGAGCTTTAAAAAAGATTTTCCTGCGCCTTTTCATGAATTTTTTACCGGAAAGATTCATTGCATTTTACACCTTGTGGGCCCTTTTCCACTCTTCGAACACTTTGAATTTCGAGGCTCATTTTGATCCTCCTGTGGGTGCGGCTTAATGTGGCTGTTGAGCGGCGAACGGAGCCATTCAGAACATATCAAAACGGGTCCCGCGACGATCGTCAGCCTATTGTTCGTTTTGATACGGTAGTAATGGGTATGATGGCCTTTTGGCCTGTTGGCTCTTCTCGGGTTATCCGGAATATGGGTCTCTTGAGAGGTCGCTCTACAGAATTTTTGCAAAGTGCAGTGCCTATGGCGGCATTCTGCAAAAAAGCTTCATGAATTTTGCAAATCAGTGCTTTGCATTTTGCCCAGAAGAACCTCGCATTTTGCATTTCTTTTTGGGCTCACTTGTACAGACGAAAAAAAGTGCAAAATGCGAGGTACTTCTGTGCAAAATGCAAAGCACTGATTTGCAAAATGCATGAAGCTTTTTCGCAGAATGCCGCCATAGGCACTGCACTTTGCTAAAATTCTGTAGAATCCCCGAGAAGTTTTAGAGATAGAACATTTGGTAATAGAGCATTTTAAGGCGTTTTTAGAAGAATTTTGGGTTCAAGAAGAAGATCGCCTTACTTTTTAGAAGTTATGTATTTCAAAATTGAGATTCATAGTTTTACTTCAAATTTTGAACTATAAGAAAAAAAATTGTGCTATTTTTGAATCACTTGAGGAAAGGAAGCTGACAATTCAAACTTAAACTTGAAAAAAATGGTCTTCAGGAACCCTTTTTCATTTTTAAATTTTAGCTCTTTTTTTCTTGGTAGAATTTGAATTTCAAGATTTTTCTAACCGATTCAAAGGATTTTGACTTTTTTTAATGGTTTAAGATAGGAAAAGTTCATCGAAATGTTTATTTTTTTCAAAGAGTAATAACCTTCTAAGACCTTCGGGGCAATTTAAGGTAACTTTAAATGAAGAAAAATTTTTTTCAGGGTTTATATCAAAAAAATAAAGGATGGAAACCATGTGTAAATTGGCCTTGGAAGATAGCAGTTTTGATAAATTCAAAAATCACTTGGAAAGATCTTGACGATCCGTCTCGCTTTTTTCCGCTTTGAATCTTCAAATCAATATTTTTCATGTAAATGAGCTTCTGAAATCTCGCCTGTACGTTTAAAAAAGAACCCCGATGACCCAATATTTCGTAGTCTAGAGCATGTGGGACCAAAATGAACACACAAGGATTAGCCTGGCTACTTTTGGCGCATCATGTCTTCTCTTGTCTTTTTTGCGGCTTCTCCTCAAAAAATTTATTGCTCTTTTTCACGGGGACGGGAATTATTACGGGGTGTCGTTGAGAATTCGATATATATGAGTGGATTTGAGAATTTTCTTCAGAAAAAAAGAGAAAGAAGGGTAGACTTTTAAACAATTTAAAAAAAAAGAAAGTTATGAATGTATTCTGCTCAAAAATCCCTGCTGAGGTGTTTAAAGGAGCATATACAACTGTTAAAAAGGCTAAGGAAGAGCCATTTTTGACGCTATTGAGCGCTTCAGAAAGGATCTCTGGCAGGAAAATGTAGTTCATTCATAACAGCCTGCGCCTTTAAATAATCTCAAGCTGTGGTGAATGAGCTATTAAAAGTTATACATAAAAAACAAAGAAAACATTTTGAAATAGGTAGTTTCTATGGTGAGAAGAACCGTAGGAAATTGAAGATATATAGCTAATCCAATAGAAATATTTTAGGGAAGGAATTCTTGAAAGACTATTTTCACTATTTGGAATAATTTGAGAAAAAGAGGATAGAGATGAGTATGAGGGTAGGGTTTTGGCTCTTTTTGTGTCTCCCAAAAATTGACTATTTTTCCATCATTCTAATATTTTTGAAGAACTTAGACTTATTTTCACTGGAGACTTAAGGGCTAGAACTAAATTTTGCCGGATGGAACTTGAACTTCAGAAGAAAAAAAGTCCGAAAAATCGGAAAAAATTGTTAAAAAACTTCAAGCTGATGGATTTTGCGGCAGCCTTTTCGAATTGAGATTATATTATTCGCACTTTGAATGGCTCAACGCGAAACGCGCTCTATAGGTTCCGGACCATTAAACGACTTTCGCTTTTTGGCTTTGAAAAGCCCAAGGTCGACTACTTCTAGAGGCAGCCGTGACGCGTTGAGCCATTCTAAGTGCGACCGAAAAAACTAAGAACCTCTAAGCACATCGATTTATCCTATTCGAAACTGAAAAAAAACCTGCGGCGCCTGTATTATTTTTTTGACACTTTGGTGCAAAAATCAGGATAATCACAACAAATGCTGGCCGAAAAATGGCACCGGAGGAGGGGGTAAAAATGGAAGAAACGGAGGTGGAACTTGAAGAGTCGGTAATGGAGTGTACGTGAGCAGGTCGCGGATCACCGACTCGATGGTGTTCGCGCCGGTGAAGCGAGCGAAGAACAGCGTCGCGACTGAAGACGCCGCGACTGAAGACGCCGCGACTGAAGACTTCGTCTTGTCGCCGTCTCGCAGCGACAACTGCGTCGCGAGCAGCTCCGTGCAACGGTCCGGCTGCAATGGAAAGTATATAAGTCAGTTTCTTCCTTTTTCCTATTTCGAAAAGTTTCTTTAACACTACGTTAAAAGTAAAACTTGAAAGTGAATGGTAACTATCGGAAAAGTCTGACCTTTCTGCGCCCTCTTCTCCCTCACCGGCAATCAAAATTGACCGTCGTCGAGAGATAAGAGGGTATAGGAAAATTAGACTGTTTCAAATGGAAGCGCAAGGGTTATATGAGTTTGAAGGTAAATGAGGATAAATGTGATTCAAAATCCAAGACCGATTTTATTTTTTTTTTTCTGATTTCATTGTAATCTCGCTTCAGCAGTATATCGTTTTTATCGTTTTGATCAGCTGGCCACGCCCCTTTGGTCTCAATTTTTTTTTCCTGAGAAAATTCCGCGAAAATAGCCGAACGTAAAAGGATAACTAACTTATTTATAGTTTTTTTTAGCCAGTCTCAAATTTTCTTGGAAGAAGCTTTTTCGTGTATTTTATCGGCATCGGTCAGAAAGTCAGTTTATAAAGGAACAATGGCCCTTGTAAGATCAGCTCACCTGATGCGATTTCTGAATCCGACAGTAGTCTTCCAGTGTTCCTCGGACTTTTTCGCTCATCGCCACGATCTTCTCCTGTTCTTCCAGTGATGAAGTTTCTGGAGGTTTTTGTACGTTTCAAAGATGATTTATATCTACCAATGCATCGTTTTCAACGTTTATGTTGGGTGTTACAATCAAGTTCCAAAACACTGAGACAACCTTTTCAAGCTTAAGGTTTAATTCAATGATCGATTAAGATTTTGAGTTATCCTAATCGACCATCAGACCATTAAGCTTTTTTCTCTCACAAGAGTTCCCATTCTTCATTTTTGGTGAATTACTCTGCCTCGTCTTCTTGTGGACAGTTGCCCCGTTTTTATCGCCGTGAGAGATCATTTTCAACGAAAAGCCGGATGGAACGGCGTAGTGGAAGCGGAAAAAAGTATTTAGTTATGCAGGAAGGCCCCGAAAAAAGCGATGGCTCGGCGAGATTAGACGTGCTGCTCCGCGGCTCTTGCGGCTCAATTTAGGAGGGGAGAAGGCCGTGGCCTTTCGGACTACGGTAGGTCAATGGGGCGCAAGAGTTTCTTGGAGAGCTGGAGGTTTACGGTGATTTCTCCGGGAATAACGAGTTTATGGGAGAAGAGAAACATGAGGTGACATTCAGAAAGGTCCAAGACTCTAGGGAGAAATCGCTCTAGTGCTATAAGATATCAAAGGGTGCAAGTCGTTTCGAGTCGGTCGCGATTTGTGGTGAAATTAGGGAGAGATTCAAGTTACGACGGAAGAAGAATGGATAATTGAAAATTTGAGGTTGAGTGGAAAGTTGCGAAGAATGGGAGAAGAAAAGTCGCCCTTAAAATGGCTCAAAGTGATGCGGTTCAATGCTTCGCTACTACAAGCGCAAGCCGTCTTGAGTCGGTTGCAATTTGATTCTAGGATTTTCATCACTTTAGCTATAATTTTAAGGCGCTCATCAGAACACTCCAACTAAATTAAGAACCGTTTTGAAGAAAAATAATACCTGGATCAAAAAACAGAGCCGCTCGAATCGATGACAGTTCGGCGAAGTCGAGTTTGAGGTTTCTAATCGCTTCGATCTTGTTCTGAAACAATTTGAGATTTTTTCGAGGATAATAATTATTTTAGAGATTTTAGAGTTTATAAGAATAAGAAAATGAGATGCTAGGTCATAAAGATGATATTTAGGTGTTTCATCAGGAGAATATGATATTCAAGGGAGATTTGAAGATACATATAAGTGGGAAAAAAACCTGAAAGAGCTTCAATTTCTCGGCGGAAAAGTCTTCGTCACGATCCAAGTGAAGATAGGAACATAATGAGTCCGCGACATTCAGTGGAAGCGAGGATTGAGATAAAGCCAGAACAAAAATCGATGGCCAGTTCTTTTGAAGCAAACGGATCTGAACTTCAAATATAGAAGAAGTTGTCTCTGATTAGAGATACCTGATCAGATAGGGAGATTTGAGCGAAAGATGCGACCGCCCGTGACCATTGGATCGTTGCCAACATTGTTTGAGCGGCAAATTCGAACGCGACGTTGGCGTCGAAGTTTTCTGTAATTCACAAGAAAGGTCATTAACTTTAAGGTTGAGAGTTTCCTGATACTCATCCGAAACCTTCCTTGATTTACCAGAAAAAGATTCTCAAAGTCTCAACGTGCACAATTTTCGAAGAATTAGGACTAAGAGACCCAAAAATAACCTATTCCACGGACTTCGATCGTTTTCTTTGATTTTGAAGTGTCCTTCTCGAAAACTAGAAAGTAGTGCAGATAAATATTTACAGGATCTTTATCTGGTACATTAAGGAGGTGTCTCTCAATAAGATGTCTGTGTGTTGTTAGAAGCTTGAGATTTTGATTCTGGTTAGAGAGCACTAAGGTACAAAGTCTCAGTTTTTAAAAACAATTTTGATGTAATCAATTCCACGACTTGAAAGGCGATTGGCAAGCTTGAAGCGTTGCGTGTGCGGCGCGGCTTTTTGGCGGGAGAGTGTGAGGTCAAATGCAAGTCACCTTTTTTCCCCTTTTTTGATATTGTCCTAATAAGTTTCAATTTTTTATGGTTTTGAAAAGATCTAATTGAACTAGTTAAAGTATAAAAATATACAAAAAATAATTCTTCCCCACATTTAACCATGACTGCGTTTGGAAAGAAAATTGAACTTCCGCCAAAAAGCAGCGTCGTGTACGCAACGCCTCAACCTTGCCAGTCTAGTAATCTCGTCTTTCAAGTCGAGGAAAATTGACTATATCCGTTTTAGGAGTAAATGAACAGAACGACAGGGCTTTTCAGAGAGACTAGGGTTACTAGGTTCAATTTTCCACTCTTGTTCAACTCGAAGCGGTAATTCTTGTTTTCAAAAGTTATATCAAAGTTTTTGAGCCAAGATACGTTATCAGCGTAAAACCGGCATGAGCTTACCCTTATCCAACAGTTCAAGTGTGAGCTGAGATAATTTATCAAGCAACAATATCGTATTGAATCGATTTTCCAATAAAGAACCTGAAGAAAACTTTCTCAGCTGAACGTTCTGAGCTAAGAAGGCGATGTTGACTTGACTCATGTGTCGAAAGAACATGTTGGAGTTGTGGACCAACGCCGCCGTCGACTGCAGCGACGACAGTCCTGCCGGCAGTCGGCCGCGCTGAACTGCTGAACAATCGGCCGTGTCGAGAACATCGTTCCGATCCTCGTACCTTCCTTTCTCATACCCATCCGGAAGCATTTCTTCAGCCGGCAGTATTGGCATTGGTTCCGATGTTGGACGTCGATGGCGCAGTTTTTCGTGCTTCGGCAGGTGTAGCTCAAGGAACGGCGGATCGACCTGATAAGGAGGGTCATTTCAATAATAATTCCCTGAAAAGGATCTAGAGAACCCATTGATCTACTTGAGAAGGACCCTGAAAGTTGCAAACTGAAAAACTTCATAGTTTTCGGAAAAAAAAAACACTACAGAACCAACAAAAACCAAAAAAAGTAAAAGTAGATCCTATCCTTATATCAGTAATAATCAATGTGCTGGCTCTGGTGAAAAGTCCATTTTCGTGTATGAAGGCGGGATCCGTGGTTTCCGAGTATATATGGTTTATCAAAGAGTTTCAAGTAAATCCTTCACCAATGACTTGGTTAGAAATAAGGTAATGAACGTCTTTGTACCGTTTGAAGAAGCTCTTGCATCCCTCGCAAGAGAACTGTCCGTAGTGCTTGCCGCTGGATTTGTCGCCGCACACGACGCAGTCGTTGACCTCTGCTGCGGATCCGCATTCCGGAGTGTTGGCGCTGGTGCCGAGGTGATCGGATGTCGATGGCGGAGAGGGAGTCTGCAGCCAATTTGAGTTTGTTTCATGTAAAGATTGAGGTTTTGGCTTTGCAAAGACAATAGGCGATCTGAAGATTTGAAAAAGGGATGGATTGATCAGTGAGGTCACTAGGTACAACTTGATATTTTTTTTTCAGATTTAGATTTTGTTTAGTAGCCAATAGAAGCTCTAGTTAGATGGTTAGGAACTATTGGAGGCCAATAATACAAGAAAGCTTTTAAAAACTTTAATTTTCTTCGATAATTGAGAACAAAAAAAGGTTGGAAAAACTAATGAGGACACTGGAGGATTCGGATAAATTTTGCTGGTCTGAAGAAGCTCGTTCAGAAATCAATAAACTTTATAGGATTTTTTTGGGACCTTTTTAATCCCGTGAAATAATAATAATAATAATATAATTTATTTACAGGCAGAACGAAATAACATGTACAAAAAAAAGAAGGGAAGAATTGGCATAAAGGCCTGAAATAAATAAATAAAAGGCACTTGAGGCCCTAACGAGCCTCTGAGCCAGTATTGAAAGATGATAAGGTCAGAATAAGAATCGAGGATTGTACAGAGTTTTTAAAGAAAAAAAGTAAATAGAAAAAGAAAGCATTATAAATTATGACACAGTGTAGCACAGGTAAAAGGGGAATTTAATTGGTTGTAATGATATAGACACGCATTAGATGGATTAGAGTAGGGCTGAAGCACGGGTGCCTGGTTCAACGGAGTCTGCTGGGAATAGGTCCAAAAAGGAAAAAAAAATCAAAAAAAAATCAACAGTACTCTTAAGAATTTCCAGAAAATCTGCGCCTGTTTTGATGAGCTACGAAATTTCTTATTATTCAAGATTTGGTTCGCGATTTTTCAAAGTTAATTTGGTTGGAGATAGCTTGCTGACGAGTTTATCATCTACGCTTTTTTTCAAATTTCAGTGCTATAGTTTATGAAAAAAATTTTCGAAGGTCCAGTAAGGTTTGAAAAATAGGGTCTTGACGCGATTTGTACACTAATAATGTAAAATGATGAATGAAAAAAAATTTTTTTGAAGTCCAAAAATCAAGTCTATAAAGACGATATTTTTCAAAATTTAATTTTGATGCATGAATTTTGGATGAATTCAAGTTTTACTGTACCTCCATATATATATATATATATATTTATAATTGCTCCAGGAAATTAATCAAGCTTCTTCTCCAGTATAAAGTCTACAATTACAAGGTGGTACATCCAATAACAAATTGTGAAGATCGAAACTGGAAATTACAGCTTGGGGACAAGAAAATGGGAAGAAATGACGAGGAGGATGGAAAATAAGGACCCCCGCGGCGAAAAACCGTCTGCTCAGCGGCCATTAATTCAATTTCCTCGTCGCCGTCGAATATTTTATGATCATTATCTCACGTCATTTTCATTTCATCTCAATTTCATCTTCAGAAAGGGTCTCGAGGATTTGTTCTGTGTAAAAATTTCAGAAAAATATGAGTAAGGGTTTTGAAGGAACTTTCAAGAAGTTTCAGCTTTTTTCACTTGGAGTCAGGCTTATGCGTCAGGCAGGCCGGCCCGGGTCAGCCTGGTCCGGGCTTTTTGAATTTTTTTTTTTTGAAAAAAGCCTGCGCGGGCTCGGGCCAGGCCGAGCTTTAAAAGTCTTAAATTTAATTGTTAAAAATTTCCCCGAAAAAAACTTTTTACTTGTTGAATTATAGTTTCTAATAATTATATGAGACAAAATAAGCGAAATCATTGCTTTTTCTCGTGAAAAAAAAAGCGAAAAATTCGACTTGAAGAAAATTTGAACTTCCTTTAGCTTTCGAACCGGCCGTTTGAGGCCTCCCTAAAGGCCGGGCCGAGCTTGGAAAAAGGGCCGGTAGGCTGACGGGCCGGCCCTCGCACCAGCCTGCTTGGAATTTTGCTTTTGAAATTTATTATTTACCAGTTTAGCAGTAGAGCGTAGTCAACTATTGAGAAGAGCTTTCAAAAAAAGTGGATTTTTTCGGAGGGGTTCAGTTTTTTTCGATGGGATTTTGAGGCTCTTCCCAGCGTTTTCTTGTTTTTTTTTTCATTTTTCCGTGGGGAATTTTTGAAATTAATCATAAATCAAGAGATTTTTATTTACCAATAGTTGGCTCCGTGTTAGTTTAAGACTAATTAGGTTCAGTTTTGGAAGAATTATCCATTTTCTGACCTCAAGTAGCCTTCAATAGAGATACTAATTCACCGTAAAGTCTCTAATTTATTAGTAATTTTCGAATCTCATAATTGGAGTAATTTGTAGCAAGTGGGAAAAAACGAAAAAAAATAAATTGATATCAGCTTGCTCAGGCGATTTAATGAGTGTAGACCAATTTAATGAGTTTGGCGAGGCTAAAAGTATTTCCTGCACTTTTTCATTCCATTCCTGCCCCTTTGGAAACCATAGAAAAGTGTTTTCCATGTAGATAATTCAAGTATTGCAGTTCAAATTTGAACTTGAAGGAGTATGAGTCATACGAAGCTTTTTGAAGAATTTTTGAAATTTTGTAGAGTTGTAATGAGACTTTCTGACCCTTTGGAACTTGTTTGAAAAACTGGGAGTTTGAGTATTGGAGATTGACGTTTGGAAGTTCTTTTTGACTATTTTCGAAGCTTCTAGAAATTTTACAAATGACCAGAGTATTGGAGATGGATTTGAAATTTTGACGGAATTTCCTATTTTTAGAGCCCACCCAAGAATTTCTGTCAATAGAGAGATAGACTAGTAGTCTGAGAATCTAGTTTGATCTGCAGACGTGACTGGATGTTCTTCACGTCTACCAAGAGTCTTATGGGGATTTGAAGGGTTTGAAATGTTTCTTGGAGCTTCTGGAATAGTCAAAACCGATCGTTGTTCCTTATGCTCTCACCTCGCCGACGATGTCAATCGGAGGGCTACTCCGTCTTGGCGGCCACTTTTCGATCGGCCAACATTGCAACCACGGCGGCGGCGGCAACACTCCGGGAAGCATACGGTAGCCTGACGGATGTTGCCAAACGAGTAGAAGAAGAAGTAGAAGTGAAAGGAGCACTTCCGGAGCAGACAAGACGGATTGGGGCCGCCGACTTTGTTATCTCGAAGCGCCAATCACGACGTGAGTTGCCTCCAAGAGATGGGTGGAGCGAGGTGACGCCCTCTGTGAGAGTGGCAGCAGCTGTGCTCAGAGCAGCTCCAATCAAGACTTGGTGGAGCTCTTGAGTTGGAGCTCGACTGTGGGAAGTCTTTCGGACAAGAGGCTTGACCTGAAGGTCCTAAAGAATGGAATGACTAAGCTTTCATCCGATTCTGGTGATAACTTGAGCAAATCTAGAGGTCGTTTACTTCCCTCTGAAACAGACTTCCATGAGAAGAATAATTTCCTTGGGAACTTCGGCTGAAGCTTGACTGTGGAAAAACTTCTGAGCAAGAGGCTTGATCTTCAGATTCTGCAGAATGATATGGCTCAGCTTTTACCGGATTCTGGTGATACTTCATTACAGAGAGATCTTTCTAGGCAACAAGCTTGAGCTTCAGCGCACGGAGGAAGGTTTCTGCAACGATTTTCATGCAATAGCTTGATTTTCACCTGCTTCCAGAGATGTCTCAACTGCCGTTGAAATTTCCGAAATCTCAGATTTTCAATCAAAAATACCAGAGCTGCTGGCCAAAGCGGGGCGACCCGGGGCAACCGCAACGCGGATATAAATGAATTTTCATTTTCTTCAACCAATAGATTTTTTTTTCAGTCGATATTCTGCGGATTTTTTCACTTAAACTTTATTTTAACTCATCTTCCCAGTGGGGCGGGGCGCCCCGGGGCGACTGCCAAAACGGTGGGTCGCCCCGGGGCGCCCCGTCAGCAGCACTGAAAAATACCATCAAGTTTTTTTTTTTCATGAATTTCGGACATGTTTTCGAGACTTCCTAAACTTTCGCAGCATGAGCCAGCTCTCTCAAACCCGCTGATCTACATTTCCGACGGGCTCAACAAGCTCATAAACTTCTCACACAACAAAAAAGGGCGCATCAAAGGGCCTACGGTAGAGACGAGTTTTAGTGTGTCGGCGAGAGCCAAGAGGCCATCAAAACGGGGCATCCGCGGAGGCAGATGGGTTTTGTCCCGACGCCTCTTCTCGGCTTCACTTTTTTTTTCGCTTTTTGATCCGAGAAGCAATGTGGTGTTAAACGAGGCTCGGAGTTAAATGCCGGGATCTTTGAATCAAACGCGGCGATTTTCGACGTAAAATCCGAGAACTGAACTCCGATGAGTATAGTTCCTTTATAACCGCCTCGGAGATCCAAGAGCCCTGTTTTCTGCAAATCGTTGGTTTTTTTTTTGTTGGGTAACTATATTTGGGATCATAAACGCTGTGATGAGAAAGCGCTTAAAAAGGAGTCCTCCTTTCTGCTCATTTCAAGGTTTTTTTTTCTCTGAGATTCAGTTTTTTTTTCTTTGATATCAAAGACAAGATAGAACTAGAACATAGCTTGGAGCAGAATGAAGTTTGTGCTAAGAGGGTACAATTTAATTTTTTTTTGGGGGTAGCCCATTCAAGTCTGTTTTTTTAGAGGCTTTCAAAGCCGTAAATAAGCTTTTTCGATGTTTCAAAAATCAATTGTGAAAATATCATTATCAAAGTTTTTTTGGTAGCAATTTAGGCTGGTCTGTCTTCAAAACTTTCATGAACGTACTACATCCACAATGTCAAGAGTTTGGTGAATACCTGCGCCTTTAAAGCTCCTACATATGAACTAAAACATGGGAAAACTTTTTTAAAAGCCATCATCTACTCCCAAATCTTCTGAATTCAAAGCCAGTACTGCCTCCTTTATCATTTCTTTGGCGGGGCTTTGAAATATCATATCCAGGTTAAAAAATTTTTTTGGCTGTTGGGGCGAGATCCTAATACCCTCTAAACATAAGTTTAAACTGAGAAACCGAAATCTTCGATTTTTGAGAGCTCCTAACTTTTTTCACTGACTTCCTCGGAAGCTTTTAGGACCAGATTTGGAATCAGTGTGAAAAACTACATCTAGAAAACATGGTCTCGTTCACGAGTCCGACTTTGAGCTGAGTCCATTCCCTGGTTGGATTAAAAGGGGACTTTATTCCTTATTTTTCAATTTTTTTTGTAAATCAACCTTGCTTCCCGGCCTCATCAAATTTTGAACTTACCCACGTATGAATGGACTTCACCATTTTGTTGGCTGCTCAATTGAACAAGGAAGCCAGGGGAAAGAAATCGAATCATCCGCGGTAATGGATGAAGAGCGCCGCACAAGGCCGTTTACGGTCACTCAATTTTTTGTCTCCTTTTTTGATTGGTCCGCCCGGATTTTAACTCGATTCTCCGATCTTTGGACAAAAGCCAAAAAGTGGGCTCCTAACGAGGTGGAGGCCTTAAATTTGGGAAATTGGATTAGATTCGTTATTCGGTGGCTGCAAGGTGGAGCAGGAAGCAAAAAAGAGGAGATTTTTGAATTTTGGAACTGGAAAGTTTTGGAGAATAAAAAATTCTTTTTGGCGAAATACAGTTTTGAGAGCGTTAATTTGCGTTAATTTCGTATTTTACACCAGTTTTGCTTCATAAACTGCTTGTTTTTTTTTTTCAAATCTCAACCTTTTCTGCATGAATTGCGTTTTTGGCGTTTCTAAAGCGTATGAAAAGCGTTCAGACACGTTTAAAAGACAGAGCGACATCGCTCGAGACGCTGGGCCACCGCCTCGACTTATTTCTTCATCAAAAATACCTAGGCTGACCTCTGGTAGACTTCTGAGGGAGGTTAGGTTCACTAGATCAGCGCTGTTCGAGATGTGCTTTTTGAGATCAAAACAAAAAAAATTTCGCGACGAGAGGAGTCGTTATCTCGAAAAATCGAGTCGAGATCGAAAAGTTTACCAGAAATAGGAGGCTCAAACGCTATCAAAGGCCTGATTAACATCGTAAAAAAGAAGAAAAAAATATATATGTTACGAATCAGGGATGCACGAGACACGAGGTTTTTTCATCTCGAGACGAGATCTAGACAATTCCAAATTAAAAATGTACAAGTTTTTGTATCAAATTAACACTTGAAAGCTACCAAAAATCAAAACTATGTGGAAATTCTCATTATTGAGAAATATTTTTAAAAAAATCTAAAAATGCACTGTGGAATTGAGCGCTTCCGATATGACGCCATACTTTTGTCTTTCAACGTAAAAAAAATCTTTCTTTTTTTCTACTCGAAATGTCTCGAGACGAGATAGGATTATTTCTATATCCCGAGACGAGACGAGATCGTCAATTTTTTACCGAGACGAGATCGAGACGAGATTTCGTCTCGAGATATCACGAAAAGTCTCGAGACGAGGTCGTTTCTCGTGCATCCCTGTTACGAATCATGAAAATGAACTCTCTGAGATCGAATTGAAAAAAGAAAATCAAAAGTCAAAAAAAGACAAGACGAAAGAATTTCACCTCGGAAATTTCGAGGTATTTCGAGACATTGGAGACGAGATCGAGACCTAAAACTACTCTGATAGAAAAAGAAACAAGAACAAAAGAAAAAGAACATTGTGCAAGAGCTTTTTTATTATTTCTCTTTTGAAAAGTAAAATTTAAAAAAAACTCCGAAGAAGTTTTTATAATGAATCATCGTCTCGAAAATTCCATGACCTTTAAAGAAAGCTTCCTCAAAACATAGACTCAAGTGGCAAACAACAAATTAAGCACTTTCTACGATTCCCAGTAATCTCCTAATTTGCAAGTGAGTTTTTACCAGGAACCGAGTTATGATTCAAAAAGAGCTTCCTGTTTTTTTAAATTTTGCATTTGCTGGATTTAGTAATATTTACCTTTTTTTCGAAGTATTATCTTCTTCGAAAACTTTGTTAAGTTTGGAAGTTTTTGTTTTTTTGACTTTTTTTGTCTATTTTTAAAATGATCTCCACAATTTTTCCTATTTTTTTCTTTTTTTCGAAAAAAACCTGATAGTCTTTTTGTGACTGGATAGTCGATCAGAAAACCTTTTGGTCAAGTGTAAAATTTTTCTTTTTTTATTAAAAAAAACTTTCTCTTTGTTTTTGAGAAGGGTTTGTTGCTTATGAAATCATTACAACTACGTAAATATAGATGTTTTTCAAAAAAATAGAAGAACAAGCAAAGTTTGATGATATGTACTTTTTGAGAAAGGTATTCGGCTATTTTTTTGAAGGAAAGGTTGCTCCACCGAAAATTTCTTTTTTTATCTCTCTATTTGCGATTTGTGAGTCAAAAGAACTTCCTCTTTTTAATTTTTAGCCCTAAGAGTGTTTATGAATGTATATTTTTTTCGTCTTCTATCTTTTTTTCCTCCAGGAGGCGTGTGACGAAGGGATTTCCGGCGTGAGGAAGCGCGTGTTAATCGTGAAATAAATATATATTTAAGACTTCTTCTCCTTGTTTTTCTTTCTCTCCTTCGGCTTTTCTTCATTCTTTCTTGAATCTTTAATGTTCAGTTGTTTTTCTCCAGCAGATATGTAGAGTTTGAACTTCGGAGACCCATTCATTCCTTCTCAATTTTTTCTACCTATTTTCTCTCAAACCCGACTTTCCCATCCTTTTTTCAAGGTATCTGGTGATTTTCTGGTGATAACCACGTTCGATCGCGTGGAATTCCTGATAGGATTTTCAGCCGCCTTTTCCCAGCCTTATTGGAAGCTGTGCTGGAAAAATTGTTTTTTTCTTCTTTGATTTTCTGATTTCGAAACTTGTTTTTGAGTTTTCGTGAATGTTGAACTTTTGCAAGGTCTATGCTGTGTTTTACCGTTTTTTTAATCATGGTTATAGAAATTCATAATCAGTTTTTAAACTTTTGAAAAAGTCCTTTTCGATTGATTCAGTTGATTAGCGTTTTATACCATAGTTTTGCTACAAATTTAGTCAGATAGGATGAGATGAAGTGGCCACTTCAGTAACGGTTCTCACACCCCCTTTTTTTCAAAGATTCAATGTTTTTTTAAATATTTACCTTCTTTTTTTCAGATTCATTTTTTTAAAACTGAAATGGAGCTGCACGTATAACTATTTTTCAGGAAAAAAAGAATAGAAGGATATTTTAGTATCTGTTTAAAAATTAAAAAAATTAAAAAAACTGTTTAAAATAAAAAAATTTTTTTCCAATGAGCGATTTAGTTTCATTCCAAGCTTCTCATGTTTTTTTCATGTTTTTCAAATCATTTTTCAAAGGAATTTGTTGTAGAAAACAGATATAATATACAGTTGTTTTTTTAGAGGGAAATATAGCTCTGTTGATAGTTTTTTTTTTCTGAGTTATATCATTTTTTTTTTGTATAACCTGTTGTATACATTGACGAAACGCGTTTTTTTTTTCGCTCATTGCAAGTTTTTTCGACTTTTTCTCGACAAAAAAATCAACCCTAGTGATGATTTTTTGTAAGGTCGAGGTATCTTTAAATTTTGAAAGGAGAGTTTCATAGTTTTTTAAAAATATGTTTCTGAGCTTTCACTATCATAATGGTCAATTCTGAGGCTATTTGTAAATTTTCATTAATTTTCGGAATAAATACTTTCCAAAATTATAAACCAGAACTTTTGCGGGTCTTTCATTCTCACTAAGAATAACTGACGAGATAAACGCGAGGTTGGTGGCGGTACATTGACGAACTCGCAAACATGTCGCTTTTTTCTAGGCGCGAGCTCGCATTTATCTTGCATTTCGGAAATTTTCAAAATGCGAGAGAAATGCGAGCTCGCGCCTAGAAAAATGCGAGACCGGCGCGAGAAAAAATGCGAGATGTTTGCGAGCTCGTCAATGTACCGCCAGCGTCTCGCGTTTATCTCGGCAGTTATTCCTAGTGCTCGTAGTTAGAGCCTTTCTCTTGTGATCATCGTTATAAGTGGACAATTTATCGCCGTCTCAATAAATTTCCCTCTCAGGGTCACTTCAAGTCTTGTCAATTATTCATGGGCTTTGCTATCTCTTTTTTAATATCGACTTTTTTTCGGGCGGGCATCTTGCAATTCTTTTTTGGTTTTTTTTTTCCTTCACCTCTTTTTGAACTGTTTATAAAACAGTCTAACCGTCTGCGCTCTCTTATTCTCTTACGGATTTTTCATTATCTCTTAAATATGCAAATGTATGATAAAGCTTCACAAGGTAGTTCGTCTGAAATTTCGAAGAGACTCGAATGAGAGAACGAGAGAGTGCAGACGGTTAGACGGCTAGAAACCGCTTTGACTCGACTAATCTCTTATTTTTCAACTGCAGAGCTGTGAAATGATGAATAAAGTGACGCCGACGGAGACGTCGTGCACCGGTAGCTCCAAAGCGACGGCGGGGAAAAGCGTCGGGATGCTGGTGACGATGGCCGTCAAGGTAGTCTTGGCTAACCTGAGCAATCATGTTTTCATATGAGTTGTTCCAGGTTTTTGGTGTAATGTCAAGAACTTTCGACCGGAACCCTTCCCCTTCTTTGAGCGATGACAGCAGCTTGCAGAGTGGCCCCTACACTTCTAGGGCTATCCCTGTTGTCAGTTTTTATTGATTTTTTGAATTATCTATCGATTAGAACAAGAATATGACGTTTGGAGAAAAAGTAGAGCTCTACTCCGTTTTTCGCGGCTTCGAGCTGTCGTTTTTCTCTGCGCCCTCCTCGTCTTTCGGCGACCCTCTCATGTTGCCGGGCTATTTTGTTTTTGTCTGACCTCGCCGGTGAGGGAACAGAGAGACACAGACAATCGAAAAATGTCAGGGCGAACGGAATATACCTGCAATGTGAAAAAGGGATAGAAAAATTGAAGAAAGTTTGGGGAGAAAAAAGAACCGCGCAAGTGTGCTCCATGGCTCATTGGAATACTTCATCTCATCATAATTAGAAACTCTGTTTTTCTTTCTAGTTTCAGTCATCCTTGGAGCACGTTTTTCCCAGGACTTCCAATTTTTCAAAGTTCATGACTTTTTTTTTATTTCTCCGAAATTTTTTCGAAAGCACCCTTAAATTGACGTAAATTTAAAAAGGAAAGATAGACCAGGAGAAATTGAAACTTTTCCAAAGTTTTTCGCACATTCCCCTCTTTTCTCTCAAAAAAATATTCCAACTTCCTCAGCGGCTTTTTTTTGGCCGACTATACAATACACTCTTTAAATTTCAAATAAGGAAGTCGGATCGAATATTTTATTCAACCCGATCAAAAAAGGCTCAATTTTTCTCATTTTCAGGCCGCCGCTTACACGCAATCGTCGACACGAAAGTGAGTTTCGGGTTATTGATGTCTTATTTCATTTTTAGACTCGACGTCATTTTTCATGATTTATTCAGTACTTTCGGCTTCAGTTCCAAGTAATTTTAATGAAGTTTGTTCAAGGAACTGCGAAAAGGCCGCTTTCGGAATAACTTTTTGGCGCGTTTATTCTCCAAAATCCATTTCGAAATCAGATCAGACAAATTCTAGCCGATGATCGCATTTTGAATGGCTCAGACAGTTTTTAAATACAACACTTTTCTAAAATGTCGAACTCTGAATGAGTGAAAAGGAAGAAAAGAAAAAAAAAATGATGCACGAAACGAATTTGGCGAAAACCATACCCAATCATGATGAAGGTGGCAAAGGTTGGGGTCAGGTCGCATCGGGAATGGCTGAGGAAGAAAAAGAAAAAGTGAGCCGACAAGTTAGCCATTCCGAATGCGGCAAAGATCGAAAAAAAATAAACGCTTTTTCCTATTTTAGACCTAAAAGGATCAAAAATGATGTAAAGTAGCGTAGGGAATGACTTAAGAAGAATAAAAAGTCGGCAGACACGTTAGCAATTCCAAATGCGACCATAGTTGAAGTGATCGCTTGATGGAACTATTTCATTAAGCATTATCATTCCCAGGTTGGCTTTCGGAAGCGCCACAGAGACGGCCGAAGTGAGCAAACCGCTCGACGACTTCTACAACAGCTCGACGCTGACCAACGTCTCGAAGGCGTTTTGCGCGGCGGTCCTCGTCGCCGCCTTCCTCCTCATCATGTCCCGCAGCATCCAGTTCGTCGCCTATCACGACGAGTTTCTGAAGTCGTCGACCTCTTCGGCATCCGTCGTCACAGAAGAAGCCGTCGAAGAGAATAGATCTACAACAAAAGACGTTGAGATTCCGCCCAGTTTGAGCACCATTTTGAAGATCTCTACTGTTAGTTGATCATTTTTTTTCTTTTCACTTGTTTTTTCTCATTATGGGTACGAAGATTGAATATCAACGCTATAAAGATTATTTGAAACAGTTTTGCCTTCATTTTCACGGAGCTCGTAAAAATAGCTATTTAAAGTGTTCATGTTTGCTCCACTGATAATCTGAAAGCTTCCCGTATCTTTTTCTCTTATGGTCAAAATCAACGGTGTTTTATATTCTTTTTTTTTACTTGCAACCCTTATTTCCGCACTTCAATGTCATTTGTTCTAGTTCCAAATGATAAAAACCACGAAAAGGTTGACAAATTGTCGGTGTCAAATGTGTCATTTCGATTAGGGGTGTATCGAGTAATTTTCGAGCCTTTCTCTGATTTTCGAAAAAAGTTTATTGAGAAAATGATTTTTTCGGGCCCTTGAACTTCCTATTTCATTCAAATTTATCATTTTCTCAGCGGTTCATTTTTTTTTTGCGGGTTACCTTTTTTTTTTAAATAAATGTATTTTTTACTATTCGAACGTTGAAATTGAATCTTCTTGTGACGTGATCAGTTATTCTGTTCTTTTGAATTGAATTTTCATCTTAGAATGTGAGTGTATATTATTTAGAGACCGCAGAGCCACGCCCCTTTTTGCGATGGTGAAATGCACTGGTTTTTTAGATTTTGTGTTTGATGTTTTCGTAAAAGCACAATACTGAACCAAACACAGAGAAAATTGGTGGAAACATAGAGTAAACCTTCCTCTTTAATCTGATATACTTTTCTCCCGATTTTCGTAGCGTTTTAGCGGAGCGTCGTACAAAAACCAAAACTACTTTTTTTCTTCGGGTTTTTAACCTAATTCCATGTCGTTGGCGCTTTTTTTTATTATCGAATTCGATTCTTAAGTGAAAAACAAATCTTTTAAGACAAAAAAATTAAAATTTTTACGGTGCCTAATCTTCGTGAGGCCGCGCAAAGTTGAAAATGTTGTACTCGCTTTCGAGAGCGTGTAAGTAAAAAAATTTTTTTATTTTTAACTTGTGGATTGAATTGTAACTAAAATTTTATTAATATAAAACTTATTCCGAAAAACTTTGTTTTCTGAGAAAAAATAGACAGTGAAAATTTCGAAATTCATTTTAACATGGACAGATGTCGTTGGCGCCTTTTTTTATTTCTTAAATATTAGCGTATCTCATTTTTCAATCAATTAAAAAAATAAAATAAAAATTTCGACGGTGCCTAAAAGTTTAATCAGTGTTAGTTTAAAGCCAACGTTAAAATAAGAAAAAAAACACCGAAAACGGAAACATTTTGAACTGAATCTCTATGAATAAATTATTTTTAGGTGGTCCGAACACACGTGACTAATAATTGTTCAACTATCATAGCTTTTTTTTGAACAAGATTGTCGGTAAATGCTGTACTTTGAGGTGAAGTGCTGTATAGCGCGAACGCCTCCCATCTCCGAGAGATGTACTTGGAGCAGCGCAAGTGCTCTTGAATACAGTTTTGATATCGCGAGTTCGATCCTCGCAGCGGCCATTTTTTTATTTCCCATGAAAAAATAGCTTTTCTCTTCAAACTTGTGGTTTTATACTGTTTTAATAACTAATTATGACTTTGAAAACCGAACTAAACTACTGAAAAATTTAAATCCGATATGAAAACAAAATGAACGACCAAAAGTGTAAAATCTAAACTTTCAGTACTAAACTTCGCGACTTTTTTCACTACTGTTTTGACGATAACTTTTTTTGTTCTTAACCTTTTTCGAAAAACTAAACTGTTTTGAATAGTAAATTAGAGCAGCTATCCAACCATAGTAATATTGAAGTTCGAAAATTTTTTTGAAAATTCGTCTGCGGTCCCTAATATTATTTATCATAAGCAATATTGCGTGGTGAAATCAAAAATTTTTGAGATTTGGTACTGATTAAAATTGATCCAAATGCGACCGCGGCTTTTTGAGGTTAGGTGAATGAATGTTGAGTTGATTATAGTTCAGACTATTTATAACATATCCAAAACTCAAAAAAAAATTCGATGCTTTAGGATGAAATATGAGGTTGAAAAGATAGTATACTCCATTCAGCACGATTTAAACACTCTGACATGTCTGCGCTCTCTTTTCTCTCATCGGGGAAGGTATAGGAACATAAATAAGAGGGAGTCACCAAAAAGAGAGCGCAGAGAATTCAGGCAGTTTCGTGCTTTGCAAAGGGACGATAGTTTCAGGAAAGCAAGATAAAAAAGAGAAAAATTCCCGGCTCATAATATAGAAATTTCCCTGCAAACCTGAGCAATGAAGGAGAGGAAAACCTAAATTTACCTCGTAAAAAAGCGCGAAGAACGCCCGAGCAGAACAGATATGGCAATTAGAAGTTGGGTTTGGTTGCCATGGGTGCCCTTCCATTTTTCTGGTCAGTTCTGAGCATTTTTCTCATCGTGGTTTTTTTTACCCGTTTTTTTTTCGTTTTGTGATTCCCAATTAAGTACACATTCTAACCGAGCCGATTTCTAAAAATTTCTCTCATCGGACTTTTGAGTTTTTTATGATCTTTTTTTTTTGAATTTTTTACTCGTGTTTTAATGATAGAAAGTTGAATAATCGTCCTATCCTAAATTTCTTTAAAAAAATAAATACGCAAATAAATGGAAAAGAAAACTGCAAATTTTAATTATTCCTGTTGTTTTTTAGTTTATTTTTCACGTCACGATATTCAGAGACTTCAATTTCTTATGTATACATTTTCTTCTGCACTAAGAATAACTGCCGAGATAAACGCGAGACACTGGCGGTACATTGACGAGCTCGCAAACATCTCGCATTTTTTCTCGCGCCGGTTTCGCACTTTTCTGGGCGCGAGCTCGCATTTTTTTAGGCGCGAGCTCGCAATTCTCTTGCATTTTGAAAATTTCCGAAATGCAAGATAAATGCGCGATGGCGCCGAGAAGAATGCGAGCTCGCGCCCAGAAAAATGCAAGACCGGCGCGAGAAAAAAGCGAGATTTTTGCGAGTTCGTCAATGTACCGCCACCGACCTCGCGTTTATCTCGTCAGTTATTCTTTGTGATGAGTCTCACCTCTTAATAATATAAAAATTTTTTTCAAACCTTCTCGAGATTTTTTTCTCGATTTTATAGCTTTCTTTCGAAATTTTATAGAAGTTCCAATTTTGATTGACTCAAGATGCTGATTTTCATATTATTTTCTCTCAAAAACGTTCCCAGGAACCCAATAACTGACCTCTTTCATTGCACTTTCCCACGTTTAGAACAAATTGAAGTGATCTTCTCATGAGAATTTCAAAACAAGAAAAAGACATGATATTTGCTCCCAATTTTCAGGTGCACTGATTCGTGAAGTAGTCTTCTTTGCCAAGGAAACGGCGTTTTTTTTACACCTGGCTTTTTTTTTTGAAACAAACTTTTATTTCCAATTGTCATTGTTTAAAATAAGCTGGTTCGAGACATATTATTCCATCATCATTTTCAATAAAATTATTTGAAAAAAGACCTACATAGAACCAAAAGGTCAAACATTGGGAGAAAGGTCAAAAAGGCGCAAAAGGAGCGCTTTTTCAAAAACCTTCCCTTCGATCCGCGATACGAACTATGCTGCCACATGCTTGTTTTCAACCTGTTGCATCTCAAAAACGTCAATTTTACGCTAATTGGAGGTTCACGCGATGATTAATGTTCCACATATTTTGTCTACTCGAACCTTCAATAAGGATTACGTGTTTTTGCAATTTTTCTCATTTATATTGCTTTTCCAACTTTTGCTCATCGTGAGTTTTTCGATTCAACTTGAAAAAAGGAGTATTTGGTCTTTTTCGCGTTTTGAATCGGAATACCTAGGTACCTCCAATATTTTTATTTTTTGTCGTAAGGATTGTGTTTTATCCGCAAACACGTCGTGAGATGTTACATTTGAAATTACGCGAACAATTTAAAAAAATCATAAAATCTTTTTCGATTTTTTTCTTTTTTTCAATTTTTTTGTTCATTCTCAAATTTTTTTAGTTTGTAACGCGTGTGAAAAATTTGAAATGACTGACTTTAAATTTTTGATTTGTGGGGCTTGAAAGAAGATTTCTCAAGACAGGTCGCATTATTTTTTTCGCGGTTAAAACAATATTTTTTTGATTTTTCTTTTCCATGGTTCGAATTCAAATTAGCAAAAACATGAAGAGTGTAAAGGGTTGAAATGAAAAAAAGATAACAATTTTTGATCGAAAGTGACCCTGAAAAACTAGGCTTTTTAATCTTCGCGCCAATAAGTCGTTTGATTCAATTCCGAGCGTATTCATAAAAAGGAATGGTTTTTTTCAGTTTATTCCTGCTGTTATTTTTTTGGCGAATTCAATTACAAGAAAAAAACAGGGAAGCTTTTTCATAAAAATGATTTTATAAATTTTTTTGAAAAAAACCAGTTTTTTTAACGATCTTTGAGAAGGATGTTTATTACAATTATAATGTAATCACATGTTTATTTACGTTCGTATAACTCGATTTTGCGTCATTTCCGCTTACCCCGATCATAAAACGTTTTCCTCCGTTAATCCACTTGATTCATTGAAGTTCTTTTTGAATCCTTAATCCCATTCATTCAGGACAAGAACAAGTACTAATAAAATAACGATATAAATATGGATTCTCGTCAATAAATAAGCCGGAATGTATGTGAAGAATGGGTTCCGTTATGGTAATGTGTAAAAGACCCGAAGACGCCGAACAAGCGCGGATCAGCGCTCAGGTTTCTGGTTTTATTGGTTTTCTTGGTTGATTTTGTGAAGAAATATGTTCAAATTTTTTTGTTTTACTGTTTCGAGGCACAAAGGTCTTACCCTTCTCAATGAAAAATTGAGAGCGACCCTTCGCCTCGAGACCTTTGTGAAATTTGCCCATGCGCCTATAAATGCCTCAGCAATTATTTTTTTAAGCGGATTATACATTTTTTTGAAATCAAATTTGAAATGCAGTTTTTTTCCATTTCACTTTATTAACAAACTTTCTGAAAAGAAGGACTTGAAGAAAAAAATTTGATTCCGAGCCACTATTTTTTCAAAATGAAACATTATTTTAAAAGTTCTAGTTTATTTTTTTGTAGATTGATCGACAACTTCGTCGTGATGCCAACAACGAGATTGGCAATCAGAAATTGATACTTTTAGGTTCGTTTTTTTTTTTCAAAAGATTTTCGAGAATATTTTTTTAGGTACTGGAGAATGCGGGAAGAGCACTGTCCTCAAACAAATGAAGTTCGTTTTTGATGAAAATGATTTTCTCCCGGCTTCTTTGGGTCGCATTAAGAATGGCTCAAAGAGTATGGTTAAAAGATTGTAGCGTTTAAAAAGCACCCGTCCTTGTACGGTTTGCGCATGACAAAGCGTCTGCAACCGCGGTGCTCTAGGCAATTCCAAATGCGACCATTTTAAGTTGCGACGAAGGAGTTTAAAAATTTTTAACCTTATATTCAATCATTTTGAGGGTTTTCAACTTTTTTTCCCTTTTTTTTTCAAACAGTTTACAATAACCTTACAGTATACTTCACAAAGACGGTTTTTCCGAAACCCAACTGGCGCTGATGGCTGGCGCCGTCTACAGTAATCTCGTCAGCGGAATGGCCAACTTGTTGAGGGCTCGCGAGACTTTCATGTATCCCTTGAGTGACTCCGATGCTGATGTGATTATTTATTCAATTTTCTGTGGAAAGTGTGCTCTGTCGATAGTTTTTGGTTTCTTTCGGTTCAACAACTCGGATTTGGTAAACGAAAACTTTGGGACGCAACATTTGTAAGCGAGAGATCAACGGCGGCCGAAGAGACGCAGAATTCTCGACGTGTTGCGTCTCTGCAGCTTTTGATGTTCTCTCGTTTGCAAATTTGAAACTAAGATTTCTTCTCCTTTCCTTAGTTGCCGGCTTTTAGTGAGCTTTTCTAATTGAAAAGTATTTTTTCAATTTTTTCCAGGTCTTTTAGTCCATTGAAAAAATATTCCGATAGCTCATTAATAATTTTTCTCATTAAAGAATTTTGAGGATTCTCAAAATTTTCAGAGGAACGTTTTTCGATTCAAAATGCTTTTTTTTCCCAAATTTCAAACTATTTTAAAAGAGAAAAAAGTCGCTTTGAGCTTTCTGATTGCCATGAAAAGCGGGGTTATTAGATAATTGGGAGATAATATTTTGAAGTCATTAAAGTGCGTCAGGTAACGTTCAAAAACCAAATTTCTATTGTTGTTCGTTTAGAAATGAACTTTAGTCTGTTCAGATTTTGTCAGGCAGTTAACTCCGCCCTCCGCAGGCACAGTAGCCTTTTCCGTCGATTTAGTTTTTCGCACGTGAGGATGCTCCTTTAATAATTGCTCCATTTTTTTTTGATCATTTTTGATCTAAAAGCTAGAAAAAAAAAATTATAAAATATACATAATCTTTGCGCACGATAATTAATCGACGCGAAAAGCTGATTTTTAGGGGCAGAGTTAGCCTCTTGACAGTGAAAATCTGATCAGACTGACTAGGGAACTACTCGGACTCGGGTACGCGTTTGGAGTTGAAACTTTGGTGGCTTATAGACCCGGGTAAGAGTACTTGGAAACAAGAGAGATTATCTGCTAAACCCCATAGGCTTCTGAAAAAAAAAGCCTCTTGAAAATGAACAGTTTAGGCTTGAAAATTATCAAATTTTTGCTTTCCACCTTTTTTTTTACTGGAAAAAAAGCTTTTTTTAGTGTTTATTATAGCGATATCATTCAAGGCGATTGTATTAAAATATAAAATAAGGTAAAAAGAAGTATTCTGAAATTTTTCAGGCCTAATTTTCACACTTTCTATTAATTTTTTCTCAGTTCTCTATTGGGTTTAGCAGATGTTCTCTCTTGTTTTCAAGTATTCTGACTTGGGTCTATAAACCACTAAAGTTTCAACTCGAAACGCGTACCCGAGTCCGAGTAGTTCCCTAGTGAGAATGCCTAGGACTTGTCATCTCACGTCTTGCAATCTGAAAATAGCTCAAACTCCTTGTGAATGTCCGAAATCTCTTCAGATGGACGCCCGAAGGATAATGGCTCTGGCGGAGAGTGGCAAGGAACATGAGCCCTTCACGAACGCCGTCTACATGGCTCTGAAGAAGTCGGTCTTTTTTCTATTCAATTTCTCAGCTCTGTGGCTCAAATCGACCTATTTTTCCTATTTTCCAGCTTATGGCAGCAGCCCAACATCCAGAGGACGTACCAACGTCGGGCGGAGTTCCAACTCGGCGACTCGTTTGAGTACTTTATGCTTCATTTGGACCGGATCAACGACCCCGAGTTTAAGCCCACGCCCGAAGACGCTCTTCGCATCCGCGTGCCGACGACTGGCGTCGTCCAGGTCCATTTCAAGATCAAGGGATGCCTCTTTCGGTGAGTTTGTTGGGAGTCTTGGAACTCTTCTGTTGGTTGACTGGGCCTGCGATGCTGAATTGGGGGTTACTCGGATAGACCTGAGCTGCTGATGAGACGGGGCGACCTCGGGCGACTGCTTTGAAGTGCGGGCTGACCCGTGGCGCCCCGTGAACAGGTCTTGGAAGCCAGATTTAACACGACGCGTTGAACCGCTTTTGCAACGCCGTCCACCCGCAGACCTTCTTCGCCCCGCTGTTCACCTACTGACATTTTTCGTCTCGTTGAAGACGCGTCGCTCACCCCACCCGGTGACCCTCTAGGTCCCGCTGTTCACGCCGCGTCTTTCACAAGCCAACCTTATATTTTTCAAAAATTTGACTTAATAACAAAACTTATGCAAATATTTGTCTTCTATAGATACATTTTCCTCCTTATAAGTTTCTTTCGCAGAGTTTTCGACGTCGGAGGTCAACGATCAGAGCGCCGGAAGTGGATCCACCATTTTGATGACGTCAACGCGATCATCTTCATCACGGCGATCAGTGAATTCGATCAGACCCTCATGGAGGATGGCAAAACGGTAATAGTCTCCAGTGACCACTTGAGTGTCATTGATTTTTCCCCAGAATCGTCTCGTCGAATCAATGGACCTCTTCGCGCAGATTTGCAACAGCAAATGGTTCGTCACGGCGGCAATCATTTTGTTCCTGAACAAGAAGGATTTGTTCGAGAAGAAGATCAAGAGCGTCCCGATCTCCTACTTGTTCAAAGAATACAAGGGTTGGTAAGGAAAATCGTTGAAAAAAATTCGATGAATTCAACTCGCTTATAAAACCACAGTTTCACTGAGTTTATTGAGTTAATTTATTTTTCTTAGTTTTTGATTCAACGAATATAGAACACGATTATTTTTCCAAGTTTCGAGTGCTGCATTAGTGACCACTTGAATTATTTTCGTCGCGTTTGAGATGGTTAAACGCGTCGTAATGGCTCTTCGAGTTCTGTGTTTTCATGCCGACGCGCGTAAGTCGCTGCTTGGTCCGTCGCATCTTCAGTGACTGCTCCGCAGCCGCTAAGCCATTCTCAATGCGACCAATTTTCACTGAGCTGAATCATGAAATTAAATATAAATGATAACAATAACTAGCCTAATTTTCCAAGGTTTTGTGAAGATATTTTAAAAACTCGCTACATCCTCAGTAATTGAAGTGGAAGAATTCTGTGATACGGTGGAATAAAACTTACGATTCTCGAAACGATTTTTTCCAAATCAAACGAGGAATTTGATGTTAATAAAAAAATTTTTTCAACCAGTAAAAGTTCGAAATATCAACTCAACTCATATTTATTCAGGTGAAAACGAGTACGCGCCGTCGATAGAGCACATTAGGTATCAATTTGAGAAGCGCAACGAGCATCCGCAGACGAAGAAGATCTACCCGCATGAAACTTGTGCGACGGACACGAATCAGGTCATCATTCAGAGAATAGAAGATGAACAAATGGAAAAGAAGTTTCTACTTTGAAACTAAACTAAAAAAGCTCTAAATTCACTGTTAAAATCTACAAAGGGCGCTAAAGAGGTTCCTCAAGAACTACGGGGACAGGTCAAGATATCGCCCCAGCGCAAAGCTTAGTTGATCACACGGGCTCCAATGAGGAAAAATTGAATTTTTTTTAAATTTTGCTCTCCAAAGCGGGAAATTTGACTTTACCATACGAAAACGATTTCGAATAGCATAACTAAAAAGTTCTCTCAAAGTATTATATTCCTAAAGTAGCCAAAGCTCCCAGCTACCGTAGTCTTTTCATGCTATAATGACACAAAAAATCAATAACTTTCAAATTTTTACAGGTCCAACTTGTCATCGACTCGGTCATCGACATGGTGATTGCCAAGAACTTGCGAGGAACGGGAATGGAATAAGTGGCCACTCGAGGGTTTTTTCTTTCAGTCTCAAGAATATACTAAAGAGACTAACTGTTAACTTTTTTGTTCAATTTGCTACTCTAAGCTTAATAACCATAATTAGCCGCATTCTATCATAAGAAAATACGTGCCTTTTCTCATGTATCCTATCATTTCCTTGTCCTAATTCGATTATATGTACATATAATGCTATTATATGATATATATTTATTCATAAATTCTCATAATTTTCTGACGCTTTGTTACACGTGTTGAATACCGCGCTCGTTGGGAGCCAGGGAAAAAAAAAACAAAAAATAATGAGCGAAAAAATCACAAAAAAAACACGGGTTCCATTTTTTTTTTGGTAGGCATTTTGAGCACACGAAGTTTTAGTATATATATATATATATATATATATATATATAGTTAGAATAATAATAATATTAAATATTAGAAATGTACAGGGAAAGGCACGAAAAAAAGGCACACTTTGATCACAATTAGGGTTGAGAAGAAAAAAACTGAAAAAAAGTAAAAAAAAAAAAGGAATGATCTGAACAAAAAAAAATAAAACAAAACTACCAGAAATCAAAACTCTAAATGGAAATTTAAAGAGAAATAAAAATTGGGGAAGAATTATTTAAACGTCGGACACTTCGGGCGGTTCGTAGAGTGGATTTTCGACCAACAGCGACTTGTCTTTCTCTTTTTCTTCCTTCTTTTTCGTTGGTCGCGGTGGGATTACGGGCTTCGACGGGGCGTCTGTAATCGCTTCAAATAGAGACGTGAAGAGCCAATCAAATACGTAGTTCAGTAGAGCACACTTTCAATGATTTTCAGTCAGCTAGTGCTTATGAGAAGTTCTGGAGTGGTCACTAAATGGTCTTCAGAGAGTTCTTCTGATTTTTCAAAACGTTTTGGTTCTACCACCGCAGAGTTCCCTTGTTCTTCATCTTCTGTGACTTGAAAATGGTTTAGTGATCGCTCTAGGAATAGCTTCCCTTCTTTCTAGCCTCTCCAGGATTGAAGTGGCCTTTCGAGTAGTGAGAATTTTCCTTGCTCGCTTTTTTTTGAGACTGGATTGATATTGATTGCAGAACTCTTGAGTGATCACTCTTGGAGCTTCTGGCCCCTTAAGTGGTTCCTGCAACTCACCGACAACTTCGAATCCAAGCCTCGGCGGTGGGCTCGACGGCTCCGGTCTGACTGTCGCTGAACCAGAAGGTCCAGAGTGTGACGTCGTCGGCAGCTCATCCAGTGACGTCATCTGATCGCCTTCGAGCTCGTAGACGGGGTTGGAGAAGGTGGCAGAGCCAGGTTGAGATTCAATCTGCTGCATACTGTACTCGATCGGATTCGGGTCCTGCAGCGAAAATAAAGTTCTTCTTGAGAAAGGCTCGAAAACGGTCGAACCTGCTTGGAATCCAACACCGGGTTGCTGAACGAGATGACGTTGCCGTGGAACGATACGCTGCCGTCGGCCGCGTCGTTCTTTTTCATCAACCATTCGCGTTTCCTTCAAATTGCCTCATTGTTGCTCATCATATCTCATCAACACTCACTTGTAGATATTCAGTCCGACAAAGCCGAGGAGTCCGCCTGCGATGAACAACGCCAAGAGTACGAGGATGAAAGTGAGCAGGTTCTCCGAGATTCTACCGATCAGCTGAGATTCAATCATTGATGATTTTGAATCAGTTATTTATCACCTTTCTGCTGACGGTGCTCTCCTTCTCGCAGTGTTCGCCCTCGAAGTCGGTCGGACAGTCGCAGGCGCCGTCGAGCCGACACTTGCCGCCGTTTGTGCAGTCGCACTGCTTCGGCATCGTCAGGGCTTCCACGCGTGGCGAGGAGCATTGGCCGTTCTGAAAGCAGTACGGTAATTGGCTACTGTAGCTCGGGAACTTCGAAGTGAAACTTGGTGAATTACTAAATTTTCATCCGAGAATCTTTGAAAAAAGTAGTCATCAAAAAGTCAGCCTCAAATCTTATCTCTAAAATTGAGCCTTGAAAATAGCTTCTGCTAATAGGAACAAAACAACCACGAAAAATACACGCTACCCTATTTCGTCGTTTTCTGTCAGCTAGATAACGACGAAATAGTGTGTGTCAGAGAAAGAGTTGCTGCGATCTTTAGGCGCCCCATGTCAGAGGAATTATCCGCGTGAAATAGCGCCGGCAGTTGTCGAAAGATTAGTCGTGGAAAATGACACCAGCTATAAGAAAATTAGCCGCAAGTTTTCCCCCAAATCTTTCAAATCTGTGACGTAATGGGAAGAAAAAAAAAAGCAGTCCTTAAAGTGGTTTCAACATCTTTAGCGTGACAAGAAAAGCCGCTGTCACAGTAACCTCAGAGAGACTACACTCAAGTGGTCACTAGGATTGAAAACGGCATTACCAGTTGCGGATAGGAGTTGTCGGGGCAAAGGCAGGCAAAACCGCCCGACGAGAGCGTGACGCAGAGATGAGAGCACTGGGCCTTCTCACACCCGCTGGTGGCCCGCTGCACGTCCTTGGCGTACTTCTGGCTGACCCTGACGACGTGGCCGTCTTCCAGGTCGCTGGCCAGGACTGCCACTCGTCCCCGCCCGAATTTGTCCTGGAAATACTCATTTTTCCCTTGTAATTGTCTTTGAATAGGAGAATGAAGTGCACAGTCTTGGTCAAACTTTGGATGACGTCACTTTTTCTCTGACGTATTTCGAAACTTTCGAATGGTTTTTTTTGTGGATTTTGACGTCATACTTTGGTCGATGTCATCAAAAACGACGAAACTTTGAAAAATTTGTTCCTAGGAGAGAAATCTCGTCGAATCTGACCGAGAAAGGCTCAAAACCAATTCTATTTTGAACTTTTTTATTACTTCTAGAGTAACCACTTATTAAAGTTCAATTTTATGACCTTCAGGTAATATCCCCCACCTGAACATAGAGGTTCTTCGTGTTCCTGCTCAGCCAATAGAGATGATTCTCGAAGACATCCAGAGCGTAGGGGACGTTCTTGTCCTGGACGACAGTCAGTCGGTCGGTTCCATCGATGGCGACGGAATCGACGCGTCGATATTTGGGGTCGGCCCAGTAGATGCGATTCTGCTTGCCTTCGTCGATGGCCATGGACGAGGGCGAGAAGACCAGGTCCTTGACGATGATTTGCCGATGGGTGCCGTCCATGTCGGCGCACTCGATCTTGGCGTGAAGGCCGGCGTCGGAGTAGCAGATCCTGCCGAGGGCTGGCGCTGCGACGATCGCCGTCGGCTGTTGCAGATGGCCGCCGATGATCTTCTTGAGGTAGCGTCCGTCGGGCATCGCGACGAAGACGAATCCGGTGTTCTGATCAGCGACAGGCTCCGACATCCGCTTGGCGCGCGCTCCAGGCAGTTCTTCCGGTTGTGCGCCGTCCGCCACGGCAGTGATGAACAAGTTTCTGGAATTTTCTTATCAGTTATGTTCTCGTTGAAATGTTGGTAGCTTTTTGTGAAAGTTCAACTTCCGCAGTCTTTCTCACTCAAATGACCTATTTTTAACTTTATGAAATAAGTAGTAGATTATCTATCTAATACTTCACGCTGAGCGAAAATTTCAAACGCACCTCATTTTTTTAAGGTTCCCGAAGACATTAACATCAATTAACTTTCTAGGAAATGTTCAAACTTCTTGTTAAGAATTTTGAAGAAGCTAAGCCTAATTTCGGCAGTTCTCAGGCAAATTATATTCTCACCCAGTAGTATAATCCAGGGCCAGCGCGGTCGGAGTCACTCCAAGGCCAGCAAAGTCGATGTCGAGTTTCTGTCCTTCATGGCTTTGATTGCCCTTGGCAATGGCCGACCGATAAATCGCCTTCTCATCGCCGTCGATCCAGAACATGACGTTCCTTCTGGGGTCGAACTCCAGTGCGATGATGTCGTTGTCCTCGTCAGAGGCTTTGGCGGCCGCGTGGCGGTTGACGCCGGCGCCGTGAAGGGAGAGCTGGACGAGGGAGTCGTCGGCGGCAACGAGAACGTTGGCGGCGTCGCCCTTGGCGCGGCAGTCCTTGCCGGTCATCGCGCCGACAACGACGTTGTTCTCGTAGTCGTCGTAGCAGCGACAAAGGTAGGAGCCCTTGGTGTTGAGGCAGAGCTGTGTGCAGGTGTTGTTGCCGCGGCACTCGTCGATGTCGACGCAGTCTTTCGGATCTTCCGGATTGGGGCGGAAGCCGTCGCGGCAGTGGCAGTAGAAGCCGTCGCGGACGTCTGCAAACGAAAATTCTGAGTTTTCTGCTCAAACTTTGAAGATTTCGATAGAGGTCTGGAAAATTCCACGATGAAAACAAATTCTGAGCTTTTTTACTGAAATTTTTGAGCCCCTAATGCAAATTCAGTGAAAAGTTTCGAATCTTCTACAGAAGTTTGAAGTTCTTGTGCAGATTTTTGAGCTTCAAATAGGCTTGCTTAGTTGAAAAAAAAAAATTAGGATCGAATTTTCAGTTCAACCGAGAAAGCACAACGCATCCATCGCAAATGAGGCCTTTTTCCTATAACTTACCAGTGCAAAGATGCTTGCAGCCGCCGTTGTTTCCATGTGATTCGCAGGAACTTCCGCTCTTCTTTGCTGAAATTTTTTCCTATTATTCTTTCCCCTCAAGTTGAAACTCACAGCATCCGACTTCGTCCGAAGCGTCGCCACAGTCATCGTTACGGTCGCAAGCCAGCGTTCCATTGACGCACTTTCCATTGGCGCACTTAACGAAAAAAGAAATGTTTCGAAAGACTTTTCTCGGAGATTCTTCTTTGACAGGACTTCAAACAGTCAGGCTTGCCTGCGCTTTTTTCCTTGTTTTAAGAGAGGTTACAGTAAAAAAAAAAATGAAAATAGCATGAGAACAAGAGAGTGTCGCTGACAAGGGAGAGCGCGCAGAAAGGCCAGACAGTCAAATGAGGTTTAACTTCCAAAAAAGGCACCTTGAACTGATCCGAAGAGCAGTCTCCATACTCGGAGAAGCTGGAGCACATCGACAAATGTTCGTCCGAAGAATCATGAGCCCCACAATCGTTGATACCGTTGCAGAGCTGAAATGAGGCAATTTTGATTCGAAAACTTCGAAAAATTCAAAAAATTGAGGAATTCATCCAAAAATTTTTTCTAAAACCTTAGAAGCAACTTTTTCAGCTCACATTCAAAGCTTATGTGAGAAATAGCTTCGTGATAAAAAATTCTATAAAAAGTTCTAGTACGACTTCGAACACCTTATTACCGTTTCAAATAGACCTATCTGGGTTTATAAAAGCCATGAATTTTTTTTCAGTGTTATTAACCTTCTTGGGTCTTTCTGTTTGAAAACTCCAAGCTAAACCATTTTCATGTCACTCAGTCTTTTCTAGAATTTCTAACTTCGTCCTCACCTGCAGAATATTGAGACAGAGTCTCGAATGAGCGCATCGGAATCGCAGCGGCGGGTCGCACTGAGCGTTGCGGCATTCTGACGACGTCTCGTCCGAGTTGTCGCCGCAGTCGTTGTCGCCGTCGCACATGAACTTCCGGGGGATGCAGACCGAGTTGGCGCATTCGTACTCGAATGGCGAACACTGACGTCGCGAAACAGTGGAGTCGCAATGGAGCTCATCAGACGCGTTGGGGCAGTCGCGCTTGCGATCGCACCAGCGGTGTTCGGCGATGCAGGTGCCGTCGTCGCACTGACGATGGCCGGTGAGGCATTTCCGTTGCGTGCATTGGGACTCGTCGAGGCCGTCGCTGCACTGGATCGTACCGTCGCATACCTGAAAATTGAAAGGTTTTGGGATCCTTGAGATGTTGGTTTCAATCTAGGCTCAGAAATAGAAGGAAACTTAGAGTATTCTGAGGAGAGATCAAACAACTCTTCAAATCACTATACTTGACATTTTTCAAATCCTAAAAAACAGAGTCCATCACCAATTTTTTTTAGACTTCTAGTAGAACCCAATTTCGCCTTTATTCACCTTGCTTCCTGGAATGCACCGTCCGTCGTTGCATCGGAACTCGGACTCGGAGCAAGGCCTGGAGGTTCCGCCGCAGCTGGCGTCGAGCTCGTCCGAATTGTCGCCGCAGTCGTTCTCCGTGTCGCACATCCACCGTCGTGGGATGCATTTTCCGGACGTCGCGCATCGGAATTCTCCGACGTCGTCACATGTCGGACAGCGTTCCTTCTGCTCGTCGGAGTTGTCGCGGCAGTCGTCCTGACCGTTGCAGAAGGCCCAGTTGGGGATGCAGCGGTAGGAGCTGGAGCAGCGGGTCCATCCGCGTTGGCACTCGATCTGGGCGCACTCGGGAGTCTCGTCGGAGCCGTCGCCGCAGTCGTCGTCGTTGTCGCAGCGCCACGCCTTCGCGATGCACTTGTTGTTGTTGCAGCGGAACTCCTCGGCGGTGCAGTTTCGGTCGGGACTCACTACAAAAGAGAGTTCAGTTATTCAACTTGGAGCAGTCTTGGCGTTTTGGCATTGAAAATTCGTACCGTTTCGATCGGGGGAAACGGAAATTCAGTTATTCTACAACAGACAAAGATACTAACAAAGAACATGTAACAAGAGAGAGGATTTTAAAATTTCTCTGAATTCATGATGGAGATTCCTCAGAAGGGTTTTTTTTTCCATTTCACTACACCACCAAAGGCTCGTGAGGACCTTTTATTTGTTAATTGTTGATTTATTTGCTTTTTTTTACCTCTTTCACCATTCATGTACATTTCTTTTGTTTTTTTTTTGACATGAAACTAATTTTTACGTGTTTTTACTCGGAGCTCTATAAATCCTACAGCAAATCGCTCAACTAGAGCTTTGATATCCATTTATCGGAAAGAGCTCAAAATTGATACTGAACATCCTCAGCATGGTTACTACTTCTTTATTTTTCACTCGAGTCTTCAAAAAAGCTGTGACTTTTTCCACTAAAATCTTCAAAGAAGACGCCCCTTCCACTTTTCCCTCCAACCACAACAAAAACTTACAGCAAATCGCGTCAGCCTCATCCGACCGATCGCCACAGTCGTCGTCTCCGTCGCAGGTGAATCGCCTTGGGATACACCTTCCAGTGGCCTGACACTTGAACATCCACGGGTCGCAGGGCTTGTCGCAGTTGAGCTCGTCGGAGCCGTCGCCGCAGTCGTCGTTGCCGTCGCAGATTTGGAAGGGCCGAGTGCAGTTGTGGTTCTGGCATTGGAACTCGCCGACGGGGCAGATTCGGACGCCGCAAATGTCGGCGCCGGGTTCGTCGGAGCCGTCGCGGCAGTCGGCTTCGCCGTCGCAGTACCACAGCTTCGGAATACACTTTGCGTCGTCGCCGCCGCACGCGAATTGACGTTCCGTGCAGTTGGGCTTGCAGTTCTGAAAAAGCGATTCTTTTTTCTTCTTGTCGGACTTTCAGTCATTTTGCTAGTCTATTTCCTTTGCTATTTCTACTCAAAAATTGGAGATTTCTGGAAAATTGACTCTAGAACTCTTTGATGGGACATATCCTCGAAGCTTCTTCCTTCTTTCAAAAACCTCATATCTTGAAAGTACGATGAAATTTGGATGAGCAACCACAAAGTTGAAGAAAAATAACCAAAATTTCGCAGAGAATTTTTTTTCAACGGAACGTTCCCAAATTCTGATCTTTCAGAATAACCTACCTTATCATCCGATAGCAGGACAAACTGATCAGGACAGGAGCAAGTGTAGCCACCGCCGCCGCCATTGATCAGACAAAGATGGGAGCATCCTCCGTTGTCATCCCCACACGGGTTCGGATAGTCGGGCTGTCTCAAGGGATGAACGACCTTAATTCCTCAATATTCCTCGGCTTTCAAACTCAGGTTCTAACCCTAATATCGTTCGGGAGCTGGACAGTCTTCTTCAAAACCGTCTCGTTCTTGCCAGTCCACTTGTCGCATCTGACGACCTCGCGGAGGTTCCAATCCGACCAGTAAAGGTAGTCATCGAAGACGACCATGCTAGAGACATGACTAGTTCTCTGGGCGGGGATATGACGCCGTCCGTTGCCATCAAAGTCCATGAAGCCGATCTCGTTGAGATGCGCGTCGCCCCAGAAAAGGCGCTCCGAGTAGTAGTCGATAGTGATGGCGTTGGGCCAGCCCAAGTCGTGCTCGGCGAGCTTGACGATCGGGTCGGCGAGTTCAGGAGATCCGTCCAGAGCGATCCGTCCGATGTAGGGCTGAAGACTCCATTCGGTGAAGAACAGGTAGCCTTTTCCGGGGTGGATGGCGATGGCTTTCGGTTGTTGGATCCGGTCGCGGATCAGGGTCCGGCAGGATCTTCCGTCCAACTCGCAGACTCGGATCGACCTTTCTTGTCGGTTCAGCATGTAGAGTTTCCGAGCGACCCAATCAACGGCGATTCCTGTAAAAATTGATGAAATTTCTCATGTCAGAAAAAAAATAACATCTTATTTTTTTGACTCTTCACACATAGGAAACACTTCCTCAGCCCGGTGAGGCCTTTAAAATTAATAATAAAACTATATCTCAAAGATTTCGGATGAAAAGCCTTCAAAACTCGCAACAATCGCTGTAGTACTACCAAATATTTACCATCAGTTCTACTTCTATTTTTGAACAATTTCAGCACCTTCGGTTCCATAGACATTGTGTCTGAGGACAGTCTCATAAGAGGCCAAAGGCTCGTCCATGTCATCGATGCGGACTCGAAGAAGGCGAAGTTTGCCCTGGTCAACCAGGTAAACCTGAAAAAAAAGCATTTCCTTTCATTCTCATTTTCTTCCAACCATCTGATCCTTGAAATCGACGTCCAACGAGACGACGTTGTCGAATCCTTGGGCGGCCAATTCGTAGACATTTCCTTCGTGGGACAATTTTCGGATGTAGTGCTTGTTGGCCAGAAGCAAGTATGGTTCCGGTTCCTAGAAAAAGATATTGTTCGAAAATTTTATTTTTTTTTATCTTTGTCTGATATTCTAGAAAAAATATAAATCTATGAAAATCGAGTTAACGGATTTTAAAGCTTTCTGAAGAATTGAAAATTTCATAGATTCATTTTCTAATCTCATCGAAAGTGAGGATATATTCAAAGAAATTCAGAACCCTTCTGAGGTTATTTTCTAGCTTTTAAAAAATATTTTCGAGATTTATTTTTTTAAATTTATAAGCCTATGTAAAATCTTTTTTCGAAAATCTTTTGGAGAGTTCACAAAAATCTTCAGTACTTTCTACTTCTGAAAAAATTAGAAAAAGATAATTTTTCACGTAGTCTCTCTGACTATTTAAAAATTGTTGAGACCTAAAAAAAATTCATGACACATATTTTTTTTGCTTTCCAAAGTTGACAGCTTGATAGAAAATGCGTATTTTGAACCGGCTACCAAGATTTTGCACTGCATTTGTGAGGAAATCTTCTCTTAACTCCAAACCTTTTCCGCCCTCTTGCAACCGTGATCATCAGAAGACAGCTGATATCCAGTCACACATCCGCATTTGTAAGACCCGATCTTGTCCTCACAGGTCTGACTGCACCCGGATATTCCCTCTAAAATTCAAACTATATAGAGCTGGAACTTCTTCAAACAATGACCATAGCACTCGTTGACGTTGTGGCAGCTCTTATTGTCGTCCCGATCAATGGCGAAGCCTTCGAAGCAGTCGCATTTGTAGCCGATGGGCAGGTCGACGCATTTCTGCTCGCAGAGAGGCTTGTCCGCCTTCGCGCACTCGTCAATGACTTGAAAAGAACGAAATCTAAGTTGATATATCTAGGCTGTTCTAGAAAACTTTTGGGAGCCCAAAGCTGCTCGTTATGAAGAAAACAGTGAAGTTAAACATTAAGAAAGGAGAAGAAGTTCATTTTCCAAAGAAAGCTCAGAAACTCTGTAGCGACTTTTAAAAAGATCATCTTATGAAAACTGCACAACTATAGGGGGCTGAAACTTTAAAAGAAGTAGCCCGTTTGAGCTCTCCGCCAATCAGGCACTACCTCCATTTTCTAGGGTCAGGACCGTGTTTTCGATGGTTCAAGTCAATTGTGAAAAAAAATAATTAAAAACCAAGCTGAAAAATCGCACTGATAACATTTTAGAAACACTTCTCGTTGCAGAGAAGAGCAATATAAAGTTCAGTCCACTTTTAAAAAAATCCAGCAGAATACAAAACTCCCAAGGAACTGTGAAACTTCCAGTTCTCACGAACTATAAGACCTGAATCTCTGAACTAGAAAATCCTCGCCAATCGACTTCAAAGAGTGTTTGAGCAAATTTTCAGGAAATTCCAGTAGGAACTCAAAAATAAAATTCTCATGAAAACCTCAGAAAAGCTCAAAACTACCAATAAACTTGAAATCTTTCTTAAACCATAAGCCATAACCTCCGCTTTTCCTCCCGAACTCACAGCATTGGGCGCTCTCATCGCTCCTGTCGGTGCAGTCGAAGCTGCGGTCGCAGACTTTCTTCTCGTCGATGCACTCGCCGCTGTTGCAGTGGTACTGGCCCGCGGGGCAGGAACTCGTCAACTTTCCGCCGGCCATCGCCTCTTTCGCGCAATCGCGCTCGTCCGAACCGTCGTCGCAGTCGTCGTTGCCGTCGCAGCGCCACGAGTTGGGCACGCATTTGTGGTTGGCGCATTGCCAGAACTCGGGTTGGCATACCGAGTAGCCTGAAAAACATGATCATGTAAAAAACAAATCACAACCTTCAAATACTTTTCTAGCAACTCAAATCCGCCGAGATCTTTTTCATAGGAATTTTTAGAGGAACTTGTTTTTTTTTTCAAAAATTATGTCGAAAGTTTCAAGTTTCAATCAGTTAAACCGAAAATAATATTTCCGAAAAGCTGAGCCGAGTTTCCGAGAAACTCACTGCAATTGGCGTGCTCATCGGACCCATCGAGACAGTCGTTGTCGCCGTCGCACTCCCAGGAGGCGTGGATACAGTGCTGGTTGGCGCAGCGGAACTCGCCCTTGTTGCACTCTTTCTTCTCCGTCTTGCACAGGTCCGACGACTCGTCTTCGCCGCCGGCGCAGGTCACGTCACCGTCGCAGAGCCACGCCTTCGGGATACACTCGTATTTGGGCTGCGCGAGGCGGGCGTTCGAGGTACAGTGGAATTCCTGGTCGGTGCAGGTGCGGTTTCCTGGAAAAGTGATCGATTTATTTCGTGTTTTATGGAGAGATCAACTCTCCTTCAGTTTTATAATCATTCGATAATACCCATATAAATCTTAGATAAATTCGAAAAAATTCTAGAAAAACCAATCTGTTACCAAAAAATAATCGATCAGAAGCGTCCGGAACGTCCATTATCGAAGACCGAAAACGGGTTCCGCACAGAAAAGGTGTGCGATAGAGCGCACAAGCTAGATTTAATTTTAGATTTACGGAGATTCCGCGTGCAACAATAATTATAGTCCGTAAACCGTTTCAAGTCGGACGCGTTTCAAAATGACCATCAGGCGTTAAGCTAGAGCTGAGGGGAATCAGAAAATAGATAAATTTTCATGTTTTGATGAACATTTTTAAATTTCAACTTTTAAAACACAGAAACTTAAAAAATAATTCTTTTTTGAACACTTTTCACTCACCACAACTATGACGAGTGTGTTCATCGGAATTGTCGCCGCAATCGTCTTCTCCATCACAAATGAAGGCCCGAGAGATGCATTTCAAGTTGTCGCACTGAAATACGAAAACAATCAGTTCGAAAGGTGACATGAAAAAGTCATCAGAACCAAAAGTCTCCGGAACGATTATCTTTTTCCTTTATGGTAGAAAAACGGATTTTTCGCATACAGTTTTTCTAAATCGTTCTACTCACAGAAAGTTCAAATTCTTCTCTCAAATTTTGTCATTCACAACTAGCGCCGTCCCCCCGCCTTGGCGAGTCAATAAAAAAAGGGTCAGTTTGGCTCTTTTTGATTCTCTTTTCGCTTAAAACTCAGAAAATAACAAAATAACTAAAACGGACTCAAAAAGTAAAAAGAATTTTTCGCCGAGAATGTTGAGTAAGAATGAAAAAAACTTGTCGATCGAATTCAAACTTTTCTTTGGAAGCCTTGCACAAGACCGAGAAATTTGACAGAGAATTAAAAATTCTAACTTTCTGAACAAAAAAAATTTTCGCGAAGCTTCTGTGGGGCGAACTGTTTTTCTTTTCTTTTTCAAACCTGGAATAAATAATCGCCGACGCAGATCTTCTTTCCACGATCATCCGTACAATTCGTATGGGTCTCATCCCAGCCGTCATTGCAATCATTGTCCCCATCGCATTGCCAAGTTTCAGGGATACAACGACCAGACGGGCAACGAACGCTGAATTTCCAGATTTTCCTCCATTCTTTTGTTATATTGACGCACTAATGCTGAGCACACTGTTGATTCATGCAGAAGAGCTTATTTTCGTCGGATTTGTCGCCGCAATCGTCGTAGCCGTCGCAGAGGTCGGCCGGCTGGATGCAAATGTTCGTATTCGGGCATCTGGAAATTCGTAGTAGGGAATCAGGTTAGGTTAAGAATTTTGTTTAAAGAGCTTTTCAATGCGATTCAAAAAAAGAAAATCCACTCTTTTTCATCACAGTACCTAATCTTAACACCGCGGCAATCGATCGGGAGTCCTGGACAAGTTTCTTGGGATTCGTCGGAAACTTTCTCATCGTGGCAATCATTATGACCGTCGCAAATCTGAAAAATATGATTACAGCAGAAAAAACGAAATTCAAGCCGGAAAAAAGATGCAAAAGAAACTGAAAAAACGGAAAACAAAACTGAAAAAGAAGGGAAAAAAAAGCGCCGTCAAGTGGAGTGTTGTAAGGCTATTTCTTGGAACTTTCAAAATCTCGCGAATTTTCTCGATTTTTTTCAAATTGTTTATCTATTAACCTTGGTCTGATTGATGCAATGGCCATTGGCGCAGGCGAACATGCCCTCGGCACAGGTCACCGAAGCGGCGCAGTCGAGTTCATCGGACGCATCTCCACAGTCGTCGATATGGTTGCATTTCTTCTCGTTGACGATACACCGGCGGTTGCTGCACAGGAAGTAGCCTTCGGGGCATGAGCGAGTGTCTGAATAGCCCATTTTTTTCTGCTTTCCATTCATTCAAGTATTCTTCGAATGTAGAAATATAGTTTTTTTCAAAATATCATGAACATTTTGTTTTTTTTAAACATTTTTCAAATTCGTTTCTTCCTTTTCATAACACCCACAGCGAAGATTTTTGAGCATTCTTCAACTAAATGTATCTTTGTAATGGATTTTCGCATTCCAAGTTTTTGGATAAACTTCAAGAAATATTGTTTTTCTCCTTTCCTACTCACTGCAATAAGTCGGGTTCTCATCGGATCCGTCGGTACAATCCGGCTTGGTGTCACAGGTGGCGCCAAGATTGATGCAAGCTCCATTCGCGCATTGGAAATTGTACGGGGGCAGGCATTCCTGTCGAGTGTTCTCCCCACGGAGGACACACTGTGTCGGGAAGTCCTGAAAATAACATTCATAGTATATTTATTCACTGCAATATCATTAAATAGCTTGTCCGCCCTAATCACTGGACTGTGTTCCGGAATTCGACGAAAACCAGGATGATAAAAACGAATAAAAGAGCCCAAAACTGTATAAAAGTTTGATCAAGATCCTTTTCATACAAAGCACTTCGTAATAAAAAAGCAGGTTGTCCATTTTATCTCTCTAGAAAGTATTAGTAGAAGTTCCAACCTTTCCGGGCTCCTGGACGAGCTCGTAGGTGTCGTTGCAGGAGCACTGGACCTTGCTGGCGGCAAGTCCGACCTCCTCCGACGTCACCGTGCAGAGCTGATCGCAGCCGCCGTTGTCGGTCTTGCAGAGTTGGGAGGTCAACGCGTTGCAGAACTGATTCCGGGTTCTGACGTCGGCTTCTGAGGCGAAGACGTGAAGTGCTCCAGGGATTCGGCGGTCGCCGATGACCGGTTGGATTCCGCCTCCGGATTCCTGGAACAAGATGAACATTTTCTTTTTCTTCAGATGATCCCAATAACCTTGTCCATTCTGAAGACGCCGTTGCTCAGGGGATCACTGAAGTACAACCAGCGGTCCCAGAGGTCCAAGGCTTTTGCTCGGTAGCCGGTCGCCAGAACTTTTCGGTTCTGACCCTCGTAGTCGGAAGTTTCAATGTTGAGCCGGTTGACGTCGGCCCAGTAGATTCGCTGGGTTCTGGGAAGATTGAAAGATTATTCTGGGTACTCGAAGAAGATATTCATAACAAAGAATGATTCTACATTACTTTTAAATTTTCAGAAAGGCCAATGATGCCTGGAAAAGCTTCCAAAACATCATGGTAGCTTCTAGAAACATTAAAATTTTCCAGGCAAAAGTATAAAACCTTTCTAAAACTTTCTGAACGTGTCAAAGTTTCCGTACATTGCCAAAGGCCCGAAGAAGTTCCGATGTATACCTGAAATCGACGGCGATGGCAGCAGGCAGGGAGACCGACTCCGAGACGATCACTTTCCGACTACCGCCGGCCATGTTGGACCTCTCAATCCGGGGCTCATAGAGTCCGCCGCTAGTCTTGTAGCCGCTGTCCGACCAGAAAAGTAGGCCACTGCAAGGGTCCAAGGCGATGGCATAGGTCCAGTCACCGCTAGCAATCTGGAAGTCAGAATCATTCAGGGAAAAGTCCAGGACAAACGGACGGTGGACAAATGTTCTCCTTGAGTGTCGATGGCCATGACCTTGCCGCCCCGGCCGGTGGTGAAGTAGAGTTTTTGGGTGAGCCAGTCCAAGCGCATGTCAGAGACGTGGTGAAGCTCGCTGGCGATCTGAAATCGATGCGTTTGAGAAAAAACACGGTTAGTTTTTTCTCTAACTGGGTGGATTAAGCTGCGAAACAAATGAGCCTTTTTCGATTCTCCAAGCTTGAAAAAACCCAAACCTTCTGCTTAGCCGGTCCGAAGATCAGTCTGGGATTTTCAGCGTTGTTCATCGAGAACCAAGAGATATTGACTCCATTTGGTGACTCGGCCACGTAGTAGATCCTTCTCAGGTTGACGTCGACGTCGAAATTCTGGAGGTTGTCGAGGGCGGGGAAGGGCTCTTTGAGGGGTCGGCTGGCCTTGACGTCGGGTTCGATGGGAGCGTCGATGATCTTATCTCCATCCGAGAACATCAGGTAGGTGTCCGGCTCTTCGCAGGTGCGACCTTTCAGGACCCCTCGAGCACAGGCGCAAGTGGGAGTCTGAGTGCCGGGACTGGCGAAGCAGAGCTGAGTGCAGGGGCTCTTCCGCAAGTTGTCGGTGATCTGACAGGGTGAAGTTCCCTTCGGCTGGTTGGTCGGCGAGAAAACGGCGACATCTCCAATGTCCTTCATCGCCGCGGCGACTGTCGTCGGCGACAGGAGGAGCGAGGTTTGGTTGGGCTTGCTGAAGAGAAAAAAGAAAATAACCATTTCAACTAGAAATTATAAAAGAGGCATCATAAAAGGACAAGCTTTGAGAAATTTTTGGAGATTCTTGACTGACAAGGGAGGTCCCTTTAGTGAAAAGTTTGGAGTTTTCAGAGTTTTGTAAGTTTTTGAGGTACATCTCAGTAAAGAATCGGAGCTTGTCCTTTTGGACGTTCTTTGTCAGTGAGCACGTACCTAGAAGCGCGGAAGAGCTTCTCGAGCCGGTTGTCACTCCAGTACATCTGCTGCTGGTACAAGGCGATGCCGGCGGCGGAGGCGATGTCGGATCGGACCAGTTCTGGGGTACCGCCGTTGGCGCGGACTCTGAAACTCAGACTTTTGTCGGAGAGCTTGAGAAAATCCAGACTGAAGTTTGAATGAGTCCGTTTCTCACGTTGGATCCGATCCTAATTTCGCCTCAAATATTGTTGTGAAGGATACCGTATATTTTGAATAACTAAACGGTGACCAGTATGAAGCTCAAAATGAAGTTCAGATAGAAATAGAAGATCCTGAAGATTAAACCTTGATAAATATGAGTAGATCTTGCTCTCCTCCCGGAAAAATTTTGAATTTAGAGCCGAAAACATCAGAACTTCATATAGGTCCTTCATACACGATTTGCTTGAATTTTTTTTGAGAGACTCAAAGATTTCCTCACCTACCTTCAAAGGCAAACTTAGAGCTCAGCTTGCAAATCAGAAGCCCCCTCAAAAAAAGTCTGAAGCAAGTCCTTACCGATAGATTCCGTCCATCTTGGCGTCGGTCCAGTACAGCATTCTGCTGGCGGGGTCGACGACCAGATCCGTCGGTTCGGCGATGTTCGTCGAAACGATCACTTCGCGACGAGTTCCGTCGAGGAAAGCTCGCTGGATAGTCGGCTTCTGGCCTTGGTCGGCCCAGTACAAATACCTTCCAATCGGGTCCACGGCAATCGAGGATGGGGTCTCGGTTTTCGTCGTCATCAGGATCTTTCTGCAAATTGAAAACCTCATTTTGAGCCAAGATTTACGGCCGCAGGACAAACCCTAAAATTGTTTCTCAAATGGAGCCATACTTCGGCTTTTCACTCTATTTTTGTTCGGTTTCCGTGGTCTTTTGGGTCTTTTATTCAGCCTGTTTGTAGATTCAGCCCCAAAAAGACTCAAAATGAACTTCTATTTTTAATATATTGCAAAAAGGCTTCAAAATTTAAGTATTAATCCATAATGAATTCAAAGTCAGGTCTAGAAAATGCTCTTTAAAAACGCCATTCTTCGTCTTCTTGCATATTTTTTTTGTTGCTTGATCCCCCAGACATTTAATTCTCAAAAAATTGTTTAACAAATGACAAATGAATGTTTCACAATGCAAGCACAAAAACCATTCCACAGCCATTATCAAAATGAATCTTTTCATTCTAGGATTCCTCACCTGAACTCTCCATCCAATCGGCAAACTTCGATATTGGTCCGATCGGCGTCCTGGTTGATGAAGTAGAGATTGTAGTTGACCCAGTCGACGGCGATGCTCTTGATGACCATCGATCCGAACGAGTCTCGGATCACGACTCGTGGAGCCGCTTCGCCGAGGGCGTAACTGCAGGGAAAATCGATGGAAAAGGGCAAAAAAATATCGTTTTTTTAGTATTATCATAATAGACAGCTGAGGTAGTTCCATGGTTTTTTGAAAAACTAAAAAAATATGTTCGAAAGTATCTTTTTTTTTAGTAGATCAAGCATATTGCCAAAAAAAAAATTCCAGCTCTAAATGGAACATCCGACTTTGTCGCGACCATCACAAAGGAATCGACAATTTCCTTTTAATCGACATAAAAAACGAACGCGGTGATTCCCTTGTTGATACCGGCCCCTTCGGCGACATAAATCGTCTTGGATTCGTAGTCGAAGTCAATCGAAGTGATGGAAAGGCCGCCGATCGGCTCCATGGCGACGCCCTTTGCCTGCACCTCGTCAACCCTTAAATGACCACTTTCAGAGAGGTTTCCCGTATGAATTCTCACGGATAGCCAGTGATCTTCGTCTTTGTCGCGACCATCACAAAAGACTCATCGAAGAGTTTGCAGCCAGTAGAGCCGTCCTGGAAAGAATCATGTGAAAAAGCGCGAAAAGGCTGGAAATACGTCCCCACGAAATCTTTGTACCTTGGTATATCCAGTGGCGCAGACGCAGGCATGTTGGCTAAACATTTGAGGGACACAAATGTGCTTGCAGTTTCCGTTGTCGATCCGGCAAGGGTGGCTGATGGAGGCTGCAAATTATATTAATAAAGTACTTTTAACTTATTCAAAACGGTTTTTTTTTCGAAATTCCCAGCCACAAACTATGAATTGATCAAGTTACCTTTTTAATTTAAAAATTTGAACAAAAAATTGATCGAATCTCTATGGATCCCTTATAGGGGAGACTTTCCGTCCTTTTATAGGGACCCCTCTGGTGTTCCTAAGTCTGTTCTTCATCGGCGAGGTCAGAGAAACATGAAAACAGCACTAAATTTAGGGAGGGCGCAGAGAAAGACAGAAGATACGATTTGCGGGGAAAAGGATTTTTACTCGAGGGCCTGCCCAATTTGGACAGAAAAAGAACATACAGGGTCTCGGCTGCAACACCTTGATGTTGACCAGATTCTCGACGCTCTTCTTGAAGTGGGTGAACGGCGGAGGCTGTCCATCGCCCGTGATCGTCGCCACGTCGATCGAATCGAAGGCCGAGTCGGCGTAGAACAGTCGGTCGCTGAAGAAGGCCAGGCCGTTGGGCTGCTTGCCGGCGTCGTTCAGGATGTAGTGCCGGTCCTGGCCGTCGTAGGCCACGGAGGAGATCCGGCCGGCTTTGGCTTCCGAGAAGTAGACTCGCTGGTTCGTCGTGTCTGGAAATTAGAGAAGAACGGTCGTAAATATTTTTTTCATCCAAAGAAAAAAATTGGAAAATATATAAAAAGACAGGAGAGGATGAAAAAAAAGTCTAAAAAGTATAGAAAAATCTCTTTTTATTCCTTGTATCCTTTTTTCTATTCTTTTTTCATTCAGAACAAAACTGAAACGGATCGGAAGAACCGAAAAAAGGTTGAAAGAAGAATTTTTATGAAAAAATGAAAAAATCAGCTGGTTTTAAAGATTTCAGGATGATTTTCAGAAGCTGTATTAAAATCACCATAACCATTATGAAAGTTCAGTATTCTCAAAAATGGCCTTTTTTCTGTTTGAAGGTCTTGAAAGTTTATTATTCGTTTCCCTCAAATATCTTCAAGTTTTTGCTATTTTTACCTTTTCTTTTTATCCTACTTGACAATATTCTGATCACCCAGTTAAACTTTCCAAACTCACCGATGGCAATATGATCAACTTCAGAGAGGTCATTGCTGGCGATGACCAAGGGTTCGGAGCCATCAATGTTCGCTCGAGCGACCTTGACGTCTCCAGAACCGCCTCCACGATCCAACCAGAATAAAAATCCTCGATCCGAGTCGACAGCGATGGCGACCGGTTGAACGACCGCAGTTGGTGACTGGTCATTTGAGAGGATCACAACGCGGTACTGAAAAATAAATTCAATCTCAATAAGCTTTATCTTTTTCGAAATTTCCTTGAAGATTGGAAAAGATCCCTTTTAGCGTAATTTAACCAGCTCATATGGTAATTTCTTGATGTCTTTCAATAACCCGCCGCTACAAAAATCGGCCCAAAGGTTCTTTTTTTTTGCGCTCCCGATCAAAAACTACTTCGCGTGATCTGATTCTATAGCACAGAAGGAAACTCAGTGCAGCTCAAAGGTGGGAATGAAAAAAAAACATCTTTCCGTACTAGACCAACGCTACCAGGTATTCACATTTTTTTGCAAAAAATTATGTATATTTCAATTATTCCGGTCACCAGCTCTACCTGAGTTCCCTGAGTTCGGACCAGCTCAATCGTCTGCGAAATTCGGTTACCAACGACCAAATTTCGGCCGTTCCAGTCGAAGGCCATGCAGTAGGCGTCATCAGGAACTTGGGAGGCGTAGATTTGGGTCTGAACATTTAAATAAATTCTCAGAAAGGAGACAGATGTGAAAGGACCTCGTACGAATCCATTACTGACCATCAATAGCTACAGAAAAATATCCAAAATAAAACTATTAGGTCTTTCCTCGTTTATTGTTCTGTCTCTTTACTTTTTCTTAGCCTTCCTAGCCTCAGACGTTTTGAGAGTTCCAATAATGCTAGAGAATTGCGAAAAAATAGAAACAGAAAAGATTAAATTCAAAGTAAATTCAACTGATTTATAATTTTTCATCGAAAAAAGGTCCTGAAACGATGAGCAAAGAGACAGTAGACAGGTCACGTCCAAGCTAGCCGTGAATCTACAGTATCCAAAGATTTACCTTGTTGGCCGCATTGATGCTGGTCTTGTAGATGGCGGCGTCGGTGGAGATCTGCGCCAACGTCTTGGCGACGTTAGAATGTTCCAGGACGTACAACTGAAAAACGTATACTACTGAAGCCTTAAGAATCCTCCAACGTCTCCATTCTCAGCGTCGTAGGCAGCGTCGAAGGCGTTGGCCAGACCGGCCAACGGCACCATTCCGGTCAGGACCGGCGTGCTGTTTCCACTGAAAAGGTTTTTTTTTCGATCTCTATTGATCATCAAAGTGAATTGAAAAAATCTCAAAAAACTTTGAACCTCGGTTCTGAGCAATCCTACGAATCACTAAAGAGTGCTGACGCCGCTAAAGTGGTCATTAGAAATGCTCAGACACGTCTGGAGCTCTTTTGGTTCGCGTTACCGAGATCCGAGACATAAAAAACATTTTCAATAATCGTCATCCACTGATAAGAAAACTAGACACTTTTTAAAAGTTAACTGTAAAACTCGTAATCTGGTACCGTTGAGATTTTTCAATATTCAAATTTTGAAAACATTCGCGCTCCACTAATAGCAGATGGGGACCCCGGTAACAAACGCGCCCGGGCGTTCCTGAGCATTTGATTAACCTCTCCTAAGCATTACTTAGAATCGTTCAGAAACGTTCGGCGCGTTACCGATGTTCAAGAACCCACAAAAACTCCCATTTTTTCGCCTTTATTGGACTTTTTTTTCAGAGAGTTATGCACTCCAGATAATCAATTTTAGATTTTATGGATCAAAAAATGGCAAGTTCTTTTGTTGCTGTTTTGAAGGTATTAACTTTCCTGGAAAAATTCTAACTTGTCTTTAATACCCTTCTCCAAACGCGCTCCACGGTTCATTTCCAATTCATTTCCTTACCGAGTAGCCATCTCGACGCCGAAGACGTTCGTCTTCTGGATCATCAACAAGAACGGCTTCTGATCCGTGATACACGTCATTCCGGATCCATCAAGTCGTTTGCCCATGGGACAGGCGCAAGTGAAAGACTTAAATCCGTTTTTATGACTATTATTCTGTAAAACTCGAACATTTTTGTTGTTGAGAAGACAGAGATGAGAGCAGCGATTTCCCTTGCAGCCATGATCAGCAACTTGAGGCTGTAGAACTGGATGGACCGCGACGATTCCCAGAGCCTTGAAAATCACCATTTTTTTTCAAGATATTCAAGTCTCAAGACCTTGCTGAAGGTGTGACTCGGGTAGTCGGTGGTGGTTCCGTTGGGGAACTTCGGATAGACCTGAACCTTCTGAAGACGTCGGTCCGAGTAGTACATCATGTCTTCGAAGATGGCCAAGGCGTGCGGGTGTTGAACGAACTTCGGTGAGGATAGGACTTGGGTACGGCCTGGAAGGTCAAACTCAGTGAAAATCAATTTTCAGAGTTAATTTCTATCAATCTGATTTCCAGCTCCTCGAATCTAATAATAATGAGATATAAACTTCCTAAAAACTTTCTAGAGGTCAAACAATCTTCCGGATGACTCAAGCAATCCGGGAAAAACTCCAGAAGTCATGAAATGAGGAACAATCAATGAAAATAGCTTTTTCGCGTCTCTCAGAGTCTATCACCGACCTATAGGCTTCTAATAAACCTCCTAAAGCCCTTGAGAATTTTCAGAAGCTTCGAAAGTCTATAGTTTGTTTAATCTGAAAAGCTGAGCCTTAGAAGGTGAGGAATGCATTCTAAAGCCTTTAGGCATTTTCAGAAGCCCTGAGTACTAGAATCTTCAAATTATATAGTTGGGTCAATTAGAAAGGCTGAGCCTTCAAACGATTAGGAATAGACCACTAACTTACAAAAACTTTTTCTAAATCCTCAAAACTTTACTTGGAAGCTTCAATTATTCGAAACATTTTCTAATATTCTTGAAAATCGTGTGAACACCATAAAAGGGTAACATTTACCAACAACTCCCACAGAGCTGATTATTTCAAACTCACCAGTTCCATCATAATTGACAAAATCGATGTAATCGAGTTTGGAGTCCGCAAAATAGACACGGTCCGTAGTGTAATCCAGGGCGATGGTGTTAGGCCAGTAGATTTTTGTATTGACCAAGACTTTGCGGTCGGTTCCATCCATGGAGGCTCGCTCGATGCATGGGTTCTGGAAAGGGTTCGGATGGAAAGTAGAACTGGAACTTCCCCATATTCTCATTGCGAAAGGAAGTTTAATACCCCTCAAATGTCTTTATAGAGATTGATATCTGGTAAAAATTGGTCTTCAAAAGGCGTTTTTCCAGTAAGCGGTTAAAAACCTGCAGGAAGGCTTCTGGCAGGCATTTTCAACATTTTGCCTTCCAAAAGCCTTCTAGGTTTCGTTCACTTTCCAACCTCCTGTTGGTTACCTTTATAATAATTTAATCATCCAAAAAGTGAAAAGAATAAATAAGGATAAGAAACGGTTTCAGGTCACCTTCTCGAGTGACATCACCGGATAGGGTATAGAAGATATGATCACAGTTAATAAAGTACACGTATAGGTATATTGAAATTTGATTTTAAAAATCATACTAGACTTCTGAGGATGCTGACTCACAATTCATTGTCGGGGATGTTGTTTTTACCTTCCCAACACCTTCTCAGGATTTTCGTGAGAAGTGACTCAACGTGGAAAAATAGAAATCCTGAGTTTTCCAACTACTCGGAAGCTTCAGGCTCCAACTCAATATTACCTGTCCCCAGTCGGTCCAGAACATGTAGCCCTTTCTCGGATCGACGGCGATTCCTCTTGGTTGGCTGATATTTTCGTGAACGAGCAAAGCTCGGCTCGACGGGTTCTCCAAGTTGGCTACCTGGAAAAAGTCAAAGGTATTCTTGAGAAAGACATTTCGCCACACAAAAGCTTCAAAGTCTTAGAGAAACCATGAAAAAAACTCTAATTAAGAGAAATAATTAAATAAATTTAAAATTTTATAGTTCATAGTCAAACCGTCAAGCTTTCAAAGTCCGCTCTAACGCACAACGTATCTGATCGGCTGGGGTCTCGCCCCTTTTTTGCAGGTTTGTGATATTTTTCGTTAGAGCGAAGGTGAAAAATTTGGAAATCAATTCAGCGTTTTCTCGTTTTCTTTTATTAAAAATAACATTTTCAACTTTTAGCCATCAGAACACTATAAACTTCCAAAATTCCCAAAAAAAAAACAGTTACGAAAACTCTTTTCAGTTCGCACCTCAATGGTGTTCAAGGACGAGTCGACCCAATACAAGTTGCGCCCGACCCAATCCAGGGCGATCCCCTCCGTGATGTCCAAGCCCTCGCCGACGAAGATGCTGATGTTGGTGCCGTTCCTGTTGGCGGCGAAGATCTTCTTCTCGCGGATATCGGACCAGAAGATCCGGTCCGTGACGCTGTCCCAGGCGATCGCGATCGCGTTTTCGACGGCCGCGGCGAAAGTTCGCCAGTTGTCGAGCTTGTGGTCGCTCCAGTAGATTCTGAAAGTTTTTCAATATTTTCGTAATTTTTGAAGGTCATTAATTATTTTAGGACCAGAATAAACCGGGAAAATAGCTTCATCAAAAGCTTATAATTCTTCTAAACACTTCAAGAAGCTGTATCAAATGTCTAAAGGCCTATGCAGGGACTTCAAAATGTCAAAAATCCACACAGTAGCTCTCATACTTTTTCTTCTAGCACCCGCTTTTCTCTGTTTTCGCCTCAAAAACACGGGTTTGTCACGGGCACACCTGTTAAAGTCTTTATGAAAATTTTACAGGCATATAAAACTTGAAAAAAAATTTCTCTCGGAAAAATTATAAAAAAATCTCTGTTTTTTTGAAAAAAAATTTTTCTTAAACCAACCGATTCCTGTTGGACACGTAGACGCGCATTTCCTGCAAACCGTCCTCGACTTTGCACGTCCTTTTGTCCGAATCCAAAACGTAGCCATCCTCGCAACTGAAAATGAGTTATTTTCTTTGAATCAACCGACAATTTTCAATAAAACCTGCAGGTGAAACCGTGTTTTTCATCAGTGCAGTGTTGAGAACAACTGCTGGCGTCCAAACACTCGTTTTCCGGTTCGCAACGCGTTTTATTCACGAGCTGAAATCAATTTATTTAAAACTACGTGAAAAAATGACTGCATAAAAGCAAATATGCTCCATGAGTTTTAAAAAAGTGAATGCAAATTATTCAATTCCAGTGTCTAATTAACACCACCAGAAAAAAAATCCTGCCTGATCTCGAAAAACACGAATTTTTGAGGTTAGAACCCATTTTCAGAGCGTAAAATTCATTCTTTTGTTTAAAAAGGGCCATTTCTCTTCAGAGTTCTATCTAGCTATTCTTAAAAAATACAAAGTATACAGGTAAATATGCATTATTACCATTTCCCCATAAGGACAGCTGCAGAGTGGGCCTCTTGGGCTATTGTGACACTTGAAAGCACAGCCAGCACGGTCGGCCGAACACAAATCTCGGGTACAACTGAAACATTTTCTTTATTTCCTGTTTCAATGATTTTTGTTCAGATCTTTTATAAAACTAACCGTCCACCCTCATCACTACCGCCGGGACAGTGTTGTTTTCCATCGCAGAGCTGGTGCAAAGGAATGCAAACTTCCGGATTATTCTCACAAGCAACCTTAAAATTCTTTTCTCTACGAAAACTGTAACAAAAACTCCTCACGTGCTCGAAAGCGCATCGTTTACTGAGCGGAGTCGGCGTTTTGCAGCCATTTTCGATGGATTCGTCCGAACCATCGCCGCAATCGTTCTCCCCATCGCACAGCCATGTCTAGGAAACACCAAAATTAAGAGTTTGATTTTTTGCAAAAGAGATTCGATCAGGATGAGATTCGAACTCACGCGGGGAAACCCCAATGGATTAGCAGTCCATCGCCTTAACCACTCGGCCACCTGATCACCGGCGAGGCAAGCGGCGCAGGGGAGAGAGATGCCCTCTGCGTGCCTCGCGGCGTGTTAAGAGGACGGGAAAACATACATTCAACACACAACGGCCATTTTTGCACTTGAAGTGGTCGGGCTTGCAATTCTGCGTGTTTCCGCAGCCAAAGGCCGATTCATCCGATCCGTCGTCACAGTCCTGAAATTGAAAAGGTGATAGGTCGATTTTGAAAGAAGATGGATTGATTCTGTTGAACTTTTTTTTTAAAAAAACAGTTTTGATCCGGTTTCCTCCATTATTTTTGCCAATATCAATGAAAATCCATCTTTTTTTCGAATTCCAACCTTTTGTCCATCGCATTTCCAAGAGGCTGGAATACAAAGGCCTGAAGTTGCGCATTTGAATTGGTCCGCGGGACACGCTTCCGTCTGAAAATGAGAAAAAAATGAACCTGAATATCTTAAAATAAAAAATTTCTACAGTATGTTTCGAGCGAAACGGTCATGTTTTCAAACACAGCTGGAAAAAATCTACCGTAAAAATAGCTCGCTTTTTTGCGGTTTAGACTCAAAAACCGGACTCCACGTATGAATCTTAGAAAGTTAAAGAGAAAGGGGGCACCCCTAGAAAAAGAAACACAAGCCCTTCCATTTTTAAAACGTTGTATGTAGCTTATTTAGGGCTAGCTTGGGGCGCAAATACCAGACAGGAAGTGTCTCTACTCTTATCGTGTCAGGATCCTTTTTTCGTTAACATGAACCAGCTATCGAAGATTTGAAGGTTCACACGTAGACTCAAAAAAAGACTGTGAAGGGCTTCAACGAAAGGTCTTGAATCGAAGTTTGGTATACTTTTTTTTGGGCGGGAAAAAATTGAAAGTCGTGAGAAGCCCTGTACCTGAGCCGCGCAGCTGTCCTCATCCGAGCCGTCATCACAGTCGTTTTGTCCATCGCAATGGTTTCGGATCGAGACGCATTGGCGACCGTTGGCGCATCTTCAAACTTGTACATCAATGACATTAACTTGTTCCATTTTGAAATCAAATCGAAGGGAATGAAAATAAAAAAACTGATGATATGTTCCCTGAGAGATTTGAAATATTCAAGATCCCTGCAATTTTCGACACAAGTACCTAAACTGCAGAGCGGTGCACTGTACCGGCGGACAGCGTTCCTTGTCCTCGTCAGTCGCGTCGTAACAATCGTTGTCCCCGTCGCAGAGCCAGTAAATCGGAATGCAGCGGCCGTTGGCGCAAGAGAACTGAATCGAAATCAGTAGATCTACTTGATTTTGATCCAATTCCTCCATGAAGACATACCTAATTACTCGATAACCTGACCGACAATAAACTTTCTTGCTTCACTTTTACAAAAAAGTTTTTCATGAATCAAAAGATCTTGGCTGTATAATGACGTCATCCCTTCTCTCAAATCATTTGAAAAAAACCTCCTGGCTTCATTAATAGTCAAAAGAGGTTACTTTCAACAAACTTCAGGATTTGATAGACAATGATGTCAGAACACATTTCTAAAGTCTTCAAAAGTCTCTGAACAATTATGACGTCATCGGGAGCTTCTCCATTGTTTCTTCAGACTCACAGAACTATCCATCACCAGCACAAGTAGCATTCAAAAAGTTGATGACATGTTTTGAATAAAAGTAATGCCTAAGGACATAATCAAAAGTACTGTTTTTACCTGGTTAGCAGCACAGGTAGCGTTACCGCACATTTCCAGCTTCTCGTCCGATCCGTCGCCACAATCATTGTCCGAATCGCACTTCCACTGCTCCGGAATGCATCTAAACTCCCGAACTTCTTCAGAATCCAGAGAAGTTCCCGAAAAACCGATGGTTGTCGCACTGGAACTTCTTGGCCGAGCAGACGGGCTTCTGGCCGTCTTTGCAGTACTGGGCCTCCTCGTCGGAGAAGTCGCCGCAGTCGTTGTCGCCGTCGCAGCCGTACTGCGAGGGGATGCACTTCTTCGTGTTCTTGCATCGGATCGTGTTCTCCGGGCATTCCGTCTGAACATTTTCCTTGTTCGAATACATGAAAGCTTCCCGAAAGAACCTCATGGAAGCACTTTTCGCCCTTTTCGTCGACCTCATCCGACTCATCAAGACAGTCGTTCTCGCCGTCACATTTCCATTCTTTCGGGATGCACCGACCGTTTTTGCACTGTAAGAAAGCTCTATAAGATAAAGTTATTTCATGAGTTCGTCCCAGTTGAGCCTCTGTTGCAGAATCCTGTTTTCTATTCACAAATAGGGTTTTCTCCAACAAAGATTTTTGAAGCATTTTTTGAGTTCGAAAAGCCTGCACTCTTGAAAGCCGCCAAAAACGGTTATGAACAAACTAATATTCTCCTTGAACCTCTAGAGTCCAACTATCTCTGATGACGAAGCTTTTTCCTCGAAATGAACGAGCTTCACCGAAAACCGACCAAGAACTGCGTCGAATTGGAGCTGCACAACGGCTCAACAGTTTCGTTGCTGTCCTTCTGGCAGGTATGGTTATTCTCCGGGTTAATCTTAAAGCCTTGCCGACAGGCGCAATTTGCCGTCAGCGCTTCAGAAGAGGAGGAAGACGACGTCGAGGGCGTGGCAAAGCAGAGCTGAGAGCAGTCGGAAGACCGGCATGGATGGTCGCGAGAATCGTCAGGAATCGGCTGATTGCTTCTGGTGCACGCCTTCAGGGAGAAGATGCTGCGATCTTCAGCTCCGAATTCTCTGATGACCTTGGCCGCGCCGCCGTTTTTCTTGTGGACCCGCCGGATGGAGTATGGCCGCTGGTGAACGTAGTAGATGAATTCCTCCATGATGGTGATGGCCACGGGAATCGGATTGTCGACGTCGAGGACGGTGACCTTGGAGCCGTCGAAATCCATGCAGGAGATAGTCCGGAGCAAGGTGTCGCCCCAGCAGAGACGGTTCTCTTCGAAGTCGATCGCCATTTCCGAAGGACGGCCGAGGGTCGTGTTGCGGATGACGGCGCAGTTGGTTCCATCAATGTGGCACCTGAAAAGGGGTATGTATGATGGATTCATGTATTCACACTGTTTAGTTGAGAATTCAACGATCAGAAGCCGTTACGCTAGAACTTGAGTAGGTTCTGAGTGACGTCATCAAAAAAATATGATATAAACACTTGAATGAATGAAAATGATAAAGTATTTTCAGTGACTTCATACATAAAAAAAGTGCTGAGACTTCGAAAAGACTTTTTTTCAGATTATCTTTCTAAATGATCGATTCGAGAGGTTCTTATTGACGTCATTCAATAAATAACGTCATGCGAAATTTCCTGCCGTGAAAGATAAATAAAATTGAGAAAAAATTTTCCGACTATTTTTGCGCAAAATTCGATCCGAACTCTAACCTATAGATAGCGGCAGGACGGAGCGACTCGGCGTAGAACAGGATGCCCTTCCAAGGATGAACAACGACAGAAACCGGATCTCTGAGGTCTTTCAGGAGTTGTCGTCGAACAAGCTGGTCAGGATGAACGAGGCCGGTCTCGCTGATTTTGAGCACTTCGAGGCTGTTTCGGATGTTGTCGACGTAGTAGAGTTGTTTGCTGATCCAGTCGAAGGACATGGAGAAGAGGCCGTCGTTGTGAGTGACGAGTACGGGGGCCGCGCCTTCGCCATCGGGTCGGATTCTGAGTTGAAAATATTTGAAAGTTTTTTCGAAGTTTTCAAGTAAATGTCTTGTAATCTAGCTGAAATTAACCTTGTTTCTAATTTTAATATGCAAAATTTTTGCAGCTTCTAGATGCAAAATAATGTGTTTTTGGTTTAAAAAAAAACGCTGTTTGATTTGAAACTTCGTTTTTTTTCACTTCCAGCAAAAAGTATTCGGAAAAATAATTAGAATAGCACTTTGCCTGCCTGAAATGTAAAGAAAAATCTTTCCTTCAATTTTTTTCGATAAACATTTATCGAAAATTAGCTCATATGGTCTCGCAAGATTTTTACACCAACCAAAACTTCTTAAACCAGATCTCTTAAATCTACACCTGAGGCTCTTATTAATCAATATTACCTGTAAATGGTGTTGTCCATGATGTCAGCGTAGAAGAAGGAGTTTCCATGAACGTCGCACTCGACCTCGAAGTACATTCCGATGCGTCTTTGCGAAATGGGACTGATCGGAAGGATCGCCTCGGCCAAGCTCTTCTCGGTCATCTCCGGGAAGATTCCTCGGACGATCTTGTTGCTGGAGAACAACAGGTAGTCGATCGAATCGACGCATCTTTTCCCATCGACGAGCTTCTGACCAATGGGGCAGGCGCACTTGTATCCGACTCCGAAGCCGCCGGAATCCTTGGCCAAGACGCACATTCCCTCGCATTCGGCGTTGGCGCAAGGGTTCTCGATTTTCTGGGCCAGACAATCACTCTGGCCGGGTCCTGGCTGAGCCATGGGATGGTAGGCGGCGATGCCCATCGGGAAAACGTTGTTCTCGGTGTTCGACCAGATGACGCTGCTCGGAGAACCGAACTTCTCGATTTGAACAACTCCAAGACGCGTCCAGTCGGTCCAGTAGAGGTTCTGGTCGAATAAGGCAAGGCCGAAGGGATGTGGGACATTGTTCATGCCTTGCGCGACGACCCGACGATCATTTCCCTGAAGAAAGTCGATTAAAATCTTGTTATTCTGGTAAGGGAGCATTTGGCTTCCTTTAAAATGCAACCGACTCCAAAACGATTTGCGCGCGATGGCTCTGAGAAGCGATAGATGGACGTTTTCGAGTGAGATCAAACTCAGCTAACGTACTTTTCACATCGATTTCGATTCTGTGCTCAAAAAATTCAAAGAAAAAAGTTATGGGCTTCAAAACTTGAAGAAACAGCAATAGTTTTGATGTTTTCAAAATTTTTCGGAATCCAAAACTTTTTTAAATGACTCTTCGATATAGTTTAAGCTCAGATTCAGAACCAGCGGGAAAACTCAATGAAGCCAATGACGCTTAGCTGTGTCAAAACAAAAAGAAACGCGACCGCGACGCTTTGAGCCATTCCAAATGCGACCACAACCCAAGTCGAACCTGATAATCAATGCTCTCGAGGCGATCAACCTTCGGATCGACCCAGTAGACACGCTTGGCTGGGATATCGACAACGATTCCAGAAACTTGATGGGTATGAGTCTCAATGAGAACTCTTCTGTTGCTTCCGTCCATGGCGGCCGCTTCCAGTTTCAGTTGGTTCGTGAAGAACATTTCTCTGAAGAAAAAGTTGTCAACTACTAGAGATCTCATGAGCTTTGTTCCGGCCGTACTAAAAATTATTTTAGAAGCGCAGTTATAGTAGAATTCTTCTTAACTAATGTTATAACAAAATGTTTTACAATAACGTTCTCAATCTTTAAAAAAACCGATTTCCGTTACATCTCAGTTTTCAAAGACTTGAGGTTCACAAAATTCTCAACCCTGGACTTGGCTCTGTGAATGTAGTTTTTCGAGAAAACGATGCTGAAATTCAGTTGAGAATGTTTGAAAACTTTGATTTTCAATCTAAAAAGTATTACTAACATTAGGTTAAGCCTAAAGACTAATAACACATTTATTGACAGGATCATAAACTTACAGGGAAGTGCGAAAGGTCGAGGTATTGGAATTTAGTGAAACTTGGTATATAGGTACTTCCGAACACCCTGATTCCAATAAAGTTGAAAAAAAGTGCGACTTTTTGGTTTTAGTCGAGTTAGGGCGCCTCAAAGTTTGCACGCAAAAAATGCATTGGAAGAGAGTAGGGGATGTGTTGCGGCGGCTAACTCTAGCTGCCAGCAGGTGGCTTGGTGAAGTGGCTAGCGATCTAGCGCTATGGAACCTATGATGCAGGTTCGAATCCTTTTTGGTGCAATTTATTATTGCCATGAAGTTTTTGAAAAAATTGATGAATTTTTGAAGATGGAACGAAAAATACAGTTCATAGTGTTAAAATTCACTACTTTATGTCGTTTTGAGAAAGACTTTCAACAAAAAATTTTTTTAGTCTTTTTTGTCATGCTCTTGCAGGAAATTTGGGCGTCGAGATTATTCTTGCGAGAGTTCATAGGTTTTCGATATAAATAACAACTTATTGAAGTTCTCCTGTTCTTCTTCATCAAACAATTTTTTTCTTCAAAGATGGCAGTTAGTTAACCCTATTCCGTTTTTCTTCCCTGCAGCATCGCCATATCATCTCGAATGTGAAAATAAAGTGAAGGTGGACTTTGATACACATTTTTACACACATAACGTCATAAAAGAAGGAAAAAAGAATAAATCTAATAAAACTTTGATTTTGTTAGTTCATCAGAAAATTTTTTAAAGAAAGGGGTCGACCATAAGCCTTATGGTTAGGCAGGGAAAAATGGAGCAAAAAAAGCTTTTGTCGAAATAAATTGCACCAAAAAATAAATTGCACCAAAAAGGATTCGAACCTGCATCATAGGTTCCATAGCGCTAGATCGCTAGCCACTTCACCAAGCCACCTGCTGGCAGCTAGAGTTAGCCGCCGCAACACATCCCCTACTCTCTTCCAATGCATTTTTTGCGTGCAAACTTTGAGGCGCCCTAACTCGACTAAAACCAAAAAGTCGCACTTTTTTTCAACTTTATTGGAATCAGGGTGTTCGGAAGTACCTATATACCAAGTTTCACTAAATTCCAATACCTCGACCTTTCGCACTTCCCTGTAAGTTTATGATCCTGTCAATAAATGTATTATTAATCTTTAGGCTTAGCCTAATCAGTACGACTCAATACCAGTACAATCTAGAGAACTATTATTTGATCGTTAATCGAAGCACGTCTTTACTAATACTTTAGACTGAACCAAAGCCATTCTCACCCTCTAAGGGGATCCAAGGCGATGTCAAGAGGCAGGGTCAATCCATCGGCCAGGAGAACAGTCCTTCTATCGCCGTCGAACGAAGAGACGTCGATTCTTCTCGATCCGGACTCGATGATGTACAAGGTGTTGGTGATCCAGTCGACGGCCAGGGATCTCGGATAGACGAGCGACTTGAGTCCGAGCTTCTTGATGTGCGAGATCTCGCCGTCCTCGTCGACGTCGGCGGAGAAGGCTGCGTGGGCCAATCGGTCCGTCCAGAAGACCTTCTTGTCGCCGTAGTCGAAGTCGATGCCGTAGATGAACTCTCCGGACGCCAGTCTTTTCGGAGCTTCCCCGGGCTTTTTCGGGTCCATTCTGAAGGTTCATATGCATTCTGAACACAATGTTTCAGCAAGAAAGGCTATCCAGCTTCATATTTGGGGGAAAAGTTAAACAAAACACTTCTGAAAATGATCCTGGAAGTCTCAACTTGCAAAAATCCCAATTTTTTGAAAGAAGAGAAGTCCGAAAAAGACTCCGCCGAGACTTTGAGCCTTCTTCTTTCAAAAACCAGCAACTTGTGAAGATTGATACTTCCCGGATATCTATCTTGTGCACCGAGAAGTATTCTAGTCATTTTTTAGAGATTCCGAACGTTTTTTGTAAGCGAATTACCTATAGAGTCCTTCACGTCTAGCGATGAAAAGTCGCATCTTATCAGCCTCATTGGAAACGCAGTAGCCACGAATGGTCAGATTGTCTTTCCCGGGACCGTGGGCCATCTGGAGAGTGTAGCAGTCGCCGATGCAGGAGCAGGTGAAGCCAGGGCGGTGGTTGGCGCAAAGTTGGTCGCAGAATCCGAACTCACTGCACTCGTTGATGTCTGGAAAGTTGAACTTTGAAAACTTTGGGGCGAATTTCAGACAACTGATATAAAAAAAAGGTCACGAAGACTTCAAAAACACTATAACCACAGAAAGAAAACGGATATCAACTTCCAAGCTTTGAAACCCCGAGAAATTATCCTTAGCACTCCTGGAAGGACCTTTTTCATCAAGTTGGGGTGCGCCTATATAAGTTTACTAGAAAACCGACAGCCTTTTTATGACTCGAAAAAAATTGTTCAAGTGGCTAGGATATCTTAAGTACGGTAAGAGAGCGAAAAATGGCTGATACGAAATTCTTATACATTTGAAACTGAGGAAAAACCTCTAACTGTCTCAAAGACGCCTCGAAGAGAGGAAAAGACCAAAAAGTTTTAAAAACCTAGTAATGAAAGTTCCAATATATTTATATCAAATAATCAACCTGGAAGCGTAGTCATAGTATTAAAATGTTCTAAAACCTCAAACAATTCAAAATTTTGAGTCAAAACCAACCTGAGCAAGTTCTGTGGAACCTATCATCCAGCCGGTAGCCATTTGGACAGGTACACTGTCCACCGTGCGGCGAGGGATGGCAGCCAGCCTGGCAACCGAGAGAGGGACACAGGTTTTGGGCTAAAAGTTCTTCATTTGGGGCCGCTAGAAGGCTGGCAGTCCGCAGTTCAATTGTTCACCTTCCAAAGACCTTCTCAAGACCCTCTAGCTTCCGATTATCTACTCACCCAGGATTTGCCTAAGCCTAGACTTTTGCTAAGAATACGTACTCGAAAGCACAAAAAAACTTCGGCTAAAAAATCAAAAAAAAAAACTTCAACTCCGCGCCGAGAGAGCCAGATAGTTGCTTGCCATGTTTCGTAGCTGATTCTTCCATAATTATATATTATTCGGAAGCTTTCCGGGCGGTAACTTTCTTTTTAACTTTTTTCAAAACTCACAGCAGTCCTTCTCATCGGCGCCGTCGGCACAATCATTACGGCCGTCGCAGAGGTTGACCTCCGAGATACAGTGTCCTGTTCCGGGACAGTTCCACATTCCGGGCGGACAGCGGTACTCGCCGCATTCCTCCTCGTCCGAGTTGTCGCCGCAGTCGTCGTAGTAGTCGCACCGGAACTTTCGCGGCTGGCAACGCTTGTTCTTGCATTGGAACTCGTTAGCCGTGCACCTTTTGAACTCTAAAAACCATTCTTCGAAAAATTAATTTCAAGGACAAGATACCGCAAGTCGGAGGTTCGTCAGAACCATCGGCGCAGTCTTTGGAACCGTCGCAGACCCAGGACTTTTGTATGCATTGGGTGCGGTCGGCGCAGCGGAACTGGTACGGGAAGCATGCGGTGTGGTTGCGCGAGCAAGAGTCCTGAAATTTCAGTTTCGAAATCGCACGGTTCGTTCATTCAGGACTAACAAGGCTTATCTAAGTTCTCTTTTCTCTAATCTAGAGGGTGCAGACACTTCAGGCTGTTAGAAGCTTTTTTTTCTAGAAAGAGTTCTGAACAATTTTCGGTTATATTTTATTCACTGATTTCTGTGAAGTTGTCTATCCACGGCTATTTTTTCATTAACAAGTGCGCCCTGGCAAACTATTTCAAAAAATGATCGATAAGTCAGGACTCGGTAACGGAATCCAGACGCGCCCAGGACGTTCCAGAGCGATTCTAGGGGTCACGTAAGAATGCTGACGCTGCTGAAGTGACCACTAGAAATGCTCCTAAAAGTCCGCTGGCGTTACCAAGATGCGAGAAAGAGGCGTCCCCACTTATAAAACACTATAAAGCACACTTTTATCCCAAAAAGGCATAAAAGCTTTCAAAAATCGAATTCCTTTCGATTAACATAGTTCGAGACAAAAAAAAATAAACTTCGAAACGTAAAAAGGATATTCAAGACGATACCTTCTCATCACTCAAATCCCGACAATCGTAGTTTCCATCGCACTTCTTGGACACATCGAAACATTGTCGAGCATCGGCACACTGGAAAACGCTGCCGTCGCTTTGATCGCAGTTGACCGGGGTGGCTGCTGAAAGTTCCTTGTGAGTGAGTAAGAATTTCAAGTTTCAAAATCTTTAGAAATGAAGAAAACGTTTAAACTTCAAAAACCATTCAGAAAAAATTATTTCTCTGAAAGGGAGAAATGAGAAAAACTTCAAAAAGTAAAAATTGAATTATAAAAAAAAAGAAAACTACGATTGAAGCCAAAGAAAACTCGAACAATCGTTTTTTGCTCTGAGTCATAGTTATTGACTCACACATTCAATTTATATATTTTCCGATTTTTTCAACACAGAGTTCTTGATTCAAGACAGACACGATGAACGACTTTAGGCTTTTAAAATTAACTCTATTCATCAAGAGAATAATTGGAAATTAACGTGAAGTCACAGTGAGAATAGTTGCGCACAATGGTGAGTGCATCACTTTCCGGATTACTCAAAAAAAAATATTTTACGACACTTCACTTTTTACATTTTTACGCCGCATCTTCTTATCCGCCTTTTTTTCCAAGTTTTGACATTTTTCCATTTTTATTCCCTTAAATTTGAATAAGAACTAACGGCAATCCTTCTCATCAGAGCCATCTGCGCAGTCGGTGATATTATCGCAGCGTTGATAATCAGCGATACAGGAAACACTGTGCCATTCGTACTTGTCGCACTGCCATTGGTCCGATTTGCAGCCGGGATGAGCTGCAAATTCATTTTTCTTCGATTTTTTGCCTTTTCCAAAATAGTTTATGAAAAAACCCTCGAAATTCGGGTCTTTTCTTCAAGTTTTCAGGCGTGACCAAAATTCTCAAAAAAGAAATTAACACCGCCTTGTAGACCTTCTGGTCAAAGGTCGAAAGAACAAACAGAAAAAGGAGCTCTATTTTGGACAAATATGACAGAAATTTGTTCGTTTTCAGGTTCAATGAAGTGAAAATTGAGTGAATCTCCGAAAATATTGGTCTAAAAAAAAGTAGTGCAAGAGACAATTTTTTCTCTAAACGAAAGAAAAAATCATAAAAAAAGAAGAAAAAAAAACTTACGACAATCTTTTTCATCCTCGCCTTCAGCGCAATCACCGGAACCATCGCATCTGAAAAAATAGTTGGATTATAAGTTTCCAATGAGAGCACATAGATACAATTGAAATGGGAATGGTTTAGGAGTTTCTGCGCCCTCCTCGTCTCTCGGCGGCCCTCTAGTGCTTACGGGCTATTTTCCTGTTTCTCTCCTGTTTCCTCCTCGGTGAGAGAACAGAGAGACGCAGACACTCGAGAACTTTCAAGTCGGAAAACAGAAAAAAAAAAAAGGAAAAACGAACCGCCACTCGAGCCGAATACACTTCCCGTCGTGGCATCGGAAGTCGTTTTCCGTACAAACTGTGGAGGCCGTGTTAACGGAGGCCGAAACGATTGGAGAGAGAAGTCTTCTGGGATGGACCGACGGCGGCGAATCCACTGAAAAATTGAATATAACTTTCTCGCCCTCCTTTCTTCCTGACTAACGCATGTTAAGTTGGAAAAGCCTAAAAAAATCGAAATTCTGATAATTAAAGACAAAACCTGTTTAAAAAGAGATTATACGGGAATTTTAAAAGCACAGAGAAGGTTCAAACTTACATAGGTTTCGAGGTGAAAATTATGATTTCACTTTAAATCACGCAATATTTATGGCACTTTTTTTGTTTGAAAAAAACCCAAATTAAAAATAGTTTGAATAGAAAATACTTTGAAAAATTAATTATTATCTTTATGAATAAATCATTGGAAAAAATTTTTCGAAATTCATTGAAATTTCGGAAGTGTTTCAGAATACTGGACTTGATGAGAACAGTAAAGGAAATGTTTATTGAAAAAAAGTAAAAAAATTATTCTATCAATAGAGCAACTCTGCTGCAAAACTTAAATTTACGCAGTCATTTGAAATTTTTAAAATTATTTTTGTCTAATTTTTTTAATCAAAAAAATACTGAATTCTGTTGAATTTTTTTAGTATAATGCTCAAACCGTTTCAAAAAAACCTAAAATATTATTTTTTTACAAAAATCCGGTCAAAGCACACTTTTTTACGGTCAAAGCACACTTTCAAGCTCTGCCAACAACAAATTTGCACTAAAAATAGTTTGCCCAAAAATTAATTTCCTGGTTTTCCACCTCAACGCCACAGAACTCTTTTTGTGAGCGCGAACAATAGAAGTTTTATTGCATTTCAAAATGAATCATTAACTTGAGCTCTCAAAAATCAAAGGAGTGAAAAAGGCGGACTTCCTCCTATTCATTCCGTTTAATACCAAAAATTTATCGATTAAAAATCGCTGACCACAAAACCAATACACGGCTGTTTGTTTTTGTGTGGTGAACGTCGAAAAGAACGGCGATTTTGCACGAATTTTCGGCGCTCCGTCGCACTTTTTTGTTTTACTATCTTAAGTGTTCTGGGTGATGTCCTTGATAAGAAATCATGAAAACAAAAAAAAATTCGAAAATTTTCAAAACCAGCCACAATATTAGAGAAATGTTCAAAAAAGACAAAGTCGATTAAAAAAATTCTTTTAGTCCTTTCACTAGTATTTTGTGAATTTTTCTCAAATTTTTCCAAAAGTCAATCAAAGAGAGGCAGACATGGGCAGACCATTTTCAAAGGCAGCCGACCCCTTCTCCCAATTTTTCCTGAATTAAAGTTAACACTACCTCCCGAGGGTGAAAATTGTATTACTGTGGCCAAAAAAGCCTCCCTGAAGTTGAAACTTTTTGTACTCGCCCATCTATGAAGAGAGGCGTGGTCAGCAACTAAGTGCACACAAAACGAGAAGGAATTTTTTTTTTGGGATTTTGAAGCTTCGTCGCCCTCTTACTTTTTCGAATGACCTTCAAAACTTAAATAATTTTCTTCCAGCCTAAAAAACGTAAATCCACCAACAAAAAGAAAGACCGGCCCTAGCTGAATTGCGCAATTCGATCGATAGGGATCTATGGATCGATCGGCGGATAAGATGTCAGGAAACTGGTCCTTGACCATCGACGTTTGACGGGTTTGCCAACAGTAAAAAATTATTTGAAGGAGGAAAAAGTGGAAGACTTGAAGGTTTGGAATTGACAAGAGGTACCTAAACACGGAAAAAACGCCAAAAAAATAATTCTTGAAATTATTGTGGGACTTTTCATTGAAATTTGAGCCGATTCAAGAAAATGAAAGTCTAAAAATGAAAATTGAAAACTTAAAGAATGACACAGAAAAATCAACAGTTCACAAAATTTGAAATTCACTGCACTCTCTGTGTTCAAATTTTCTTTTTTTCGTAATACACTATAGAAAAATTCAGTCTTGCTCTATTTTTGTTCTTCGCGAGCTTGGAAACACGATTCAAAGAAATGGGGAATGAAAATGAACGAGAGATTTTTCAATACCTCTACTTCAACTTTTTAAAGCTCAGGTTAAAGTGTTCCTTATTTGAAAAAGCTACATCTTAAAAATATCAGCGTCTTCTGTTCTATGAAATGCTATACAATTCGAAGAACTCTCCAAAAAAGGTTATTTTAAAAACTCATTTTCGGTCGAAATCATGCTTCAATACCTTTAATTACAGCTCCTCATAACTCAAGTCAAAGTCGTACTTATCCTACAAGATCTACACCGTTAGAATCCCCGTTTCACATTATTCAAAATAATGTACCAGTTGATGATCATTTCAAAGAAAAAATGAACTAAAAAAAATCATTTTTTTTTTCAAAACCATGCCTCAATAACTTTAACTTGAAAGTTAAAAACTCAGGTCAAAGTAATCTTCATCCAACAAAACCTACACCGTTAAAATCACCGTTTCACACCTTTTGAAATGGTCAATAATTTGGAATACTTTTTCGGGAGCAACGATTAAAAAAATCCTCTTTTTTCAATCTTTTCCAATTCAATACTTCAAATTCAACCCCTCATAACTCAGGTCAAATAGGTCCCTATCTAACGAAACCATTATAATTAACAATACACTTTCTTCAGAATGAAACAATAAATGAAAGTCGTACCTTGTAGGGGAATCTGGCGCGGCTGGGAGACGGGCTGCACCGAAGGCACCAGCAGCAGAATAACTGGGAGCGCAAATGCGCCGATTTTCATCATTGTTCCACGTAAGACCATCACTCGGGCATCAGGCAATTAAACAGGAATATTCAATGAACAAAATATAGAAATATAGAATTGAAATATATTGATTGATTAGTAGGAAGTCAATCGATAATTGAAGAGGCGTCGCACGTCCCCCGAGGCAAGATTGCCTGAAAAAATTGGATTATCGATTAGAAACCAAATTGGAAAAATCGACACCCGTTCTTGAAAAAAATTGTGGAATCGATAAAATTAAAAGTCGAAACATTGAATGAGTCATTGCAATTTCTACTGTTTGGTATCTAATTCGAAGGATAATCAAGCTCAAGTGGTCACTATAGAATCCAGGAGAAGTGAATGAACCTTTAGGATTCAAAGCGGTGACTTTAGTGAAAATTAACAACTACTAGTGGCAACTTCAAGAATCCTTAAATTCCTAGGATTCATGAATGATCCTTTTATGAAGCTCTAGGACTACCAGTGGTCCCTTTAGGAATTATTAGAGACTAGGAGATACGAGCGGTCACTTTAATAGTCTTTAGAGCTTTCGTTTCAAAAGGGGCCATTTTAGAAGTCCAAGTAAAATCCGAGACTTCTAGAAATGTTAGTAGCCACTTTAGGTGTTCAAGTCAAACCTTGTAACTGTAAAAACTTAAATCGGCTTCTTTAGAAATTGAAAGAACGTTTTTATGGAAATCCTCAAGGATTAATGGTCATTCTAGGCTTAATGTGGACTTTTGCACAGAAAACTACGAATGATGCAAATTTTTTGTGGCTCGAAACTGGCTTTCTTAAGCTTGCACAGAAATTTTCTGAGAAACTGGTTTAAATTTAGGTAAAGCTGATAAGTCAAGTGGTAAAAAAAATACGCTTGGCTGTGCTTTCATTTTAAAAAATGATTTTAAAAAAATAGGAGACTGGGATGAAAGGATTTATTGTGACTGGAAGTAGAAGTCAGATGACCGCCGACATAAACGAATGTTATTTGCCAAGAGGAATCGGTCGGGAAACGACGGCGACGTCGAAAAAAACCCGATCTCAACTCGAATCAGTCATAAATTAGCGGCCGGTTTTGGAAGTTTGACTGGGGATGGATCTCGACGTTCGAAATGAAATATTGGGCGGGAAATCGTCTCTTCGTCAAAACCTTTTTTTATCGATCAAGATGGAAAAGAGCGGAACTGTAAGCCTGTAGCAAGGCCACCGAGGAGAACAATATTTTGGATTTTTTGCGGTAGTTTTTCGGAATAAAAGGACTGAGTGATCAATTTCAAGCGTTTGGAAAGAAATTCATTCAGCAGCAATGAAGCTTTTCAAAGTGCTCAAACGGTCGCAATTGGAATTGGCCTATGCGTCGGGGTTGCTCAATCACTTTTTGATGCTCACGCACGCAAGCCGTTTTGAGTCGGTTGCACCTGAAAGCAATCGCAGGCCAGTAGAATCATTCCAAGTGCGACCAGGAGCGTTACATTTGAGGTAAATTCGGTATATCTTTGAAATTGCAGAAAAAGGGAGATTTCATGTGAAAATTTTTCTTATCCGATCAGATTTTTTTTCAAAACTCAAATAACCAAAAAAAAAAAGATCAAAAAAGGCTACTTTACCGTAACCCTATTCAATGGCGTCAAACGATCATAACAAGACCAAAGAAAAAGGAAATATGTATGTGATGAGAAGAACGATGATGGTGATAATAAGACTTGTTTACGGACCGCCTGGCAAACCAAAAGAACACACAAAAAATGCTGGATATTATTCCAGTTTCCCTGGAGGTGATTGATGTGCATGCGAGAAGTTCAGATGCAATCTTTGATTTTGAGGACTTTCGACCGGGGAAAAATATCTTTCTACGTGATTAATTGAAAAGCAGAATTCTGAAGCTCCTGAAAACTAAAATCTCAAATTGGACTATGATAACGTTCAGAAATCAATAATAGAGGAAATAAAACATTCAGAAAAAATGAAAACTTGAACTGCTCCTCCAAAAACGAGAAAAAGCTTAATATGATCAGAAAAATGCCAACTGATTTCCTAAGATAATTCAAAAAAATTAGAAATCATCGAAATACGAATAATTCGGCAAAAAAAGCAAAGAAAAAGAGCCTTTTTCAATCAGCAATGAAAAAAATATTAATAAATCAGAGCCAGGCAGAAGAAAAAAATGCCTTTCTCAATCAGGGTCAATCATAAATTTGAGAATAGAAACCCGATCTTTTAACGGCTTCTGGAGGCTCCAAGAACTTCTGAGAGAACGAAATCAATGAAAACTTCAACAATACTCTAAATAAATCTGAAATCAAAGTAAAGGATTCCTTTCCACTTTTCTATCCATCCTTTTCAAGGTTTAAGTAACTTTTTCTAGGGAATTAAGAATGCAATCAGAATCAGAAATAAAAATGTAACTCAATTTTCAAAAACTTCTTAGGGTCCTAAGAGCTTTGATAAGGAACGAAATTAATAAAAACCGTGACGAAATTCGAAAAAGAAATTCTTATCCACTTCTTGACAGGTCATAAGGACTGCAAGAAACTCGAAAAGGAATGAAATCAGTGAAAACTGTAAGATATTTTAAAATCAATCAAAAAAAGGAAAAGAAGAATGATAAAAAAAATTCAATCCTTTAGCTTTATCCTACCAGAAAGATGGGATTAGTCGCTTGCAAGTGGATAGTTCACTCTTTCCTCGATCAAATTCAAAGTTAGAAACCTTTAAGACACCTCGAAGTCCTTCATAAAACCTTAATATGAGATTTTCGAAAGGTTCGCAAAAGTCGATACCTTAAAAGATTTCTAGAGCGTCTGAAAACCAGCGTGACTTCTCGGAAACAGTAAAGTTCGGGATTAATCAAAAAAGAGAGGAGGAGAAGAAGAAGAAAAGGAGTCAATCCCTGAGCTTCACCCAACAGTTCTCTCGCCTCGCCGCCGTCCTTTCACTCACTCTAACGGTCACTTTAGGCAAACATCCGACCCGACGCTTAAACGGCCTCCTCCTCCACAAGTCGTGGTCCATCATCGAGGTGAAGAGAACGAGCAGAAAACAATGCTTTTTCTTTTTCTTCTTCATTTTTTTCTTTCGTCTCTTTCCCCCAGTTGACCCTGACCTTTCTCCCAATCGACTCCTCGGATTTTACAATTTTTTATGGACCTCGCCAAACTGCAGCTAATTGTCCGAGACTTACGATGCACTTGGTGAAAAAGTTGAAAGTAAAAAACTGGTTTTCAGCGGGGGGAAAAAACTTGAAAACTGAGAAATTACGAATTTTTTTTCCGGGTAAAACTCTCCAAATATTATAAAATTGGAAAAATTGTGAAAAAAATTTTTCAGCCCTTGAAAAATGCTCAAAAAAATTTTGAAAGCCGTTGAAACCGCCCTTTTTTTCCTTTTTTTAGGTCTTCAAACTCTATAAATTTTTCTATACAGAATATAAAAAAGAAGAGTAAATTTTTAAAAATCGTGAGAATTGCATTAAAAAAAGCCGTACAACCGAAAAATAAAAAAAAAACATTCGGGTCTTAATTCTACTCCGCAATTAGCAAAACGGAGAAAAAAGCAGAGAAATTTTCAAAATTCACCATGATCTAACTATACTTCAGGAATCGATCAAAACAAGGCGGAACTCTCGAAAATTTCCAAATCAAAGAAAAAGAATCATTTTGGGCACTTAAAACAAAACTTCAAATCTCCCAACTTCTTGCAACTGTTAACCGTTAATCACATCATCCAATTACGGAAAATCTTAGAAACTGAACAAAAAAACGGAAAAGAATGCAAAAAAGAGGGTCAAGGTTCCACTGGAAGAACGGATCGAGAACAAAAACTCGAAAAAGTTGATAATTTTGTTTTTTTTTTCTTTTCAAAGAAGACTTTTTGAAGTGACGTCAAGCGAATGACCACTTGAGTGGCAAGAAAAACGAGCAAATAATCGCAAGACAGTGAACAAAAAAGCAGCGCAAGTGGTCACTAAAGAGGTGGATAAACAAATTATTTTGAAAAAAAAAAGGACTTGTTAAAAGTTTGGAGGAAAAGCTGATTAAAGTGAAACTATGCGTAGGGGTTACTTAAGTGGTGAAAATTTGAGTCGGAAAGATTAATAAAGAGAATTCAAAAACAGAAAATAACCAAAAAAATTAGTTTTTTTCAAAGTTAAAAAAATGATCTCTTTAGGATTTTTGAAGAACTCGCCAATGAGGATTTTAGGGATGGAATTTGTTATCCAAAAAAGAAACGTTCGATACATTTTGTTAATAATTAGAGATCATTTAAGAGCTCTAAAAACTTAGGAAACAGCCAATAAAAAGTTTAAGGCTATCAAATGCCTAGTAGCTTGAAAAATAAAATTTAAAATTTACTGAAATTCACGATAGGGCTCTCATTAAGTCCGAGCCAGAGAAAGAATACAAAAATCAACCATAGTGATCCCGTAAAAACTGAAGTGTGCACTTAAGTGCTGCAAGCGCTTTCCAAATTGCTTGAAGGCAACGGATACCAAATTCACATAGTAACCGCTTGAGTGCTTCAGAAATCAAGAAGTCACTTGAAAGTTCAACTTGGTTTGGAAAGAAATAAAACCAAAAGGGATCACTCAAGTGTTTAGGGTGTTTATTTTTTATTTCAATAAAAGAGCAAGTTGAAAGAGAAAGGTTCGAAAAAACAATGGGAATGTCTGGATAAAATACAGGTAATCCCGAAAAATCTTGAAATCAGCTCAGAAGCTTCCACTTTTCCACACAAGGAAATCATAGAAAATTAATCTTTTCTAAATCGATACCAAACTTTGATAAAGTTACTTATCATCTTACAGACCTTCTAGAGGATAAAAAGCAATGAACAGTCTCAAAGTCAATGGGAACTTCTGAAACATCCGATTTTAACAAAGTGCCTCAAAAGCCAGCAAGAGAGAAAAATTGGAAATTCAGTAGAGACCACGAAGATGCTGGAAATATTCAAAAGGAGCCAAATCAAACTAAATACACGAAAAATCGGAGTGGAAAAAAAACGGTTGACGCTAGTTTTTGGGGTGGCGAGTTGAGAAGTGATGGGACAGCGCGGAGGCCTCTGAAAGGCCTTGAACCCGACGAGAGACGAGGCGGACCACCGCTTTCCTAGTTCTGTGTTCTTTTGGGAGGTGGACTTGACATTGAGGAGGCTCATTTGGCTCGGCTCTCGGACATCCATCATAAATCACCGCGCGGCTCTAATCTGTATTCGGGAGTTTTTTAGATAAGCACGAGGAAAGGTCGATTGTTATCGATTTAGATTATTTCTGGAGCTCTCCAGAGTCCTGAAGAAGATAGTGATCACAATCAAATGGAGCTTCTCAATCTTTAGAAAAGGGATTTAGCTCTTTTAGAGAACAATTTGAGCTTCTTAATCTCTAGGAAAGTTCTTGGTCCCTAGATAAGATGGTGATCCCTTGAGGGTGCGGAAACATCCTATGACGTTGAAAGACTTATAGACTCATAGGTGACCACTTAAGAGGCTCAAAAAAGCTTCCGAGGGCTCAGAAATTATCCATTTACACTTTTCTAGTTTAACTTCAGTTTCCAAGAGCGCTAAAGGGGTCACTTAAGGAAAAGAAATTCATCTCCAAAAGCTTTTCTCTAAGTGATAACAGATCAAAGCTAATAAAATATTCTTTTTTTCAGAAAATTTACAAATTCGTATCAAGAAATGAGGAAAACTTCATAAATATGGTCTTAAGTTCCGAAAGTTCCGTAATCGCCTCGAATATTAAACGATTTCTCACTTAAATCACAAATTATACTTGATTTCCATGGATGATGAGCTGAAAAATAATAATATTTGAAGCTACCAAATCAATTTCTGAAGGCAAAAAAGAAAGAAAGGCATTTAAAATAACAATTTTCAACAGTCAAAACTCGAAACCCTTGTGATAACAAATTAGAAAATCGTTCCAAGTCAATTAAAACAAGTTGACAAGTGTGAAGAATCGAACAATGGTGCCATCATTAGGCGAAATCAAAACAAAACGAGGAGGAGAGGTGGGCGGAGCCTGACTGACCAAAACGGGTAGAAGAAGGAGGCGACCACCGAAAAAAACTGGTATTTTCATTTCTCGTCTACTGAAATATATTTGTGGCGATGGTGATGAGGGCGACAAATCGAAAACATCGATTTATTTTCGGGGGGTTCAGGTTTTCTAGAAGGCGTTTCGGAACGAGTCAGACCACTGTTGTTTTTCGAGAAAATTTTCGAAACATTGGGGAAATTTTTTTAGCTAGACTCTTGATCGAGAGATTAGTTCAAAGTCCTCGAGTAGCCTCTTAAATATCTCAGATGATCATGAAGGCGTTTCGGAACAATCAGGCCATGCTTTTTCAGAAACTTTTGAAATAGTTAGGAAATTTGAAGTCACCACACTAGGATAGACATGAGGCTACTCTGTTCCATGAGAACCCTTTTCAACGTCGTCGAAGGGTTCCCTTGAGGAGTTCAGATGATCTTGAATTCGTTTTGGAAAAAAAAATTCAAGACCACCTTTTTTTTCGAGAAAATTTCAAGCCATAACCTTCAGAGCGACCTTAGGTTTCATTGAAACTAAGTGGCTTCTTAAACGACTTTTAGGTACGATTAAAACTATCGACCATGCTCAGAAGTTTCAGAGATATTAGGAAAATTTGAAATGAGGTCCAAAATCTTCTGCTTCATAAGAAATCACTCAGAAATGGTCATTTACGTCAATCGGATCATGTTAATTCGAAAGTGGTCCCTTGAGGATTAGAGGTTTTCTGGAAAAAGTTCTAAACAGTTAAACCATGCTTCTTTTTGAAAAAGTTCCGAAAATCTTAGGAATTTTCGAGTGACCACTTAAGGTGAGAATTAGGGATGAAAATTTTTAATGGTGAATGAAAAAATCTACAAAAAATCCAACTTCAATCTAATCGATAAAAATTTAGGGACATAGGGGAAACCGAAACAAACGAAAGAAAATGAGGCCGAGCGCCGCGGCAATCGCAAGAGGCCGATCACTCAAGGGGTCGCTTCAACTTTCTCGATCTTTTTTTTCTAATCAGCCTTGCAAGAAGCTTGAATAATGCTCAAAGTGATGCTCACAGTGATGGCTCGAAGCAAAAAGAAGTCCTTGAAGTGACCACTAGGAAATTGCGGATTCAGAAAAGAGGTCAAAGCAAAAATGAAATCAAAGTCGGGGAATCCCTTCTATTTTTCTCAGCCTAAATGACCTTTTAAGTGGTTTTCGAGACAGTTTTCTTCCGTTTTTCACTCTCCAGGATTGTCCAATGAGTCCAAAAACCCTAAAGTGACCGATCAGCCATGACGTCACGGGTCCATTCTCCTCGGCTCCGCCCATCTTCTTGGCGCCTGACCCCTTTCTGAACTTGATTTACGCAATAAAGCGAACACAATGTCTCACAATTCTTTTTAAATCACGCAGAAAAAAAACTGGAAATTGCGAACGGAAAAGGATAAACGAAGTATAGAACCAGTAATATCCAATGTTTGTGCGCCGATCGAATCACTGTTTTTGTTGTTCGAGCTGTTGTTGTGTTATTCGACGCGGAAAAAGGCCGCTCCTTTCTTAATCAATCATCTTCTTCCCCATCATCTCAGCTTGTTGTACATAGTTGGTTATATTTATCTTTACAAGGAGATCAGAAAGCCGGAAAAATGGTCATTTCAGTGAAATAGAACATTTAAAAAATCTAAATTTATTTCTATAAGGAGCAGTTCTAGAAAGCTGGAGAAGCGGTTAATTCAATGACAAAGATTATTCAAGGAAACTAATAGGAGAGAAACTCGAAAATCTACAATCTTGTGTGGAAACTTTTGAAAATCGTGAGACAAGCTTCAAAGTCAGAAAATCGAAAACAACTTCTAATTTATTAGGTCAACCTTAAAGCTCAAGCTACTGATAGATAAACAGATTGAAGTCTCTAATTTTAATAAATAAATCAGCCAATAAACCTTCCATAAAAACTTGAAATCAATAAATCGAAGGAAAGATAAAATAAAATGACAACAATTCAAATTTTCGAGAAACCACCAGAAGACTCTAACCAAAACGACTTCAATTTCTTTTTTTGGAACCGAAAATTTTCGCAAAACCTGAACAAGACTGAAAAACTTATGAAACGCATGAAAAATAGTTCTAAAGTGCCGAATCGACAGAGATAACATCATATTTTAGTTTTTTTTTTTTTGAGAAATAGAAACTTTGAAAAACGGCTCATTTTTTGTAGAAAGGTTCAGAAGGTATTGAAAAGTCTAATTACATTTAAAATTAAAAACAAAAATGTAGAACAGCTTGGGGAAAAAATAAGACGTAAAAAGTTGAATCGACCAAGATAACATCAGTCTTTCGGAAATCCATAAAGCTTCCGAGTTTTATCCAATCATCGAAAAAAAAACATTCACGAAAAAAATATTTTGAAGATCCATAACATTGAAGATTGAAGAATAATTGAATATTCGACTTTGGAAATCCACAATGAAGTTGAATGAAAAAATTTATTTCAGAAAAAAGTTCAAATACCATGGAGGTCTAGCCAACACCCAAAGAGAGAGTAGGGATACTACTAAATCCAATTGAAAAGCTAGAAAAAAATTAGGAAGACGGCACAAAAGATGAAGCTGAATATACACACAAAAAACTGCAAAGACTCAATCAACAAACCGTACCTAGGAGTCGAAGAGAAAAAAAAAGTTAAAAGATCACGAAAACTTCAAGAAGGTTCTCGATATGAGGGACTGTTGAGGAGCAAGTGGACGGTCGGACTTTGAAAACTTCCATCAAAAAACTGAAGAAACTTCAGAAACTTCTAGAATTTGAGCAAGACTCCTAAAAAGCCCAAGTAAGCTAATGCTTCGATGATCAATCCAGGACTCAGAAAGGAGTCTTCGGAAGCTCAGAAAACCCCTTAGCAATCTCGAAAAAAAAATCACTTTCAAATTTCCGAAAATCGAAAAGAAAACCAAGCCGCAGTCTTCCGAAAAGATACCTAGGATGTCCGAGAAAACACTCAAAATTCTGGAAAAAAGTCAGGAAGACTTCAAAGGATTGGATCGGGAGGGACCGCTGTGGCGGACAATGAGAGATGATGATTGTTGAGGAACAAGTGGACGTTCGGGGGAGACAAACGGACCGACGGACGGTGAAACCCAACCAAGCATCGGTCGACGACGACGACGACGAAATTTCGGCCGCGCCGCCGGAGGGAGAGAGAGAAAAAGAGAGGGTTTTTCTCGACAGAAGAGACGACCCACTTCTTTGAGATTCTCCCACAGCCGCTGCAGCTCCTCCTCCGGTGTCACCTCTTGATAAAACGTGCTGACCGTCTCTCTTTCTCCCTTTCTTTCTTTCTTTGGTGATTATGCGGAAATGTTCGGCGCCTTTTGATTGCTTTTGTACTTGCTGCGCCTCGGATCGAGGTCTAGACACGATTTCCTCGAGGCGGTTTCTATGACTATCTTGTTTGGAGAAATATTTAAGCCTGCCGTGAGCTTCTAAGAAAGCGATTCTCTTTTTTTAACTGGGACTTGATAAAACCACGATCGAAACGTCTCAAACTCACACGGCCGCGTTCAATAGAATCTATAATAAAATTGATATTCGACAATTTCCAAAGCTTCTTGTTGCCCAAAAACGCAAGTATTTTGAAATCGAACGCGATAAAAAATTTCAAAACAGCAATCAGACGCCAACGATTAGAAAAGTTCTGAGAGCCTCAAAGCACAAGGAATATCAAAAAAAAAAAAGTTGATCGATGGCAACTCATCTTCAATGCAATAGGCTCCCTCCAAATTTTACAAAAAATTAAAACTTCGTCAAAGCGTCAAGATACTTTCATAAAACTAATTGCAGAAGATGGTACCCAAATAGTTTGAAATTTATAAGAAGCCGTATTTATATGTCCCTGGCCTATGTGGTGAGAGAAAAAAAAGAGTTCAGACAGGTCAGTTCCTTTCAAGTTCTGCCGAAAGTATGAAAACATGAGTAGAAGTAGTTATAACTGGTCCACAAGGTTTGAAAATTGACAACCTTTGGATTTCAAATGAATTCGACCAGTCATGAAATCTGATCAAATCAAAGGCGATTGAATGTTTGACCTTCTGAGATCCATTCGAAGCTTTTTCCGAGTTTTTCGGGCCGTGTCCGATTGTTGACACGATTTTTCGGAGCCCGCATTCTTTCTGAAGAGCCGATAAGTTCGGGCTTTTCGATTATTTGTATTATTTTAGAAATTTCCTGAAGAACTTTGAATTGAAGATAAACTTCCAATCAACCATCAGATGGTTCGAAATACATTCCGATAATCAAAAATCAGCAAAAAAAAAAAATTGAAGCCAGTTCCATCAACATTACTTATCATCAGGTGATGTGATTACAAAAAAAGAAAACCCATCCAAGTTTGGCCAACCGGTTTCCGACCTATTTTCACTTATAAATCTTATGAAATCAATTGCAAAACCGCCTGGTTTCCTTGACGGCATAACAGCAAGTAATCAAAAGTTTTTTGAGAAAAAAAGAAATTTTAATCAAGATTAGTGAATATTAACGTTTTTGACTTCACAAGGGAGGTCATCTCACTTTACGGTTGGGAATCCCTTAGGGATTGGTCAGAGCAATGCTTGATGCATCCGAAAAAGATTCTGGTAGTCTCGACTTGCATAATTACATAGTTTTTTGAAGAATAAGGCTCAAAGCCCCAAAAAAGAGCCTATTTTAACGGATTTCAAGGGTTCTCTTTGAGTTTGCGGGTGTCTTTTTCGAAAACAAGGAATTTGTGCAAGTTGGTGGAATCAGAATCTTATCCTGGTATATCAAGAAGTGTTCTGGCCGATTTTCAGAAAATTCTCAACCGCAAAGTAAGATGACCTTCTTTGTCTTTTTTTACAATTTTTTTCAATGGAGATTCTCAAATTGATTCGAAACTCTGAAAATTAAAAAAAATCCATTATCGTTACAATGTTTTTTTCGTAAGCGTTGGTCTAACATTAAAAAAATAATTTTTTTGTTTTTTTAGATTTTTTTGAAACATTTACCAACTTGACATTTAAACGAGCGAAAATTTGGAAATTAAATTGTTCCCTAATAAAATAATCCATTCTTCTACTGATTGCTTTATGAAAGCGAAGCCGAAAGAGCTATCACAGCTGAAGAGACGCCAGACGATTGAAGAGCTCTCACTTCTCTGACGTCTCTTCAAGCCACATAGATCTCTCGCTTCCGCTTTTAAAACCCCGTACCTCGCGAGTTTTTCCCAAAAACTTTATTAAGAGTATTCCAAGATTCCGAGAACAGAAAGAAAAGATGTGAAATGGCCGGATTTTCTCATTTCTTTTCTTTCGAATCCGCCGATATCGTTTCTGGCAATGAGTCAACGCCACTGAAAAAAAAATCGTGTGAGTTTTCAAAATTTCAAAATACTTCAAAGTGTCGTCTCGAGGATCGATGGGCGGGTCGGCCAACGGTACATGTTTCGGCGGTTTACTGAGGGTTTTTTATTTTTTATTTTTGGTCGCATTTAAGATTAGCTGAAAATTGTTGGTTTCTTATTTTGGCCGCATTTAAAATGGCTCTCTCACGTTGCGGTCGAGCTGAATTCTCAGAGAATCTTAATTTTTTCAAAAATTAGTCGGGCAAAGATTGATTTGAACGCTTCGCGACAATTACGGATTGAGCCATTGAAAGTGCGACCGAAACTTTTCGATTTCCAAGCATCTGAACTAACTATTGATGAATTTTCACGGAGAAAATAATTTCACCAAATGAAATAGCTCAAAAAATGAGCTCAATCGAAAAAAAAAACTTCCAAGAACTCAACATCGTTTCTTCCACTCTTTATTAAAAAAAGGTATGACTAAAAATAAAAGCCCCGAACTCACATATCTTTGACTAATGCAATAGGCTTCGCAACTGTTCTTACCACTGGATTCTCCTCAATTAGCACAATCTGAAAACTTTTCTTAGTCGTTGAAAAATCGAAAATTTCACTTTAATTCCAGTATTATATTAGATTATCGACCGTTAGAAGAAGAAAAAGCGCATTCAGATCTCTTATTTTCAATATAAACTTGCCTAAAACATAACATTTCCCCTCTATTTTCCTCTTCATACAACTATCGGCCAATAAAACTAATTTCAAAAAAACCTAAAAACTCTGATAACCTATAACAAGTCGAATAATGAAATTTTTCATGAAATATTCACAAAATAAGAAAAAAAGTGGTGTTTGTAGGCTTCGAGGGGTCATTTGTTGTGGATTTTTTTATTATTATTTTTTTGGATGAAAGAGGTATCAACCGAACACAAAAAAATTCCTCATTTGTAAGAAAAGTATAAAAAAATTCCAAAAAATAGAAAAAAAACTATTGAGTTTCTTTTGGAAGAAAATGAGCTTTTTTTCCAGAAGAAAAAACTGGCATTATGAAGGTCCTCTCCGTTGTCGATGTTGTGCACCGACGCGGACTTTTTTCTCTTTTTAGAATTTTTTCTGGGAGAAGACGGCTTGGTCGGCGTCTGCGACTGCGGTGTTCGCGTTTGCGTCGGCGTCGTCGTCGCCACTGTTGTCGCCGTCGACTTGACCGGCGTGCCCGGAATCGCTTTCCTCTTCCTCCTTTTTTTCAATTTCGGCCCGACTCTCCTCTTTTTGATACATTGCGGCAACGATATAAACACTATCTGCTATTTTGAACTTCAGAATGTCTCGTATTCATCGTAAAAACCAACCATAATTGAAATCGCCAGCAGAAGCATCCACACAGCGACGCCACTCAATAGAAATAAGCTCTCAACTTGACGCGCTTTTCATTTTGTCCCGTTTCAAAACTTTCCTGTTGGAAAAAGCAAGCTTCTCGTGTCCAAAATGGTCATTAAAAACGGCTAATCGCCTCAAGACCTTCATTCTACTTTGGAAATTATTATAAGGAAATCTTTCAAACCATAATTATAAAAAATATACGGTCAACCTAAGAAAATTTCGTTCTAGAAACTCTTAAGTACTATTACCAGGGTACATTTTTAGTTTAAAAAAACATAAAATTGTGAATAAATATAGTTTATTACTGGGGCAATATAAAAATACACGTGAGCATCTTTGGGATATAAATATTTTCTTTGATGAAAGGTAAACTCGAAGATTTTCTTTCATTTTTTTTTAGTTCTTTTTTTTTCAATTTTCTACATTTCAAAACTTTTGCCGAAAAGTACTTACTTACTTTGAGAACTTTTGCCGAAAAGTATATGAATTAAAGCCTAAGTGGTCCCTATAAAAATTTTCTTTAAGGATCTCTATTCAAAACTTGAACATCTCTCAGAAATCCTGTTTGTACGAGTAAAGTTCCTCAGAACCGCCAGACTGGTCCTTATTAGGATTCGGGGAAAAATAGCCCTTATCGGGGTAAAGTTTAGGGGTCCATATAGGGGTTTAAGGTCTGACCCCTCGGCCTTTAAATCCTAAGTGTTCCCTATAAGAGTCTTTCAATGTTATGTTTATATTTGAAAATAAAAAAACTTATTTAATAAAACTCGATCGATTGATCCTCTGTTGCTGTTTGTACAAAAGAACTGGCATGTCGTTTACAAAGGCCGTTTTTGCAAGTTTTATCGGCCCCTCTGAAGGAGGTAAAGTGGTCCCTAGAGGGGAACCTTCGAGGGCCCTTAAGGTTGGCCCTATCAGCACCACTCTGGAGTTCCGCAGTAACATTGAAACCAAAAACCAAATAGAGATTCTCAAGTTCAATTATTTTCGACTCTACTTTTAAATCAAGCAAGGAAAGACCTAATTTCTCTTTTTTTCAAAAGGCACAACCAAAAGGACATCTCCAAGCTGACTCCCTTTCAAAAAGTTGCTTTAAGGAGCCGAGGTGATCCTCCGATGGATGATGGCCGGTAACATTCGCAACTGAGCGTGCTTCCCCTCTCTGGAGATGAACCCACGCGCCGTCGAATCGACCCTCGCCCGTTCTTTCAGCAACTGAACACATCAAATACTGGTCCAATCCGAAATAAGGCTCCAACTTGATAGTACGCGGAGTTGGTGTTGCCGAGATGGGAGAGAAGCGGAAGACGTCGGATGGGGACGAGGTTCGGCGTCGGTAGGGAGGGACATGAAACCGGGATCTTGTGCAGTGGCACGAAGGTTCGACCCAAGATCCGGTCGCATAACCTGCAGTCAGGAAACGGTACTGCTCGGATATGCTATAGATAGCGTTGGGACGACACTTAGAAACAGAAATAAGGAATTTCGAGTTCAGAAAGCCATCTGAGAGGAGACTAGACAGTAAAGTCCTCACAAAAAGCCTCACAAAAGCCTAAATAAATCTTCTGGAAGTCCAAGCTGTGTTTCAGAATCGTGTAGGACATGAGAAAATTGCGAATAGCCAATGTTAAAGAACGCCAACGATTTTTCAGAAACTAAAGCACAATGAAACAAATGAATGAAACCTTTAGATTGAGTTAACGAGATTCAATAAAAAAAAATTTCTGGAAAATTCATCCGAAAAATGTAGAAAAAAATAATAAAAAAGAGCCTTTTTGGCTGGAAAGCTTTTAAGGCAGGGTAGCAAGGGTGGATCTAAAAAGCAACACGCGCGCGAGAAAGTCAGAAAAACTGGAAAAACTTCGAGTCTAGATTTTATTTTCAATAAAAGGTAAAGTTGAATGTTCCTGAAGTCCACGAAGAACCAATCAAAATCCGAATCCTGTGGAAAAAAGAAGGCGATTCACGTACCTGTCATGGTCCATGACGGTGATGCCAAAAGTCGCGCCGTGCGTATAAAAGCTCTGCGTCGGTACCAGCCTAAAAATATTCCTTTCCGACTTTTTTATTTCTCGAGAATAGACTTTCAATTGGTTTGCAACAAAAAAAATCATCTGTTTCGAATGTTTTTTAAAACAAGAATCACAGCCAATCCTTATTAATTTTGAAGATCGAAAGGTGATCACCTCGTTGCGGTTGCCATGCGACTTTTGGAGGGAAATTCGAAATTGAACGCGAGTTGTTTATTTTATTTTTGAGCTCTTCTTTTGATAGTTTCCAAAGTTTTTCATTTTTTCGTTGTTCATGACAAAGATGGGTAAGCCATGCTCGAAGGCCACAAAACCTCCTTCCAAGTCTTTTTAAATAAAGTCAACACGAACTCCATTGAAGAACATTTTTTTTTTATTGCTAAAACAGTACCAGACCAATACCTTTTATTTTTAAATATTTTTGTTCGACTATTCGACTCCTCGACTATGTGTATTCCGTACTTAGACAATTTTCAATTAACGATATTGGAGTTTGATTTAAAAAAAAACTGCAATTTTCAAATTTTACGATGAATTCTCCTTTTCCGCCAAAAACCGCATCGCGACCGTAAAAAAGCTTCCACCCATCGCCTTTCAGGAAAAACTAGTTGTACGAACATTTCGAAATGCTGTCTCCAGGCAGGTTTGGTGGATTGCGGCACCGGTTTGGTGGTCTGGATGGCGAAATGTTTGTCGGGAAACAAGGCCTTGGGCAGAAGTTCGAGTTTGACGAAGATGTCGACGCGGTCGCTCAGTGGATCCAGCCACTGGAGGGGCGAGAGCTTGAGCACTGAAAAAGGACCTCTTCCTGACTGCTGACTTAAATACTCAGGCAGATCTAAAAAGGTCGAACTTGGTGCTGAAGAAAAAAGGTAATGCTTGTAAAGTTTTCATATATTTTGCTCAGACTTTTACTATCAAGGGAAATTGAGTCATTTTAAAACACTCGGTGGAAGTCTCACTCTCTGATTGGTTTATCGCACCATTAGGGGCGGAGTTTGAGCGACGACTAGACATTCTAAGTCTGAACACAAACTATATGGATAAAGGTAATAGGTTCTTCCATTAACATCATATGCTTGACAAGTCTTTCATGAATGAAAATAATTAAATTACATAATTGTTGTTTTTCGATTCCTTTGAACCCTCACCGTTTATCAGGATCAAAACTTGGTCCGAAGTCGCTTTGACGAAGCTCAACTGGACATCAACGGTCGGAAAATCGTCTCCCGTCGTTTGTTCCACCTACAAATTGAGAAAACTCTTTGAATAAAAACTTATTTTTCTTAAAATTCGGAACCAGCTTGAGAGATTGCGACTATTGATGGCAACCTTCTTTATCAAATTTAAAAAAAAATAGAAATTTAAAACCGTCCGAAGTTCTCAAAAGTGTTCATAACCTTTTTCAAACACTTCTGAAATAATCAAAAAATCTCAAAATGGGAATAACAGTGCATAGTGAACCTATTACCCGAGGAAAACTTCAATAAACAAGAAAAAATTTCAGTCATTTATTTTAATAAAATATTAATTTTTTCTACTTTAAAGTTGAAAAAGGTCGATAAACGCCCTAAGTCATCCTATAATACCCCCAAAACCCTTTGAACTATTCTTCTAATAAGCATAGTCGACTTTTAGATGAAACGAAAAAACGGCAAAAAGAAGTAGGGGGCACCCGGAGTTGAACCGGGGACCTCTCGATCTGCAGTCGAATGCTCTGCCACTGAGCTATACCCCCATGCGATGGTCAAGGCAGGCGAACGGCGAGAAATAGCCGCCGCAGGAGGAACAGGGGCAGTGAGAGACCTTGTCGCAGAGAGACGCATAGTAGGCGAGGAGAAGTTCGAGGGTCGAGAAACTTTTCTGGTGGAGCGCCGAGAGGAGATTCACAGAGGAACTCTCGATTCCGAGTAAATCGTAGAGGAACTTGACGGTTACCTAAAAATATTTTTTTTGCTTTTTTGGATACTTTAATTACATGTCCAGTAAAATAAGATGTCTGAGATATTTATACGTTCTTTAGTCCTTTTCACTGCAATTCAAACGATAAATTTCAAAATTTATATTTTCTAACTTTGAAAAAAAGTGAAAAAAAAAAGCAAAAATACCCCTTTTCTCCTAAAAAAAAAAGCTTGATGTTCAACTGGGAGAAAATTTGAGCTTTAAGGGCCGGACGGGCCTTTTTTTCTTGAGGCCTCCCTAACATGGGAGGTCATTTTAGCGTAGGGTTCAGAATTTTTTATAAATTTGCTCAAATCTTTGATGGACTGGTAATCGATCCCACATAGTCGCTACTTTTCGTTTTGGAGATATGATTTTTCAAAGTTTTTATCCTTAACCATGTGACGCCTTTTGGAAGGAATGTGGCCGCGCCACCAACCCCTGCATGGCAGCTAGGAGCGCGGTGCAGTGACTAGCGTGTTAGCCTGCGGAGCCTATGATGAAGGTTCGAATCCTTTTTGCCGCTAACTTTCTTTTGCGATTGTTTTTTTTAAAAGAATTCTTGAAAATTAGTAGAAAGTATCTCAAAAAAAGCTCTGAACCTTCATCAAAGATCTTCGCATGTCGTGGTTATAATATATAATAGTGGCTTTCAATATGTCAATAGCCAATTTTTAGCCTTATTTCCGCAGAAATATCATTACAGAATATGAAAAACTTACCCGTTAGAGTTTAATTGGAAAAAAATTTCCAAACACAATTCTTATCCTACTCCGGAGGGTTTTTTTCAGATTTTCATGAATCCATAAAGATTTTCAGCAAAAAAATATTTGGGAATAGTTCTCTGATTATATGAAGTCTGCCACAACTTCAGAAAAATTTCCATAATTTTTTTGTCCATGAAAAAAAGCGATATTACAAAGAAAATGGTGATCGAATTTATTTGGAAAGGCTTTACTTATAAAATTGCAATATTCTCATCAGATTTCTTGAAAAAAATAATGGCAAAAAGAAGTTAGCGGCAAAGAATTCGAACCTTCATTATAGGTAGGGTCCGCAAGCCATTTCTTCAAAACGATCCAAAAAATATGTTTTTCACACTGTTCGATAGAGGAGACTATCCATTTTCATAATCCGTTTAGTTTTTGAAAAAAGGTCCACTAAGAAAAAAGTTATGGCCAGAAAACTAGCGCGCGCGGCGTACAACTGGAGGCAAAATCTCACGGTTTACCCGCTGCCGCACGCTTTCTTTTTAAATGTTTTTGCACGTTTCTGGACCGTTTTTAAATCGGTTTTCTGTTCTGAGAGGTTGTCCGAACTGAGCCTCATGTTTTGGTATGAATCTTTTGTACAATCCTCATAAGAATTTTTGATAAAATATCAAAAAACTACTTAGAAAAAAGGTCAGAAGGAATTTTCAACTTATTTTTCTTTTTGCTAATCAGAAAAATTATTATCATTCGATTTGGAAGAAAGAAAAAATGAAAAATGATGTTATTTCGAAATAAAACAGGAAAAAGTGCAATTTGACTCCGAAAAACGGCTCCTGCAACATTTAAAAGGGCGCATCGGTGTGTTTGACGCAAACACAGCTACGAACGCTTGCACGAATTCTTCCAAAATTTCAAAAAAAATTGCCATTTTTTCGAGGTTTTCAAAGCCGTTATTTTTTTCGCGTCGTTAGATTTTTTTCATAATTTTTTCATTGATAGAGTTTTGAACGCTTAATAACATAATCAAAAATATAGACGCGATCCTATTCTCTCATGCGTCAACGAGGCAGGCGAAAAAAAGGAGGTTTTGGAAAAATTCAAATATAATTTAATTCGCCGTCCCAATAATTAATTTCATTCTGAATTTTTTTATTTTTTTGAACACATTTTGAGTTTTTTTAAATCAAATAAAAAAGTATACCATGTCGCTGAAATTTTTTTCGCATTTCAGCTTCAAAGTTTGGTGTCACTTTACAAGCTTTTAATATTTTTTTCGCGTCGTTAGATTTTTTTAAAAATTTTTTTACTCGAAAAAAATAAAGAAAGTGTTAATATATAACATGCTCAAAAATTTAGAAGCGTTCCTAACTTGGTTTTTCTGAAACGCGACGATTTTTGTGAAACTTGTCAGTTTTTTTCGTGTTAAATCTTACTTTTTTTCGCTTATTTTTTTGAAAAAAATACATAGTTTTTAAAAAAATATTCAGTCTTGTAGAGCGTTGTCGATTACATAGATTAACAGAAACAGTTCCTTTTTAAAGTGGGCCTTTAGCTAGTATAAACGCCTCAAAACCGTTTCTGCAACAAAAAAATCGTCATTTTGGTGGCATGAAGGGGCGGGGCTTTGCGCCCCCTAATTATAGGCTCCGCAGGCTAACACGCTAGCCACTGCACCACGCTCCTAGCTGTTATGCAGTGGTTGGTGGCCTTCCAAACGGCGTCAAATGGTTAAGAATAAAAACTTTGAAAAGTCATATCTCCAAAACGAAAAGTTTGCGCAGATAGCGACTATGTGGGATCGATTACCAGTCCATCAAAGATTGTTTGAGCAAATTGAGAAAAAATTCTGAACCCTACGCTAAAATGACCTCCCATGTAAGGCCCCATTTGGACTTCCGCGCAAAGTTGCTCTATAGAGAAGGTTTTTTTCATTTCTCATTCATTTATCAAGGAAAAAAATACATAATTTTTGTGCATTTCCAAGTTTATAACTCCTTTTTAAAGGCCATAATAAAAAAATAATCAAACGTAAAGAAAAAAATATAATAAGAAAAGGTATTCAACAAATGCGCTCCATCGAAAAAGAAAACTTACATAAACATTAGAATAATAATCTGGGGGCTGAGCGTCTCTGAGAAGTCGCCGAATTTCCTCTTCGAAATAAGTCCCGAGTACTTTTGTCGCCTGTCGGAAACAACTGAAAATCTCAGGTGATCACTTCATGAAGAATGACGTCACTTTGGAAGGAATTCACAGCGGATGACGTCAACAAAAGCGTCGGCCGAGGCCAAAATCGCGTTCATCCGTTCGATCGGCGTGACTTCTCGCATGTAGGAACTCTAGAAAGAAAAATTCTTTGAAAAATGAAAAAGCGGCGCGGTAAATTGGGCGTGGCCTACATGCTCTCCTATGATTAAATCACATTTTTTCTCATTTCAAAGGCAATAGATTTGGAAGCAATGTAGAATGACCAATCAATGGAAAGTACAAAACTTTACTTGTGACGTCACATTGTTACCTTTTAAGTTTAATAAAAAGCTTCAAAATCCCTTCAAAAGAACACATCGAAATCACCGAAATCCGTTCATAGGAACGCCTGAGTGGTCAAAAAAGCGGTCTCTGTAGGGATAAAATTCAAGTGGCTTCCAAAGGAGGCGTAAAGTTTTTCGTTATGACTTCCCATGAAGGGGCCACTTTTGCAAGGTTTAGTGGCCCTTAAAAGGGATAGATAAAGTAGTCCGTAGAGGGGATTCAAGGGACTTCAAGGGTCTCCAACCTTGTCCCTATAGGGACCACTCTGCGGTTCCTGATTTTTTACTATTATAAAAATGTTTTCTCTAACATTTTGAATGCCACCAAAAATTCAAAAAATGTGGAAGTTTTGAAAATGCAAGTCAGGCACGATAATGAGGTCGGTGCTCAAAACCCACCAACGTTCTAGAGTACTCATGACTGTCCAAGGTCAGGCTCTTGCAAATTTTATGAATTTCCTCGTGTCGGGCCTTGAAAAGCCGCTGTATCAGGTGCGACATGAGCTCCTCGCACCTCTGCAAAAAAGTGACCACTTTTATGACCACTCAAGTGACCCCTAACTGTTCGGGAAGCGACTAAAACGTGCCGAGCCGTGTTCTCCAAGTGCTCGGCTTCTTCTGCGGTGACGATCTTAACTTATTGATTCATATAGGGAATTTGTATATAAATTTTTCTTGAGTTCTACCGTTTTTTTAATCGATCGAATTGAGCAAATCTGCTCCATCGCTCTTCGACGAAACAGACGGCTTGTTCTATTCCGTTGGTTGCGCGTATTAAACGAGATTCCTTATATGAAAAAAATGTTAATATACCCGAAAAAAACCTCATCACTGACACTGACCGCCTCGCTGAACAACTTCTTCGCGTAGGCGAAGTTGTTCTCGCACATTATCTTAAACATTATCCCAATAGTAGCACGAAAAAAGCTTCATTTTTCGTTCAATTCTGCTATCTAATCAAGCAATGAAAAAAAATAGATCACTAAAAAAATTAATATATTGAACAATTTGAGCCTCAATAAGAACCTTGTAAAAGTTCGAAAAACTCAAATAAATGAGAAATTTTATTCTTAAAGCCCAGTTGAAACAACTGAAAAGCCCCCCAAGAATGACGTCATTTTTTAAAGCTGCACAATCTGTGACGTCAAGATTTATAGAATTCAATAACATGAGTTCGAAAAACATGACTATTTGAAGCAATTTCTCTCTCTCTCTCTCTCTCTGAGCGTCTGACGTCTTCAGAAATAAATGAATGAAATCATTATTTGAAACATCGTTCGAAATGATGTCATTATTTGAAACTAAATCCTTTAGGACACTCTAAACGATGAAAAACGCCACCTTATTCTATGGAAGTTGAGAAAAAAAAATCTTCAGGAAACTAATTCCAATAAACTTTAGAAAGAAATATATCATGAAAAGTTCTTGCTCTTGTTCCTAGGATTTTTTTGAGAAGCTGAAATCCACTTTGATACTAAATGACGTCATAATTGACGCATCGACTGTTTTGCCTTCTATGACGTCATCATTACGAGGAAACTAACTACTTTGCATCAACAGAAATTTTTTGTAGTCATTTGCAATCAAAAGCCGTCATAAATTCTACGAATGACGTCATAAAAAGCTTACATGAACCAAGGCGACGGCGCCCATGAGCAAGTTCTGAGCGTTGGCGAAGCTGAGCCGATTGTAGTCGTCGGAGAGGCCTGAAAACTCAATCCCTTCCAAAATTCTTTGAACTTTCGCTTCTCACCCTTCTGAATGCACAAAAACGAGTAGAGGCCAGCCGGGAGAGGCCGTCGTTGATCATATTTGGTCGCCTCCCCGTCATCGTCCAAGGAAATGGTCCTCTCGACCATCTTCGACGTGATCTGCCGCCAGGAGTACGTCCAGAAGACGGTGACTTCGAGGAACCAGTTCTCGAAGGAATGGAGGAGCAATTTGTCGTCGTTGACGTCTTCCGAGACGCCGGATGCGACGGCAAAGGTGCTGAAGGAGCGGAGAACGTCGAACAGTTTCATGGTCCTTTTTGCGAAGGATTCGAGGATTTGTTCGTCACGAGAGTCTAAAGTCGTCAGTTCCGCTTTGAGGTAGGCCTGGGTGACGTCGGCGAGCTGGAAAGTGCGGACGATTCAGATGAAAGGACTTTTAGTATTGGATTCATACATTGAAAAATGCATTATCGAGGCCATCAACCCCGCCCAATTTTGAGCTTTTCGGTCGGATATATCAACCGCTTCGCAGCCGCTACGCGCTGAGTCATTCAAATAAAGAGAATAGATTTTGGCATTCAAGACGAGACTCGCCTCTCTTCTTCACACTACTAGGTAATTCGAATTCTCTGATTTTCGTTCCAGTTTTTCGAGATATGGCATCTCATGTACAGTAGTAAAAATGGGTGAGTGTTTTCGTTTTGGTTTTTGGTTCAAAACATTGTTTAAAACTGATGTTTTGACCTGAAATTCCAATTGGACATCATTTATACCGAATTACTGGCTTTGTTGGGCTTGTATTTGTTAAAATTATTTTTTTGCGATTTTGATCAGTCTTCAAAAAAATTTTCTTTTTAATTCTTTTCTTCTTGGGATTGGTCCAATCATTATTTCAAATGACCAATGGCATCATTTGACTTTAATAAGTAAAGTTTCAGGTGAAACGGATTGTTTTTTCACAAAGTTACGGACGAAAAACCAAAAAACTACTGATCCAATTTTGCTATTGGACATGCTGGGACTCTTGACTCGGAAAATTTTTAGCGGCCACTTTAGGGATCCGAATTTTTAGTGGCCTCTATAGTAGTCGACTTAGTGGACATCTCAGTGTCCACCCCATCCTTCCGTCTTGGAAAACCTCTTGAGTGGCCACTAAAGTTTTCCCAGTAAAATAAGAATACGTTTTCGCCAAAAAGAAATATCAGTCGAAAAAAAAAACATGGTCTTCTTGAAAGAATGATCATCATGAGAAAACACTCATGCAACTGCCATATGAACCTTCAACGAAAAAATATTCTAAACTCTGTTGATCTTCTCCAACTGACCGGCTTGTCAAACTCCTCGAAAACGATTTTGAGATAATTTGCGTTGAATTGTCGATAAAACAGTTGAAAAGGATGGAATTCGGTGCTCAGTTGCTGGTGCATCGTATAGAGGTGTATTGGGAACTCCTAAAAAAAAGTTTTCAACTCTAAAATTTGAAACTGTCTGACATATCCGCTCTTTTTTTCCCTCGCCGGTGAGGTCGAAAAAAACATGGAAACGAGAGAAAAAATCAAACAAGAGAGAGAGAGAGCAGAGAAATCAGACTGTTCAAAATGACGATATAGTCTGTTTAGATATTTAATCTTAAGTACAATCAAGTCATTAGTAAACACTCTGTGAACGGCTCGCTCTCTGATTGGTTTGTCGCGCAATTAGAGGCGGAGTTTGAGCGACGACTTGCCATTCAAAGTCTGAACAGACCATCAAAGTGACGTCATTCCAAAAACAGGAAAAACATTTTTTCGAATTCACAACTGTGGGTTTTTGTGTTTAAAGTTGATTTTTTCAGTCTTTACATGTACTTTTGTAACTTTTTTCAGAAAACACACATTGTCATCAACCCTCAGATGCTCTCGAGTCCATCCGATCGTGCTTTTTCGGAGCATTTCCTCCAGTTTTCGGCTAATTCCGAGCGACGGGTCCATTTCTGGGAAAGAATCCCACATAGGGAGCACGCAAACTTCGACGATTCCTCTGGAAAAACCGATTTTTGGAAGAATCACGTTTTTTTAAATTGGAAAATAGTCGTTTTTCATCAGATAAGGGATCGTGTAAATAACTCGCAGCTCTCTGAGAGCCAACAGCCGCATTTGGAATGGCTCGCCGCAATTCGGCAGCAACAAAACGGCTCTTCAAGAATTTTCTTTCAAAAAACAAGCATCGCAGTCCGATTTTTCTATTTTCATGTTTTTTCTCATTCAAAGCTACAACCTTTTGCTTTCGATTTTTTGCTTGAAAATTCTTTCGAAAGATTCAGAAAAGCATTCTCGAAAAAAAATACTGACCTAAATCTTCAAAAAAACCCCCTGAAAATGTTTTCCGCTTTATCAATTTGCCTTTGTTTGCCAATGGCTCGCATAATCCGCATTTTCCTTCCTTCTTTTTATTCACCTCAAAGCCGAGTTCAGCCTCTTCAGAAGATCGTGACCATGGGGCGGAAAAAGCGATTCCCCGGCAAATTCGGCCAGAATTTCGTCGATCGCGTCGTTCAAACACGCCGACAAACATGACAAACTTGGTTCCTTAATTTTCATGCCTCTGAAAGGTTCTGAAACCATGTATGAATGCTTCTCATCAGAGTCCATGAAATTCCGAGAAGCCATTTTTGAAGAGACTCTCGAGATTGCCGACGGTTGGAGGGCCTGAAAAGTTGGCTTTTTTTGTGAGAACTTTGAGAAAAATCTCAACAGGGTGATAGACTTTTAGAAATTTATGTCAAGTTAAAAAAAGTACTTGTTTTTTTGTTTTTTTCAAAAATCGTCTTAAAAAAATCCTTATATCTTGAAGTTTACATGAAAAATCCTTATATCTTTGCAAATCAACCTGAAAAATCATGATATATAAATTCTATTCATTTTTTTGTAGGGTTATTTAGAAAAAATATGACTTATTATTAATATTTTTTTAAGCTACTTGAAGTTCCTATAACTTTTTAATTTGGGAATTTTAAAGTTTTGTCACCTTTTTCTCACTGTCCCAAACGAGAAACGTTGACATTTCCCTGAAAAAAATTTTTTTTAATATCTTGATTTTCCTCTTTTTTTTTCGAATTCCTCTCAAGATGGCTTTATTTTAATAGTTTGAAAGTGCTAGAAAAACGGGAAAATAAACTTAAGTCTTGAGAGCAAAAGAAAAAAAAACCTACGCGACATCCGAGACAATGAAAGGGATTCCGAAAAAGCTGGAAATAGCTATTAAAAGTTTCTCAGATATCTCGTCAAGCTCTCCATCGTATTGAGAGCTCTAAAAGTGTTCGCACTTTAAAAATGTCGTCTATTTTTTTTTTAATTACCTGGCTCTGTTCAGCTGTCCATTCATGAAGAAGGCGAGTGAATTCGTGAAAATCATCGAAATCGATTTTTTCAACCTCGTCTCTTTTGTCTTCTCTCTAAATCTTCGAAAATGTGTGAAATGATTTTTTTTTTTATCGCGATTTATCCATTTTCGATCTTACATTCAGCCTTTTTTAGAGCTTCAGAAATTCCCAGTTTATGTGAAAATTGTCAATTAATCAAACTTTTTATTTCTCATCAATCAAGATCATTTTTTCTTGCGCGATATCGCCTCTTTTAGAAACTAGTCCCACGTACCACCATTTTCATCTCGACGAAGAGCTTATTTTCTTTAAGCGATATCGCCTTTTTTTCAATATTTTATCTTTTCTCTAACTCTCCCCACGCACCACCACTTTCATCTCGACGGAGTGCGTCTTTCCTTTTAGCGATATCGCTTTTTTCAGCAGCGAACCAAGCGGTATCGCGTCGAGCGGGATGCCCTCGTTTTGCCGCTTGTCCAGAGACATTACCCTGAAAATTCAATTTCAAGAATGAACTTAAAAATGTTTCAAAACCGTTTCAAAAAAGACGTGGACCGGACCATGGCCCTCCGTTTTTCGCCGTTGAACCTGGTCAGGGAGAACTTCACTTTGAAGGCCGCCGTGCTTCCGAGTTCACTGAAAAACAAAAGTTTTGTCATTCGCCCGGAATATCATTCACTCTTCAGTCAATGCGCCTGTTTTACTGGTTGTAGTTTTTCACGCTAATTTTCTTCTTACTCAGCAAAAACTTAATTTTCTCTTATGAAGCAAACTTAGAAACGCCAGAGTGATCTTTAGGGGTAAGAGAAAAAACAAGCATTGTAGAGGAGTAAAAGAGCCTTCTATAGGGGTAAATTTTAAGAGATCCCTTTAGGAGTTTTAGTGGTATATAAATTCTGTTAGTGAATAAAATGACTTTTTCTCTAAAAATTAATGAAAAACCGAACATTTGATAGTTCTCGCCAGAGTTGAGCGTATGTTGGCGGCATGACGAATCGCTGTAAAATTTCAAAGATAAACCAAAAAAAAATGAGACTTTATGCGAAATTTGGACATAAGTGGACAATAAATGTCTTCAAAAGAAGTTATAGTCAATTTTTCCCGACTTGAAAGACGAAGGAGGCGGGGCAAGGGCCGGGACGCGTAGCGTGTGCGTTCGCGGTTCTTGGCACGTGTTTAATTTAATTGTCGTCGGCTATTTAAAAAGCTCGGCAACCGCTCTTTTTCAATTTTTTTCTACTATTTTTTGATGCACACATAAACATAATCAATAAATAATTGAAAAAAAGGAATGAAAAAGCGAAAAAAACGGGTTTTTTTCTAAGAGTAGATGGCGGTTGAATTGAACACGTGCCAAGAACCGCGAACGCACACGCTACGCGTCCCGCCTCTTGCCCCGCCTCCCTCGCCTTTCAAGTCGCGAAACATTGACTATACAAGAACTATGAAATTCCGTTTTCATACAAAACAAACTAGAAATCAATACTTTTTGACTTGAAACTAACTCAAAAATGTGTAGAAGCAAGTTCTCATTGGTCGTATTCAATGTTGAACAAATGTGAAGGTAGAATTTTTGCTAAAAATATGGAAATTAGCTTTTTCAACTTCGAGATGGAACTGACAAAAGTCTCGGCTTTGTCCAATACGGTGGATAGTCTCGGAGAAGTCAGGTCAAGGACCTGAAAAGTTTTGATCTTTCAAAAAAATTCTTTTTGAAAAAAATTCAGCTCGAAAAAAAGAGCTTATACGTGAAAAAAATTGATTTTCGATCTTTTCTGAGAAAAAAATTAATTTTAATATTAATTTTGTTGAATAATGATAAAATACAAGCTTCTGGAAGCATTTCAAAGACGTTGAAGAATCAATTCACAGAAAAAGAATCCCAAAAGTGATCTAATTTATACAAAACTAGAACAAAAAACGTTCGAATGCCGCATTTCTTTTTAGAAAACAATAACAGGACAAAAAATGGAAAAAAAAAATAACAAAAGAAAAACCTCGCCGAGTCTCTGGAGCAGGCCATTTCTCCTGGTGACGTCATCGCTGTGCTCCAGGAGCACGGCGGCCGCGAGGCTCACCACCTTGGCCTCCCGCATTCGAGCAATCAATCAAGGTCTAATGATAATTTTTTATCGAATCAATCGATCAAATGGGGATTTTCGTGTTGTGCACCGCACACTTTTCGGGTTGGAAATGGAATTGATAAGGCGATGACGTCACTTGGCGGGCTATAAAAGGCAAAAATAAATTCCGGAACCAATTCAGAAAAGGTTATGGCGATAAATCGGCTACTTTCAAAACTTAAGAAGTTTGATGACTTCCAAAAAAGACATTTTATAACAAAGGCTGCGGTTTAAGATCTAGTGATTTTCGAACAAATGTAAAAGTTCCTGACTTCTAGCCTAACCGATGAGAGCTTTCGAAAAAGACAACTTCTTCTTTTTCTTGGAAACAAATAAAAATCTGAACCTGTCAGGAGATTTTGAGAAGGAGATATTACAAAAGTTTTTTTTTTAAAAAACTTTTTAAAAATTTCGAGAAAATTGAATTCAGAGAAAAAAAAAAAAAAAATTGGAACTGAACTTTCTCTCTAACTATCGACCATTTGGAACCATTTCCAAAAGATTGTGATTATCTTTTATTTGTGAAAAAAATTGATTGAAATTAATCGCAATAAAATCTTATATCACTGCAATCCAAGTTACAGGAGTAATTACTGATCCTGGATTGAAAAACAGAACGGACGAGAGAACTCTTATAATAAAAAGAATAAAAATTTGATTTTTTTATTTTTGCGCTATTTATCCATCGAGCAAACTTTCACCTTTGCAGAACTTTTCTCCTTCTCTCGAATTCCTCTTTCCAGTTTTTCGGATCGAATGTACGATTTTAAACTAGAGAATAAGCAAAAAACTATTCAGTTTTTCGAAAATCAAAAGCAACATTCGGAAAGAACACGTTGTGTCGTTCATTATTAATGCAAGCAATTTTTGCCCATTTTTTTCTTTTCTTTTCCAACCTAAAGTGCGAAAAAAACCTGAAATTTCATGCTTAGCAAGAAGAAGATGAAAAAAAGAAACAAAAAAATGAAAAAAATCTGTCGTGTCAAAATTATATACGTGAAAGAAAGCCACATAAAATTGAAAAAAATGGCCTAACGAGGAAGACGAAAATAATTCAAAAAAACAAAAATGTCTAGTCCTTTCGTTTCAATTTTTATATCGAAAAAAACAAAATGACTATGTAGGAAGGAAAAAAATGACGAATTTCGAAATAAAAAAAGGAAAGAAACACGAGAAATACAATTTGAAAAAGATTCGTAATAAAAAAACGGATATAAATTAGGGATTTTTTTAGAAAACGCCTACGTCAAGAAAAAAAGCCAAGAGAAAGGGAGACGAAACTGAATTTTTGCAAGCTTCCGTACTTTCATAAAATGAAGCATCACTGAAAGTAAATCTTTAAATTTTTTTTTTTGGTTGTTTCAGAGTTACAATTGTTATTTTTCACTCAAATTTAAGGTGTTTTATCTTCTCACAAAAAAACATTTGAGCGTATTAAAACTTTTATTTTTTTTTTCAAAAAGCGATAGGTCAAAAAAGACCCAGATGTCTGAATAAAAAAATTCACTAAATCAATGGAAAATTTATACTCGACTTTGTTTCAAAATTCCTGTTGCGAGTGTTCTTTTATTAGTAATGAACATATTTCACTCAGCTTTTTCGGAAGGATTCTTTTTTTTTCAAGGATCAGAATCCGAAACTTTCTTGGAAATTGACTCAAAATCATGCAAAACAATTTCCGAAAATCGAAAAAAGGGAATTTCATGATAGCTACTCGAAAAACCAAAATTATAATCATGAACTGTTTTTTTCCACAAAATTATTTTTTTATCATTACCCTGGAGCATACTTGAAGAGGGGCGGGGGGTCATTTCATGCTTTAAAAATGCCCGCTTTTTCAAAAACCTCGATTTTTCTTTTAATAGTGCTTTTTCGGTTCACTTTTTAGTGAGACATGCATAATTTATTTAGCAATAGAGAAAATTCAAATCAAATCAGGCGCCTCATGGAATATCATCAAGTTGCAAACGGGGTCCTTAGAAAAGTGTACAGATTTTTGGCCTTGATGGGTCCGAGACCTGGGCTCAGAGCCAGTTGTTCTTCGGTCGCCTTGCAAATGTTGGCCATCGTTTTGAAGTTGAACAAGAGTCTGGAACAGCAGTCGCATTTTTTCTATCTCCATCTCGATGCGGTAAGTTTTTTGGGGCATTCTATACTAATAACTCTACTAATGAGGTCACTAAAAATGCTTCGAAAATTCCGATTTGCGTCCGTTTTGCGTTGCCATTGTCCGAGTTTCTATGAACAAATGAAAAGCGCGTTTCTTATGAGACAACTTAATGAATGAATGAATCAACCTAATGAAATAAGTCAGAATATAATCTTGTTTCAGTTTTTTCCGAATCTTTGTTTGTATACTGACTCCTTTCCTAACAAGGAAATAAGTTCGGTACGAAATCCCAACCAAGACCAACTTTTGAGCATCGGTTTTATTGACGCCTCTGGCCGCAGTGAGAATCCCCACAGCCGCTTCCTGGAGCTTATTTCTCTCATCGCCGGTGTCTTCTCCAGGTTTCCTGAGAAAAACTGTCTTGAAGTCAACTTTCAGTTATGTTTTCTGGATCTTCTGCTATTTACCTTCAATTTTATCATATAATCAGATACTTCCGAAAACTGGCGGTTTTTTTCTCATTTTTCCCATTTAATTCAGTGTCTGATTGGAAAGAAACTATAAAGGAAGTTTGAAAACGTTCAAATCAATTTTGATTCCAATCAATGTCAGAATGAGGTTTGAATCTTGTGATTTGCCTTGAAATTTCAGTAATAACTAGACTAATTTAAAAGTTTTGTAAATACTGATCTGAAATTCGAGAAATTGGTCAGAAACTTCCCACTTGAAATTTAATACCAATCAGTACCGATCCTTTGAAGATTAACTCTTTTTGAAACACACAAAATTTTGTTTTTGAAAGAAAATACTGTTTCTATAAAGTTTCTAAAGAGTTGAATGAAACTTGTTTCATTTCGACTCACTTGAAAACGAAGTCTTTATTTTCGCTGAACTTAAAGTTTTCCAGGTATTCTGCGGCTTCCTCGACCTAAATATCGATTATTCGATCAAAACGGATGATTTGATCTCCAAACCGAATAACAAACGACCAAAGTCCAATCCTGCCGATAACAGATCATGTTGAGCTCGCGAAGCACGTGCCGCGGCTCTTCGACGTTGCAAAATGCCAATAGGACCTCCAATTCAGACTTTTCAGATTATTTTCAACCTATTGATTCGAAAAAATTTCAATGAGGTATTTCAGAAATTTTTTCAAAAAAGGATCTCCTATTAGTTCCAACGTATCTTTTTTTTCTAATTGTTTCATCTTGTCTACATACTTCATTCAAAAGATGCTAAAAATTTAAAGCTCGTTCCCCACCCTTTCCATCAACTATCAGTGCAGTCCGTTTCCAAATTTTGAACTCTTAAGCTCAATCACAAGTTCAAAAAATCTTATTTGTAAGTGTTCGATTTGGATTCAAAAAATTCGAATTTGCAAGTTGGAAAAAGTCATGGCTATTTTTCGTCATACTTTCCTCGGAGGAAAAAAAGCCTTTTTTCAATTCCTCCATAAAAGCCAATTCCTGCATAAAACTCACCTTAATTCGATAGTTATTCTCGGCCCTCGCCGTCAGACGCGTATAAATATAGTCCGGGTGCGTTTTGTGGTACTGAAAACAACAGATTTGGTTCAAAATTTTCGAAAAAAGTTTATTCGAAACTAATGATGACTTCTATCAGATTAATGAAGAAATTCTTAACCAATGAACTAATATGAACCTTGAAACTCAAGTAAACGACGGCGCAGGTTGGCCCGCACTCAAAATCCGGCCCGATTTCGCCCCACTCGTACCGAACATTTCGGACGTATTTCAGAACTGGGTTTCCGTCTTGACGACGTCGGTTCACTACCAACCCAGAACCACCGCCAGGAGCTGAAAAAGTCTTGAATAGGATTCTAAAATTGTTTGAAGATTACACATCTAACCAGGAGCTCCTAACACAGAAAAAACAAAAACTTCCTAAGTTGTTTTCTCTTTTAAAAACGGCTAAAAGCGTTTCTTTCAGAAAGTGGCAATCTTTTCTAATTCTTTCAGATGTATATACGCTCAAGCCGTTTAGAGTCGGTCGCATAATGAAACAGGTTACGCTTGAAGTCATGCTGCTGTTAATTATCATTTAATTTTTTTTCTGGAAGTTCCCCGACTCGAACTTTATCTTGACCAGAAATTTACCTCGTCCTCCTGACTTGTTCTCGAACATATCTTCGTGCGGAGGTCCTTTCACCCAAAAATCCAATCACACCCTGTGCCGTTCACCTCATTCATGTCGCACACGACTTATTTGATTTCGACCCCCCTTTTTGTCCTCGTCGCATCAAAAATCTGCGTCTCAAATAGCCCTCCGCCGTGTCATCTTCAATCCGACTTGCCCGAGCAAAACGCAATCAGTGTAAACGAATCACAGAAGAAAGAGAGAGCAGAATGTAGAAGAACGAAAAAAAAAACAAGAAGAGAAGATGATGAAATGAGATTCCAGTAGTTATATTTATTTATTTCTTAAAAAGTCGAAAACAGTCTGCATTCTCACAAATCAGGGTTTCATGAATGTCTAGTCTAAAAACCTGAACGTTTTCTTCACGGCCTAATTTAACAATCCGGCTTATCTTTATCAAAACTTCCAGAAACGCAATGACTTAAAAAAGACCACGGCCTAAAAATCTAAGTCTTAAGTTATAAAATTTCCGTTTTCTGCACAGAAAAGAGACTTTTCTACGGGGCCTCAATTTCTGAAATTTTTTATTAAAAAATAAATCTTCAAGGCCCTTTAGCTAACTCAAAAGATCAGAAAAACACATTTTTCTCGGCTGCTTCAAACTTTTTTCCGGAAGAATTCGCCCTTTTTCCGCCGGCGACCATTCATCTTTTCTCATGGCGCCAACATCAAAAGCTTAAAACGTCGGGAATTCTTCAAAAAAGAGCTCCGATTACCAAATTTGGACAAGTCGCCCTTCCTGGAGGCATGACAACTTTCTCTTGAACAGCCAGAAATAAAAAAACTCAAAGATTCGCAAAGAATCGGATTCTGATGTGTGCTGCGAGTTGATCTTTCTCACACAGGATAGACTTTCGTTCGAAAAAAGTCAATGGAGCCAAAAAAAAGAGACTACAGAGTCAAAAGGTTCCATACAACTTTTTGTTCCATATGGGATTTTCAGGGCCTAACTCATTGAATTCATGTTTCCAACTAGGCTAACTGAATTTGATCCAAATGTCGTTTTGAACAGCTTCGACCTCAAAACACTTTTACATTTCAAAAAACCAAAACTTGTACCAACGAAGATGCAATGAAACATAATTATCATCAACAATTCTATTAGGATATTTTCAGATCCAAAACTACATCTGCTGTTGACCAACGCTACCATCGACCGCGCTGCGAGAAAGCAACCTTCTTTAAATTTAATATCTCCCAAGCCGAGCCTTATGTCCTGTTTCCTGTCCTGACTTGTGTCCTGTTATTTTTGGTCCTAGAAGTACTAGTAAAGCAAAAACCTCTCTAGTTTTAGTGTCCGAAAATACCGGCCAAAACGAAAACCTAATGACCAAGATTAACCAGACTTAGATTTTAATCAAGTTGAAATTTCTTCGAACTTTTCAAAAATAGTTTTCATCAAAGTGATGCGAATGAATCTGTCCAATAGTGAAAACCATTTTTTTCTTCCGAATTTTATTTAAAAAAATGCTCAAATCTAATCTAAAGAGGTTCTTATTGTACCTTAGCAGTCCTTGAAAACTTTTGAAGTTTTTCAGAAGTTCTTTTTTTCTAAATAGTCCTTCCTACTTTTGTTCTTAATGTATTTTATTTCTCTCCTATTTTTTCTCATAGCATGATAAACCAAAAACGTCCACCTAATCCCTTCCAACCAAAAACCTCTTAAAAGCTCAAATTCGAATCGTTATATGTTTCGAGCCACGTAGGCGTCGTCCAGGCCTCGGCTGATTCCCTCGTGACCGATTCCGACGACAACTTCTTCTTCTTCTCCCCTTTCTCCTTCTTCGGCGCTTTCCTCCCTTTCGAGCTCTCCGCAGAGACCGCGTTTCCCATCTTCTTCACTACTTTTCGGCTCCCAGTGATGGATCCCACGAATCATCTACACATTTTTTTTCCGACGAGTTGCATTTTGAAGTGGTTTTCCAAAACGTTTGTAGAAGGGTTAAAAAAAAAGCTACAGTGCAGCTTCAAAATAGCTTAGTGGATTTTTGAAGATCCTCGAAACTAATATGAAGTTTTTTTTACGTTGGATGCTATACAAACCAAAACGAAACTGGTTTGAAAAGACTGGAAAATTTTTTTTTCACCGAAAATTAAAACTTTTATTCTCGGATAGGCTTGTAGTGAAAAGCTACCATTGCTAAAGAAGTATCAACTTTCAAATTGTTTCAAATGTCGTACATGAAATTAAAATTTTTCTGTACTCTGGAGATCTTTCTTCAAAACAGCTCCAACTAACATTCAACAGCAAAAATTATGGAAATTCTGAAAAACCCTGCATTATTGCAAAGAAAAGCTTCTGCTACCAGGATAAACCATACCTTGAAAATTTTCCAAAATTTAGCTTCCAGCCAGTTTTTCTAAAGTATTTCGACAATCATCTCTCCGAAAAATTCAGAAAGTTTTAGAGTTTCACTCTCACTGCAATGAAAAGCTTCCATTGGCAGAAAAAAGCCGAGTCATTCCTATTTTTGGACATCAAAGGGCGCCGAAAAGTGTTTAGTGAGCTTTTCTCCCCCTTTTTCCAGAGAAAAGAGTCCATTTGTGGTGGTGTCCAGAAAGAGGAATACTAGAGAGGAAAAAACCTATAAAACACATTTTATCAGGGAGAAACTCTCTTTTCCACGGCTCTCATGACACTTTTATTGCTCGTAATCTTCCAAACGCCTCGGGCCGCGTGTGGATCCAATCTTTTATTTATAAGCATTTTGGAGCGATAAAACTAAGTTTTTTACGAGAGGAAAGAAAATATTGATGGGAAAAAACTTGGATGTTTTATTTCAATTTTTTTTCGAAGGAACGCTTCCTTTTTTTGAAAACTGGACATCACGTGAGGCCTTCCAGGCGGAAAAAAAGAAATAAAATTCTTCCTCGAAAAATCAATAATATATCTTTTTGTTTTTTTACAAAGACTCGACCCAAACTCTCAAAATGACACAAAAAAATCATAATAAAATAAAGGAAAATACCTGAAGAAGTCGCTGTTGAAGAAGATGCCATAATAGTTACCAGACCAGTCTAGACCTAAAACAGGAAAAATTACGAAATTTGATAAATTTTGGTTCTTCAAATTGGAATTTCAAACTAATAAAAAAAATTTTCCCGAAGTCTCGTCAATTTTGAGAAAGTAATAACCGAAAACAGCTCTGAAACGAAAAAAAGGGAGAAAAATAAATGTTTAAATATCTGCACACTAAAAGCGTTAGGGCCACTTTTACGCCAACCAAAATTTTGCGAAACTTTGAATCCGAGTTTTATGCAAGTTTGCTCACAGAAGTCATTCAAACGTTCCTTTATTCATTTTTGACGTGATTTACCGTCTAAACCATAAAAAAAAAATCCGAAAACATCCCACGCCACCCACTCAAAAAGATCTGCAAAAGCCTCCACTTATTTTTCACATTCACAGCTGCAAAGATTGACGATACCAACTCGTCAGAGAAGAAACGGAAAGGCGAAAAAAAAACTTCAAACGCCAGCTGTCCAACGAACCCCGCCGTCAAAAATAATATAGTACACTACGCTTTTGACCAATATATATCCATCTTTTTTCTCTCCTTTTGCAAGAACAACTGACATGGTCGTTACTTTTGAAAATCTCCCATTGATTGAACTCTTCATGTTCTGTTTGAAAACCTTGATTAGGCCACTTCAATGTAAAGAAAAACTGGATTCTCCCGTTTTTCTTTTTGCAACGAGGACATAGGTTTCTGAACTAAAAAATGATTGAAAAAGTAGGTTTCAAAACTTTATAATATTCTTAAAAACTAAAATTTTCAAGTTTGACAATTGGCCTATTCCACTTTGCCAATAAGAATAACCTCCTCATTTTTTTTTTCCAAGTTTGCTCGTACAATAAGGCGTACCCGATATGTGCGAATTCAAGTTTCTTCTCTGTTTTTTTTTTTGCGTTAATATGAGTATATGGAAATGTTTGGAAATGGGTTGAAAAATTCACAAACTTCAATTTTTTCGAAGCATCTCTTCACGTAAAATCAGCTGTTTTCGGTGCAATCCGTCGACCGGAGCATGAAAAATATTTTTTTTTTCGATATACACACCCTCAACAGGCCTTGAACAGTACGAAACCCAAAAACCCGATTTTCTGCCTCGCAAATTACTTTTTCGTTCGTTAAACCATCTATTTCTCGTTGGTCCATCTTTTGTTTTTCCAAAACTCCTCACAAGTCCCACCAACTGTTCTATTCCTATCCCCATAAATAGAAGTATTACATTTCTGATATGCATTGCATTCGGCGGGGATGACACGAGAAAAAGCGTATCCTTTTACATTTTTCGTGTGCTGCACTACTCGTCGAGGTGCGCATCCTTCTATCCTTTTACCAGTTTTTCCTTTCGTAGATGGCCAAAAAAGTAAACAGCTATACGCTCTTTCTAGAAAATACTTTGAGCTGGAAAAGTGAGAAAGTGAGCCTGAGCCACTCGAAAATCGCCTTTTTTGATGATGCTGTTTGTTTAAAACTAGAAAATAGTCTTCAGAAAGATTTGAAAACTTAATTTAATTTTTAAGTCTTTTAAAAGCTTTTAAGTCCCATGTCGCATTTGGAATGGCTATAAGAATTGCGGTATCCTTGTGGTTACAGGCTCTATTACTTTCCGATGTCTAAACGCGCAAGTCGTTTCAAGTCGGATGAGTTTCGAGCAACTGCTGCGTTTTTAGTCGTTCCAAGTGAGACCAATGCTCAGAAAACTTTTACCGGTTTCTTTTTCAAAGCTGCGTCCTAACGAAAGCGCTTTCGAAAAATTCCACTAAAAATTTTTCAACTTCAAAACTCGTTATTCCTTTCAAAAAAATCAAAAAGGAATCAATTATATCATTCTCGACCCGAGCAAATAAGGTGAAAACGGACCTGATAACCATGCATTTTTATCAGCGCCACGTAACTGCCATCTCCTTACGAAAAAAAAAAAAACACACTCATAATATGAAGATTTGATGGAGATCAACCAACTCTTTGAACCGGAGAATTAATGTTGCTAAATTTTACTCCACTTAAAAAGAAATACCCCGATGAAACCGTTCCTCGAACTTCGGTAACGCAAACCGGACACGCTTATTACGTTTCTGAGCGTTTCTAGCAACTCCTCTAGCGACGTATGCACTCTTTAGTGATATTTTTTTTGACAAGTATTTAGTGTAATGTATGTGAAAAATAAATATAGGTGAATTATCAAATTATAAATAAATAGAAATAGTTGAATGGGTAGGTTGGATTCACAATATATCGCGCTGTCGTTTCGAGTCTTCAAAGTGGACGGCGTAGGAGGGGACTCTCCTCAGCACTTTCCTCTTTGCAATAGTTCAAAAAATGATGAAAAGGATAATTTTGCGCGTAAATCATTTAGAAGCAATATGTTGCAGGGATGAGAAAGGAATGAGAAAAAAATCAAAATTAAATAATATTTGATTTTGGATTGAGTTGGAAAAGGAAAGTGTGCAGAGATGCAGAGTTGGATCAAATTGGAGCAAATGCAACGGTAGATAGAAGTTTGGTAGTTAAAGGACATATTAAATATCGTTGCAGACTTTTTCATTAATAATTTTGAGTTTTTTTTTCCAGCAAATAGAATTTATTTTTATGCATCATTTTAGTTTTACATATTTTAAGAAAAGTTTTAATTTTATAATTTTCGTTTTTAAATGTGGAAATGCAGTCTACAGTTCAGTCAATGAAGTCGATAAGTCTTGTACAACATTTCGAGAAGCTGATGATTTCAGTAGCTAAAGTATTTTAATACTATATAATAGTATTGGATTTAAAAATCCAATATTACTAGCTACATAGCTTTTTTTGAACTAGGGTATCTGATGATAGGAAAATTGTAATCATCAGTTTTATTATAACTTTAGTGTTTTTTTGCTGTTATTACTTATTTCTGTCTAATTGAACTAGTAAAAGTTTAAAAATGATGAAGATTTTTTCTATATTTTTCCATAGAATCGCTTGACCTCGAGTCCCTTGTTAAAAAGCCGCGTCGCGTACGCAACGCGTCATCCTTGCCAATTCCCACATCTCGCCTTTCAAGTCTAAAAAACTAAATATTCCATTTTCTTGAATACGGACACACTTTCAAAACCCAAAGTTTCACGTTATCAAAAAACCGTCCCGGAATTCCTCTCAGAGCAATCAATAAAGTGGCGGAGTTGAGAGGAAAGGAAAGGGGGAGACGAATGTCATTTGCATGACTTGTCCACACACATCAACCTCGCTTTTCATCTTTTCATCCGGAGCGACGAGAGAAGGCCTTTCCAGGCATTCATATAGACTATACACACGCGTTTTCCCCCTTTACTTCTACATTTTTGTACACCCTTCATATTTCTCATTGAAAAACCAGAAAAATCCCCGTTTCTCATTGATTCGCCTTGTGAATTATGTGCGAAACTCTTCGCCTGGCCAGGCTTCACCATCATATTTCCAATTCCAATCGGAATATTCTCGATGTGAGAGGCTTCAAATTTTCACAAATTCTCTTTTTTCTCTCAGCTTTTCAATTTTAATGTTTTGTAGTTGACTGAATTGAAGCTAAAACGAAATCGAAATTTTTTTATAAAGACAAGATAAAAATTTACTTTTTGTAAAACTTTATTAATTGAGCGCAAAAGTTCAGAAAGACCTAGTTTAAGGAAATTCACTTGAAAACTAGGAGGTTGTAAACTTGTAAGAAAGAAGTCAATAAAATTTCTAAGCAAAATTAAATTTCAACCTTCAGAATTATTTTTTTATTCTTCTAAATTTTAAAAAGCTCTTCGAACTCAAATTTTGTAGAAATCACTATTTTTTTCAAACTTTCACTAAACCTTCTGAAAGTTTGCTCCGCCGAGAAAAAAAAAAGAAATTAGTAGGACTCTAGGCTCTAGAACTTAATTTTATCTAACTCAAACAAAAGTCTCCAAGCTTAAAATTTTCGAGAAAGTACACCGAAAATTCGATGATAGAACCATATTTCACTTTGCACGAAAAAAAAAGAAATATCGCAACATCTCCGCTCTGCCATCCGTCCATCAGCCAACTCCCAGAAGCAGAAGGAAGGAAAAAAGAAGACGTCAAGGAGTCTTGTCACTTTCCCCCACCACTTCTACTTCTTCCGTCTCATCTAACCGGGAAAAGAAGACGTCAGCACGCTTATCACACACGCATCTTCCTCACGACCCCGAAGGAATTGCCTTCTGCTTCATTTTCTCCCAGAAATGGCTAGGAATAAGCTCAAAAATGGTCAATGTCATGAAGTTCTCGATGAAATTATTCAAATTTTCTCACATGAAGCACACCAGTCTGCATCTGCATCCTGTACCATTTTGGTGGTCTTTTTTGGTGGATCTTCTTATAAACTTGACGAAATTTTCGTACCTATAACTGTTTTCAGAGACCTCATTTATAACGCATAGACGTAGATTCAGAATCAGCGTGAAAAACTGCATCCAGTAAAGCGATATTTTTAAATTCCCACTTTCATTTTTTAAAAATTGTAGATTATATAGTCAATGTTTCCCGACTTGAAAGGCGAAGGAGGCGGGGCAAGGGACGGGACGCGTAGCGTGTGCGTTCGCGGTTCTTGGCACGAGTTCAATTCAATTGTCGCCGACTATTTAAAAAACTCGGCAACCGCTCTTTTTCAATGTTTCCTACCAGAGGTGGAGAAATGGCGCCCCTAAGCGTTTTCAAACGTTTACATTTCTAAACTGACGTAGGCCGCCATGGCCATTTCTTGATAAGTCGCTGCCCAGTGCGCCCGGGGCCAAAACCGCGATGGCAAAAAACGCCATTGGAAGAAAAAGAACGCGCAAAAATTGAAATCTTCTAAAATCTTGTAAAATCGTTGTTTTCGAAGCTTTAAAAAAAGGTTTTTTGAATTTCCAATTTGGTGGCGACGGAAATTAATTCTCTCACTAGTCAGCGGGTTCGTAATCATAAATCTGGAGCATTTCGCCTAAAGAAAAGAACAAATATAAACGTACTTCACATAAAAAAATTCAA